TCGAGCACTTCCACCCCGACTATGTCATCTACAACGCCGGTTCTTTCCCAGCCAACAGATGGACTGAGGGTATGACCAGTGCCACTTCCGTCGCCATCAACTTTGCTGAGAAGGAGATGGTCATCCTCGGAACCGAGTATGCTGGTGAAATGAAGAAGGGTGTCTTCACTGTGCTCTTCTACGAGATGCCAGTCAAGCACAACGTCCTCACCCTTCACTCCTCTGCTAACCAGGGTAAGGATGGTGATGTCACTGTCTTCTTCGGCCTCTCCGGTACCGGAAAGACTACTCTTTCCGCCGACCCTAAGCGTGCCCTCATCGGTGATGACGAGCACTGCTGGACCGACACTGGTGTCTTCAACATTGAGGGTGGCTGCTACGCCAAGTGCATTGGTCTTTCTGCAGAGAAGGAACCAGATATTTTCAACGCCATCCGCTTCGGCTCCGTTCTCGAGAACGTTGTCTTCAACCCAGAAACCCGTACCGTCGACTATGACGACTCCACCCTGACCGAGAACACACGCTGTGCTTACCCAATCGAGTACATTGAGAACGCCAAGATCCCATGTATCTCCGACGGCCACCCCAAGAACATCATCCTTCTCACCTGTGATGCTCGTGGTGTCCTCCCACCAATCTCCAAGCTCACCCCTGAGCAGACCATGTTCCACTTCATCTCCGGTTACACCTCCAAGATGGCTGGTACTGAGGACGGTGTCACCGAGCCTCAGGCCACCTTCTCCTCCTGCTTTGCCCAGCCATTCCTTGCTCTCCACCCAATGCGCTACGCTCGTATGCTCGCTGATAAGATCCGCGAACACTCTGCCAACGCCTGGCTCCTTAACACCGGTTGGGTTGGTGCCGGCGCCACCACTGGCGGCAAGCGTTGCCCCCTCAAGTACACTCGTGCCATTCTCGACGCCATCCACTCTGGTGATCTCGCCAAGGCTGAATATGAAGTCTACGACACCTTCAACCTTCACATCCCAACCTCCTGCCCCGGCGTGCCTTCTGAGCTTCTTAACCCCAAGACTTCCTGGACTGGTTCTGCCGACTTTAAGCAAGAGGTGACCAAGCTTGGTGTCCTCTTCAACGACAACTTCAAGAAGTACGCTGATGAGGCTACTCCAGAGGTCATTGCTGCCGGCCCAGCTGTTGCTGCTGCCAAGGTCGAGGAGGCCGTCAAGCCTGCCGCCGCCGCCGTTGGCAGCGTTGTCGAGCAGGTCAAGGCTGCTGTTGCTGAACCAGAGAAGGTTCTTAACGGCAATGCTCCTTCCAGCTAATTCATTTTCCTTGCTCACATCGTCACCCATTGAAATGTTCCACCGATACACTCGAAATGTACCATGACCCGCCTTGGTTAGAAAAGTGCCTCTTAAACTTTTTGTCTATCTTACCTTATTGTCAAGCCGCATATGATACTCAGCGTTGCTTTTCCTTTACTTTCACTTTTGCTTTGGCTAATCACAACGATTACGCTATCTCTCTTGGTCGAGAGACTGCCCTCATTCCTACAAATTGTGCCTGCCTCTTTTTACTTACTATGCTTGTCTTGTCTTGGCTTTGATTTTCGCGAGTGAGTGAGCTGAGTTGGTGAGCGCAAGGAGATGGAAACAATTAATTAAACCATAGACTATACCCATTAGAGAAAAAAAAAAAAAAAGAAAAAAGAAAGAAAAAAACAAAACATTTAAATTTAACCAACTTGATTTTCGAAACTTATGCTTGAGCTCACTCTTAAAGGTAATCCATACACCGCCACAAGCGGCGCCTGGCGGTAATGTCTCCACGTCTCGCCTTTGTACTCTCGGTAATCCTTCGAGCGCAACCAGACGTGTGCTGTGTTTCCGCATGCAGGAGGAGGGAAGGCTTGGCGCGGTGAGCTTGACGGGGATAAGCCTTGACGCTCCTTGGCACGCTCGCGTGGGCTTCTTATAAAAGACCTCCATGCAACGGACACGCGACGGATTCAAAACTGAATGTCATTACCGGGCAGGCGAAGGAGGGTCTCAGCATGCGGTGTAGTGCCGAAAATAGGCGTTCAGGTAAGTTATACAGAGCGGGTCTACGGAGTAGTTAGAGCAAATAGTTAAGCTTCCCCATGGCTCTGCCCAGTTCCATGCCACCGAAATAAAGCCAAGACAAAGGCCAAAATCTGCTCCCTTTGCCTCCCAAGACTCGAGGCGCCTTTCTCGTAGTTCGATAGCATCATGACACTCTAGGGAACACTTAACGCTTATGCATACCCACGGGCCCCTACCCTAACTCTCCTGCGTGCGTGCCTATATCTACTGGTGTGACTTTTTTTGCTGCAAGCTGCAATTCGATGCCTTTCTAAGCCCGTCTCGTGGTGTGTTTCAGCCCTCGGACTGCCCCGACGGCCCACTCACAGTTGACTTTGGACGACTGGGATTCGCCATCCCGTCTTTGACTGGAGGGTTACACCTTGTTCCCTTCTTGCCCGAAGTCTGATAGCGGGAGATGCGCAGAAGGCTGCCTTCAAAGACTAGAGCCAATTATAGCTTACATCGAAGACTCATGCTGGTCGGGGTACATCATCCGTCATTTATGCCCTTCTCTGTGAATTTTACCAAGAACGGAGCTATATGAAAGCTACGTAGTCCGGCAGCCATGTTTCCGTCTCGAATAATCTTTCGCTTTCGGCTTCCCCCTCTTCTCTCTGTGGGTAGTGGCTGAGTTTTCTTGTCGTGTATATATAAGGAGAGGCAAGCCTGCAACTTCTCCTGAGGTTGTTGGACTAACCAACGTACGGGTACTTTGCTGATCTCTACGCTGGGGAAAAATGGCGGACGCGACAGTCATCTCAAAGGGCGACGCATCTATCGATGTGGCGTCCAACCAAGGGCAAGAGCACCGCCTAGAAAACCCTGAGAAGTCAAGATGGGAGCGTAGCTGGCCGACGATAGCTTGCGGCGCTGGTCTCTTCTCTGATGGATATCTGAATAACGTAAGTAAACTGCTGCTAACTAGTTAAGCCATCTTTTCCAGCCTGAAGGTCGCACGTTAACGCCATCGCAGGTTATTGGATCTGTCAACACGATCCTCTCTACGATCTACCCAGATTCATATAACGCCTCTTCCGCCGTTAAAAATGTTCCTTCGATTGCCTTCGCCGGCACGGTTATCGGCCAGCTTCTTTTCGGCTACATAAGCGACCACTATTCCCGCAAATGGTCATTAATGGCCTCGACTATTATCCTGATCGTATTCGCTGCATTATGCGCTGGTGCTTATGGCGCAGGAGGTAGCCAGGCCGGCTTGTTTGCTGCCCTAACAGCTTACCGTTTCTTCCTCGGAATCGGCATAGGAGGGGAATATCCAGCTGGCAGCGTCGCAGCAGCCGAAAGCACGGGAGAGCTAAAACATGGTCACCGCAACCGCTGGTTCATCATGTTTACCAACTTCCAAATCGATTTTGGATTTGTTGTTTCTGCCCTGGTACCCATGATCCTGGTCTTGATATTTACTGAGAATCACCTACGAGCTGCATGGAGAGTGATGCTGGGACTGGGTGTAATTCCTCCTTTAACCCTCCTTTGGCTACGGCTGAAACTGAATGAGCCTGAAGAGTTCAACAGAGAACGTATGCATAAATATCCTGTCTGGCTTATTGTCAAGTACGTTCACATTCCCATTCTTCACTCAATAAATGCTGATTTATCTTAGATTCTATTGGAAACGACTTGTAAGCGATTCTTATTATCATTTCAGGCTTACCTCATACTTACCTGCGTATAGTCGGTTGTCTCCCTTATTTGGTTTATCTACGACTTTTCTGCATACTCCTTTGGCATCTACTCATCTGTCTGGCTGAAAATCGTTCTGGGCTCATCCGCTCCTCTTTGGAAGACTTTTGGATGGAACACAGTTCTCAACCTCTTCTATATTCCTGGTTCATTCGCAGGAGCTTGGGTAAGTGACTGGATAGGACCGAGGTATGCTCTCGCTCTGGGAGTCGGTCTTCAGGGTATCTTGGGATTTATCATGGCTGGCTGCTATAAATATCTTGCCACACCACAAAACGTTGCTGGATTCGTGGTTGTTTATGGGCAAGTGAAATCCATTCCAAGGTCTACTTCTGGACCTAGACTAACCAATAAATTAGTATATTTTTGTCCTTGGGTGAGCTTGGACCGGGAGACAACATTGGCCTTGTAGCATCGAAAACTAGTGCAACGGCTATTAGAGGACAATACTATGGCATAGCGGCAGCTATGGGCAAGATCGGAGCTTTCGTGGGAACATATGTCTTTCCCATTATCAAAGATAACGCACCAAATCCGATACGTGCTGGGCAGGATCCCTTCTTTGTGTCTAGTGCACTCTGTTTGTTCAGCGCAGCATTGACTGTATTTTTGTTGCCCCATATTGGACAGGTATGTCACCCTTATGCTGTAATATACGGCTCGGATATGCTAATTTCAAGTATAGGACACAATCACCTATGAAGATATGCGATTTAGACAGTATCTCCAAGAGAACGGGTATGACACAAGCACAATGGGAACTCAAGCGGCAGTCCCGGTGAGCCACGACCAGGAGAAGAACTAACTCCGGCCGTTTCAATTTTGCTCCTCAAGTAGGTAGAACATAATAGTCCACACGTACCAATTCTCGTGGACCTCTAGAATTAATATCCTTACATATTAACACCTCCATCTCGCCTTTAACAACCCTGCAAGCACTCGTAAAGTTGTCGCATTTTATGACCCTTGTACAAATGCCGAGGTAAACATCACGTGCAGCTGAAGGTGCGACTCCCTCGGCCTTTTTCCTTCATGATCGTGCATTGTCCAGGATGAAACAACAGAACACAACAACTTCTATACAACTTGATAGATCTTTATCATAACAAGTGAGAGCAGATCTTACCGCGCGAACTGTCATCTACCGCTCGATAGCGTGCACAAGTGAATCAAACTCAGTTTTGGACTCAACGTCGAAAGAGAGAGAAAACGCTCATAACGCCGTCGAGATGGTTGCGGATGCCCTTGCCTACCACCCCACGGTGGCTCATTATTCTAGATTTATTGCTACTACCGGTATGTATATATATAAATAATTGCATCTCCGGCATTGATAGTCTCCCGAGGAATATCACCAGCTAACTGGCTGGTGTCTAGTTGGCCGCGATAAGGTCCTACGAACGTTGCAATACTTTTCCCGCTTCCTCGCCTGGTACCTCCTCCGTACGAACAGAGCGCAGTCCACTATAAACCCATTTGAGGCTATGAAAAAGCAGTTTGGCCTTACTCGGAAGCTTCTCCGTGTTGGCAAGAATATCGAGCACTTCAAGGCCGCTGCTATTGCGCTCGATTCCAAGCCTGGCGTTGCCGGTGCACCTGGATCAGACCCGGTGCTTAAATACCTGGCTGTAGGAAGACAACTGGGATATGGAGTCTATCTCTCCTTTGATATGTTGACGTATCTCGATGCGGCGGGTATTCGCAAGTTCGCAGCTGTTAAAAAACTTCAAGCTCACGCTCAGAAAGCATGGTTGACTGGACTCCTGTGCAGCGCCATTGCCGGTATCTACTCCATGTGGAGATTGAGTGAGATGGAGAAGAAGATAAACAAAAAGGATGGCGAGGGAGCTGTCGAAGGAAAGAAGATTCAAAGGTTTGTTTTAGTCTCCTTTCCCGATTCAATGTAAGCACAAGGTCGCTAACAGCTAATGCAGGGAGCGTGCTACCGTCTCAACACAACTCTTTTCCGATCTATGCGATCTTACTCTTCCACTCTCTAGTCTTGGATATGTCAACCTCGATGATGGCGTTCTTGGTATTGCGGGAACCGTAAGCAGTTTGATCGGACTTAACACCGCGTGGAAAAAGACCGCGTAGTTTCGCCCAATCATTCCCCCTTTTCGAATAAAACACCCAGTATGTCAACGACCAAGTTTTGGACTCCCCTATACCCTTCAAGCGATTTTCGAAACAAATTTGGATCAAGTGAATCCAGAGTCCGAAAAACACGCTACTCCCTTGCTGCATACACGATTATCGCTGGTTTCCTTCCTATTCTTTCTATTTTTTAAAGGCAATGTGATTCTCTCCTCCGTCCCAACGACGCCACAACGATCTCCAGGCTGCTGGCTTGCCCCGATGTCCGCTTCTCTTCCCCGTGTCTCCAGCGTGCATGCATGGATGTTTCTGTGTGGCATACAGGACAAGGCGTCGAGAGTCTTTGGCAAGCTTGGCGACAAGGGATGATGATTCTGGCTTGTCTTCCACAGCCTTGGTTTCGTACAGTGGTCCAGAGAAGGAGCAGTTGCGATTGAAACATATCCTGCACTCTTACTTGGTTCAAATTTCCACCCTGTATATACTTTTGTGCATGCTCTATCAAGATCCTAAGTATTATTGATGTACTGCATTTCAATCTATTTAGTTCGGATATCTTTTGATGCTCATATTCATAGTTCTGTGAGACAAGGGAATCTTCCTCTTGCGCATAGCAAAGCAGTACTCTGTATCTAGTAATTTAAAATTAGCTGCATCTCCAACCCGTGTAGCTAACCTGGGGTATGTAGTAATCAAGCCCCAATCTTGGTGATTTGCGGGCTGAAACCGTATAAGCAGGCACAAGTTTCTGGACCCCTGAGATAAAACTCCGTGCCGCTAGACATGGGGTCGACATTTAGAAAGCGAAAGATCCACGCCCATGCTGAGATACATATAGTTCCTTTGGATACTACCTCCCTAAAACGCGTTAAGCGTACTGCAGGCTGGCGTGGGTGGAGTCCTTTAGTACTACTATTATATCACGGCCCCGGCCTAACTAGCTGGCCATATTAAATGCTCAAACTCCCTGCCAGCCAACTATACAACCATGCTCTCGGTCTTTTCATCCATCATCTGCCGCGGATTTCTCGGGAGCGACTTTAGCCTGCCCCACAGCTCTTGGAGAATTATCGGGCATAACTGGAATAGGAAGCTAGATAAAGCGCTGCGCCCTTGATCCTCGTCACGAAAGCATGATGCTTGTGCAGACATGCGAAAAGGGCCAGGTTTGGAGATGCCTGTCTGGCCCGAGATTTAGATCCTTCCCCAGGCGGAGTCGACAAGTCACACTCAAGTGATGTTATTCGTGCGAAGATGCTTATGTCGTATCCAGACATGTTGAGCCCATCCATAGAGACAGGGTCATTTTGGGGAGACATATGAGAAAGGTTGAGCGGGGAGGGATAGGCCTAGATTCATTTAGGCGTTCATAATGTCTCTTCTCTCAATGATTTAAATAGGTCCCCAGAGACTCTTGGTGTCCAATTGATAGAGAGCAGACTTTTTAATCCAAGTTGGTTGGAGAATTATCAATCATCATGAAGGGCCTCAACACCTTCCTCTTTCAGCTCGGTGCTGTGTATACTTCAATTGTGTCAGCCTGTAAGCTAAATGACCTTCCAATACTCTCAGCCCATGGCAGCTATGGGTCAAATCAGTGTATCGCATTTGGAGACGAACAGGCAATTATTGACAGGTTGATAGACCCTCAAGCTTGCGATATTCCCCGGCTCATTGAAGCTACTGCGGATCAGCTTCAAGATGGATTGACTAAAGGGTGCTTCACCAGCGTTGACCTTGTTAAAGTGCGTATTACCTTGCAAACCCCGTATCAGAGAGACAACCTGCTGATAATAGTTGTTGTTAGACCTATGTTGCCAGAATCGCGGAGGTCAACTCTACCGTTCGAGCGGTCACGGAGATCAATCCCGATGCCCTTACCATAGCTAAGCAGATGGACAATGAGAGGAAGATGGGCAAACTTCGAGGGTAAGTCGATAGGATGCCAGTTTGATCAAGACACGAGAAATAACCTGTTCAGTCCTCTCCATGGCCTACCTATCGTCATCAAGAATAACATCTTTACCGACGATAGGATGAGCTCCACTGGTTAGTAGAGTGGCTGTTTCCCTATCCCATCCCAGACTAATTGAAAATATTTAGCTGGTTCTTATGCCATATTTGGCGCTCGAACGTCGGCTGATGCAACTGTGGCTACGAAACTGAGAGAGGCTGGCCTGGTCATCATGGGCAAATCCGGTGCTTCTCAGTGGGCAAACTTCCGATCGATCAACTCTACCAACGGCTGGAGCGCATATGGTGGCCAAGTGACTGCTGCATATATTAAGAACCAAGATCCCAGTGGAAGTTCCAGCGGAAGCGGTGTTGCTTCTGATCTCGGATTAGCTTTTGCAACTCTGGGAACCGAGGTGAGCGATTGCATGCAAGCAGCACCCACGAGTTTCAACTTGTTGCTAATGAGGTATAATATATCTCTAGACAAGCGGTAGCATTGTTAGCCCCGCTGATAAGAGCAACATCGTCGGTCTCAAGCCCACAGTTGGCTTGACTTCCCGTCGCTTTGTCGTCCCTATCAGTGAGCGCCAGGACACCGTCGGACCCATGACCAGGTCAGTCAAGGATGCAGCCTACCTGCTGCAAGTAATTGCAGGCAAGGACTCGAATGACAACTATACCTCCGCAATCCCCTTTGACACCATCCCGGACTATGTCAAAGCATGCGACATCAATGCTCTCAAAGGAAAGCGTATCGGAGTCCCTCGTAATGTCATCAAGATCTTTGGTTCACCGAAGACGGTGGTAGATCAGTTCAACCAAGCGTTGGAAGTCATGAAGAAGGCTGGTGCTATCATAGTTGAGAACACAGACTTCACTTCCTTTGCTGAATTCGCTCAAAGCCCCATCCCTGACGACATCCTTTATGCCGACAGCCTGACCAACCTGCCTGCTTTCTTCAAGCAACTCAAGGTCAACCCTCACAACATCACCGACCTTGAGACTCTCCGAAGATTCACCCAACATCATCGCCTGGAAGAATATCCCAGTCGCGATACTGCCAGATGGGACATTGCCCTGCAGAAGGGGGTAAAAAACACTGACCCTAAGTTCTGGCCGATGTACCAGAAGAACGTGAAGTTCGGCAATGAGGGGGGCATTCTTGGTGCCTTGAGACGTCACAAACTTGACGCTGCCGTTCTCCCTACCGATCTGTCACCATATATCCCAGCTCTGATAGGGTCACCTATTATCACTGTCCCGATGGGCGTGTACCCACATGGAACTAAGGTAAACCACGATAGAGAGCTTGTCACCTCGGGTCCTGGAATTCCTATTGGCATTGGTTTCATGGGTGATCTCTGGAGTGAGGAGAAGCTGATTGGATTGGCATATGCCTTCGAACAAAAGACCCGGGCCAGGCCAAAGTTCAAGAGATTCATTCAGCCCAAGAAAGAAGTGAAGGATATCTTGTAAAGTAAAGATAATACAGGTTTCTTCATAGTCTTTTGGGTATATATATAGTATAATGCGAATATTCTTTGCCAATCCTGCAATAATGGAATATCATTGAATTTAGAAGATTTGGAACATCACTAGCTTTAAGTGGGATATGGTGACCTTTTTTTGCACCCGTATTCAAATAGTTAATTAGATATTCATAATGAATAAAAGCCTTGTATCATTACAAGAGATAACGAGCCTGGCTCTAACAGGCTATTGTGAAAGGTCTTCTCAAGTAATGGATTTTAGTACTGTCACAGATCCTTTTAGAAGACAATAACAGAACATACCAGTGTAATGATAGGTGTTGAATCCACCACTATAGGACAGGCACGGTCTCCATAGATAGAATGTAGTAGAATCGGCTCCAGGACACATTGAGAGGTAATTCAAGCCTAACAAAAGCCACTGGCTGCTAGCAGTCATAACTCTATAACTTCTAGTATCATGAGGTGGTAGCAATATCTTCTCCCTCAAAGCCGCTGGGGACTCCCTTCAGTCTCTTCCTGGTAAAACTTCCCGCCTGTTCTCAAGGAGAAGGAGGGTCACCTGACTCTTTATTCTCCTGATTAGTCACCATGGGTTAGGGCTAGGTTAGTCCCAAAGCGGCTAGCGGCTTTAGCTTCTCACTTTTTCCAGAAAAAGAATTTCTCATCACGTGCACAAGCTTTGATCTTTTGGTGATCAAAACATTTACCTTTCCGCCCTGGTAATCACGTGCACAACCACCAACCAAAGCAGGTTACAGTCACGTGAACGAGAGATGGAGAGAAAGAAGACGGCCACCGAGCTCGTCTGCGAGGATGAACAGCGCTTCTGGGCGAGCTTGAGGCACTTCTATGGCCAGGGAAAGTGAGTTCCATGTTTTTTGATCCCCGTTGGCTGGCGAAGGGCGTGTTTAATTGCTGACCTGAGATGACCGGAAACCAGATCGAGCAGCCAGCCGTGGGAAGCCCGTCCTGGAACACGTTGGCAGGCCGGTAGCAAGAAAGTCAACGTCCACACGCTATTCGTCCAGATTATAACAAGAGGAGGCTTTGACGAGGCCTCCAAGGACAAGAAGAACTGGTGGGAAGCTGGCCATATTGCTGGTGTGCCTCCTGGCCTGGTTGGAACCCTCTCGTACCAGGTTAAGCAGCTGTACGCAGAGCGGCTGCTGTGAGTTATCTCCCAGCTGTCAGGAAGGGTGCCTTACTGACCGTTCTCCTATAGGGACTTCGAATACTACCTGCTGCTGATTCCCCCGTCTGAGATCCCCAGCGAGTCTCAGGCAAGGGCAGGTAGGTCTTATCTCTCTCTGTCCTGTGCCCTCCGTCGTCTGCAGCCGCGCTAATGGGGATGTCCAGCAAACGCGGCGTTACCGAAGTTTCGCCAGTCACGGAAGCGCAAACGCGCCGTGGAGTCGCAGTCCTAAGCTTACCCTCTCCTCTCACCCTTTTCTTCCTTTTTTTCCTCTGGACGATACATACGCTTTTTTCCCTTTCTGTTTTTCATTGTCTGCCACTTTTGTCACCGCCGAAATGGACGTCATCGAACATGATACCCCGAGCAATCGGCGTGGTGTCTTTGCGACTTCTTCTTTGCGTTTACCGCTACCTCCTGATATCGACCCTCTCATGACTCTCGCTCTACCAGATCAAGGTATGTAATATTACACTGATAGGATTGCACCTTCTTTTTCCCTTTTGGCTGGTCCCGGTTCTAACGCTGATATAGTTCCCAATATCTATCGATTCTGTTGGATGGGCATCCGATCGGACATCGACAAGGAAGTCGATTTTGCTCTTCATCATCTTATCGTCATTTCTGATGAACGAGGAGATAAACTCAAGTTTAGTGACTTTAACATGTTAGCTGAGTCCCTTGTTAAGCAAGTTTTAAAGGTGTCTCTTCTCGTCTACGGTAAGCAATGGGTCATCGAGCTTGATCACCCAAATAATGTCTCCTCCAAAAATCTCAATATCATCTTCGCTTTGACTGGCACACCTGATCTTCTACATCGTATCCAATCCAAGAAAGTCTGCCTTGACGATACCAACCTCGAAGATGAGTCGTTCCGGATTAGACTCCAGCGTGTCAACCAGGCAGCCCTCATTATCCGAAACATGTGCCTGCTTGAGGAAAATGCCCGCTGGTTTGCCGAAGAGCCGCTGCTAAGAGACTGCGCAACCATCATACTCAATCTTCCCTGCCAGGACAGGTTCATAGAACTCAAGAACTATTTTTTGGAAATCATCGAACAAACTTGTCCCTTCTGGGACATTTGGGACCAAGACCCGTTATACCAGACACTTATCAAGCTGATAAGCAGTGAAGACCGATTTCAACTCTTGACCGGGTTAAAATGTCTCTCTCTGTTCGCCATTGAGCGCATCGAATCCAAGATCATCGATAGGATCCCGAGCCAGACTATTGAACAGGTCATCCGGCTCACACTTCTCAAGCAAGATCCCGAACTTCTTTATGTCGCCCTTGATTTCCTATATCAGTTCTCCCGTTACCAACTCAATGTGCAGCAGCTTGTCGCAGACTTCAATCTTCCAGTTGACCTTATACCTCACCTTGTCCATCTCTTGGATTACGGCAGCGTGGTCCGCAACAAGGAAATCATTGATCAAGCTGAGCGCAAGGCCCCGCCTTCCAACCAAATCCCTGTTCCACACCAAGATCTTTATCGTGACCTCGTTAAGCACTCCGAACCCGAACGTTGCAGCCTCTGGCTCAAATGCTGTTTTGTCGAAGATCCAGAATGTGAAATTACTCAATTGGCAATCTGGCAGGCCTACCAAGCGTGCTTCTCCCAAAACCGTATCCCAGGTGTCCAATCAGCTGATACCCTCCAAGCCACTGAGTTCATCAGCACAGTTAGCAATACCTTTTCCTCTGCTCAGGCTAAAGTTGTTGAAGGCCCCTCTGCTCGGTTCATTATCCGTGGCATCCGCCCCCTTGAAACCACCTACAACCTGGACGGGTTCCCAAGTCTTCACTGCCTCTGGGGCAAACAAGGAGAGATCAGATGTGATCATGTATTCATCGATCCTGCTATTTTGCGCAACCATGTGTTCCAAGATCACCTTCAACTTAGCCCCTTGGCCTCAGGCGGATGGGATCTACAGCCGCAGCCTTCAAACCCTCGCGCATGTCACTGGGATTTCTGTTCAGAATACCTAGCTCCCACGCCAAATATTGCACAGATAGCTGGGCACGTCTCCGCTCACCTTCCCCCACTTAGAGACATGAGCAAGCCACCACCCGTTCCCCCCCGAGCCATCATCCAGCCGAAATGCGCGCGACTCTTCAAGCTTTATCCCACGCCTGTCGACGAACACGGCGAACCTTATGGAATTGCATACAAGGCATTGCTTGTGATGAGATACATTCTTATTGGACTTCCATCCACACCATCTGGCAATCGATATAACAACTTGCCATGGCGAAAGGTAGTCTTTGGATCGCAACGCTCACATCTGATTGAAGCAGCAACCGAGAATCCCAGTTTAACCAAGGAGATATTTGCATTCCTAAACGAGCTCGACTCCTCTTCTTAACTTACAACCCACCCTGAACTATCATCACCTTCCGAACATTCCTCCAGCATGTGTTTCCATTTCCTTGTCCAATAGACGGTCACATTTCTTTTCTTTCTTAACTCAGATACCCTCAAAATATTAGCCATATCTTCCGGGTTTTGATGGGAGGAGCTTGTCACTTAAAAAAAAAAAAAAAAATATAGCATGTCTTTATGGACCCTGTCATGTACTATTCAGTTTTAATAGCGTTTGAAGCTTGAATGAAGGAAATCCTTTTCACCGATCGGTTCTTTTAATACATTACTCCTGTTTTATAATGCGAGATGGCAGCCAGGAGACGGATAGATAAAAGTCAGGCCTCTTGCCAAGTAGGTACCGACTCTCCGACTTGTGGTACGCAAAAACTCAGGTACGCCTAGTTTGACGGATGGACTATTGCCCCGGTGGGAGCACTAAATCCTACCATCAACAGCCAGTCCTGCATAATGTTCTCAGCTCCTTGTCCAGAAAAAGTGCTTCATCCTTGTTTCCAAGTCCTCTACCTGCGTCAGGTCTTTTACTCATACAGAGGATTACAAATATGAAATTCAGCCCGTCAAACAGCAGCAGTAATATAAATAGTACGATACCAGCTCACGACCGCAGGCTGTTTCTCAATTGAATATCACGATCCAGCCGCTTGTCTTCGTTCTCCTAGCCATTCATTCCGTTATGGCCGCCAACGATTCAAAAACACTCCGGATCGGAGTCCTTCTGACGCACTCTGTTCAGCTCCTCGACCTAGCCGCTGTTGATCTCTTCGGTATGATGTCAAAGGACTACATTAATGAGGTTGATGTCCTTCCTCCGGACATTGCTAGCCTGGGACTACCAGTTGATATCAACTATATCGGTATACAGCCTAACTGTGCTGGCACATTTATCCGATGCACAGCAAGCATCGGCATCAGACTCACTGCCTCGATCCACGACACCTCCGTCTCGACAGATAACCTGGATATATTAGTGATACCAGGGCCGGAACCAAAGTACGTTCCAGATGAGTCTGTATTGGCATTTGCCAAGGCACACCATGACGCCGGAAACGACATTTTAGCGATATGCACCGGGAGCTATGTTGCCGGGTATGCCGGTATTCTGGACCACAAGAGCGTAACTGGTCCACGAGGGTTGATATCCGACTTGGAAGTAAAATTCCCCAATGTGAAAAAGTGGGACACCACTCGAAGAGTAGTGAAGGATGGAAATGTCTGGACGAGCGGTATGGTACTTCCGTTTTTATATACAGATAACTATAGACGGGAAGTGCTAACTTAACTAAATGAAGGCGGAGTGACGAATGGCAACGATCTTGTAGCTGCTTACCTCCGAGAGCATTATCCGCTCCCCTTGGTGAATACCATACTGTCTATAGCCGATGTGGGTGGGCGACAGATTGAGTACGAATAGAAGTGATGAACCAAACATGTCACCGTGGTTTGACCTTCTGTATCTAACCCCCATTTGAATAAAGACCTATTATCAAACCCGGCTGGATGACCTCGTCCCAAGCACCAAATGAGACGTCTTACAGTTTGTATCTTAATAGATCAGTGGTAGCTGGTCATGTAGTAACACTACTGCATTGAAATATAAACTAGGGACTGGAATTGCGTCATGTTATGCGCCTCGGACATAATTAGCACAGAAAAACGAAACATTAAGCACCATAGACACCTTCCTGTGAGAGAAAAGTTGACGAAACCAACTATCAAAAGACTTAGGCAAGTTGCCTGTTGTTAAAACGCATTAACAAAACCTGCGAGAGCTAGCATAACACAGCTAATTGATATAAAACTTCCAAGTGATGCTCCAGTGTTGCGCGAAGGGCTAATAGTCGGAATAGACAGGATATATCTCGACGTAGTTGCATGGGGAAGCGCTGGTGTTGTGGATGTGGTAATTTTGGCCGACCCGCTAGAAGTAATGGTTGCTTTGGATGACATTAGCATCTGGCAAAGCAAGCAACTCAGAGTTAGAAGATATAGAAAGGGTCAAGTACTTGTGGTGTCAGCGGGCAATTTTGGCCACGTCCCGGGTTTTCCAGTCTCTGCCGATTTCGAAGGGATGGTAGCAACCGGTGGGTTATTCGGCTGAACAACTTCAGGTTTCTTGACTGTAAAAGGGGGTGACTGGGCGAGGATGTCATGGTTCTTCGGGTCATTTGAAATAAAATGGTACTGATACGACTCGCTATATGCCCATCGAATATATCAATACTGTCCTTATCAATGGCCTCGAAGTTTGGGGAATTTTAGTCATGATAGCAGATTGCTACATACCCGGGTGTAATTTTGACCACTGGAGGGATGAGTATTGAACCCTTTGATACTTCAACATCGTTGGCAACTTCGACAATAACTGGTGGATTAACCGCCATATTCACCAGCTCGATCGAGAAGCGCTCAGGGTCGGTCCTATTGGCTTATTAGATTCAATAGGGTTCAATGAAAGCAGTCGGTAATAGCGGCATACTGGGTGGGAATCCATTTAACATCGTTATGGAGCGACAGATCCAGAACCAAGCCTCTGCCTGGGTAAGTAATACGAATAGCTGCAGAAATCACAAAATGATGCGTTAGCCGTGGTTATCCTAGCGATCTGGTATTGGTAGGTAGAGCGTAACACATGCCCTGCGCAGATGTAACAAGCGCCACGGCGGTTGTGAACAATTTAAGCATCATATTGGCTGGTCCAGCAAAATACAGTTGAATGTATCGAGACGATAGCTGTGAACTTGGGTATCTATTCAGCGGGTATATCGAGTTGAAGGTGGTTTAAGTGGGTATCGAATATAAGAAGTGCCCTTTGCTTGAGCAAAGCTCCTGCCAAAGGTATTCAAAGGTTGCAATAGAAGGCGTTGCTGGCTAATATTAGTAGCCAGAAGTAGGCGCAATGGGCAAAGAGGGCGCAAATGCTAGCTGTACGCAGATAGTCATATAGCTAAGGAGGCAGCCATGGTTGAAGTACATATTGAAAGGTATATTGCCATTTCGTATGCCCTGAATTCATTTTATGCTACTAAAGGACGGTAGACATGATGAAAACAAGCAATGGAAATAAATGCATCTAAGGTATTTTCATTTTCATGCTAGATGACAGGTTAAATATACTGTTCTTATGGGTTTGACTATTCCCAAGCTCTAATAAGAGGGAGTGCAAAGGGAATAACCAGTATCGTCTCCAGGGTGGCTTCACTCCCAAACATTCGCAAAGAGGTCATCACCACCGCCAAAACCGCTAGTTTTACCCTTGCTAGAGCTGCTATTTCCATTCTTGATTGGCGCTGGGGTTGGGTCTGCCCATCCACCAAAGTCTTCATCAGCAGCAACCGCTGGAGTTGGCTTAGTGGCAGCGGGAGTGGGTGCTCCCCAACCGCTACCTATGTCATTCGCAGTTAAAGTATCGGGGACCTTCATAGCGGATGTGGCTTTCGAAGCGGCCGCGGGGGGTGATGGTTCGGCCATGCTCCATGCATTCCCACCCCAGGGGTCCAGGGTGCTTGCAGAAAATGCGTTTGAGGGGCTAACGGTGCTTGTAGGTGGAGATTTAACGGTTGGTTGCTGCGGTGGTAAAGAAAGATTGAAGACAGAAGTTTGGCTAGGAGAGGCTACCGGCGGCGAAGTATTAACAGTGTCTGTTGCCGTCGGAGCAGTGGTTGCCTGCGGTACTGGAGAGGAGAAAAGGTCAAGCATATCCTTAGACGCGCTGGGCGGTGCTGCGGGCGCTTTTGTCGACCCTACTGTTGATCCCATCAGGTCAAAAGTAGAGGGAGGTGGTGATGCAACTTGGCGTGGCTTTGGGTCTGGCTGCGCTGAAATATCGTTAAAGAAGCTACCACCACTCGACATAGATGGCGAGGTTATCTTTGGGGCCGCAGGTGAAGACTTGAAGCTAGTGAGGCTGTCAAAGGCAGAAAAAGTAGATTGCTGTCTCTGAACAGGAGGGGATGTAGTGGAAGGGAAACTCAGCCCACTGAAGGCGTCGCTAAGACCACCAAAGGCATCTGGTTTGGAGGACTGCTGAGGTGGGGGCGAAAATGAACTGAATGAAGAGTTTCGTTCGTGTTGAGGTTTTTCTTGAGGTTTAGGCGGCGCAGAAGCATACAGAGATAGAATTGATTGTTTGAGATCTGGTCTTGAAGGACCTGAGGTGGGAGTATTTCCACCTGGAGTGCTTGCTGGGCGGTTAGATCCGCCACTTGGTTGGCTGGGACCAAAGAAATCCAACCCGAGCAATGAGTCGGCTGGTTTATTGGTTTTTGGAGCCACAGGAGCTTGAGGAGAGGGTCTGTTCCCTGGTATGTCTGTGGTCCTCGGTCTCGGGGGTGGGTTCGCTGGCTCATCGTCGAAGAAGTTCACGGCGGGCTGTTGAGGCTGCATGGGTCGGGGGCGGTTCGAGCTATGCTGTTGTTGAGACGCAGAGCGTTCTAGCTTGGCCTTCTCCTGTATGACTGCTAAAGGCTATACAAAGGTCAGAAAACATGATAGCCTTAACAGATTCTTTCTCCAGTGACGTACCACATCCTCATCACCTTCTACCTCAAGTGTAGATGGATCGGGCATCGGACCATCCATCACCCATCGTTTGGATTCGTACTTTGTTCGGATAAAATTCTCAATTTTCCTGCCGAATAAATCAGCATTGCGTCACTGTAGAAACCGTGGCGTGGATGCAGGTTGCACATACGCTTCTGATGGTACGTGTCCAGGGTTTAGTTTATCCTCCCAATACCTATGCCATAACAGTCAGTCTTGCCGAAAAGAGACATATCCAGATTCTGGTCTGTGTATATCCAGATTCAGCGTACTTGTTTGCCCTCGCATTCCCCCATTTCATAATGCTCTGCAGCTGCTCGTCTGTCCAGGAGTCGAGATCCACCGATTTCACTCGACTGATATGGGTTCCCATTCCTCGATGAATACCCGAGCATCGAATGCAAATAAATACGCCAATATTCCAGCTCGCCCATCTTGGGTCTAGTAAGAGAAGAAGTCAGTAAGATAATAAGTATAACGTAGCATTCAGGGGGGTTATCCGCATCAAAACCAAATCCTAGCCATGAGAGCCGTGGATACTAAACAAAGTAGACTCACGCTTATTCCGTTTACAGTCAGCACAGGTTTTATTGCAGGTCAGCTTCAGTAGATTCTTTATCATCTGCTGATTCTGGGCTGCCCGATCATAGGCTGGCGGGCGGCGAGACATGTTTCGAGCAAGATAACAGCAAACCGGGCAGTTGATCAAAAAATGATAGTTTGTAGCGAAAGATCGGATATATAACGAGTTGTATATGTCAATTCAGACGGCTATGGAGTACTCTCCGCGTCCGCGAGAAAGATATATCAGAGATATTCTTGCTGCCTTCACTGACGTTCGCCAAAAGCGCAACGAGAAGTCACTTCGCGTTCGACGTTCCAATCCCGCATTATTTCTGCTTATATAAAATAATGAAATATCACGTGAGAATCCTTATCTCCGGTGGAAGAGGGAAAGAAGAAAAAGCATGGCAACTCGGGTCATTAAATTTACATATATTTATTTTAACTGATCACATGGCTACAAGATGGATTCTTGACTTGTATGTTCTCTTTGGATGTCTTCGCGGCCCCTTCGTCTTCGTTGAACTTCAAGCTAATGCTGTTCACGCAGTGTCTCTCGTCAGTCGGTGTACCGTACCCTTCGCCCTTGAAGACGTGACCCAGGTGGCCTCCGCAATTCGAGCACACAATTTCCGTTCTACTGATACCAAAAGATCTATCTTCAAGACGTTTGACTGCGCCGGGGATGCAATCAAAGTATGCTGGCCACCCGCAGCCTGATTTGAATTTATGAGAAGCCTTGTATAGCGGTGCAGAGCAACCGGCACATTGATAGACGCCAGACTCGGGCATATGCTTGTCATATTCTCCGGTGAAGGCGCGTTCGGTTCCTTTCTGGCGAAGAATGCGAAATTGCTCTATTTATAGGGTTAGTCGCGTAGTCAACACGGGCAGAGTGTCAACCGAAGCTGGAGTAGCTTTGGACGTACCTGGCGAGAGAACTGCGCGCCATTCTGCATCTGTCCTTTTTTCAGGGTAGTTTGCCATATTCTTTGAACTTGCGCTGGAGCTGGAACTGCTTAAAAAGGAAGACAGGAATCCGATCATAGATGAAGTTCCCAGCAGAACTGGCCGGGTAAGTGTTGGTCTATACCTCAATCGAGTAATATGAGATGTGACGGTATATCTGGTAGGTGCAAGTCCAGATGCAACTGATCTGTATACAGCTCGCGTGAAAGACATGAAGAAAGAGTTGTAAAATCTGTAGAGTCGATGCGGTTACTTATAAATAATATTCTCATAAAATGGATTCCACACACCCAAAATCAAGAATGACGTTTGCGGCCTGTTTAAGCTTAAATTACTTGGTTGAATTAACGCCAAGCCCGCTGTGGAATCAGTAAGGCGAAGCATCCGCGAGCCGGAGCGCTTAAGCGATGTTGCTATTTAGCTATTTGAAATCATTTCTATTCATAGTATACCTTATAGATAGCAAGTCTACTGTACTACTATCTTTTCATCTAAGCACTGACAAAAACCAACGCTGACAAAGCTGGGTATCAAAACTCCAAAGGCTAGACGCTTACAACCTAGCGAGAATTCACTACGAGGAAAACCGCCTGTATAGAATCAAGGACATGGACGCCTCGTCAATAACCAACTTGGCCAGTCACTACCAGCGCACCTCGCTCAACCTCAACCTTCCATCCCTCTCGTACCAGGCACCGAGCAACAGCAGGACCTAATCTTGCAGTACCATTCTTGCTATGCCGTCCAAGCCCAGTAACGACACGGTAGCTTCGTGCTCCAGGCTGTGCTCGCGAACGATTGGAGTACTTCTCATCACCTAGAGACTCCCACCAGGATTCCACACTCCGTTTTGCGATCCGCACCGCATCCTGCACGCTCACCCCATGCAGGTCTAGTACGCTGCTTGTTGACTGGCTGTAGACAAGTGCATCAGCAGCAATGGCTGACTCTCTCTTCGCCTTCTCAAAATGCTCGCGACCGAGGGATGAGTAATATCCTGCTGCACCACCCATAAGACGGTCCGATTTTCCACGGCGATAAGCGGAGTGAGCTTTTTCAAACGCCTGCTGGCTTGCAATGAGATGTCTGTCTGCAATGGCGCGGCTGACGATAGGGTTGTAGTTTGGTCTAACAGCTGTTGCCGCAGGAACGGATGAAGTCCTGGTAGGCGTGCGGGATGTAGTTGAGTTAGTGGTAGCTTGGAGTGAACCGGACGGCCCGGTTGCTCGATATTCCGGTTGTACAAGGCTGGGTATCGGTTCAATTACCATTATTCTTGCTAACTCGTTCGCGGCAGATATGCAATTCCTCGTCAACCTGAGGAGGCTAACAAGTTCCTGATGAGAGAGCGCCGGAAATTCCTCCTGTAGTTCGGCAATTTGGGTGCGAGTCACATCGTCTTCCACGTCTTCTGTCGAATAATTCTTTGCTTCATCTCTTGTAAGAGCACGGATAGTTGCTGGAAGTGACGCGCCATTTGAATGGTATGCTGAACTAATAGTTGACATGGCCAGAAGTGTTTTCGAACAAATAAATTCCATATCTTTTTTCCCATTATCCCATCTATTTTCAGGTTTTGCCCCACTGGTATCGCTTAAGGAGGTCTGCGAGAGATCAGATCCAGACAAATTTTGTAAATGTTGCTTGTTCTTGTTCTTTTTGCCTCTCCTACGCGACTTGCCGTTACCGATCGAGTGTTCGAATCCCTCAATTCCTTTAGGTACCGAGATCTGGTCCTCGTCCGTCCCAGAAGTCTGACCGTTCTCAAAAAACGATAAATTCAACAGCACGTCCATTGCCTTGTCAACATTCCCACCATATTTATCAAGCGTATGTAAAACAGTATATCGATCGATTGAAGGGAACATCTCATTTAAATATTCCGCTTGATCTTCCGAATTCGACCTATTGAGGCCCTTTACGGCGGTTGTAGAGTCACCCGACCACTTTGAATCACTATTTCTACCTCCGGTCCTCTGTCCAGGGTCGTTGCTTGATTCCACACCGAGTGAAGAGACAGTTGATCCAAGGCTTGTTGTGTTGGTTTCATGAGACCCTAAGGTCTGCGGTTCGCTCTGTGCAGAGGCAATGGCCGATGCGTCCTCCGGAAAATCAAACCCGCTAGTTCCTGACGGGTCAAAAATGGCATCTTCTTGTTCAAATGCAGATATCTTTAATGCATCCAGAGTCTCTCGAAGCTGCTGGATGGCAGACTGGTCGTCGAGGGCATAATCGCTCACTATTGCGACGAAAAGAGCGGGGTCCAGAGGAGGGCAATACTCGTTCTCAAGTTCCTATTGGGGATACCATATTAATCGAAGGATAAGATGGATACATGGCAACAGGTGGCTACATGAGGTAGATTCGTGGCCTAGGAAAGACCTAAGCGTCGTTCACTACGGAGTACTTACATTCAAGAGGGAGGGCGTGTCATCCATGCTCGGCAGTAGTCACTTGGTTCGATCGGATGCTGTGACTGGTAGATAGTTGCATTTCTTGTGCTTGGATAAGAATGGAGGGCACCGGTAAACCGAGATGGCATTTATAATATGATTTGGCAACACTGAACGCGGCGAGTTCGTGTTGTTTGCGACGGGCTGTTCCATCTTCTTCTTCTCGCTCTTTGATCTTTTGACGTCGTGTCGATGCAGTCATCCGCCTGGAGGCCGCGTCACGTGCCTCGTTCTTTTCGCCCTCTTGCTCCTTAGACAGAATTATTAGGTAGAGGTAGCCAGCAGCTATGAAACATGCATGTACTTCACTTCACGGTTGACCGTAGCAGAAGAGGACTGGAGCGGTCCTTGGTTTCTTGCACAACTTGCTGACTATGCACTGTTTTCGTACGACTCTCTTTTGTTAAAGTAGATAAATCCACCAGATTGATAGAACAAAGAGGGGGGAGAAAAAAAAAAAGAAAGAAAAGTGGACAATGTGATAATCGAAATCATGACCTTCCGTATGCAAAACGGACGTTATACCACTAAATTAATTGCCCTATTGCTGGAGGTCGTAAACTGACGGAACGGAACAACTAGCTTCCAATTCGTTATTGGATTGGAAGCCACCGTGGACCTGCCCCTCGTAAGGCAAAACGGACTCTCGTGACTGCTATTTAGCCTTGGGGAAGCCCTCGGTTTCTTGACCCTCACCGGGGTCCATTAACTATTTCTTCGGTGTTCAATTTGTCCGCAGCTCTTAGTAAACGTCCAGAGAAGGTCACTGTAAGATGAAGCCCTCTTAATTGTGAATATGAGCATCCTTACGGAGTGTACGGCAGGAATGGCCTCCGCCTGGTGCCTCCCGGGGCTGTCAGGGGCTGCGGAACTTACCCATATGCATTAGAAGTGCCGTGTATAGATGTCTCAACTATTGGATGAGGAGCTGGAGTTAAACCAGTCGGCACATGTCACATATAAATAATGGCTGATTTGCATAACTCTCCCATCCTTTCTAGGGTTCCCTTGAAAAAGCGGCCGGCTTTGTGTACGATTGCAGGAAGAGGTATCTTGAAATTGATCGGTGTATACCACTAAACCGATTGCCCAGAACTTAAATATATACGGAGCATATCTAGCTATTTAACACTCATACGTCTAAGTTGGACATCAAGAGAGTATCGTTAGCCTGGGCAACCCAACAGATATCGCTGAGCTAAGTGACTTAGACAAGCTGGACCTTCAGAAGCGCATACACTGCATCCGGCAAAATCATATATGGCTATTATTTTACGATTCAAGGGCATGAGGTGGGATTTAATTTGCAAGCTAGTATAAAGAGGGCTACTCTTTCTCTCTGGCGTTTATTTTGCTATAAGGCAACGGCCTAGGAAAACCATCAATCACTTCTACAGACTTCATCAATTCTATATAGTCTGGCAACTCACCTCATTCAAAATTATTTATACGACTCAGATATGCTCTGTGATGGCGGGGGGTGCTGACTGAGTGGGTCACATAAACTAGATTACTAGCGCATCCATGAACACGGAAATTTGGTTTCAACCTCAGTCTCTTACACTAGTAGTATTCTTCTCGACAGGCTGCGGCGGACGTCCATACTCCATATACATTTTGGCCGGCTAAAAGGTCAGAATATCTCGATTTTAACCCATTAAATGTACGTACTATAAATGGTCTTAATGGCGAAAACTCATTCGCAGGTCGCCCGTATAGCTCAGTGGTAGAGCGCATCACTCGTAATCATGATACATCACTCGTACTCATGATATGATGAGGTCCTCGGTTCGAATCCGAGTGTGGGCACTCTGAATTCTTTTTTGCCACTTTTGGTCCTCCTCCTTAGGAGCGCCTAATGCTTGAGTGTGATATGTTACACTCTGTATTGTTGATTATTGTTATTCCTTCAAAGTAAGATTAGGTATGCGGTGGCATAGATAGGGACAAGAGAAACTACATGGTAAGGGATATCAAAAAAGCCATAATTCCGTATTTCCTCCACATCAATAACTAAAATTCCTGCATTTTGCACGCTGAAACAGAAAACAAGGACCCAACGCCAAATATCATGCACTCAGAGTGTTTATTTATATGTATTGTAGCCCCTTAACCCAGTATCAAGGCTCTGGGACGTCAACTCCCGTTCCCACCGCCACCGTAATATCCCTGTAGTCGGCATAGACCACCGCCAAATATACACCCAGGGGCCATGAGGACAGCGGCTCTGCGTTGAACTGACCGGATCCTGCTCAGGAACAGCATTATATGCAACTTTCTTAGGGGGCGGGGAGCGCCGCGTCATCATTCTGACAATCTGGAATTGCTTCAAAATATCCAGCCTAGCACAACCCACAGCCCAAGGCCGGCTCCTACTACTATGGCCGCAAGTTTCAAGACGGCTATCTTGTCGCCCTGCCTGGCCATGCGTGTCAACCGGCTTGCACTGCCTTTGATGTTCGTCGATAAAGATGAGAAGACATCGCTCTATAGGCCCCATTCCCGTGAGCAGGGAGTTAGTTTATCGGCCTTTCAAGAAAAGCGGCATGGAATATACGAACGGTATTATCAATCATTTCCTGGTCTCGTGCATTATCGTATATATTTACGGTGACTGATTTGAGGGCGCTTGTCTTCTGCGATAGGGATTCGAGGAGGGAGTTGTTTTGTCTGGTGTAAACGAGGTAATAGTTAGCGCCGACTCATAGGAAGGAATGGGAACGCTTTGAACGGGGTAAGGCGAGAAGATACCTTTCTCTTTCGTATGCGTCGCTCATTTTGATCACTCGTTGCGCTGATGGAACAAACCGGCAATAACGTAGTCTGGCGATGGATTGTGATTTTGTCTTCTGGAAAGATGTGGCAAACTCTGTGAAAGTAAGGTGAAATCTAGAGGTTTCAATACACCTATTGACTGGTATCAAACTTATTATTATTAGAAGATCAGAAACCAGCTAAACAAGTTGCGGCTTGGGCGTCATTCGTCATTGACCGATGCTTCAGTTGCGATTCGGAGACGTCCATAGCTACCTACCTATCATGTGATTAACTATCATTGCCTAGGCCAACTAATTAACTACGAAGCCCCTGAAAACATGTAAGCAACAATTACCTGCAGATTCGAGTTGAGATAGATATTATTAAGTAAATAATTGATTTCGTATATGAATAACATGGGTATCTAAATGTATCGCTTATCGTACAGTGACGTTAAAAATGACCTTTACCATGGATACTAATATTTCCCTCCCCAACTGACCCGCCTCCAAATGACAACAGCTGCCGCGCTGGCACAAACAACGGCTCCGATGGCGATGCCCCATGCCATCCATTTGCCTTCTGCGTCTTCTTCGACACGGGGGAAAGCGGTACTCGGCTCCATCGCTGCTTCAGCTATATGCACGAACAACTCCTGTATTGAACTCCAGGTTACGCTGACGTGTAACGGCGGGCCAGGCATATTTAACTTGCTCGTATATTCATCTGGTTGCAGCTCAGCTCGTTGAGTGGTGCGATCCAAGTCAGCTTTGAGGGCAATAAAGACGCTTGGTAGTTCCTCAAGGTGTGGATATTTGGCTCGTAATTTGGGTATGTAGGCAAACGAGTCTGGGTCTGAGGAGTCGTATGTGTAGGCAATCACATCACACTGGTCGAGTAGCTTTGCCTCGTTATCAAGAATAGCAGGTTCTAGTTCACCTAGCTCATCGAGGATCATGTAGCACTGTTTACCGCCTGGAAGCTCTACAGTATTTACTGCAGTGCGAGGCTGGATAGTTGGGCGGTAGGATGGGTAGAATCCCCGAGATAAAAAGGCATCTAGAAGAGCAGATTTACCCGAGCCTGGTGCACCAACGACGTGACAGAGAACGACATTCCGGCCCACTCGCCCGGGTCGCCTGCGGCGTTTTCGGGGTTTGGTGATCTGAAGCGCAGCAGTGGTACTAGGGTTGTTGCGGTCAAAGGACTCAAAGCCCAGATAAGCAAGGTATTCCAATGTTGTCTTGGGAGAGGTAAATGTGGTCATACTCCATTGCGCAAGCCAGCCCTGTAGAGTGACGTGGCCTGCTTCGTTGCGAACTGTGGATGATGGGAATGAATCCTCTGTCCACGAGGGAGGCAGACCCGGTGTTGGGGCAAATATGGAGGCAAGCTCCTCCTCGTTCAAACCTCCGTCATTGTCCTTGTCACAGAGCAAGAAGAGGTCGACGAGAAAGCGGTATCCGGCAGGCGAGAGCTCGGCAGAGGAGAAAGAAGGTACCTCGAAACGTGGATGCAAGAATTCCTCTTGAAGAGAGAGATTGTCCGTGTACTGAAATGCTCGAAGTATGATCCATACGGTCTCATGTCGGCCCTTTTCAACATACAGTTTGTTTAAGTGAAGAAATCCTTTAGTGTCTATGCCGGACGGCGTGACGGAGTCAGGCAATGATCTTCGAATGGTATCTTTGATGTTCACCAAGTCTTCCTCGCTCAGGTGTTTGCCAAAACATCTCTTTTGAAAGCTTTCAATTTCACTATCATTCAAGTATCCATCGCGGTCCTTGTCACATAAGTAAAATATCCTACGAAGCACATGGACAGCTGCTGGTTTAAGTACCGACTCCTTTGAATCGTACAAGGGCGATATCGGATACGTCACAGCCTTTTGGCAAAGGAAGAATGATTCATTGACATTCCGGTGCGCCCTGGCACTACTTCGAATACATGAGTCAATCTCCTTGAACTCCGTCATGATAGGGAGCATCTCCTCCTCGATAGACTGTGACTCGCCATGCTCGTGCAGAAGGTCCGACTTGTTGGCGCACAATACTACCGGGACATTAACGCCCAGGGAACGGAAGTAGGGGAGCCAAAATAGGGCCACTCTCTCGTAGCTGTAATGGTCTGAGTAAACGAGGAGGATGACGTTGGACTTGCGAAGCTCCTTCGCAAGGATGTTTCGATCTTGCGGCAGGGCAGATGTGTCAACAATGGTTGTCGTAGTCACATTATCAGGCGTCCCAATGGTTGGCGGGATGGTCACTTGCGGCAGGACGGCCTGAATCTTGTTGGTGACGAAGACTCCCTTGACAAGCGATGTTATCAAGCTCGACTTGCCCGTCCCTTCGTCGCCGCAGACGCAGATTCGCACTGTATAGATATATTAGAGACCGTTCATGATATTGACGCAGCCACCTGACCGCGAGCTTACCGGTTCCCATTTCACGTAAGCTCCTTGTTCGTCTCAGGAGCTCATCATCGTCATCGGCCGTCCGGTTGTATCTTGCCGTCGACTTCGTTCTTTATCTCTTTCTTCTTCGTCTTTGCTTCTGCTTTTCATGCCGTGAACTTTTGCTTATATAATCATGATTAAATAAGGAATTACATAATCATCTTAATCTCGCCCAAACAGGAAAGAGAAACTACAACTTTCAGTTGACGGTTTTTTCCTGCAGTGCAAAACTTCGCGGAAAAGAGACCGAAAGGAAGACGGAGATGAAGATATACTGGAGCGAGTATTGTCTACGGGCTGCTGCTGGTCGGTTCCTGAAGCCTGGCCGACTGCGATCCAGGTACCTACCTATGGAGGTGATCTCGAGCGGCGCGGATGAACGTTTCGCCCAGCCTCACCGGCCGCCCGGGGTGAAGGTCAGGAAAGACCTCGCACCGCCCGAAGCCCAAGCAAAAGCCATGGCTGGCATCTGGCTGTTCCACGGATCAACCTCGTACTCCAGGGTTTTATTTTTATCTAACTGACGCCCGCAGATGAGCACGAGGAGTGACGACCTCACGCCACCGACCTGCGCCTTTTGTTGTCAATATCTAGATCGATAACTCACCGTCTATCAGAGCAACTTGAGAGTTCTTGGGGGTGACCGCAGGGGGATACATATCTTATATATATGTACTCGTACCTTCACGGTACAGAACAAGCTGAGCATTGAAAGATAGGAGGCAAGCTGTGGTTCACAGTCTTTGGAAGATGCCGTTAGGATTCAATAATCCGCTTCCTTCCTCACTGGCGAGTAAGTTGAGAGTCTACATTGTTTCTCTAGCTATATCCGCAGAGTAATTAGTGCCACCACTTTTGCTAACGTATACGTGCCAACCATAGGTGAATGTCGGAAAGCCAGCAAGATCCTAGTCTCATTTATTGACCCGTCGGAGTCGTTTGGACCTGAGAAGGTCATTCCGCCAGAGATTCTCGGCCATGCAAAGGTCGGTGCTTACCCCCCCCCCATAACTTTGTTTGGTTTGCAAGTGTCAAAGTCTAATGTCCGCAGGGTCTGGCAATCCTTACTGTGGTAAAGGCCGGCTTCGTGGGCTCGGCTCGATTTGGATCCGGTGTCGTTGTTGCTCGGCTTGGAGACGGGTCGTGGTCTGCTCCATCTGCCATCACAACCGCGGGAGCCGGCTTTGGCGGCCAGCTCGGCTTCGAGTTTACCGATTTTGTGTTTATACTCAACGACTCGGCGGCGGTCCGTACGTTCAGCCAGGCTGGCTCGATAACACTGGGAGGAAATGTCTCGGTTGCAGCTGGACCCGTGGGCAGGAACGCCGAAGCTGCTGGTGCGGCGAGCATGAAGGGAGTGGCGGGCGTATTCTCATATTCCAAGACCAAGGGCCTGTTTGCGGGCGTGAGTCTGGAAGGAAGCGTGCTGATTGAGCGGAAGGACGCGAATGCGAGAATGTACAACTCGAACATATCGGCCAGCCAGTTGCTCAGCGGTGCTGTACCCCCGCCGCCTGGTGCAGAGCCGCTAATGGCAGTTCTCAGGTCGAGGGCATTCTCGGGACGGTACGGTACTACATACGCAGAGAGGATGTACAACGACGTCCCTGTCTATGACGACAGACATGTTCCGGGCATGGGATATGAGGGCAGAAACCGGGCTGCTTCGACCAGCGACTACCAGTACAGTGACCGGCCGCAGCGTCACAATACATGGCAGGACAACGTCCATGACCGACAGTCTACCGGGCTGAATCGAGCGAACACTGTAGCGGGGCGTGCCAACCCGAACGAGACGTTTGATAGCTTCGGCCAGAGCCAGCGGGGAGTAGCAGGGGCGTTTGATGGCCGCCCCGCCCGTCCGACGGCCCCGAAACCTGTCTTTGGACAGAAACCACAGTTGGGCAAGGATCAGGCCTTAGCTCTCTTCACCTTTGATGCCGACCAGGAAGGGGATCTAGGGTTTAAGAAGGGGGAGATTATCACCATCGTGAAGCGGACAGAGAAGCAGGACGACTGGTGGACGGGCAGGATTGGAAGCAGAGTCGGTATTTTCCCGAGCAACTATGTTGAAGCCGGAAAGTAACCATCACTCACCACTGCCGCCGTTCTGCTTCATCCTTCTTCTCCCATTCTCTTGTTTGACAGCAATAGACCGTCATCTCTCCCACGAGCTGCCTTTTCCATCCCTGCCGCGATGAATGTATGGCTCCCCCGTCCTTTCTTGCTTTTTCATTTCCTTTGCAGGCGTTGTTCTTCTCTCCGTCTAGTCCGAGTTGCCCTCCATGTACCTACCTGTCTATCATATACATAAATACACACACACACACACACACACACACCCTATCCTTTATCCCGGTAACTTGAAACTTTCACCTTCTATATCGTTGGACGAGCCAGCCCGCGCTGCGCTGAGCGGCAAGATTAAGGGGCATGTCTAGTGGGAAACAAGGCTGGCCGGAATGAACACCTCCCCAGCCGATCCGTATCAGCTTTCGGTAAACTGTCTTGAGCATCTCTCATCATCATCATCAGCTTCGTCGTCTTTGTCGTCCTCGGTATCCATAATCCATAACTCAGGAGGTATATATCAGACAGCCTGTGGCGCCCAATGACCGCCCCGTCTGCGCAGGATCACGGTGACAGCGAGTCACGCCGACAGCCAGTGAATGCGAGCAGGCAGCCCTCTCGCACCTGGTAGACGCCTGTCGAGCTCCTGGAGACGTCCGTAACTAGTAGACCTGTAGATGCCACCGGCCAGAGCGGCCCTGCTATAAATAAAGCGGATATCAAGAGGGAAAACCCCCTGTGGCTGCATGCCTGGTCTCGTGTAGTCAGGAAGATGACCTTGCAGTCTCTCCTACTTACATATCCCCATCTCCTCGCCGTCACTCCAGTCAGTCTACTCACTTAACTAGTTACCTGCTTGCCTCGTCCGTTGCCGTGAATATATTCTCCTTTGCTCCTGGCCTTTGTCCCTTGCGTGGCTGCGCGCTGGGATCTTCCTTGCGCCCGAAGCATCTCCCACAGCGCACAGTCAACCCGCCGCTGAGAAAAAAATATTTACAACCAGCCAGTAAAAAGAAAAGAAAATAGGGCAGACGACACTGACCGCAAGCTGACAGACGGACGAACTGATAGAGACGGACTAGTTAAGCTGCTGGTGCCGGTGCTGGTGCTGGTGCTGGTGCTGGTGCTGGCTTCTGATCCCCCCCTCCGCCTCTGCCGCGGCGCTGCTGCAAGCCCGAGATCGCCTTCTCGCCTTCTCGCCTTTCGCCTTTCGCTCTGCTCTGGCTTGCCCGTTGTTAGTTATCGATCTTCTATCAACCCAGGCCCAAGTGTCTCTCCTCTGCTGCTGGATACGAACCGCGGCCACGGCCAAACAGCAGACCCTTCCCCCTGTCCCTCACCGTTAACAGCGCTGATATAGCAGGCTGTTCGCTCGCCTTCTGGCCTCGACCTCGTTGCCCGTCCTCGGGTCAACTGCTGGGCAGACAGGACAGGCAGACTCTTGCGCCGCTGGCTGCTGCTCCCTTCTGCTGCCCGTTCGCTCGCCCTGCTCTACATGCTTCGATGACACTGTACAACAGCAGCTCAGTCCCCCGGCGGAAAATCCCCCAGTCGGCCTCGCTCGCCCTGTTCCTTTTCTCTGCTGCCGCTGCTGGATTGCCGTGCTTCTTCCCCCGTTAGCATGCAGGTAAGGGTTGTCCCGCGCGATCATTGCCATACCCCCCTCCTTTCTCTCTCTCTCTCTCTCTCTCTCTTCTCTCCCTGTAAAGGGTATTTATTCTCTTTACTCCGTGAATATCTCTTTTCTGCGGGCGTCTAGATCTCTAGATGTCCATTTGAAGGGAGGGGTGTCATGCCAGTTTATATGGCCATGTTCCTTGCGCTGGATATACGCAGTTCTGACCCGTTTTGCAGGCCACTACAGACAGTTACCGCCAGCCAGACAACCGAGGCGCTTCGTCCAGGCGACTGGCCCATCTCTCTATCAGTGACGACAACCGCCATGTTACGGAGGCTATTGGATACATGTACAATGACGCCTACGACGGCAGCTCGGCTGGAAGTGGGAGTGGCAGCAGCCATGGAAATGGAAGTGCGAGCCCGAGAGACTCGAAGCGTCTGAGCTATCTATCACAGGAGAAAAACCTCTCGACAAACCCCATAAACCGGACCATGGCCGCGTCCTCGTCTCCCAGCTCAGCTTCGGCGTCAGGGTCCAGCACGGGTACTACCAAGGATCGAACTCATCTGCCCACCCGCACCAGCTCGATAAACGGCGTTAACGGCCACGGAAGCCCGTCACGTCATACGCTCTCTCCCAACGACAGTACCGGCCAACTCTCCCCCAGCCGGAACCATTCTTCTTCTGACGGGCCGGTCTCTTTCCCTCTGACGGATATAGACTGCCAGTCTGACCCTGCAACCGTAGCCCAGGAGCTCAGTAACCTCGCCGCTCTTCGCCGGATGTCTATGGACGTAGGCTCCCTTGACCCGGATCTACCTTCATTTGGCGGGCTCGTGTCTTCAATAGCCCCTTCTCCCTCTGCAGACGAGGACGACGCATCCCGTCTCTTCTGGGTACCCGCACATCTTCACCCGGGCCTCGCTCCCAAGGAGTTCAAGTCTTTTCTAGACAGCAAAGCGGATCAGATACAACGGAGGTCTGGAGAACTCTCACCCACCGAGGGAGCAGCGCTGCTGCAACGCCAGGGTTCGGTAAGCAGCTTGTCGCGCAAGAAATCACTGCTCTCGCGCCAGGTGGACAGCTCCAGCATTGGAAGGGAGGATTCCAGAGTGTCGAAAAAGCCAAATCTAGCAGCCCTGTCCGAAGAACCACGAAACCAGTTTGGGACTTTTGCTGATGAGGACGTGCCGATCCTGCCTCCTGCGCCACCGGGCTCTAGTTTGCGCCGTTCCAGGAGAACAACCTATAGAAAGGGTAGCCTGAAAGCAGGAGAACGGGTACCTCATTCAAGACGAGCGGCAAGACAGTCTGATGTAAGCCAGTCGGAGGATACGACTGATGATTCAAGCATCAAACGATCGTCTACACCTACCAAGGAGCCTCCCTTACCGGGCCTGACCAGGGTTACTACGGATCCGGCAGGGTATGATAGTAACGCAACCAACTACTCAAGGCCAGCCCGGTCAAAACCAGGATCACTGTCCTCAGCTTTGCCTCCCTCGGCCACAGAGACGGCCCCTGAGCACAACCACACACCCGCCCGTGCCAGTGCGCCATCCCGTACGCAGCAATGGGCATCACAACCCAGCGAACAGCCTCCTGCTTCACTACATCATCACTCGCTCTCACAACCACAATTGCAAACACAACCCATCGAACCACCCCGGGCAGACTCCCTACGCTCAACAGGCGGTAATAACAACAACACAACAACTTCAACCACCACCATCAACACAAGCAACCAACAAAACCAGCTATACATACCGGAGCGGAATTCATCGCATCACCCACCACCCTCACTCCCACCTCAAGCACCACTACCTCCAGAACCTGCAACAGGTCGGACATCCAAGAGAGCTGGGCTTATCATACCAACAAAAGAAGCTCCTCCCATCAGCGACCCGTTGCCCAAGATTATTACCCCAGCATCCTCCCATGCTCAGAGTGTTGTCCAAGAACGTCGAAAATCCGACGAAAAAGAAAAGGATAAAAAGGGCAAGAGTAAGAAGGATTCGGAGGTGAAGAAGTCAGGTTGGCATTGGCGCCGAGGTGCAGCATCCGAGGAAAAAGAGAGAGAAAAGGAGAAGAAGAAAGAAGAGGAAGCAAAGCGCAAGACGTCGAAGTCATACGGCAAGACAGATAAGCCTCACGACAACGCCCGTCTTGACCTCCTTCAAACATCCATTGACGGACAAACTCCTACCAAGTTTAAAGAAAGAGAAAGCCTCGTCCTCGACCGCCCTGCCGTTGACGAAGACCTTCGTCCCGCTCGTAAGGAGCAACCGCGCAAATCCTCATCTCCTCCTCCCAAAAAGGAAAAGGAGCCGTCTCTATTCTCATCTATCTTCGGTGGCAGCAAGAAAAAATCCAGCTCTCATGATTCCCACTCCCGAAAACATTCTCGCTCACGCGTTCGTTCACCCTCGCCAGATATCAAATATTATAATCTTAAGGCGGATGTCGACTACAACTGGACCCGCTTTTCGATCATGGAGGAACGTGCCATATATCGCATGGCCCATCTCAAATTGGCCAATCCTCGGAGAGCCCTATATTCACAGGTTCTTCTGAGCAACTTCATGTACTCATACCTCGCCAAAGTGCAGCAGATGCACCCCCATATGGCACTACCAACCTCACCCGCAAAACTCAAGGCGAAGAAGAAGGATACGCAGCAGAGTCAAAATCATGGTCAACAAAAGGCGACAGATGATCCCTCCCATTACCAAGATGTAGACACTCCTGCTTCCCTTGCCTGACCATCTTATCATACTTACATAACACAAAGCTAACGCTCCCTCTAGGGCCATGACCAAAACTCATATGCAGAAAATGGAGATTCGCAAATGTACGATTATGACCTTGACGATGGATATGAGCAGTCTCAACATTCTTCGAGTCAGAAATGTGATTACTCAGATGGACGAGCGGACGACCACGATGGTATGTGGTAGTTGGTAACCTGTTATATATACATAGCTTGGTTACAACTATTCTTCCGCGTACTTCATCTCCCTAGACCTTCAATATGCCTCTGTCCCTACCTCCTCGTTCCCACCTCTTATTATACTTTGTACTCACCCACTCCGGGACCCAGACATGGGAACCCTTCCATACACATTAGATATTCCACATTTTTCCTTCCTTTATTTTGATTCTACTGGTGGCATAGCGGGACCGTCTTTCTTGTTTTTCATTTGGCCTTTTATCTGCCCCGTCTCTATCTCCTCGTTATTAAACGTATTAACGCATGCTGAATGGTTCTCCCATGTACACTGCTTTTCTCCTTAACGGAACTGCCCCCTTCCCCCCTCCCCCCCATCCATCTTTGTGTTTCTAAGAAAAAAGAAAATCACGAGTCGTCTCTCCCTCGAGTCCTTATCAAATAGCCAGCGAGCTAGTCATTCCAATTTCTCCCCTAGCCCGACAAATATCCACCAGCCTGTATTTTGTGAATGTGAGAGTGTCGGTCGATGTCACATTTTATCCTTGAATGATACCACCAGCCTTGCGCTTGTAACCTTAGTAATCACGCTTCCTTTGCTCCAGACGAGTCCCGTCGGATCTGAACGGGTGATCCTAGCGGTGGCGAGAATAAGCTCGTAGGAAATAAAGTGGATAACCATTAGTTATATAGGCCCTGGCCTCGAGCTCTCTGGTGATGACCGACGGATTCATTAGTGTTCAAGCCACCAGCAAGCATTCTCCCGCTATTGGGAATCTCGGATTAGTTTGATTTCCCTGATTTTCATAGCCATACTCCATCAAGCATTTTCTCTCCACGGCCAGCTCTAGGCCACAACCGCCAAACCCTTGAAAATAATATTAGCCGCCCATACGACTACTCAGCTATTATATATAGACTTCTGTTCAGTTCTTCCAACCACTCGAGTTCTCTTACCTCAGTATATAGCTGCAGCAGATGTTTTCAAATAGTTGCTTGCTTTGTACGTATGGGACCAACTCTCTATGCAGCCAATGACGTCATCTTCCCGATAACTACCTTAACATAAAGTTAACTACACTTACCTTATCTTGTCTTCATAACACAAACCACATAGCATACAGTGTAGCCTCGTTTATTACGCAGAAACACCAGACAACCACATTCTGTACAGCTTGCAATATATTGGCTGACAGAGAGACCTACCAAGATATCAAGGATGAGACTATTCTGAGCATTGCCTAATACGACTAGATTACTTACTGGATGGTCAATGCACGACGGCAAAAAGTATGGGGAGAAGATCTTGGAGTCACTGGACTCCCAAGGCAGTATGGAAAGCCTTGGAGATTGATAGAAGGACCATACTTCAGATGTTGAAGGGTGGTTTACCTCCAACGATCGTGATTGCAATGTACGATTTTCCATTTGTTTGTCCAGCAGTCAGATCATAGAGTTGACATTGACTGAATAGGTATCAGTCAGACTTAGTGACAGGAATCTCACAGAACTACGGTTTTTTGTCTGCAATCGTTGCCGTAGTAGCCCAATGCCTCTTGCCCCGGGCAAGATTCACTAAAATCATGATATTTTCTCTCAGTGCACTCTGTGTTTCCGCCTCAATATGTTGTTTGGGAATATATTGTGTGGTCAAAGCCAGAGAGCACACAACGGCTCCGGGGAAACCAGCTGGTGGGTATAATGCAAGTGCCTGTGCAGTAGCAGCTATCTGGTTTTTATTCGCTATCTGGTAATGCAACATCTATTCTTGATTAGAATTCTTCCTACAATGCTAACTATATCTTGAAAACAGGCTTGTGAACTCCATTCGTGCCTTCAGGCCGATAGAACTTCAAGCTCCGGCTTCAACATTTTCCATGTTCATTGCAATCACTATGACTAGGGCAGGCGTGATAACCTCGCTCTCCTCTGGGTTACAGGGAATCAAAAGCTTGCTGCTCGCATTTTTGATCGGCTTTGCCATATCGACAGGTGTCTCTATATTCATCTTACCCACAACAAGCCGCAGTACCTTCTTTCATTCTATTAGAGGATATCCTACAATAGTGAAGGAAATATTGGATAGCCAGATAGCATTTGTAAAATGCAGTGAGGACGAAGGGCCATGGCAACTCACTCGACGCTCCACTATAGCTCGACAAAGGACCAATTCAGTTCATAAGTTGCGTGGAATAAGGAAGAAAAAGGACAATAAACAAAAGGAGCCTACGGAGAGCGAATCAAAGGCTACTCAGCTGAAAAATGGAATCCGAAATCTCTCATCGATCCACTCTTCTGCCCGTGCAGAATTATATTTCGCAAAACAGGAGATTGCCTGGGGTAGACTAACCGCAGAAGATCTCGAGACCCTCTTTTCTTTGCTGCGTTCTATCTTACTCCCTCTTTCTGGAATTGCTATGCTTCCAGAGGTATTTCGAAAGCTAACCAAGACAGTGGAGGCTGCAGATGTAGATGAGGTCCGTGTTACCGACTATGGGTATAGGCCAGTGGTGGGAGGACGCCCAGCTTTGATGCCGAGTGAGTCACAATATGAAATTCCCGAGATCACTGAGCACTTTGTACAGCCGCTTTGCGAAAGGCTAGAAACAGCCTCTGGGCTTGTGGAAGCTGGGTTCCAGCATGCTTTTATAACTTTAAAGCTAATAAAGTCGCCTAAAAGCCGTGGAACGACTTCTGGGTCTCGAGATGAGGAAACCCCTGGAGAGAAGTCTATGCCCGGAAATCCGCATTTTGTTACTGAATTCGAACAGAAATTAAACAACTATTTTGCTCTGCGGAAGCATCTACCAGAAAAGTGGGCAACGCTCACTGCCTTTGCCCCTTTCCATGAACGAGGTAGTATTGCGCAGGAACCCCGTACTATTCAAAAGGAATTTTTTGTTCTCCTATTCATTGGCCATCTGCAAGATATCCTGCTTCAAGCAGTACTAGATCTGGTATATTTTGCAGAAAGCAAGGTTGCCGATGGGACAATAAAATCAAAACGGCTCCAATTTCCAAAACGAGAATACGTAAAGCAATGGTTCTTCGCCAGTGACCCAGAAGAGAAAGATGATGGTGGTAATAAAGAAGAAGATACAACAAGCAAAAGGAAACAGGAAACGGACAATCATTACTTCAAAGACCAAGATCCTTTAAAGTCTCGATACCCTGACCCGGAGCATATGCCTCCCACAAACACCTGGCAGAGAATAGGATGTGGAATCAGGGCCATTTCCCATTTCCTGAGTTCTGAGCAAAGTTCATTTGGTGTCAGAGTTGCAATCGCAGCATTTTGTGCTGTGATACTTGCATACCTGCCGCAAACCCAAGCCTTCTTCTTCCGGGTGCGCGCTATCTGGGTTGTCATCGTCATTCTCATTGCGATGAACCCTACCAGTGGGAATTCCCTTTTTGGCTTGATGGGTCGATTTATAGCGACAATATTATCCACGATCCTTGCACTCGCTGTCTGGTATGTTGTTAATGGGAAAACAGCAGGCGTCATCGTTTTGACATATGTGGCCAATTGCCTTCAGGTCGGTATCTTCCTGCCACCTATCGAGGATTTATGGTAGCCCCTACTAACCAATAAAAGTATTATCCATATATCAGAAACCCAAGATTTATCCCCCCTACTATCATTGGGGTGATTACTTTCAATCTCATTATCGCCTTTGAATTGCTGGTATTCTCACTACCCTGTCTCCAATGTACGATTCAAAGGGTTCTTTTGCCTGACATGATATAGTCTCGAAAACTGGGGATAGAGAAGGTAGAATCATCTGGCCTGCCCTATTACCCGGTATACTTATTTGGGCCGTACCGATGTGTTGCTGTCATTGTAGCCTGTGCGATTTCTTACTTCTGGGTAGTGTTTCCAAGCCCAACGTCAGCCGGGTCCCGAGTTAGAAAAACGCTAGGCAGGAGCCTGTTTGTCCTGGCAAACTTCTATAGTTGCATGCATACCTCAATAGAGGTGTGGATAAATCAAGAGCAAGGGGATATAAATGACAACCAGTCACCTGGCCAACTCCTCGACCGTGCTAGGACCAAACTGTTGGCAGAAGAAATGGCACTATTGAAAAGCTTAACAATGTTCAGCGATTTCACGCGGTATGAACCTCCAATAGGAGGCCGATTCCCGAAGGAAACTTATGACAATATTATTTCTGCAATTCAAGCCATCCTTACCAGTATGGACTTGATGGCACTTGCAACTAGGAACCTTGAGCGTATGTCTGGGTACATCCCGGCAACGGACGTGGTTGATGACAGTTCGCCCGGTGCGAGAAGGAAACCCAGCAGGAGCACAGCATCGAGGCATCAAATTGCTGAGGGAGAAAGGTGGATCCAACATCTGGCTGAGGCAGCTAACTCACCGGAATTCCGTTCGGGAGTGATCACCTCTGTGCTATACCATCTATCGGCTGCTGTTACAAACTGCCTCTGTCTGCCACCGTACCTAGCTCCTCCACACCCTTTCCCGCTGGCACGGAGGCTGCGGCACATAAACGAAGATTTGTTGAAATTCAAGAATGTGGAGAACCCCTCATTTGCCGCTATAATCGCGATTGAAGTCTTGAGCTCCATGGTAAGCTCGAATTTGAAGACATTAATGAGGTTTGTTCTCCATTTCAGTTATCCTTGATTCTACAACCCTCGCTGACATGTTTCGAATTAGCGATGTCAAGCGACTTGTGGGAGAGCTCAACTTTGACGTGTACGTTCGAGAACACCGGCGTCACGTACGAGAAGAGAGACACTCTTCGGACGAGGCAGATGGGAGCGCAAAAGGGGATTGAACGAAGTAACTATTTCTCCTCCCGCTCTCTGCAATTTATATCAACAAATCCAAACTGTAAACTCGCTTACGTAACTGACACTTAGATAATCATAAAGTGACTAATATTAATAATTATCCGTATTCACGTGACTGCACTCCGCCCGGGCACCTGGGGCTTCTTAAGGGTTCTTGATCGGCGTCGAAGGCGAGCAAAAAGAAACGACGAAGTTCGACATCCGGACCATCATATCTTGCGCATTTTCGCATCTCTCCCTAGGTGCATCTATATACCCGAGAGGGTCAGGACCCAGGTTTTATATCTGGATGAATTATATAGATTACTCGATGGATTACAGGTAACGGCATCTCCTCTCTCCCACTTCTTACTTCCCCGGCCTGGAGCTCTTCCCCACCACTTCTCATACTCCGCATACAACAGCTCCGGAGTTGCTATCTACAGATACGGATTTGGAGGCAAATATCCTACATTAAAAGCTTTAACATAAAGATTTCAAGTGCGTTTTGAAAATATCATGTTGTAAGTCTTAAGGCCTATTCTCCAGTCCCTTCTGCTCCTCCCGGCTGTTCATAATTATTATACCTTATCTCAACGTTTGGTTGACATAATGCTGAATTAATTTGCCTTCTAATGTAGCAGCGCACTAGATTCATTCAAATGGTTATCGAACAGTCGAGCTGACCGCCCATAGCTTCCTGCCCCCTCCGGCACCTCGCTATGTAAATCCAGTCGCATACGCTGCCGGCACATCGAACGGTCTACCAGTCCCCATAACTGAAGTTATCAATGTTTTGAAACATCCAGAAGGAGGTTGTCCTTTGCAAGTTGGTGAAGGTATGCTACATCGCCTACTGCTACCTGGGCTGGAGTTACTACAGGTATGCTAATTCAAATGCGTCCAGGGACATATGAGCTCAGGGAGGACGTTCATCTCGCTACGCCGCCGCCGCACCCTTCGGAACCACCATTAATAAACCCAAACCCTTTAGCTACCGGCATTACTCCACCAACTGTTGGTGCGAAGCTTTCTCTTGCTATTCTGAAACCCACTGGAAGTGGTGCTCAACTCTACAAAACCAACACTCGAACAAGCATAACATCAGACCTACGAAGCGTTAATGAGAGTGATAGTGCTGGTCGCTCATCAAGTGAACCCCATGTAAACGCGTCTACTCAGGCTCCACCGTTCGGTGAGGGTAGTCTTGCCCTGGCTAACAGTGGAGGCAGAGACACAACTGGGTCAAAGAGAAGGAAGCCAAAGAACAATATTCAAAAGAGTGGATCATCGTTCATTTCTCGGGTCATACTTCAAGATGCGATGCTGAAGAAGGTTACCGAAAGGACTCATGATAGCCCTTTCGTGTTCGCCAACCTCAACCGATCCTTTCAATGGCTGGACTATTCCGTTCCTAACAAGCAGGAATTTCTTACAAAGATCCTTTTCACAAAGGCGCATATTCTTAGTCATGATGTGAATCAGATAACTAAAAGTATGAACCATCTGGATCTAGCCATGGGATCTTCGGCAGGAGACATTCTATGGTACGAGCCCTTCTCACAAAAGTACTCCCGGATCAACAAAAATGGTGCTATCAGGAATTCACCGGTAAACCACATTAAATGGATTCCGGGGTCTGAGAATCTATTTTTAGCTGCACACTCGGATGGGTGCTTGGTAGTATATGACAAGGAGAAGGATGATTCACCGTTCACGCCCGAAGAGTCGGATAATACTACGCTGTCTTCTGGTGGAGGAAGCCAAAGCAATACCCATTCATCTTTGTTTAAAATTTTGAAATCGGTCAACTCCAAGAATCAGCGCACCAACCCGGTTGCGGTTTGGAAATTATCCAACCAAAAAATTAACAATTTTGCATTTTCTCCAGATCACCGCCATTTGGCCGTAGTTTTGGAAGATGGAACGCTGAGGATTATTGACTATTTGAAAGAAAAGTACGCTATTGCTTTTACACTTCTTACATATGCAGTGGCTAACGGGTTTATTCAGGCTACTTGACTTATATACAAGCTACTATGGAGGCTTAATCTGCGTGTGCTGGTCACCAGATGGAAAATATATACTAACGGGTGGACAAGATGATTTGGTATCAATCTGGTCCTTTCCGGAACGCAAAATTGTTGCCCGCTGTCAAGGACACAATTCTTGGGTGTCGTGCGTTGAATTTGACCCATGGCGATGTGACGACCGAACTTATAGGTTTGGTAGTGTTGGTGACGATTGTCAACTTCTTCTCTGGGACTTTAGCGTAGCTATGCTACATCGCCCCAAGGCGGTGAGAATTCATCCTGGTTTTAACTCTAGCAATTAAGAATGCGGGACGCTGACGATAAGGCTACAGGTTACTGCACGCCATAGAAGTAACCCCCAATCTCCTAGCAACAGACCGCATGCAGACAGCCTTACTACACGAAACATGCATTCTGATTCTCTTCGACCTGGGGAGGAGCTTGATCAGACAACTATAATTCACCCTGTCGAGTTGTGGTCGAGAACAGCACAACTACCACCAATCATGTCCAAAGCTGTGGGGGAGGATCCAATATCTTGGTTGGGATTCTTACAAGATTCTATCATGACCTCCTCACTTGAAGGTATGTGTGAAATGATCCGTGGATAGCTGGACTCTCTCTCTTTCTCGCTGTCTCTCTCTCTCTCTCTCTTTTTTCTTTTTTTCGTTTTGGCGTCGCTTCGTCATCCTGACATATCTCAAATTTAGGGCATATACGGACGTGGGATCGGCCAAGTGAAACTGCGGGTGAACCGAATGCTTCCGCAGCCGGCTCATCCGTAGCCGTTGGCTCACTTCCTCGATCTATGGATGGGACCCAGAACCAGTAAATACCGGCCTGTATAGAAGTTGATTGGTGTTCGAAGAATCTACTTGAAATTTCATCCCCCTATGCACACTCTATCCTCATCACCTATGATAATAGCCCGTCGGCCACTGATTATCGATAGCTGCGTATGTACCATCTATTTTTGCTTCGATAGCGAACAGATCATTGTGCTTTTTTTGTCCAGATGATGTTCCTTTCGACAGCTACCCGACGGTAATACAAGTACAAACAGCCCGAGTAGGTAATGGGATTAAGTAACGAGCAGTGAGCAAAAGTCATGTAGAAAAGGCATATTATTCCATTATTAGACAGACAAAACAAAAAGGTATATTATTAAGTACTGTTGGTACAAAGTACGTGTATGACAAAATAGTATTGGAGAAGAAGAATAACAAAATAGTCGGAGAACGAAGGTGACTAGGTGGCTAAACGTTGGTCCTCTCGCTCTGGGGCATCATTAGATCTCATTACTTATTTATTTAGAAGTTTTAGGTGGTCCTATGAGCGAGCGATTAGTTATGTTGTCTCTCATATGAAGCTAATAAGTAGAAAGCGAATATCTTACCAGTCCTTCGAATAAGCCTTCTCCTGTGGTGGCACAGGTTGGTACGACGTACCATATCCTGTCCTTGAGTTGAGAGAGTTGCAGTTTTTCAGTGACTTCTTGTGGACTCATAGCTGTAATTCGGAGTATCCGTTAGCTGGCTGTAGATAGAAGAAAACGCGGAGCGGGAGAAGAGGGAGTGTGGCAAGGAGAGTAGTCCGTACCTCCGGGGATATCTTGTTTATTGGCAAAAACTAATAGGAGGGCCTCCTTCATTTCACGATCGAGGATGATTCTGTGTAGTTCCTGACGGGCTTCATCGATACGGGCACGGTCATTTGAGTCAATAACAAAAATCAATCCTTGTGTGCCTGCACAAGTTCTTCTGTCAGCAACGGTCTATGGTCGAGATGAAAGCCAGATGTGTCGTACCTGAGAAATAATGTCTCCACAATGGCCTGATTTTGTCCTGACCACCAACATCCCACACGTTGAATTTGACATTCTTGTATGTCACGGTCTCGACATTGAAGCCGACGGTCGGGATGGTGGTGACGTCCTGGTTTAGCTTGAGCTTATAGAGAATGGCTGTTGACGGTCAGCGTGGTCAGTAAACAGGCAGGCAAGCAAAAAGAGAGAGAGGGAGAGAGGGAGTGAGAGAGAGAGAGAGAGAGAGAGAGAGAGCTGGAACGTGGTATGCGGAGGGGCAGTCTCGTACTTGTCTTTCCGGCAGCATCCAATCCAAGCATGAGCAATCTCATCTCCTTCGATCCAAAGATCTTGCCCATGAGCTTCGAGACTTGGCCGCCCATGGTGAATTGTGTTGAGTGAGTATTCGTTTAAGCGCAGGGACGTTTTATCTGGCGGACACAGGTATGCAGGTTTCCGGTATACGATGCGTTGATCAACAGAGGGAGGGTAACCGGCTCTCCTTATTGCTTCCTGGGCTGCGAGGACGTTGATCCCTTCGAGAGACACGGCGAAGGCAAAAGGCGGATCTGAAGAAACTATTTGAAACGGGGGGAGGGAGGAGGGTGGTTGGTCAAGGAAGAGTCAGGAGTCAATTGCCGCGCGCAGGCAGGGAGCCAGTTCTCGCTGGAGGGCCAAGGGAGCGGAATCGGCAAGATAGGCGCGGACCACAGGCGCTGGGTCTGCTGCTTTCCGGGCGCGGAAGAGCTCGCCGGGCGTCTTCTCGCAGGTGCGGCTGGGGACGTTTTGTGTTTCGTTTGCGTTGTTCTGCCTGCTTCCTCCGAGCAGAGCACTCTCACCCCACAGGCAGCTCGCTGTTCAAGGACCTATCTGACCTGTCACGGCGTTCGGCACTCCGTAGGCGTCGAGAGAAGAGAAAAAAGGAATTTCTGGTCAATTGGGCTGGCTTATAGCTGGCGCAACCGCTTCACATAGTCAGCCCTCGATCTCGGCTTCGTCGGTCTGCTTTTATGCTGCGTTTTCCAGGCTCGCGTTGCTCGTTCCGATGCTCGCGATTCTCCTTTTTTTTTTTTTTTACCCCTGAGGTTGTTTTATGTCTTTTTATTTTTTTTTTTTTTCTTTTTTTTTCCTATTTTTCTTTTCTTTTCGAAGACTTTTAAGGTTTAGGGATGAGTCACGTGGTACAGGCAGGTGACTCACTAGTCCCCAAAGAGGCAGCAACCTTCCGGATGACTAATACGATGACTAATAGCAGCAACGATGAAGACATTGATGACGGTGATGATGGCGTGGTTATATATCAAAAAAGAGAGAGATATGAAGGGAGGGTCGATGAAAAACGAAAACGAGCGGATGGGTCGCCAAAGGGAAGCCAGTGAGCCGAGAAAGCCCCTTGCATGATCGCCCGGAGACACCCTTGCTGGCGTTTCAGGCGGGCAACGGAATTCGGGAGGGTGCTCGATAGACTTACATAACTTCTTACATCGATGGAGCTATAGTACGGAGCTACGGAGCAGATGTAAGTAAGTAGACTGCAGTACAGTGGGTGGCTAAGAGTGTGACTATTTGAATAATGCCTTAAATGCAGCGGTGACACCTAGTTGATGGGGATATCTCCCTCGCTATGCTGAAATGAGTGCGCTATCTTCAAACTACGAGGACGGTAGCCTCTGTAGTTATACATGGGTAGCTAGAAACTCGGCAGCATGTTTAGATGAGAGGGTTCTTATAGACAGGGGGGTAGGCCAACATTACATGGAAGCAGTCAGGTTTCTGGAAGTCCACGCATGCTGGAATCTCGTTGAAACAGGTCAATTTAGGCTATGCTTCATGTGTAAAGCCACATCAGATTGGTGAGAAAGTTGGTAGGTATGCAAACGAGGCTTCAGCATCGAACATCCATACAGTCCTTGAAGAGTTCTCGGGTTGGCCATCACTAAAGGGTCAAGTTGATAGTTTGATGGTGCCATTCACAATTGTGACGTATTGAACCTAGAGAGCCTTGCCATTGCATGCAGCTCTGGCGGTCTGCCTTGAGAGAACTGGGCCCTTCGCTTCCGGCCAGTTCCTCGATAGATTCGTTCATGGTAGCAGGAAGTGCTCTCTTGGATCATTAGCAACCGTGTTTGAAGGCTTCCTTGCCAGCCAAAATGAAACTCAAGATGGCCGTTGCAACCGCCGGTTGACTTGGAACGCCAGCTCCAGAGTGAGGGGTCATGTTCAGGGCTTGGTGAGCCTCAAAATAATCTTTATAAACCTTCTCTTACGTTATGATTGTCTCAGGGGCCGTCTCGTTGGGATCTGTGTGCCTTTTCCGCTTTTTTGCTTTTGTCATCCCCGGCGAATGGGATCCTAGCATAATAACAAGGAAGATTGTGCCGTATAGTACCGTTGATGAGGCTCGGGGTCCGTCAGCCTATCATGACATGCAGGTATTATCCCAGGAAGCCCTTCTGGTCCAGAGATGGGCACGTCCCTAAGAGGGAGTACAGCGCAGTATGCGCACGCTTCGTCAATCTTTGCTCAGCTCCACGATTTCACTGGATGCCATCCAAGGTTCCGCATGCGTTGCTGGTATTTAACTACTCGGGCACATGGTCTTGATATGTCCACAGTCTCTCTTGAACGGATGCCAATGACAGTGTGGTCGTACTGAGGGGTATTTATCCTGATGCGACGAGAAGCACGACGAAGATCATCTTGATATTAAGGGTCGCTATCTTTAGCCCTCGATTGACGCTTGTTCGACGTTCCGAATCGTTTGACGAGAGAACAAAGCATTGTCTCCCTTTATCTCATCCAGCCAACACGCAGATTTGAGCTGCTGCTGCCTTGCTGTCTTTTCTTTCGTCGTCTTTTTGTGTCGATTTCGATCTCAAGGCCAGGAAAGAGTCACGTGGTTTTCCTTTTTCGCTTTTGGTGCAGCGAGAAACAACAAAGTGCGTCGATATTGAAAAGTTGACTGGTTGTCATTGAGCGCTGGAACCCAGTCGGGACTTCAGTCTGCACCTTGTTCAAGAGCTAACTTACCAGTTCCACTAGGCAAGAGTCTACGGCAAACACCTAAATTGGTCCTGTATTAGGAGGAGATCAGTAGACCTAGCCTGGTAAAGATAGCACAAAATGATACCCCATATAGCGCAAGCTGGACTTGAATTTTTCACTGCTGTAGCTATGATGGTATCTTCCCAGCCTCTCACGTAACTGAAAGCAGGGTGCACTGATATGTTGATGGTCCCAATGCTGAGCTACCTCGTCATTGGGAAGACTAAGAAGCTCCCCGTTCTTAGATAAACAAACCCTCGCTCGGCTAGAATATGCAGTGTAATACTACATGAGCTAATTTCTCTTGAGATCAGCTATCTTGTCTTGCAGGCCCGTTAATACTGGTGACGGATCCGGGTGGTTTCTCGAGCAACTCCGTTTCCCAATTTTGGGCAGCGGACATGAAAATGCATCTCGATCACACTCTCTATACGAAAGCAGGGTAGCCAGTGCAGAGAAACCTCCTCTATTAGGCAAACCTGGCTCCTCCAATACCTGGTCACCAATGAACTGACCCCCCACTGCGTCATTGGGCTGGTGACTATGTAGTTCGACTAGGATGGCACATATTCGCGCAGGGATTCGGAGACCATAATGTACCGGCAAAGAGGGAATGAAAAAAGAGAAGAAAGAAACCCACAAAGTAGATGATGTGGTGAATGTTACATAAATGAGATGTTATTAACGTCCAAACGTCCCAGTGTACTGTTAAAGTACACCAAGTGCTCCTTCCCGCGCAGTCGCTCAGGAGTGTGTATATAACAGTTTCATCCTCGCATGTATCTGTGGCGGAAATCACGCATCAAAGTGTGAAGTAGGTCATCCAAGTTTATCATAATGGAAGAAGTTGACCTGGTCGTCGTTGGCGCAGGTAAGTCGGTTATCGGCTCCACGCAACGCTGACCAAGTCAGTTCAAAACACTGACCACTGGGGGTTAGGACCATACGGTCTAAGTGCTGTAAAGACATATCTGGAAGTGTATCCTTCCGCCAAAGCGGTTGTCCTGGAAGCAGAATCGTCCATTGGAGGAGTATGGGCAAAGCATCGTCTCTACAGTACTCTGTGCACAAACAATGTCTTTGGCTCACTTGAGTTCCCGGACTTTGCCATGGATGCGGAGACATTTGGTGCAGAGAAGGGCAAACCTATACCCGGACAGACCGTGCATGCATATTTGAATACATATGCAAAAAAGTTCGGTCTCACAGAGAGAATACGCCTTCGAACGAGGCTCATCTCTGCCGAACATAGAGATAATCCATCATCATGGCTTCTCACCGTTGATGCAAACAGTGATGGAATGGAGGCTACGGTTGGAAGCACTTCGACTATCCTCACTCGGAAATTGATACTTGCAACCGGGCTCACATCACGGCCACATATCCCCAAGTTCAAAGGCCAGGAAACATTTAATGCACCGATATTTCATTCTCGAAATATGTCAAAGTATGAGAATGAACTGTCGCACCCGGACAAGACCGTGGTCGTGTATGGCGGGGGGAAAGCTGCCTGGGACATGGCCTATACCTGTGCAGCAGCTGGAGCATCTGTGCACTTTGTTATTCGTGAAAATGGCCGCGGGCCTGCGTGGATGTCCCGGTCCAGGATCACGCCGCTTAAGATATTACTAGAATACCTGCTTCTGACCAGATGCACAACATGGATGTCTCCTTGTATCTGGGCAACAACGGGGCCAACGAAATTTCTGCATGAGACTTGGCTGGGTAAACAACTCGTCGATGGCTTCTGGGCCTTGGTAAAGAACGACGTGGTGACTGCTAATAAGTATAACAAGCACCCAGAGGTCAAGAAATTGATGCCGTGGCTTGATCCGTACTGGGTGTCCACGTCGCTGAGCATCCTGAACTACCCGAGTGACTTCTTTGACCTAGTGAGGAGTGGCCAGATCAAGATACATATTGCGGATATAGATTCTCTGTTCAGCCGGACGACGCATCTTTCCAACGGTACCTCTCTTGAGACTGATGCTGTGATATGTGGAACTGGCTGGGAAGCTCGATCACCGATAACGTTTCTGCCTGAGGGGATCGACGAGCTTCTTGGAGTGCCCTGGGCTCCCGAGCCGCTGGATAAGTCACTCCTGGAGGCTGCAGATAAACATATTCTGAGACAGTTCCCGCAACTCAAGGCCTCTGCCAAAGTGAATGAGCGTTTCAAGCACTTCTCTGCGGACGCTGAGACTCTCTCTTCTCATCCATACCGGCTGATTCGATTCATGGCGCCTCCCAAACTAAAAGACCGATCGATTGTCTTCCTTGGGATGGCAGCCAATATAGACACAGCCATCACATCTCAGGTACAGGCCCTCTGGGCCACTGCATATCTCTCAGGCCAGCTTGAAGTGTGTCCGCTGGTTCCCCGGCCGGCTGAGCCCAAACCTACGGTAGAGGAAGACAAGACAGATTGGGAGGTAGCCCTCTACTCGCAGTTCAGCATCCGGCGATATCGAGAGGGTATGCGCATGCGTAACCCGGACTTTGTCCTTGAATCCATCCCCTATATTGATCTGATGCTGCGAGACCTGGGCCTGCAACGCCGTCGCAAAAAGGGGTTCTTCCGGGAGCACTTCACTGTGTACCGGCCCCGAGACTACCAGGGAATGGTAGATGAATGGAAAGCAAAGTATAAGACAGGATCATCCGTCAGCACTGAATAGGATGTAGCTCTTTTCTTCTTGTTTCTTTTCTGTTGGTAACTCCTCGTTGCTGCAGCGTAGTTTTGATATTGTCCACGCCAGCCAAGGACGGGCCTCAACCCGGAGGAGCGAGGCTGAATAGTTTAACTAGATATAAGCAAACGATATGATGAACGCATTCTTCCCGTGTCTTTAAAACAAGACATCCTATTTTTGGCCATTGCCCTAGGCTGGGAGGCAGTCAGATGGACGGCGGGTGGAGGACAGCTCAAGCTCGAAACCGTCCTGCCTGTCCGCTGTCTCAGTTGCTATTATGAGATGGCTCGTTAGCAGCCAGCCAGCACGGTATCGGGCGTATATAAACTGAGCGAGGCCGCCAGCCTGACCGGCTCCTGGGATCGCTGCATCTCAGCAGTTTTGGCCGGCTGAACGATCTAGCTATGGCCGACATCCACAGCCTCCCCGTCGAGATCCTCTATCTCATCCTCTCCTTCATCAGCGCAAGCCCGCCGCCGACCGCAGACGAACGCGCACTGCGAGACCTCCCCAGCCACGCCGTAACGTCTTCCGGAACGACCGACCTCAAGAGCGTCTCGCGCGTGTGCCGTCAGTTTCGAGAGTTCTCCCGCGAGCACCTGTTCAGCTTCTGCCGGTACGAGCTGCGCGACCAGGACCGGTTCCTGACCTTCATCAGCCGCCATGGCCTGGCCGAGCACGTCAAGAGTGTCACCGTCTCGGTCCGCAGCATATTCCCCGGCAGCGAGAAGCAGCTGTGGTGGAAGACGCTGTTTGCGGCCCTGAACCCGACGACCGTCACCGTTGTTGCGCCGCCGTTCATGATCGCGGACATGGCGCAGTGCGCTCTCCAGGGCGACAAATGGGCCTTTGACATGCCGCTGCAGACCATCCAGTTCCGCCAGCAGCAGCAGCAGCAGCGGCAGCAGCAGCAGCAGCGAGACAAACAGCCTGATACCCAGATGATCATGCCAGCAACTGAGGGAGAGAACCGTGGCAGCGGCGGCGACGACGACGACAGCTTTCTCACCGCGAAGCCGTGGACGCAGCTGCTGTTTAACGAGGGCTCGTCTCTGCAGGCGTACAGCGTGGAAGATTACTTCCGCCTGCGGCCTCCGTCCGTCATCAACTACTGGGGCTCCGTCGACCCTTTGCAAGCGGTCAACCTCCCGTATCCTGCCTCGGCCATCTCGCGGCTAACCTCGTTTCGCTACATTGCCGTCTTCCCCTTCTACAGCCATACTAACCTGGTGCTTAAACTGTTCCGTAGCATGACCAACCTGCGCTCGCTGGCCCTGCAGCTCTCGCCGCCGGAGTGGAGTAATATCTTTGAAAGGGAGCAGAAGAACTCGACCATGGATCCGGAGAATGCCTGGATGGAGTTGGAGACGGGATACTCGCTTGTCCCTCATTCGGTGCGGTATCTAGGTGTACATGGCCATCTGGTCGAGTTCAGAGCTCTGGATTATAACCTGCCGCCGCAGAGGAGCTATGTTTTCAGAACCATGCATCAGGTCCTTAATCTCGCCTGGCAGCATGACGGGCACGGCCGATGGGTTAAACGGCCGGCTGCTTCGAACACTTCAGGCTGACCTTTTAACATACCTTGTTGAGTTACTTTGGGAGGAGATCAATCATAGATGACATTGATGTTGGCCTTTTTATAGGCTTTGGATAGTAATACTGATCTATATGTTCTCTTTCAATGAAATGATTGAATGAACAATTAGCATAGATAAATCAATGAACTAGCCTATAATTTACACATTGGGACTAAGCAAGAGCACAAGAAGAGTTGGAGAGACAAAAAAACGCAGGTAAAAGGTACAGAAGTCATGGAGAATAACAATATACCAAAACCCCATTTTGCGCCTTAGAGGGAATGCTACAGTCCAATTTCACTTAGCCTGACTCCCATCCAGACGAGGCATTAACAAAAAATAGTAAAAATAGGCAGAAGACGCAGGTGTGGAGAAACTAACAGGCAACAGAGCTGAGTTGCCCCTTTATACCTTATAGAGAGTAAAGAATGATATAGATGGCTAATATAATCAGCTATAGCCCAGCAAACACATTAAGATATCCTCTCTTAGTTAACTGTGTAAAGTCAACATAGACACGTATATCTGGTCTGTCCTTTTGGCCTGTAGCAGCATCAGCATTAGTGTTTGTCTGGCTACCGCTAGCAGCATCCTCTGCACCTGCAGTTCCCGAACGAGCAGTCTGGTTTTCTGTATTTGTGCCAGCGGCGGCGGCAGCAGCGGCAGCAGCAGCTGCTGCTGCTGCACCACCAGCCCCAACAGCCAAATCTGCCAGATGCTCCAGGGAGCGCTGTTCGCTGGATCCCACGGCACCAGAGCCCTGCTGTGTGGACCGGAAAGCGGCGACCTTGACTTCAATCATTGCACGGAAACATTCTCCCCATGATCGAGTGTAGAATATGTTGCTAAACTCTTCAACTGTTGAGGCATGCTTATCGCGTTGGCTGAGGATCTGGAGTGCTTTGTCTAGGGATATCCATGCATCTGCTGCCAATTCGGGGAGGTCTGTGGATTCCAACAAAGTCATAATAGCAAGGGCCAGGGCGTGGTGGTGGAATGGTGATGTGATAAATTTATCTGGGCCGGAGTGCTGCATGAGAAGTTCGAGGATGACTTGCGCAGGGTATAGCACCTCAGCAGGGACAGATGTATAGAGCTGCCTTTTCAAGAGAAGGGTGAGGGTCCAGAATAGTAGAGGGCAAACAGATTCAGTGTACGTTGTGCTCATTTCATCGTCACCAGTAGATTCATGCCAGGACTCAAGGTCCTTAAGACGTTTGAGTTGGCCGTAGTAGAGGCGACGGAGAGAGTGACTGTTCATCCGTCCAAATGAAGGGTGAACAGTGTTGTCGAATAGAACTTCGATGATCTCGGAGACTGAGGTTGAGTAGCCTACAATGTGCCATTAGCATTTTTGTATTGTCGATGTGAGACTGGAGGGTGGTGTGGGGACATACGGGCAAGCTGTAGAGAAGCAAAGCTGAGGATGCCACGATCTTCGGGCATAGCAGCTTCAAAAACACCAAAAACATCCCGACCAGCCACGCTTAGGCTATGCCAGCGAGATAAGATCATCAAGACAGTCCAATTCCTTCTTGCAAGATTGCCGTCAGAATCAATGTCCTTATCATCTATGTTACAGCTATCAAGCTGATCATACGACCGCGCAAGATGATGTGCGATAGGGAATGCAGCGTCGACGAGAACCGTCTTACTAATGCCATTCTGACCATGGAGATTTTCCGGACCCCTGGAATCGGCATCGATGATCAACAAGATAAAGGTGAAGAGGAGAACAAAATTAATCGCCTGAGCCCTGGAGCGAGGGTCTTCACGAAGACTTTCAGTTAGATAATCCTGTGCTCTTTGAAACGTTGGGATTTCCTGCAGTGCCTTTTCCGCTCTTGACAGGTTGGCCCCCGTCACAGAGAGTAGCGAGTGCAGGAAAGTTTCTTGAATCTGGCGACTGGCTGATTTAAGGTACTGGAAAAGGAGATCCCGAGAGTTCGGTAGAACTGGGAAAATAGGGTGAATATGCTGATAGTAACTAGTACCAAAGTGTCAGTGATTGATTACACTTGTTATATTTAGGTAGGAAAACGACGTATACTTACGCGTTGAGTACTTCTTCATCAACCTCTACCGGTGCAGGAAGTGACTCCAGCTTTTCTAGGTTGATAGCGGGTTGCTGTGCAGATTCAGGTAGCTCCTGAGCCCAGAACGGCTGCATTACCCGTGTACTTCCATTTTGTACTGTACCATATTCATCTAGGGCAGCTAGATCAGCTGCATGAGCTGCATCCTTCGTTGGTCCCTGCACAGGCCATCCGCCTACTGATGTAGGCCGAGCTCCCTGGATGAAAGGGGGTTGCATGAAGGCATTAGGAAGGCCTTCAGACATGGAAAGGGTTCTCTTTCGAGTGAGTCCCTGGTTATCGATAGATGGGGAGAAGTCCTGATAGCCCCGACCAGATGTACCATCTTCGTTCATTTGTTGGTAATGCATATCCCCTGGCTGCATTGGAGGTTGCATTTGAGTCTCCAGGCTGTTGATACGGTCTGCCAGCTCCTTGATGTACCTTGCGCGAGAAGATTAGTCGGCGGGACAGTCTAGTCAAGGAATATGGACAAACTTACCCTTTGCTTGGACCTCGCTTCATTGGAACGCGGCTGAACTCGCATGTTGCGCCGGTACGGCGACAGTTTGAGCATGTCTCGACACCAGCTTCAGAGGTAGCATCACATCGGACCTAAAGATATCAGTGAGTAAAAAGAAGATTAGATACACACGAAATAAGTATGCTTTGACAAAGTGACGAACCTTCTTCCTACGACACTCATCACATGCGCGAGAGACCTTTGAGCGCTTCCGACGCGCGCTCTGGTCCCCATAGCTCAAGTCATGGTTGGGGTCGACACCAGACTGCTGGGTAGACGAAAACTGAAGCATATGCTGCTGGGCCTGAGAAGGCTGCTGCACCTGGTGATCCTGCTGCTGTTGCTGTCGCTGCTGCTGGCGAACCTGCTGCTGGTCGACGCCCACTGTTCCGTCAGCGTTGGACCCAGAGCCCAGCACCATTCCCTGACTATGAGGCAGCCCGTTCGCCGCCGCAGCAGCTGCAGTGGCAGCAGCAGCTACGGACGCTGCGTTCCCTCCATCCACGCTGGCCCCAGCAACCTCGCGGGACAGCTCTGCGGACAAATGAAGCTCATCTGCGGTCAGATGGCGCTGGTTGGCATAGTAAGACACGGTGCCCTGCGCTATCTGAGCAGCGTTGGGGGAAGGGTATGACGGAGCCGGCGGGATCTCTGAATGCTCTCGAGAATTCATGGTGGGCCAGTCAGGACCTGTACCCTGCTGTTCCAAGGCGGTCGTCAGTCTCGAGCCTCTTTGTTTCGCTGTAATTTATGTGTGTGCCGTGTGGGAAGATGCGGGTGCGGCGCGCGCGCACGAAGCTGTTACTCGATGCGTGGCGGGAATGTCGTGATGACGAGTGATTCTGTCTCTCCGTAGCCTGTCAAACACGGTCAGCTCATCGCCCTCTGACGGCCCCCCGCGAGACTCGTAGACCAGGCAGCGTCAACGGGAGCCATGGACGTCTTTCCTGCAGGGCCTCCCGGCGCGTCACTAGGACAGCTCCTCCAAAAAATAAAAGGGCCCATCCTGTGAGCAGGGCCAATGGCACGACAAACGACGTCCGTCCTCGCCCCGACGCGGCGACACCAAAAAGCAGAGGCAACAAGGGGGGAGCAAGTAACCAACTTTTGTCAACGGCGCTGAACGCGAAGCTGCCGGCTTTCCTTCTGTCCTGCCCGTCAGACGGAGCGCATTATCTAGATAGCTTTTGCTTTCGACGCGGAGGACGGGTATTGTTTTATGCGAGACTCGCTGGCTCGTCCAGGGAAAAAAATAAAGCGACGACGCAGGTTTTTTTTTTTTTTTTTTTTTTTTTTTTTTTTTTTTTTCTTTTATTTTGGCGGAAGAAAAACGGAGCGAGGATTGCCTCTTTGGGACGTCACCTGATAGGTGGATGAGTAAGAGGTGACTAATATGTGAATGATTAGTAGTGATAAGTAGAAAATGACTAAGTAATGACTAAGTGATAAGAGATGACTAAGACGTATTTACGATTGCTCTAAAGGTCTAAATACTCTACAACGCTACAGAGCACCTCCCCCTGGGTCTATATATAATAAAGAAAAAAAGTGGCAGATAAGAAGGAAGAAAGGTCATATGCATCACTGGTGGGAAGGCTGGGGCGGGGGGCAAAGCGGGCGGAGGCTAGGTTTGTTTGAGGCACCAGATGGACGGCTGGGGAGCCAGCGTGAAAAGACATCTATATTCATTAAAATATCGTTCTATCGCTTCGGGAAGTCATATCGGCGTTCATGTATGTTTAGCATGATGCGTTAGACGGAGTGGAAGTGCGAGCCGCGAGCCAGTAGGCGAGGGTGTTCACCGAGTCCATATTTGAGCCTCCTGCTGCTGCTGGTGCTGCTGTTGACGTTGTTGCTCGGAGACGGAGATGGAGACCGGGGACATCATGGTAGGGTAGGAAGCCGAAACCCAGAGCGGCTCGTTTGCCCCGGCAGAGGTGTAGGCGGCGGGTGGGATGATCATGGAGGTGTTGCTGGCGTCGACGAAGTTGCTATGGCTCCCGCTGGCAGGATATGCCTGTGCCTGCGCCTGCGTCTGTTGCTGGTGATGGTAGTGGTGACCAAGTTCGGCTGGAAGCGGGGTGGTCTCCCCAGCAGCAGAGGCAGAGACAGAGGCGGAAGCCCGAGCACCGTTGACGTCGACGCTGTCGTTTGCTGCGTGGAGGACCGGCTCAATGGCAGCAGGCTTGTAGGTCTGAGACAGGGCGAACTGGGTGGGCAGGTCGAGCTGGGAAGGCGGCGTGCTGCCCAGGTGATACATGCCGGCCTCGGAGCCAGTGCCGACGATGGGCAGCAGTTCGTCGGCATCAGAGGTGTCTCCGGACGAGGAGCGGGCGAGGCCAGGGTGGCCGAAGGTGGTGTTGTAGTCGTAGCTGGCATAGGACGCTGGCTGGCTGTAAGTCGCGGTGTATGCGTCAGACCCGTACGGCAGATCAAAGGTGGACCAGTCTATCGACGGCCCGTTTGAGATCGCCGCCTCAAAGCCAAAGTCGATATCTGAAGGGTAGTATAGCCCTGGAGACTGCTGCGGGTAGTCCAAGATGGGCATTGACAGGCCCATCTGGTCCGGGAAATGCTGATAGGGGATGTCGAGGGAGAGCTGTGCCTTCATGTCAGACACCTCTGTGACCGGGGAGCCGTTCTCAGACTTGACTCTCCATACTGGACGAGGGGCACTGGTGACCAGATCCGGGTACGAGGAGACGGTCTGGGAGCCGTATCCCTCATTCAGGTGGTCCATCGACAGGTGAGCCAGGTCAGCGGTCCCATGGATGGTTCGGGAGCGAGGCAGTGGATATGGATGTGCCCGTTTGCTGGCATCCTTTTGCTTCTTGGAGGTGGTGATATGCGGTCTCTTGACGCCAGAGACAGTAGACCGTCTTGCTGCGACGGGGCCGGTCTCGGGCACGGTTTCGAGGTTCGAGTCTCGCTTGGACGCACAGGTGCAGCGGCCGCCATGTCCACAGCAGCAGTGCTTTCGGCCACCAGCCGTTTCTAAAATAAAGAAAACAAGCAACATCAGATCCTGGCGCCTCACGAGCGAAATGAAGAGTTCAAGGAAGAGCATACTCACTCTGGCCGTCAGCAGCGGTCCCGTTCAGCGGACACTCCGCCTTGCTGTGTGGTTTCTCGCCGCACTCGCACTTTGCGTGGCTTGTCCGGGCTTTGCGCAGGCCTCGACAGTGAGGACATTGCGACACCGGCCGCCCTTTCTTGTTGATATGGCTCAGGGGGCGATCTACAGGCGTAGGCAGGGCCATGTTAGCCGGCAAGAAGAAGAAGAAGAAGAAGAAGAAGTAGATGTAGTAGACGTCTGCTAGCTGGAGTTGGGTCTGGCTTACCCGAGTGGTTGCAGGTGCTAACGCGATGGCCCCGGATACAAGCATCGCACGCCCATTTCTCGCCGTCAATCAACATAGCCACCGAATTGGGCTGCTGCTCTGGTGTAGGAAGAGAGTAGTAGTAGTAGCAGAGAAGAAGCAGGCGGCTTGCAGGAGACAGCGGCAGAGGGCCAGTAGAGTAAGAGGAAGACGAGGGAGAGGGAGGAGGAGAGACAGGAGGCAGAGCTGGCGGATACGGAGGATCCCAGACAGACAGACAGAGAGACAGAGACGACAGTGATCATGAAATCCGGCAGTAGAGGCCCATAGTATCTCTCACACGACAGCCAGACAGGGAGACGAGAGACAGCAGAGGCGAGGGCAGAGGCGAGGGCAGAGAGGAGGGAGGACAGGTATAAGAGAAGTAGAAGTAGAAGCAAAGGCAGAGGCAAGGGCTATCTATAGAGGAGGCCGGGACGCTGACCGACGGTGCAGACGAAGAGAGGCGGCCGGCGAGGTAGACAGACACATCGAACTCGACTGGGCCAGACAGCGGGAGGGCGGGAGGGACGTCTATATATCCTGGGCCTCTTTGTGTGTCTCGACCGGCGGCGTCGCTCGATGTTGGCGGTGCTGGCGGTGCTGGCGGTGCTGGCGGTGCCTGGGAGGTTTGCTTTGCTTGCGATCGAGGTTGGCTGACTCGACTCGGCGGTTGGGTCGTTTTTCTCTGGCAGGAAAAAGCAACGACGAGTCGACAGCCGACCTCAGGCACAAGCAACGAGAAGAGCCAGAGCCAGCGCCAGACGCAGCGCCCAGCGAGAGACGAAACGGCAGCTTATCAGGGCCGGCGACGGGCTTTGCGGTCTGGGGGACAAAGAAGTCGAGCGTCGTGCTAAGTTTTCCGCCGGTGCTTGCGTGCAGAACTGAACTGCTCGATCCCTGGGCCGCTATTAGGTTTGCTCCAGGGAGTTATGGGGCCCTTTTCCAACGCAGAAGCAGAACCTAGAGAGGCGGACGCAGGATGGGCAGATGGGACAAGATGGGACAAGAAGGGACAAGAAGGGACAGGAGGGACAGGAGGGACAGGAGGGACAGGAGGGACAGGAGGGACAGGAGGGCACCCCGGTGCAGTCTGGATGCTACGGATGGATGGTGCTCGCCGGTCTTCTTGCCTGTCTCGCCCAAATCGAAAGCCAGGCAGGATTTAATTCATGGATACGGGAGATATTCGACCATCTCTGTCTGTGGTCTCCGTTGCTGGCTGTCTCACGGACCGAGCCTGGGTCAATGTCCCCTCCCGCAGCATGGGACAGGCTTCCTGCCGCTCTGCTGACATCCCATATCCCGCCTGGTTTACATACACGACTACGAAGTCTACACAGTTACGCACGCTATCCTCAACCAGAGAAAAGGAGGAAGAAGCAAATACGGACGGCAACGAAGCCAGCGGTAAAAGCAAAAATAATAATACTAGGCAAGCAAGCAAGCAGCAGCAGGACGAAGAGAGCAACCTCTCCACCTCAAGGCGAAATCAACAGCAAATCTGGATCTCTTGGCGATTCAGGGATGGATACGCTGCTCATTGGACTTCTCCCCCTCAGAAAGGATAACTATCTCGAAGGCAGCAGAAGCAATGGAAGAAGCAAAGAGCAAAAAGCACCAGAGACAAGAGACACAGAGGCCTGTCCTGTCCCCCTGCTCAGCGTCTCTCAGCATCCATCAGCATCAGCATCCCTCCCTCCCTGTCCGCGCTGTCCGGTCCTCATTGGATCAAGGCATGGGCTTTTGTGGACTGTGGATTCCAGAAGCCTTCCATGGGATTTCCGCTTTTGGCCGTAGCTAGGCCAGCTTCTTGGTTCCCAACGAAACAAAAAGCAAGCATAAAACAACAACATCGACCTTTTTATGCTTCGACATCAGGAAGGCATGGAGAAGGGGAGAAAAAAAAAAAAAAAGGCTTCTTGAACGTCATCGGGGATTTTTTTTTTTTTTTTTTGTTTTGGCCCTCCCAAGCCACCCACCACATCCATGCATGAGAAGGTACATCTTCCTTCCAACCCCCTTCCACCCCGCCTGGTTCCGATGTTGGGATTGCTTTCTTACGATGGGCATGGCGTATAATACTCTCTGGCTTCGTTTTTTGTGCTTGCTGGCCCCCTTTCGAAGAGGAAAAAGTGGAGGCATCTTGCGAACCTTCCTGAGAACCTTGAGCTATTTAAAAAGGTTGGAGGCTTTGCATCGTCTCTTGCCCTTGGGTCCTGGGGGAAGAGGATACAAGCCGATAGCCGCTTTAGGAGACTTCGATATCTGATCCATCGTCATCCGATTTTGTCTACACTAGAGAGGAGAGGTTCGAGATACCGTCTCCATTCTTCCGCTGAGAAGGGAACGAACCAGCACACAGCAATACTATACATAGTAGCACTGGAAGGACATACATATAGGCAACAGCTGCATAACTACTGCCAGCTCAGCCTCAAGAACAGCGCTAAAGGGTTGAAAGTGGACGTTCTAAGACTTACTCCATACTCGTGACGACCACTACGGCCTACACAACAATAACCGACCAACCGTCTTCTGCTGGCCATGGTTCGTTCCTGGGTGCCGTAAAGACGATTTGCGCTAGTATCACAACTACCATGCATCTTCCCCTCCCTTCTCGCACCGAGTCTTTCTCTCCAAGATGTCGAAGGCCCGGAAACAGGGCATGAAACTTTCATCCTGCCTGAGCCCCGTTTCCTCCGCTCCCTTCCCCCCTCCCCCCCCTACCCTGCCAGGCACTTTGCAATCCCACTATGCATTTTATGTGGATCCCCGGAGTATGCTTGTGACATTTCCCTGCACTTGCGCTCCGGCCATTGATATCTCATAAACTTTCTCTTCTTTCTTATCAATGGGAAGGTTCCCCGCCACGTTTGAGATGAGGGGGGGCAGTCTCCATCCATCCGCTTTGAAGAATTCTCCCAGACTCGTATTTCCTGATCGACAGCTCGTCTTTCGTCTTGATCCTTGCGCAGATTATCGCCAGGCTCTTCGGAATATGCTCCTTGGCATCGTCAAGTCATCTCTAGAGAAAGACAGAAGTATGAATCCTTGCAGTCCTAACCTCCATACTTCAAACTTTCAAACTCTCTACGTACATCATTCAAGTCCAACTGCCATTATATTTCCTTTTTTCTGTTTACCTTTTTCTTTTCAGACGAAGTCGCCTGCTGCCGAATGAAGACAGGCTGGCCGTCTTCCTAAGCTCCCGAATGTTGCGCACTGCATGCAAGCAATGGCTGGGATTACCAGAACTCCCCAGTTTAACAAGTTTACCATATGTCCGATCCCCAGATCCAAATTAACATTAACATCACTCCGCGATCTACATACGCATCGTCTTCTTTAAACACCTCAGCGCATCTCTCCTGCTGGCGCACGTCCTTTTCATGCTGACATTACTGTCCCTTCCGCCACTGGGGAATTACGGAGCAAAGCACAACTCACAGCAGCGGCCGGCCCTGATGAGTAGGCACAAGCCTCTTTCGTCACCACCCCCCTCCCCCGAGATGATCAATGCAAACCAGCTGACGAGGCATGGGGAGGGGTGAGATAGGTTGTTTTCACCTTAGCGCCCAAATTCTCCAAAAGATATCAACATCCCGTCGGTTGCACTAAAATTTTGCCCACTTCGGGGCCAAAAAGTTAACTAAACTCGTTCAACCTTGGATCAGAACTTGGCGTGGTCAAAAAGAACAATCAACATTTCGACTTTCTTCATCCAACTAAACTAGCTAGTTTTCAGATATCAGCCCGTCCGTACGGAGTACGTCTTGTCAAGAGAGATGACAGATGCTTGGCTTAGCCAAGCCACCCCTATGGAACATTCCACCATCCTTCTAGCTCTATACTAAAAACGGAACAAAGCCATCCTACAACTGAAGATGACCGCTATAAGCGACCCAATCAGCAACCCAATAAGGCTATCCGATTCCTCTTCGAAAAGCCACGGAATAGGAATGGTTCCAACCCTCCCTCAAAAAGCTACCCTTTCTTGCCCAACTAGCGCCGTTGTGGCTCCCATATGACTTTTACTATGGGGCACCGATGATAATGGCGTATGCCTTGTTGAACCTCTAGCTATGGAAAACATGCCATTTGCGTAACCTATGAGCTCGCCTAGCGGCACACCAACCGCGTTTCACTACATATGCAGATAATATCCTCCACGGGACAGCCAACAACAGCCCCGTAACACTGCGGCTTAGATGGGGAACACTATGTATATACCCAATCGCCATATCGCCGGGAACCATCGTCGTTTTTGTTGGTTACCCACACATCCTTCAGATAACTTCGGCTTATCACACCCTCAGACTAATAGACACCAGTGCCGAATATCTATCTATTTTTCTTTCTTTCTTTATCCCCCCCCCCTTTCCCCTTATGCTTTGCCTTTAATCGGGTATCGTTTCCGTGGATCTCTCCTCCTATGACTACCCCAGGTAAGGCTGATCCAACCCCTCAAATCAGTTAGCTTCTTCTACCGCAGAATTTGACACTCCAATGCCACACTTTGTTTAAAACAAGCCTTGTGGAGGCTTATCCTAATCCGGAAGCACTAGTCCCAAGCTATGGTCACCGACAATGCTCCTACTGCCTCTGTCTTCCTCTGCCACAGAACATCTTCCGATACCGGATATGATGGCGTTCTCCTTCGTCCTTAGCACCTATCACGCAAGAGACGTTAGAGTTCTTGCTCCCCTTACTGGCCCGGTCCACTTAGTGCCATTCATAGGATTGTTTCCCTGGTGTGATTGATCACTAGATTTGGCCCCGTCTATCTATTATTGCCGGAATACGTCTAGTCTGCTAGACTAGCATATCTGTGGCCGCTTCAGATCCCCTTGTGCTGACATGTTATGTTTACATTGGGGATATCACCTTGTTCCCTTCCAGCCCCTCTGACATCGCAGATGGTTACGGGGCAAGAAATGATCAAATAATGTGATTTGTCTTGAAAAAGGCCATGCTCCCTTGACCATGTGTTACTCTTGCATTCACCTAGTACGGAGAAATTCCCATGTGAATGCATAGGCACCACGATGCAAGAAGCCGCAGCAGGATAATAAAGATTGGCCTGTATCATATCATGCACTACTACAACGCTTATACATCGACCTATGAGGTGTTTTTTTTTTTTACCCTTTTCCTTGGCCATGATAAATGTTATCATCAAGTCATAGTCTTGACCTTGACGGAGGTATGGTATGATGGGCCTAAATTCTGCCTTGCCCCCATAGTATTTTCCCAAGTGAACTCCATCTCTCAGAACGGCTAATGCAGACGTCGTTATACCCACCCACCAAAGTCGGTTATACATGAATTGCGGCACAGCAAAGCTGTTTCATGTTCCTGAGATGGTTTACACTGTCCTGACTCGAACACATATCTAAATGCCTCATACTTCATGCATACCAAGGCCCATCATAGAAGTGGAATTCTTACAGATAGATGAAGTTTTCATGATCTGACCCACACACTCTCACACACAGTCTATAGCGAGACAGAGAAGCCTAGATAGAAAAATTGAGACAAACAGAAATATAGATACCCTAGCCGCCAACTCCACTTAGATCCAACTCTCCCAGTATGCTTATCTATACCCTCCTTGCTCTTCAAAGAAGATTAGCTAGTATTGCGGTGTTCGCCGTCTGCCTTTCTCAGGTGATTTTCATGCATGATCAGACGATGCATGGGGATCTTGCCCCTGGATTGCCTTATTCCTCATCCATGGTCTTGGAATGCAGTCAGACACCCCTGCTTAGGGTTGTGAGCCCAATACCACCAACCCAATCCCTGGTTTAGACTTCATTCAGTATTCCCGCAATTCTAATGGGATTCATCCAGATCAAGAGCAGGGAATCTGCCTGGCTTGAATATATCGCTATCTGCCGTCATGACACATAGAAATCGACCAAGTTGTACTTCGTCGTGCTTGCGTTTGTTTCAGACAGCACTCTATCGCGTATGTACGGTGGCAAAGAGTGATGGTCAATGAATGTCGAGTTTCTCTTCTAGGTATCCCGTCTGTAGCTCAGCGTCATGCCTATAGTATAGCAGAATAGCTTGATCCCGGATTTCAGTTGCCGACGAAATCGGTACTGGTGCCATATGTCCGCGGAGAGGATACACTCAAGGCGATTTCGAGGAGACAGATATGCTGGTGACCCATGGGTTTACCTGGTGAACTATTCCTCTATGCTGTTTGATATTCGGACTACTACTCTAGTAGTAGTAGTCAACCAGAGTGCACAAGCGAGATGCCTTGAAGATCTCCTGAATACCAAATCCATATCAAGAGACCGGGAAACAAAATACATATTCCAAGTAGCGGGTAACGATGCATGGTTACTGACTGAAGCTGTTCAATATCGTTATGTGGAACCTGTGAGGTTGACGTTGAAGTCGAAGTGTCTTCCGCTTTGGGATACAGATGGCGGGGAGAGAACTTCACTGCAAAACGGCCCAGCAACACCATCACTTACGGCTGAGATGATAGAGAATTTACCGAACAGATCAAGACAAGATAATGCGGGAAAAGTAGAGATCATCGCTGATTCCTATAGAAATATTCTGCTTGTCACAGCCAGGGAGAAGACAGCATGTCCTATTCCAACCCTCCCTCCACCGCACTTCATGACGGAACGCTGAACCTGCCAATCCTTAAGTTCTCGTACGCTATAACGTCTGCGAACCGTACCGCTCCGTTGGCATGGACACATCTATCTGGTGGCTCCGACCTGTCGGTCAGTTTCTCTGCTATACGTGTAAGAGACGAGACATCAAAGTGGACAAGGGAGGGCAAGCTGCTGAAGGTTTTGAAAGGGCATGAGGTGTTGGTATGTCCACCCGAATAAAGCTCGTGGGTGTGGCCGGAGGAATGGCTAATATGACTGGGTATGGCATGTGTGCAGGAGGAGCTTGATCTAGGATTCCTCGCACAGAGAGGAGCGTCGATATCAGCGGGAGATGCTAAGGCGCCAGTGGCTATAGTTGTGAAGACTCCATGTCTAGCTATACGATATCCGTCCATTGCTAATCAGGTATTTACACGGGCCATCTTTGATGTCGATTTTACAGTGCTAACTTTGCTAGACACGTCGATTCCAAGTGAAATTTGCCTCTGCAGCAGATTATAACCAAGCCATAGCTGTGCTGAAAGAAGCAAAATGTCCGATAACCGAGCCACCGTCATCAGCGATACAGGTGTCACCATATACGACTCCAGCACTAAGGACCGGGTATGCAGGGACGGACCCTCGTAATGTCCCGCCGACTCCAGAATCAATAATAACATCTTCGTGTTATTATACGGATGGATTGAGCACTCGACCGGCGTCATCAGCATTTGCAGAAACGCGGCCATCATCTATGGTAAGTACTCCCTCTTTCTGTAAAGTCTAGTTGAGGGTGAAATAACCGCGTAAATTAGGAGTCATCGATGACTCTCCCAAACCTACCTATGGCTCGCTCAAGCTCGGTAACGGCACAGTCGCACTGTCTAAAGTTGCCACAGACAAAGGCACAAGCAGAGGCAGAAGCAGAAGCAAAAGTACAGGCTGAATCAGCTCCTCGGCCATCAACAGCGCCAACATTCCTCACTTCGGACTCTATTAGCCAGCTTCTGCCGCCAAAGCGAGACCTGCCATTTGCAAAGACAAAGAAAAGGCTTGCTGGAAGATCTCCATCAGGGGTTCCTAGCCCCAAGAAAACAGGCAGAGTTGGCCAGGGAAGAGGTGGCCAGCATAATGCTTGCACAGCAGCTGCAGAGAATGTAGCCAGGACAGCACATACGTCAACGGCAGGACCGAGCGTACAACAAGCCAGCCACAGTCTGACGAGGGGCAAAGAAGGCGAGAAAGAAGGTGAATCTAGCCGTGACATTCCAATGCCCCTCCTTCCATCTCCGAGCATTTCGCCGCAGAAGGGAGGGAGCAAAGGGAGCAAACACGGGGTGAGAAAAGACACGATCACCATCACAGATGGCGCAGCACTAGGAGAGAAGGATATCGGCTGCTCCAAGAGCACAGGCCTCCTTCCATTTACCCGTGAAGATCTGTCGAGCTACGCTTCGCGCCCGAACGCCGAACGATCCGATCTGATCGAGTCGTGGGTATGCCAGCAATTACAAAACGACTCGTTCATAACACTCTGCCAGGACATGGAGGGAGTCTGGAAGCGGCTTGCATTTGGATTTTGATCCAAGCTGACTATGGCGGGAGGAACAAACTGGCTGGTTATGTCAGCCACCGCAGGTAACCGATGTCTTGATGACGAAAAATAGACCGTCAGTCGCAAATGAAGAGAATTGTGCTGCAGAGGGAGAAGATGAAGGAAGAAATGCAGAGGGAAAGCCAGCTTAACTTCCCGACCAACCGCTGACCCACTGTAAGAGGCAGGTTATATAGCTAACTAGGACTTAGCAGTTGTTGATTCTGAACAATTCTTTTTAGATGTCAATTCCGCGTAACTATTAAATACCCGCTTTCTGTTCCTCGGACACTGGTTTGTGGTCCAGTCCGCAACGCAGAAGGTAACACGTTAACTAATAATGCCTGATATATGGGAGAAGGACTACCACTGTAGAACGGAAGCTTGCCGAGACTTCTGGTTATGCACAGCGCACATACCTCTGACCAGGCCATTGAAGTGTGGAAAATCGAACTGTTTAGTGCCAAACACCACTCCTGTTAGGTTGAGAGCCGGTACCCTCCCGGCCCTTGGAAAAGGATGAGAGGATGACGGGCTAGGCCAGGGGCTCGGCCAGGGGCTCTCCCAATCGCGATGCGTCGGCCATTCCCATGTATCAGACGGGCACCGTTGGGCAGGCTGTGAAGAACGGAGATCCCTCTCCCGCTGTACATGCATACAGACAGGCAGCAGGTAGGCAGACATGGCGGCACCGTAGAGACATCCGTCCCTATCGACGAGATAGCTTATATTTAATGCTCCCGACCCATGTTTTGTTTTTTTACGTAACTTATCCCATCATCCGTCGCCCGTCGTCTGCTTGCTCGCTCGACGTCCGTCATTGACCCAGAACAATGGCTTTTGAGTCCAAGGGGTTTTCCGTGGCCGCGGGAAAGGAGAGCAGAAGTATCCGGGGCCAGCTGAGCTTCGGGATATTGACGAGGGCGACACGGGCTCAGCTTGTAGACGGAGCAGATGCAGGATGGTTGGCTTGTTGGACCAAGCTATGCCGTAGGACCGCTGTGCCTCCCGCGGCCAAATTATCCGAGCTGGCGAGGAGCTATCTACTAGCTCACCAACAGTTCGACTGTTGAGTAGCCTCGTCTGCCCGGCCAACGAGTTAGCTATGTCGTGACTGCTGGCTCCGGACAGGCATGCGCGCTGCTGTTTATATCTTGATACCGGCCTTGATTGTCGACGGCGCTTCTTATGACGTGCCCAAAGTGGAAGTACCAGGTACTCGCCGTTAGCGTGGCAGGCCTGCTTAGTCAGAAGTACTAGCTACTTAGAGCGGGGTTGACACGTGCCATCATGTGACTTGACTGCTCCCGTCTTCTCGCAGGGTAGCGACTCCGCGGTTTGGCCCTTTTGCCTCGAGATGTAGAGCCATCGCCAGCTTCATCTGCTACGCCTGCGAGTGACGGGAGATAGCAGTGTTCTTCCCTGGCCGTTGTGCTGTCGTGTTGTGCGGCCAATGGGCAACTAACCACAAGCTGCCGTGACGGAGTATCGCCTCGCCTAGCTAGCTATCTATACATAGATACCTACCTAATTTACCCCAACAACACCAGCCTCCACTTTGCCGGCTGATATATACACCTGCGTGTATATATACTGCGCCCAAGGACGTACCTCCAGCCCCCCCCTCACCCTCTACAGCAGAAGTCTCGTCACAGCTATAGCCATGGCCTCTCCTCTCAAGGGAACGGCAACCTCTGCAGCAGCCAAAGCAGCCACAGAGACGAAAGCAGCCATGTCCTCGCCCTCGTCTTCCTCCACATCCTCCTTCCGCAACTCTCCCTTCGTCCGGGCTGCTCTCCCTTTCTTCAATGGTGGTGTAGCTGGGATGACGGCCACAGCGTGTATCCAGCCTATCGACATGATCAAGGTCCGCCTCCAGCTCGCGGGAGAGGGCGTTAAGGCCGGTCCAAAGCCCAGTGCCATAGGCGTTGCCCGCGAGATCATTACCTCGGGCCGTGTGCTAGATCTTTACACGGGTCTTTCAGCCGGCTTGCTCCGCCAGGCCGTCTATACCACCGCTCGTCTGGGTTTCTTCGACACTTTCATGGGCATACTGAACGGGCGAGCCGCCTCCAGGAGAGAGAAGGTAACCTTCGTCCAGCGTGCAGCAGCGGGTCTCTCCGCCGGTGGTCTTGCTGCCATGATAGGCAATCCAGCCGACCTTGCCCTCATCCGTATGCAGTCCGATGGGCTTAAGCCCGCTGCTTCTCGTGCAAATTATACCTCCGTCGTCGATGCGTTGGTGCGTATTTCGCGAACTGAAGGCATCTCGGCCCTATGGGCAGGAGCCTTCCCAACCGTTGTTCGAGCCATGGCCCTGAACTCTGGCCAGCTCACTTTTTTCTCGGAGGCCAAGTCACAGCTGCAGACTCACACCAATCTCTCGGCGCAGAACAGGACGTTTGCGGCATCTGCCATTGCCGGTTTCTTTGCCAGTTTCATGTCTCTTCCCTTCGACTTTGTGAAGACCAGACTGCAGAAGCAAACCAAGGATCCAAAGACTGGTGTCCTGCCATACAAGGGGGTATTCGATTGTGCTGCGAAGGTCATTCGTGAAGAGGGCTGGCTGAGGTTCTACCGCGGCTTCGGAACATATTATGTTCGCATTGCTCCACATGCGTGAGTCTCCTTTCCTTTTGACACATATATAGTCGTCTTAATAACGTTGAATCAGCATGATAACACTCATCGTCGTCGACTACCTTAACCTGATTACTTGATGTTGTTCGATTAAAGAATTTGAACTGCTAGTGAGTGACAAGTATCCACTTCAGCCCTTATGTAAGATGAAGCTCTCCACCGGTTCATGCATGGAAGATCCAACACCCAACAACAACAACAACAACAACAACAACAACAACACTCAAGGAACATCATCAATCAGCGTTTATATACGGATACTAGCAACATTGTTACAAGGAATGAATCTGTGGGAGCTTCCATTCCTGGGGAGGAGGGGAAGAAGAAGTAGGAGGAGAAGTAATGAAGAACAGATGTGGGAAGGGAAGCATGCACACCTACCTGCATTAGCCTGACTTCGAAGACCAATTATATACTTATTTTGAACCACGAAGTCAGGGAGCTCATGGCATTCTTATGATCTAAAGAATCACGAAAGAGGAGGATTGCTGTTCTCGGTTGTATTTGCTTTCATTATTTTCACATTGAGTCTGCATTCGTTATTCATGGATTTTAGTACCCCGGATCCGGGTATAACATCACTTATCGTCGTTAAGTCTTTTCAATTGCTAGTCAGTTTCGTTTTTATCTATAACTATATCCCAACTAATTAAGATCACTTTTTTAAAAAACTTTCACTACTCCATCTGTGTATCGGGGATACGGGATGGCGACCTTGTTCTCTCGCTCTTTACAACAACCCGTCTTCCCACGTTCGCTGCCTTGCTCCTCCTCATCAAGACATTGTCATCTTCATCCATTTCAACATCCTCGCCTTCACCACCTTCTTCATCGTTGTTCTCTTCCGCTTCCGCTGCAGCCATGCGTATGGCCTTCTTCACCCGTCGTATCAATACAGGATCTCTCTTTAGATCATGCCTTGTAATCAAAACATTGCAGACAGGACACTTGACGCATCGCATATTTCGCCCCCGAGAACTGTCATTAGGTAGGGGAACAAAGGTGTTCTGACGACTTCGGTTTAACATACTCTCGATAGCAGATCGTTCGAAGCTGTGCGGGCATTTGGTGCTGCTAACTGGCTCATCGAAAGGTCGTAGAGTAAGTGGACAAGTTATTGAGAACTTCTCAGATTTGATCATAACTTCATCATCTGAAGAAGCATCCTGTGTGTCCCCTTGGGTGCTTTCTTCTTCCTCTCCTCCTTCTCCACCCTCTCCCTCTTCTTCATCATCTTCACCATGTTCATTATTGTCGTCTTCTTCTTCACTCTCGTTATTGCTTTCATCACCCGAAGATGAAGGTTGCAGGCCCTCATCATCAACACCATCCTCCTCCATAGCACCCTCGGCGGTTTGAGCAAGTTTGGATCGCCTTTTCTTGCGCCTTTTACTTTGACTGTTAGACTCTCGTGACGCATCCAAAGATCGAAACCAGGTAGATGGATGAGGCAATGGGGGAATATCCATTGCAGAGTGCTTTGACTCGTGAAGAACACGATAGAATTGCTTGTAGCTGTTGTTGGTCCCGTATCTAACAGCATGTTAACACATATATAAGGCATATTTGCAAAAATATAGAACTCATCAGTACCTTTGCGCAAGGGAGAGTGACTCCCATTCCCTTTTCTTATCGGCTAGCCCATCCGCAATCGTGCGTGATGCCGGTATAACCTCCACTTCAACAAGTGGCTCGGTTTCTTCGTCCTGTTCATCAGAATCCGCATCACTGTCTTCTTGGTCTCGGTTGCGTCTTGCCCGTCGAGCTCTAGGCTGAGAATTTGTCGGTACTTCCGCAGAATTCTGTGCCAGTATGGTCGAAAGAAGGTCAAGCATTTTATCCGCTTGTACCTCCGTGTCAATAAGACTCCGCATGCCGCCTTCCAATCTCTCCGTGGTATTCTTAACCAGCTGCTCAAACCGTGCCAGTTTTTCCTCTCTCCGCGCAAAATTTTCTGCTTCTAGTTGATGCTCAGCACGTTTGTCATTTCCATCACCAGGTTCGTTATCATTTTCCTCCACCGCCTCTCTTTGGCGCCTTTCCTCTCTCTCCCGCCTCCGCCGCTTCAATTTCTCCAGACGACCCTTGGCCTCTGTGAGCCTGTCATTAGTATCCCCAACAGAGTCTGATAGCGCTCCCGTAGCATGACTTAAATGGATCTTCAAATGGCGCGTATGAAAGGATTTAATCACTGTGTCGACCTTGCGCTTTGCGTTCGCTGTAAGCGGTGCTATTTGGGGTTCGTATGGAGGGAGCTCAAGAGGTGTACCCATAGCTTCCGGTGTGCTAGCCCGCTGCGTAGTACGGGGCATTTCAGTAGATTCAGATAGTGAATATCGCAAGAGACGTGTGTTGGTTCAGTCATTCGAAGTGTTGGATTGAGCGTCGGCGCCAGTTAACTATTTGATGGAGAAAGATAGATTAAAATCTGATAAGAGCGCGACGCGAAGGCGCTAGTCCCGATATAGTAGTTAAATTATTGCTTCTTATTGTCTTCTAGAACTTGATACACAAAATGATAGTAGATGGTTGCTTAGAGTTATATTATCAATCCAAGAGTGACTGCTGCAAACACTCAAGATCGATGTTAGACAGTATACAGATATCTCCTAGAGCCAGCAGTTACACCTTGTAGAAGCAAAACGCATGGTATAGACCTGGGCGAGGGTGTTAGCAGAGGATCCAAGACAGAATGGAGTACAACAAACATACTCGCTGCTTCTAGTTCATCATCATTCACTAGCATGGAGCCATCATTTCTAGATCGAACGCCCATACGTTCACTCAGTGGCCCTAGGACAGGATCGTCCTTTTCTTCTCGCCATATATCCAAGAAGGGTTTTCGGTATTGAAGCTCCAGGTTGTAATCTTCGGTTAGTCTGCACTAGTGTATGAGTAAGAATGAAATTTGAAATGTGTAGGGGAGAACCTACGCTCGGAATGCCTCCCATGGCACAACGTATTCGGGGATTTCCTCGACCGCCTCCTCCATAAAGTAGAAATACTTCCAGCCGAATGCAGGACGGAAAACTCCGTCCTCTGGAGTCTTTCCTGGAAATTTCACACGGTAGATGCTGTTCCCCCATTCAACCACATCCGTACTATCCTCTACCTCCCCATCCTCCGGCTCCTCAGTCGCTTTCTTCTTCACGTCTTCTTCCTTTTGTTTGCGCTTTTTATGAGCCTCCACAACTTTTGCGCTAATTACGTCTGAGTTAGGACCGACCCCAATGAATCGACCTCCCTTTTTGAGTAATCCAGCCACATTTTTAAGCATCTGTCTGGTCTTGACCTCGTTTTCAAAAGCGTAATGCATCGTGAACATCGACACTACAACGTCGAACCCCCCTCCACCCCAGCGAGAGCTCATCATTGAACCTCCAGGGCCAACGGACTCATCAATTCCAACTCGTTGGATTATAGGGACATCCGCAAGTGATTCGCCGAAGCAATCTTTTGGTGTAAATTGAGCGTGAAAGATCAGGTTTCCTCGGCGTCCCCGACCTCGTTGATTCTTCATTTGCATGTATCGTTCCCGCGCCTGATCAAGGGAGATCTCTGCCGGGTCCAGGCCAACATAAAGCTCCACAGGTTGAGGTGCCTGTTGCCATTTACCAAGGTCACCACCTTTGCCACATCCGAGGTCAACAATCAAGAGAGGTTTCTCTTCGTCTGGCGCTACAGAAGCGGAACCAGCCAAATCCCTGTCATTATGCCTGGCTAAGAAGTCTTCACTTGGGGAAAATTTCTGGATAAGTGAGCTTTTGATCCAGTTGTTGAAGCTACGGAGACCCTTGATCTTGCTCTCTGTTTTCCGCCATTCTCGCCCACGTTCAGGGACAGCATTATAATGCTGCCTCACCACATCATGAACCCCACGAGCATGTGCAACTTGTTCAGCTTCAGCTTGCTGTTGGCGGTCTCTTTCCTCTTGCCTTCTCCTAAGAGCTTCCATGTTTGCGGTGTTTATCCTTGCACCTCCACCGGGCCTCTTGCGCTGTCGAACTGGCGCATCGGGGGAGGGAGTGCGCCTAATCGGCGAAGGGGATCGTCTCGTTTCAGGTACGGGGACATCGCGGCGAGAATAAGCAGATGGCGGTGTCTTTCCTCGTTTTCTATTCCTTTGTAGACGTTCTTCCTGTCTCCGTCGTTTAGAGCGCGGTTGATGCTCCTGTTGTTTCGCCTTGTCTTGCTGTTGTTCGCTCTCAGTGAGCTTTCTTTTCTTCTCATTTGGGCTCTGGGCATTCTGGGTATTCCGGTTACCCTCTACCACGTCCCCGTGGGTTTCAATTGTCAAAGGAGTAGATCCATCCGTTTCTTTAACTTGGATTTGTGGTGGCTCTGAGGTAGCCGGGGGAGAGGACTTCCCGTTAGCTTCTATGGTTGGAGCTTCCATTGGCGTGGTGCTAGCTTGCGATGTGGATGACTATAGCCCCAGCCACAGAATGTCTTTTCTTCGCTAAGGATGTATGAATTCAGACCTTACAATGGGATCTGTTCACTATGAATAGCTTGTAGCTCTATCTGAGATATGCTAGAGTTGGACGGTTGAAGTGAGGAAAGAACCGCAAACTTGGTCGCAAAACTTGAAGTTTAAAATAGCCGCGGATCATAGTTATGCGCCGGCTGCGCGTCTATCGCGTCTAATATTATCCATCAATTTGGGAATCTCGGTAATGAATGCCCAGGATACGTTAATCGCTTTCAGAGTGAACTACAAGGGGATTTGGCATATAATTTATATTATGGTAAATAATGAATTATATCATAGCTTGAAATTTACTTTAGTTTTGTCTTTTTAGTTCCCTTTGGCTGAAGGACCTGGCGGACGCGCAAAAGCTTCGCCCACCACTCCCTGTCTTTGGTCTTTCTGGTCTCCTCATCTAGTAACTCAGGAATGTTTTCTGTTTCACTTGAAGAGGTTTTTTCAGCTTGCAGTGGCTTATTTTTAGACCACATATACCGTCGATGTTCGCTTTCCATCACACGGCCTAGGGCTTCCCAGCCGCATTGCCCAGACTTGTTTCCGCTCTGGGATCCAGGGTTTATCCAAGGGCAATAGTCCAGATGTTCACCAACAACATTTAATTCGGAGTAGAGAGAATCCCTTCCATCTTCTCTTGGCGTATACATCCATAGTCCCAACCGCCTGAAACACGCCTTACAGCCAGCCAAGCCAGCGTTTGCTTCGCCAGCGATATCCCATCCGAAGAACGCAAGAGCAAATGCGGCCTTGTTAAGAGCTAGTAATGTGTTTTCCGAGGAACCTTCTGTATCACTACTTGGCACAGTATTCGCTGGGTCACTTATTTCCGCGCGACCATCAAGGATTCCGGGTGGCAGGAAGGCCAGCGTTGATTCTAAGTTAAACTTCTCAGGCAAGATAAGAACATCTATTGGTGGAAGTCTAATACCGGCTGACACGAGGTTTTTATATCGTGTCTGGAAATTCCGCAATGTCGTCTCTGCGTTAGTTAATGGTAAACGATGTATCGAGTCTATGATTATGTTAGTAAGACCCTAATAAAATAAATGCTCATGTCGAGGCGTAATACCATCACAACCAGAGTTCCTCCAAGGGCATTTTTCAGCATGCCCTTCAGCAATTAGATTTTGATATTTGAGGACCAATTGGGCTCCTACATTTGCGACCATTAGTAAAAGTGAGGCTAATTCAAATCGGTTATACTTAGAAGCACATACGAAGTTCTCTCCGGTCTGCTATCTTTTCACTGTCGTATTCTTCCAACTCATCTATATCGTCGGGTAACTTAACAACAACAGAATGGCCACACCCGCCAACGCACTCCACTCGGTTCTTATCGGTGCATGACCATCCTCGCTTTGCCCATTGGACTTCATTTATAGTGTCTGGCTGCGGCTTCCACCGTTCAACGTTGCGAAACGTTTCCAGTCGTTCCAAAAATCGCTCGCGGTCCCAGGGTACAAAGCTAGGTCGTAAAGATGCGGTTGAAGGCGTCGAATGCCGGGAAATTGCTTTTCCTGAGAGTAGAACGGGTGAATCGTCGGAATTATCACCTCCTGATAATCGAACGCGTTTTATTGAAGGGTTTATTTGTGCTGTTCCGTCAAACATGAGCTTGTCGCCTGATGAGGATTGCTGTGCTGACGTCGGTTTCTGAGAGGCTCCGAGGGAGATGGAGTCGAGGACACGGTGAAACTTTCGTTTCTTTGAAGCCAGAGCATATGACATTTTCGTATTCTCGTTGTTTCTCTGGAGTTGAGTGAGGTCTGCACCTTACACTGCTGTCCATAGGAATCGCCAAAGCAACAAGGCATGATTACATAATAAGGTTTACTAACTAGTTAACTATTCTCCATTAAGTAATCAGTCTAATTGAACATCAAACCTCCTGTTAAAGTTGGTTGAGCCATAAAGAGCACAACTTCCAATAACCATTTATATCTTCTCAATTACCTACTTACAAGGGGTCTAAGTTGATACCACCGATATATGTAATACCACAAGATCAGATATGGAAGTCGACCTTGTCAATTATGAGAATTCCTCCGATGGATACCCAGATACCCATCCAACTGGAACTACAGAATACTGGAATTCCGATGAACTGACCTCTGCTGAAGGTGTAAAGACTTCATTTCCTAAAGCAGATGATATAATGAAACGTAATTTGCCATATCATTGCGCCTTCGATAAGAAAACCACCATGGCCATCTCGCCAAGGGATACGAACGTATATGCTATTCCAGCGGATACATATATATCCCCTCAAAATGCATCACCTGAGTCACACTCATCTCACCCAGGTCTCGGCGGGAGGGAAGAGTTTGTATCTTCTGATATACTTGTAGAAGATAAATTTACTGTAAGGCCACCATCACCCACTCATGTTTCTTTTGGTTTAGTTTTTTTGACTCTCTGCGATCTTTTACCTTCCTGTCTTTATTTTCATACCAAAATACTTTTAGTCTGATTGAGTCTTGACTCTAGAGCCCTATAAATGATGATACTTGGCCAGACCATGAAGCCAGGCCTTCTGAACTCACTTCAGCCAATAACAATATGAAGTGTAGAAAAGAACCTCTGTCAGTGGCGTCCTGTAATAACCATTCAACCAACATTATCAAACCAATTTATAGACATACTAACCATATTCTTGGAATTGACGATCATAACAGGACCCCGGGGACTCGTTCGTTTCGCGAAATTAAGAATACATATACACACGGAGCTTCTACATCGAATCAAACTTTTGAGGATGTCAACATTTCTTTACATATCGACCCTGGTTTTGGGAAAACCAGCACGTACAATAGGTCCACTGTAAATAAATATCATCACAGCCATAGATCAAAGGTATGTCAAGGCAATATAATTTTTTTTTTTTTTTTCTAATGAGTGATCTATGTAAAGCATACTGATCCCCAACCCGATGGTTTCTAGTCTACTAACCTTGATCCGTTTATTCGCCGCACATTTCCTTCTCATGTAATAGAGCCATCTGCAGTTCAAGGGTTGAGCTCAGACCAGATTTTCCTTCGAACACATTTTCGCATTGGTGAAGCCCTTGCTTTCCATAATACCCCAGTTACCAGAAATGAGAAGCCCGTGCCCGGAACTACCTTGGTGGAGCTTTATGCACTTGTGACCGAATCTTACCGCAGCGGACCTCTCCAAAAATTTACCTTCTCGGATATATTCTTCCCTACATACCCTCCCCAGCTAGTGGGAGAATGGAGCGGATGGCAACATAGTAGCTATCTCAATCAGGTGGGTAGATACTTTTTGACTGACTGCGAGACTAACCGCATTCATGTCCATGGCGAAAATTTTAATTCTAGACAGGGTTTACCGAGCCACAGAGCGGAGTCGCCCAAAATGTGTAGAGTTGTCGGCATACTCTCGCAAGACAATAACTCACATTTGAGAATCAAGCCTCCTAGACAACACATTGCAAACTCTCGCCAATTAGGAGACAAAAAGCTAAGGATACTACGTATTCAGAAGGCCGATTGGTCAGACATCCAGATGATGAAGGAAACTCTGAACATCTAAGAAATAATGTATCCAATGCCAGCGCGGTATTTTTTCAATCACTTATCTTCATTTAGCATGAATGCTTACCCAACCATCATTCGCGGCTATATACGCTAATATCACATCATTGAAGGGAAATTAATTGTAGCTAGAGAGCAACGAATAGTTTTAGAATATGCTGACCAGGTTGTGCCAAAATGAATAATCAAATTATGACAACATATTTCATCTCAATAGTGAAGCTATTTATTTTATTTTGAGTGCGGATAGCTTCGAAGATATGGTTAGATTTATCTAGTGAAGGTAACACTTCTAGTTAAACTATATTATACTGAATATTTGAAGCCGGCTGAAACAAAATATACATACATAAAGAGTCATAAGACAAGATACCTTGTACACTAGAATAGCCCAACCCTCGACTTCCAGCACCAGAAGGGAATCAAATAACATGTTATAATTATTGGTGTCATAGGTCGATCAAGCAATTATTATATGGCAAGCTAGAATTCACTCCAGCTTGACAGTTATCTGACACGCGATGGGCGTGGTTCAGCTGGTTGCGGCCGCTTATATTTTCTCGGATCTAAACATAGGAGAATTATTAGTTCTCTGCATAATCATTTTTATGGTAACGGAAGATGATTCCTCCAGAATAGCCACCTACCTTTCCTGTTCATCAACTGCTTGTTTCTAGTACCTTTGCCTCCCTCCCAAAAGCCAGTAGAAGTTTTACCAACAAGCAAAGATCTGCATAGGCCGCAATTCTCCGGCCGATACAATTGCTCACGAGAGCAGAAACCGCTACATTGACGAAAACATAAATATTTAGCAGAGATCACTGGCAAAGGTGAAATCAAAATTTCATCGTGCTGTAGATAACAGGGGCAATGTATACCAGATCATTCGATTCGCATGTTCGTTCGGATGGTCGGATGAAGCGTCATGGCACCTTGGCGAAAGCAATTAGAAAGTGTTATTTGAACATGTAAACCATGCTCTTTAGTCATATAGAAATAATTACCTATCACACGGAAACACTCTTGAACAGCAACTAAACCTATAATACCACAGTGTCAGGAACAATTTTCACAGCCAACTAGGTATAAAAAGTACTAAACGGATGTAGATCTTGGTAATAAGATCGGGATACTTAGAAACTCACCTAAACCACCTATAACTCTTACTATAATGAGTACACGCTCCTCGACGAGGTAGCTCACTTCCAGAAGTAATTCCCAACAGTTCATTCCGCTACAAGGAGGGAATAAAAAAGAAAGTGTCAGTATACCAGCATACCAGCGGTTCAGTGTGTTCAACCTTCAATCTAGTTCTTGTGTGTGGTGGGGAAAAACTAAGAACAAGAAGGAGAAGGAGAAGGGGAGAGGGAAGGAGAGTCTCAAGCAGCATCTTGACCTCAGAATAATAAATAAGGGTAAAATTTTGGCTTGCGGGCCGGTCACGAACCTTTTTGTGTTGTCGACCTGGGCGTAAAATATCTAAAATTGATAAATGTTAGCGTTCCGAAACTATGGTTAGAGGCCAAAGGGAAGACACGCGAAAAAAGTCACAGATCATAATTAACTGATTTCAAAAGATGACAACAAATAAAATAGAAATTGAATGTTTAACTTGGCATACAAAATTGAGACTAGGCAAAAATGCAACCCTGGGAAAGTAAATCTTCCCCGTCAGACCTTCAGAAAAGATCAACAAGATGACCTGCAGTTGAGGGTTATCCATGCCCAGAAATTTGCCTCTCAGAGACTTGGTATGAGGGCGTGCATAGCAGGCTAATATGAGATGAAGCACAATCAGGGGTTGAAATCAGGCCAGTAGTAGGGTATGCATGTTGAAGACGGAATAAATAAAGATCAGAACACCATCTGACTTACCTTGAACATCACCGACGAGTAAAAATTTAATATCAGGAAGTTTAAAACCTATCATTCAACACCCCGATTCGTAAGTTGTCAACAGACCAATATTTCTGATCAATAGGAGCTCCCGTCTATGGCGGGCAGAGACTAGATTGGACAATAAGTGCATTTCATCGTAATACAGGACGTACTCATCTTCTGGTGACAGGCGCGGCAAAATGTCAGGGAGGCATCTCCTTGGAAGGCTGTGACGCCCGGTGCTGGATATGTGGTGGAACATTTCGAACAGGTCGGGGTGAAATTGCTAAGCGTATGGGTTAGCCAGGCTCCATCCAAGTCCCACAGGCCTATGATGGTTTTGTATGACGTATGAGGGAGGAGGGGATTTAACGGGCCGTAGCCTTCACTTCTCCCTTCTCCTCACAAAGGTAGGATATTTCTTTTCTTACCTTGGAAGTAGGTCGGCAGAAGTGCATCCTTCGAGGGTTAATGTGCCCGCACGGCTCGATCCGTTATGCATGAGCTCACGGTAAAAGCCTAGGAGATATTGCAGCATTAGTAAAGGAGATATATGAAAGAAAACACTAAGACAGGCCAAAACTGAGAGGAGTGCAGCAGCGAATGCCACTTTTGACCTCATAGTCATAGCCCCTTGAAATTTTGCTTACCTACACTGAGTCGATTTGAACATTTTCGACAGCTTTCAACCCTATAATGAGGGGTACTGTGGCCATCTTCCCCGATTTTTATATTCTTCATGTCTTGTAATTGCTTGCACCGGACACATCGAAGAGTTAGGGACAAACTCTTTAACTCAAGTAATTCAACCCCTTGAAGTTCAAGTGCCGGGCACGATATTAAGACCTTGCGGCCACTCCCCAAATGCGCATGGTTTTCTGCAGTTGGGTCATCATTACCTTCATCACTGTCAGTTTCATCTGGGGATTCCCACTCAGGAGGCCTAGGGATAACTTGAATATGTGATTTGCCTTCCGAGTTTTGGGCCTTTGCGTTAACAGTAGTTAATTGGGATGCTTTTACGAGCGGCGATGGTGGCGACCACTTGTCATGAGGCTGTTCTTCCAAGGATAATGCACTTAATTCCTCATGAAGATCTACCTCTTGTTCAACGGGTTCTTGGTATGACATTTTGTGCACCATTGCAGCGAGGTAGTTAATATGAGCGGTTAGACTGATTCCCGGACTATCCATGGAATGCTGATAGAATGCCTGTTCCGTCACTCGGGCAGAGCTGCCATTAATGTCAGGAATCTTGATTCGACATGGCTCTCCGGGGTAATTTGACGGCACTATCAAGATTACGCTTTTTATATTGCGGAGGGCATTTGGTAGCTGCATCGGTTGAAACGGTTTGATAGCAATCGTAAAACTGACCTGGTCCGAATGTGCTAGGAATAAAGGATGTTTACCCAGACGAGATTTTAGCTGTCCAACCTCTTTCAGTCTTCTCTGAGGATCTCCTGTTTCTGATACTCTGGCTGCCCTCTTGTTTTTCTGGTTATCGGAAGGAGCCTTGTATTCGAAACCCATAGTAGAGCGTAATCTTTCCGCGGATAGGGGATCATATGTCTCCGGAACAGGAGCAGCAGAAAGAAGATTTGCAAGATGCCTGTCGAGGGCATTCATGGAATGCAATAGGTTACCAGACTTGGCATCTTTCGACACTTGCTTGAACTTTCGTTCCACAAGCTTTCTCTTACTTGCGTCTAGATTTCCGTTGCTCACTTCAAGAGAAGGCTCGCCATAGGCTGGATAGGTCGCAGGAATTCTTAAAATACAGTCTAGGCCGGTAAGATCGTAGGAAAAGTCCGGGTCCGATGGCTTCATAGTGAACGTCAGATGAGTGGCATGAGCGTCATGGCGCTCCTTCGGGCTGAACCTACGGCGGATTTGATTAATTTGAAACTCCCTCGGGTTCTCCATTTCCGCACGTGATACAGGTTTCTGAACAAAGTGAGCGCCTTCAGAAGCGGCTGTTGGTCGTTGGTTGCTTAGAGGTAGTCCAAATAACTGCCTTGTGAGCCCCTTTTCTTCTTTGAATTTGGGCGGACTGCTCTCACTCGGGATAAAATCCGTTTCACAAGGGTCATTTCGCCCTTGATCGGGTATTTCCGATTCTTGCTGAAAAGTTCCGGGAAGCGGAGTAAAGTTGACGGTGCCAGGAATACCGTTAGCGGCAGCTTAGTGAACAGTCAGTATCTTAGGGTAAATCGTAGAAGTATAGTAAGACGCCGATTAAAACATTGCAAGGTGGAAAAGAAGCCTAAACCAGGATACAAACAAGCAAGTGATTATACAACTGAATATGCTTCTGACAGACAATTTATCTCGAGCATAGAAAGCTCCACAAATGCGCGACATGCGGTGTTGTGATACAATTACCCTGTGGCACATGTCCGGGGGCGGTTTAGAAATAATCGAACGGTAGAGCTGCAATGACCAAAGGAGGTAAATGTAATTGCAAAACCGTGTCAAGGAAATACCAAATACCAAATGGGTTAAAAACTAACATGGCTGGCTGTTCTCCTTTGATTTATGAAATCAAAAAAAAAAAAAAAAAAAAAAAAAAAAAAAAAAAAAAAAAAAAAAAAAAAAAACTAACGGAATTAACGGTGGTTAGGTTGCCTACCTTCAAACTGACAGGGAATGGCAGCTACATTTCTGCAAGAATGCTCTGGCGGTGCTCGAAGACGTACTGGTGGATCCTCGCCTAAAGAATGAAATCTTATAAGCAGGTCTTCGTTAAAGGCAACACTGAAGTTATACTGCTTGACGCACACTGGCGTGCATATGAGCGCTCAACCAGCTTTTCGGGATCCAAGAGTAATGATGCATATTTTTTTCCCCATGGTAGGTTAAAATGCAATATGTATGCAAGATGGTAAAGCGACCAATATGTGAGGCCAAGGAATTGAGGAATTTCATCAGAGCCATATAACCAGGTCTTAAAGGCTTATAGATCAAGTATAGGCCCAGAGGCAGGGGATGACGATGCAGTATGTTTACACGGCATCGTTGTGTTTGTGCTCAACAACTGTCGCTTCGACGTGTGGCTGTAAGGCTCAAATGGGTATATGGATGTCAACTGACTGGCTTACCATGTATACCTGCCATTGCAACACACTGAGAAATCAACCGAGTCTCCGGAAATGGGGTTGTTGGGATATTGATAGACGAGAGGTAACTACTTGTTACTTGGCGAGGTTCCCGTATTCCTAAGTTGCAAGGCTTGAAGTCAAGAGAACTTCGTCACTTCGACACAGGAGCTAAGTGCCAGCAGAGCTTCGAATACAGAACTTCTTGAATATTCAAGGGAAAATGAATAGAAGGGGGGAAACAAGCAAGAAGTTCTGCAGTCCAGCACACAGCTGCAAGGTCCGTGACCTGCATTAAGTAACTATATCAGCCCGACGAACGCGGTTGAAACGAGGCTTCGTGGACATCGAAATAGTTATGTGGAACTTAACTGCTTTTCGCTAACGCAGAGCATACAATTCACATACTTTCAGTGTAACTTTGTACCAGTACTCAGAGTAGAAGTATTGATGTCAGCGCCAGCCAGCATGCGTTGTCCATCGCCATGCAGGTCATCCGGTGACCTTGAGAAACGGGCGAACGGAGAGCGACAGCGCAGAAGGGCAGTGAAGAGGCAACAGAATTGTATCAGCAAAGCGGAGAATTGGATAACGGGCCCCGAGGCTTGTGACGTGCTCTTTTGAGTTTGATGCTCTAAATGTTGGAGAGAAGACAAGGAAAAGGGAGAAGATGATGTCGGCTTGTGAGTCAAAATAAGTCTTGGTGAGCCGCATGCAAGCACGTGAGCAAGCTAACGAAATTAAGGAGTTACGACAGGAACCAGACCAGTACCTCAACTGTCGACGGGAGGGCTAGTAACTTGTCGCGAGAGCTATCATACGGAATTCTGAGCGCTGAGAGTAAAAATGATCTGTTATTTTGGGCGCATTGGGCGAAAAGGGGTGAGTTCTTTTGGCCCTGTCAGTTGACCAGGAGGAAGAAGGACCTTGCACGATCGACGGACCCGGTCAAGTCAGCTCTCTGCTCCGTCAATCCACAAGCGCTGGTTTTGCGAAACCAGAACTCAGCTCAGGCAAGTAAGTAGCTAGCTGACACAAAGCCCCCCCTATTGCTACAGTTTCGTTTACCGGGCACTCAAGGTACAGATATGTGTGGATATATATAGCTCAAGGAGCTGTAACTTGCAATCTGTCATAAAGCTGTTCGATGAAGTTGTTTCCAGAGGTATGCAGGGCTTGACGCTATGGATATTCTGTCTCAACAAATACTGAGAAAAAACAAGATACGCATGCGCCAGAAAATCGGTTATCTAGAGTCTAAATGGTGTATATACTATATAACTTATACTTTGGTTCCGCTCACGAAGGGTTTGTTAACTCTGTCTAGACATCTAGACTGTGAAGTATCAAAGAACAAACAGCATGGGGTTTTTTCGTTGGAAAGCTCTGTAGAAAAAGACCATTTATCCACTAGGAGTAGCACTTACTTGAGCCCATGAACATGTGAGGGGTTGGTATATAAATTATTCCATAGCTGGAGAAGAAATCTGTCCTTATTGGAGTCCAAGCCCAAAAATTACTCTAACTTGGTTTAAGTCTATGGTATGTATATTCAATCCCATTAAAGTATGCAGATAACTCGTCGACACGAGACATACATATCACGTCTATAACAGAATCACCTAGGATATGCTGATGTAGAAGTATCAAGTGCATTTCCTTCTTTCAACAACGCAGTTAAAGTAACTACCCGGTAACCTCGACGCTTCAGTTCTGGTAATAACTTCCGTAGCATTGGTGGCGTCCAAGACCGCCCGTCATGGCAGATTATTATTCCTCCAGGGTGTACGGAACTCAATATATGCCAATTGTTGATTTTCCAGAATGGCACGAAGGGATCATGGGGATAGATATCGCCGAGAGTGAGATGGTATCCCATTTTTGAAAGAACCTCCCTCATTTTTGTGGAAAAAAACCCTCCACCTGGGCGAAAATACAAGGCGCTCTGAGTCAGTTTGCTATCCAAGCCCACACCGTTTGCTCCTGGACGGGCAGTGGCTTCGATATCAGATAGCATCTTCTGAACGCAATTGATATTATCGATGAGTTCGGTTTCGCTTAACAAATAAGAGGGCTCGTCACGCATGGCATGATTCGCTAATTCATTTCCATGGCGGATGAGATCGCGCAGAATCTCCTCACGAGCAGGCGTTGCATGGGATCCGATAACAAAGAAAGTTGCCGTCGCGTCGTTAGACCTAAGGATATCTAGTATCTCTGACGTGTACTCTGACGGCCCATCATCAATTGTAAGCGCAAGTATCCGTTTAGAGGTCGCAACATTCCACAGGACATCCTCCCATTGGCGCTGGGCAAGCCGGATAACAAATCTGGGTGGTTTGTACAAAATATAGAGGGGAGTTATTATAAGGATAGCAGCAGCAAGAACATAGCCAAATAGTGACAGCATTGGGAGATATCAAAGCAGAAGGCCTGGTTTTCGGAACAGAGGTTATGGTTGTTGTTATTATTATTGTCCTCACAGAAGAGGTGTTGTTTCATTCAACTCACCAACTTAGCTAACTGGCGAATCAACTAACTAGTGTCTTGCTAAGTCCAGATTAGGAAAGGAGGCTCAAGCGCGTTTTAGCCACTAGCAACACTTTAAAAGAACCTCACCTTTGAATATCTCCGGGCTGACAGAACGTCTACTATCGATCTCTGAGTCTAAGGCCTTTACCAGTGATTTCAACCGGGTTATTAAGCAACCTCCTATTGCTCCATCGTCTTAGGGAGTTGCTAGAGCTATTTGGTCATGTCTATGGTTTCTAACCCCGTACCACCCGAACTACCTACGGTATTTCAAATGAACCGCGATCTTAGGCGAATATCCAATGCTCAAATGACGTGAGGTGCCTAAGGAAATGCAGGCTAAAACTCACCGGTGCGGAAGATACGCCCTGTGTAACCAACAAGAAGTGCTAAATCAGAGTCCATATTGAACATGGCTTTGCTCTTCGAGTATCTAGAAGCATTCATCGCTTCTCATGCTCTTTGAGGCCATCAGTGCGAGATTGGATGCCACCCTAAACGAAGCCCTGATACCACGATAGGTAACTCAATTCAACATGGGGTGATATGTTCAATTCCTTCTATATATAACCTAATCCCATGGATTCAACGTTTGCAAGGAAAAGTGGCTTATACCGCCCATCACCTTTAGCTTCTACTCTCGTATCGCATTGATCAGCTGCCTTAACGTGATACCTAATCCTTCGCAGTCGAAAATAAGGGTTCATTCTCTGCCATTGTTGTTATTCCAATGGATAGCGGAGGACTCCGAGGGAAATCCAAATTCCAAGGCTGATACACAGAAGTTATTTCATATGACTTCCTACCTTCACGCTTACTTGCATAGCGGTCGGGTAAATGAAATCCTGGTCCCTGCAGTAAAGCCTCAGCCTTAGCTGAAAATATCAGGATGTTGAGATAGATGCCAAATGTTCCAACCATGGTCAAAGTCAAAGAGGCTTCCGCGGTTTTATCCAGCAATCTACCACTCTATATTTTTGTGGCTTTAACGAACCATGTCTTTAATGCGCAAGAAAGCATTTAATGTTATATGACATACAACTACTTATATTACTGGTGTTCGCCTATGAATTACGAATTCGAAGAATGATTGTGTAATTCACCAGCCCAGTTGAGCCCTTTCAAGTACCCTGTGACTTCTCAAAATAAATCTTCGATTGAAATCCCTCTTTTACTGATTGTATATCTCTGCAGACATTCGTCCTAGAGACACGATTTTGCAAATCGAATGGAGGGGTACACCCTGAGTAGGATTACTTATCAATGCATCAGCGGAGGATTATCCCCCTCAATCTAACCTTATACTTTCGCCACACAGAGGTACCAATACAGGCATGCACTGGTAGATAATATCCCCAATCATCCTGCCTACATGCTCCATTGAGAATGACCCGTTCACATTTATCTCCACGCTTGATAATGGCACTTAGCTGCGGCTGCACCCCGAATGTTTGCCTGCTACAAACCCCAGGATGAAGATGACAGGTAATAGAAAGCCTTCCAACACTGATTCCCTGCGACTCTGCATGTCAAAGGAATGTTTTGGCTTGATAACTTCCCTGGCGCGCGCTTCCGTCCGAGCTACCCTTGGAAACTTTTCTGGCACTCCTCCGGCTTTTGGAGATTGAAATATCGGTAACGTTCTGTAAGAAGACGTTCTAAAACGCCAACCCAGGTTTCATACTAGATGCCATTTAACCTGGCTCACCCGCATGCATAACCCAGACCCGTATTTGAAAAAGTCTAGAGAAAAAGGCGGAAAAGCAAAAGGATAGGTAACTACTAATAAACGAGGGATATGCAGAAACCGGACTCTCCATGATAACTCCCGTCCGGAATGCAACAGTGTGAGGATCCTCTTCAACAAACTACGAAGCGACGGAGAAAAATGGAAAAGAGGATAAAAATCAACTAGGAAGGTGGCAACGGTAGCTGTTTGTACCCATACAAAGGCCTTCGGACGACGACAGGGCAGGCTGGATGATTTTCTGGGAGACGAGCTAGGGTTTGGCTTGTGAACTCCGCATATACAGGGGGTCAGCTATTATGCCGATAGCCAAGTCAGCGTAAGGTTCTGTCCATTTGCCGACTCCTTATTCGGCTCTGCTTGCCCTCCAGAATGGACGAGATTAATTCCCTGAACTACCAGCTGAGGATCGAGTATACCTTCCACGTGGACAGGATGTGGTGCCGAGCTCTTGAACGCGAAGATATATAAAACCAAGGGGGTGCGCATTCAACCAAGCTAGGACAGTCGATTTTCAAATGTTTACGCCGTATTGATATCGCTTATTGTCCTGCGCTGACTGGTGAGAATCTTTGTGACCAACATAAGCATACGTTGCCAGATGACTTGAAAATGAGCCTCTTGAACAATACTTGACTGGCTGCACACACAGTGCTAGAAGCAGATCCTTCAACAGAATGAGAAGGTATATGCAGCGATATTACGACATGGCATGGGGAGATTTCCAGTGAGGATTTCGCGGGGGGGGGGGGGGTTATAGACAGTGATATTTAGTGATGGATGAGTGAATCACACCATTCATTTGCATGGACAGCTCAGATAAGCAGTGCAATTGCGACGACAGAGTGCGGAGTACTCACACTTGCTATCACAAAGCGGGGTGGGCTGGGTATCAAGCCATTACCATGAACTCCAATCGACCTGAACGATTGATGAACCAGGTCGATACGCAGACCCATGCTCATGTTCCCCCATCAGCTAACCCAATGCACAGAGTACAGCACAAAGTAAGGGAGTGACTCCGGGAGCAAAATCTCCACACGTATACTTCCATGCTAGCTCGATGCTATATCACGGAACAATTCTCCAGAAACAGCAATATGAACATGGGCACATCAGCTAACCTTCTCACCATTAAAGCTGATCCAGTGTCGCCATACATCTAGGATCAAGAGTCCAGAGCCATCGCCGCCACAAAATCATATATGCTGCCGTTATTGAGGATGGGGTTTATCACAGGTCTATTACGCTTCGTGCCATTAACTAGGTTTCTCGCTGGAGAGAAAGGATGAGGCCGCCGCCCTCGATAATCGACACAACGAGGGTTTTCCAACTTTCATAGGGCAGATGACCAGAGCGATGAAACGAAAGAAGCAAAGAAATCGAATAATATTAACTTCGATTTACAGGCTTCTAGAACAAAAAGAAAGAAAACCCCGTGATCTGCCCCAGAGTCCGAACGGAATTAGGGGGAATCTGTACGGTCACCGTCAGCGTATCACTTGTACAAGTGCGAATTTTAGGGGCCATATACTTGTGATTATTGGCAGGGGTGTGAACTCGTTGCACGCCAGCCCTACTTGATTGCGCAGGATTGACGTTCAACGGCGTTCAGCGCCAACGAATCACCCGAGCAGCAAGAGAAGACCTTCCTGATCGGGCACTGTGGCTGGCAGCTAACCATGGCTGTCCTAGCAGTCTGACAAGGGGCCAGGGGACAGCCGCAACTTCTGCGGACCACATGGCCAGCGACACTCAAATCTCTCGGGCTCGGATAGATGGATAAATCGAGATAAAGCTCCGCCATCCATCCGAGGATGGGTGAATATCTTAATAATATACCATCTCCCTGACCAATATAGCCTCAAACGGCATAGGAGGCATGATACAGCCCCGTCAAGCACAACCCAGCCTGCAGCGCAGCAAAAAACTCTTTTTTCTGGTGGAAAATAAACAGACCAGGAGGTTCTCTTGTGCTTGATCCTCCTTCCGCGCATCCCGTTTAAACAATAGGACACTCACTTAAGTGCGGAATTGGTGAATACTAGACCAGCGTCCATCAGAGCTCGAACATTACTATACTATTTTTGACAAAGGCCGAGTTTCGTATTTTCAAGGGGGGTTATGCAGCGTGGGGAACATGGCAAAATGTTATGCAAAATAAACTGAGATGGCGTAGCGTACGACCACATTACCACCGATGATGGAAGCCCGTTGAAAACCCACCGTTTTTAAAAAGTACTTACTTCCATCCTCATGCTTGCCACGAGGCAGTTACATCTCCAACACGCAAGCGGCTAGGAAGGTAACAATGGATACTTCCCCTGAAACAACCTCCATTAAGCCAGCATTTTATGTTGGGTTATCAGGTGGTTGAATGGGAGATGGGGTAGCGATGGTATGGTATCAAGAATGGGGGTTGCTAAACCGACAATCCTTCGGTGACAGGCAACTAACAACGAAAGAGTAAAAAAAAAAAGAAAGAAAGAAACCAACGCGGAATTCTCAAGGACACCCGTCAATCCATACTAAAGGTCACTCGCTATTCCTGACCTTCGGCATACTCGAGTTTTATGTAATGGCAGCTAGACGATGTTGGTTAGGCGACCAAGATAGCACAAGTCATACGAACAAGCCACATCGCATCATTTTGTTTTTCACGTACTCAGAATGCAAGAGGGTTCGCTGGAGATCTTGTGCACAACGTCTTAAAGCCGATCCAATGCTGGCCCTCAGTAAGGATGGATACATAGACCGCGCGAAAATACGAGCATTCCCAGAGTTACCCTCATTTTCTTGATACCAGTCACAACGTCCTGATTCTGATCCCCATGTCCTGGTCAATTGAGGGTAACATATTGCTTAATCGGGCTAAGGCGAAAGCGAGGACGGAAAGGCTTCGCTGGCAAGGAAGCAAGCTAGTATTCGTACTCATGTACTCTACCCACGCTAAACGCCTCCTCTTTACATTGGCGTGGGGGGGTAAATCCATGTTTTGCAAAATCTGTATTTCCCTTGGTCCTTATTTGAGCTGTCATGAAACCACAAAAAGCCAACTGCTGTTCTTTTTTATATTCGATATTATTGGAGACAAAATTTTACATCGAAAAGTCGGACTATTACCTTATAGAAGGAGGTGATTGGGTTAGGAAGCGGTGTGGCAGCGCGTTTGGACCGCTTGGATTTCCACGACGGGGGTTTTTGACAGGAGAAAGGGAATCACCAAGGGTAAAGTAAGTAATTTATTTTTCGACCCCAGACGCGGATCGAATGAAGGCCTGCCATTCAGCGCTTTTCCACCAATAACATCGATATTCGGACATGACATACCAGCCTTCTCCCATTGACCGGTGAATTGGAGACTGGAGAGCGAAGAAATAACAAGTCATTGCCTTTCTCGTCATGATAAATGAGTCTCCCCATTTTTCTTTTGAGTACTGGTAACTCTGGACGAAGGCTTGGACGATCTTCAGCCGAAAGACGTTCACAGGTCGTCTATTCGATCTCTTTCAGGTCCACGAGTGGAGACGCAGCCGTGATCAATCACCTTCCTCTCGCTAATTCCAAAAACTTCATCACTCTTATGCACGCCATCCTCTCTCGAAAGTGCGAAAGTGTCATGCGAGAGGCAGAGGCATTGAAGAGAAACTTTACCCGTCTCTCAATGATATCTATCAGCTGAGGAACGTTGTGTTTAAAGGGGCTACTTTGTTTAGGTACAACCCCGTCCCTCGACCTGCTCAAGAAAAACTTTAGCTTGCCACTATCGACGGGCATCTCGGTACAGCCCGTTAACCGCTCTAGAGGAATCATAAATGCACCTGTCTAAGTTGGGTGTATCTTCCAACTAGTCATTTTTAGATCAGCGTAGACTTCGCCCGCGAACTCTGTGGCAAGGAAAATTGGGGGGAGTGTCAAGATACGGCGATGTCCAGACACCCCGGATTGGCAGCCAAGTTCCTGTCCTTGCTTTGAACATGGTAGTTCATGGGCGGAGACATGGAATTTGAAAGTTCGCGACTTTGCATGCATGATGCTGATAATACACATACCTAAAGAGGGGCGAGGAACCACACCGAGAACCGAATCTGTCAGGCACCGCAGGGTGTTGCCGTATAGGGCCTTTCGTGCATAGGGGAGTCAGGCACTGTGTACACCCTCAGAATATACCGACGACTCAGTGAAATGTTTACCGACCAAACTGCAGAGTCGTGGTGATCGAGTGCAGCCAGAGAAAGACAGAAAGAGGAAAGAAGGTATCCGTTATCTTATCAGATCATCTTATCAATAAACCTCCTGCGCCTTGACAAGGAACTGCCCATTTGCTTCTCTCTGTTTAACATGTAGTGGTTCGAATATCACAACTAAATCAGCAGAATATTCAACAGCAAGTGACCTAGAGTATATACATGGTCATCGTTATCAAGGCTTTCGGCGGAAACACTTCGTCTCTCCCTATCTCTTTCCTCCCGCCGAGGGCCCTGCGACTAGGAGCAGCAGCCAACTCGTGAATCCCAGCCATCCTCACCACCACTTGGCTCACCTCAACTATGCACACTGCCTCCGCTAGGCGCATCATCCGTTATCTTCAGCTGCTGAGTTGCATGTGCTGTCACTAAAAGCGAGACAGGCATACCCCAGCCTACAAACTGCTGTTCTCGGGGCGAAAATAGTACTAGTTTGGAGGAATTTAAGTTACCCATAAGCCCGGGTGGTCTAGTTGGTATGATTCTCGCTTCGGGTCAACCCTTAGCCCGAGCCTTCCTTATAGAGGCTCACGTCTGCGAGAGGCCCCGCGTTCGAATCGCGGCTCGGGCCTTTTTTTTTTTTTTTTTATGTTCCATTTGAAATGGACAGCAACAGGAAAATACGCAGCGGAAGAAAGAATAACAGAGAAAGTCAAGTATTTTGGTGTACAATATCTTACTTGCCTGCCGTAAGTTTCCGTCTCGTGCTGCAATGGCTGTCTGGACTCTTCCGCTGTGTTGCCGCTAACAGTGTTTCAAGGGAAGGGACCCGTATAATCTATCACCAGCTAGTTACCTGATGGACCGATGGGCCGATAATTAATCAAGAAGAGGCTGCCGAGGATGCTTCAGTATCCTTAATTCTTTTCTTGGACGCCGTTATAAATATCCCTTTTTCCCTGTACAGGCATGCTGCATGTACTATTATCCGTGTAAGTTCGCGCTCAAGGAGATACTTAGTATAAAACAACCAATAGTTCGTCCGTGCTTAGCCGTTGAATCCATTCATAATAGGCCTCTGTATCGCTCAGGAAAAGAAAGATGGCCCTTGCAAGGTTGATCATTCAATGGGTTCTGCCTCCTTTGAAATCTTAGGTTGAAGCCATCGGGTCTGCGTCTCATGTTTGCCCTATCACCAAATGCTCTGTATCATCACACAGAAAAGGATGAAGGGAAAGGGAGAGGAAGCAAACTGCACATCGGCCAGACCGAAAAAGAGTTAATACTGCAAGTTACCGTGTGGTACAGGACATGGCCTCGAAACCCGGTGTCCGATCGCATGAAACGAACGCCAGACAATGCGGTCGTGGTATTGTCCAGACAGACCCCATGTATAAGAGATCGCACAGGCAATATCTGACGAACTGTGCATCACTTCATCTTGCCCTATTAGATACAGGGCTGTCGGTCAAAGTAAAATGATAATAATAATACGAACGTGAACCTGGCGTCGATGAAACGCCTCTTCCATCGTCCGCTTACTGCCGAATAATTTGACACTTGTGTGATCTCCATAATTACCCGAGGCCCAGCGTCCAGGAGAAGAAGGAAACGAAGGAGCAGAAGAAGTTTGTTCAAGTGACGGGAGAAGGCGAACGGGCCGTAGCGGACGGCAGCACGAGGGAGAAGAACAGGTGGTCACTCTGAGGGGCCACAGGTTTGAGTAGCCGATGTGTATGCACACGCTCACAGTATCCTCGTCCTTCGTCCTTCGTACCGAGGCAACGTCCGTCAACTAAACAGTTAGTTAATTATCGATGGTCCCGAAGGTTTGAAGCAGCGCAAGGCACATTTCATCTAGCAGGACGTTGCAGTGGGATCGGGTGAGCATGGGCAGAGAGATGGAGAAGACAACTGCACGTCTGTCTGCCGGTGGCTTCCCCAGACAGCCAGCGAAGCCAGTTCCTGCACGTGGAGGAGACGCAGAAGCGAAGAGGCCGGCCGAGCGAAGGGGACTCCGCAGCTGCCCAAGTCTTTGCGTTTCATCTGGCGTTCGGAGCAGCGACAAGGGGCTCAGCTTATATGGTCCCGGAAACGACGGTGCTAGGAGTCACCAGAGGGGCTTTCCTGAGAAAAGTGGTGTTTGTCATTCCGTCTCTTCGGCCCGTACTATGGGTACGATAAAAGGGCCCCATAATATGATCGGATATTTGCAATTGGGTGTTCTGGTCCAGGATTCACTCCTTTGCGTGTATCCTTAATTGGCACGGAGTATGCCGGAGTCACCCCCAAGCTAACTAACTCGTTGGCTAGTTAGCCAGTTAGTTATATGAGCCTGGATTAATGGCCATCCCCCTTGTCAGCGTCTCGTCTGACCCATGCAATCCTAAACTAAACTGCCTAACGAGCAAGGCGGACCTCACCCCTCGACTGTCCATCTAGAGTCCTCCTTGGTTATGGTCGATGTGATATGTGTTGGGCACTGCTTCGAATAAGGAGACAACTTCTCCGACTCCCGTGCAGGTAACCCAGTTAGCCACACCCCCCTATATTTATATATGAGGGACGGACTGCCTATGCCGGTTGCTGAGGCATGGACCAAACCTCGTGGTGTCTCACGTCACTCTGCACTGTGCCTCGTGGTGATCCATATGCCATCTGCCCCCAGAATCCCGCCAGTCCGGTCGGGGGGTTCGCGAAATATTTGGTCGTGGTCTGACTTTTGATCCCCTTAAACTGCCTCCCCCTAAAGGATAGTGGGAGCGTGAGACCGACCCTCTGTCTATTCACACCATCAACTCTATCCAACGAGGTTATCGGAGAATTTACTCGCTTTCTCCCGTTCTCTCTTCCTCTTTTTTTTCAGGTCAGATGGGCATGGAGAAAAGAAAAAAGGAACGAAAGGAAGCAGCTACATACCGACAACGTCGGTCACCCCCTTGCCCGGCTCTCCACAGCGTATATATAAGTACGCCTGGAGTACACACCATCAGAAATCAGAATATGGCCACGGCCAGCGCATCAACTCCCCTCAAGCATGGATGATTGCTCTCCTGCACCCAGTGCGCCAGTACTAGGTAGTGTGTCGATGTGACGACCTTCTCAGCTTAGCTAGCAAGTTCCTTATTAATTAACGAGGCCCTTGGGGAAACAAGCCCGAGTTGGTCGCTAACTTACTGGAATATGCATAAATAAACTACCCAACAGCCATCCTTTCCCGTATTAAATTGTTGACAGGAAAATCCAGCGCATTTGCTTTTTTTTCTTTCTCTTCGTTTCCCCCCCTTCTTCTTCGAATGAATAATAATTCCTTTTATCAAGGGGAATCATCTTTCCCCTTCCCCATACGAGAAATGCTTAGCTTATAGTTACCTCGTACGTAACAAGCAGCAGCCTCAGCTAGGGAGACACTGCCAGCCTGCTCTCTCCCGCAAGGCATTATTATGATGTTTCTTTCCCATCTTCCCGTCTAAATATAACCAAAAAAAATAAACCAGCGTGGTGCTAAATGGCTGACAAGCCTTTTAACATGCGACAGGGAGGACAGGGAGGTCGAACCTGCAATTGGGATTCGGAGATGGAGACGGAACCCTCGGACATTAACTCATGTTTTGTATCCATCGCATCGTCAGGATGCATGTACTTATTCCTGACCAGGGAGATGAAAGGTACATGCATGCCAGTAGGTGAGTATGGACATATTTTTAATACTTCCATACTCTCTATTGGGTAGGTAACATTGCATCGTATCATGATCATGATCATGTTCTATTTTGATCTCCCACGTTATAAAGGGAGAGCCTTGCTGGCTTCCCACCCCAAGTCGTAATACTCGACAGGGAAGATGGACTTGGACGAATACACCGCTTGTCGATGTCCAGCTCTTCCGCCTCTGTTGGGCTAAGCTCGATCGAGACATTGCCGGGTGTAAGTTTGTATAAACAGTGATCGGCTAAGGCGTGTACAAAAGGGAGAATAGGGGGTGGGAGGCGGGAGCATGCTATGTTTAGATCTGATATATAGGCTTGAGTTAGTTTACCGACGTTGAGCCGTTGGAGCTGGGCTGGTGATCTCTCTGCCGTGTCTGTCGGTCAGTCTCAATGTTTCTCTGGTCTCCTGTTGGTATTTTGCAGCTGATATCACGGCCGGAGTGCTTGTGCCGTCGCTTGTTGACTGTTTACTAGCGAAGGTAACGGGCAGCCGGTATGGACGAAGAATCACACTTACTCGAGACGGCTGGGAAGATGAAGGAGGTGTGTTATCATTTATCTCTTTTATTCTTTTTTTTTTTTTCCCTCTTTCTCAGTTCATATGAACCAAGTAACTAGACTAGACTAAATAACTAAGTAACTACACACGCTCACCCAGGTAATTTGGAGGAAGCAGAAGAACAAAGCCACCCTCCCTGGTATCCAGACCCATCCAGACCCGACAATGAATAAGAATTAGACAAGAATGATAACAGGGTGCAGAAGGTATAGAGTAAAAAAAAAGCAAACAATACATGACTTGGTGGGTATCTGGAACACAGTAATAACATCAACAGTAAAGCAGACAGAGGTAGAGGTAGAGGCGGAGGTGGAGGTCAAGATAGAGCGGCAGAAGTATTATGTATGGAGTGGGAGGTAAAAGGGTAGGGGAGTAAACAAAGGAACATCATCATCGTCGTCGAAGGTAATATAATACATAGAATCGATCAAACGTATTAGAATAGAGGTAGGAAGGTGGTATATGTAGGTGTATGGAGGCGTGTGCAATAGGATGTAAAGTTTGATGGCGGGCGAGAGGCGGCGGCATGGGACCTACCACCCCTTGACGTGGTACTCCCAGGGACCGTAGTCGAAGTAGTGATTCCACGAGCTGTTCTTCGACTCCTTGTCCTCCTTGCCTTGGCCCTTGGAGTCGTTGGCGCCGGGATACTCCTGGAGTCCCGCGACATCACATGCCGTATGCCGACGCTTGAATGCCGCGGTAGCAGTCGCAGCGGTGGTCTTCTGCTGACGCTCCCAGAGGAGATGGCGGCGGAGGGACTCAGTCAGTTCTGTTGCAAGCATGTTTCGGCGCGTGGTTCGCGGAGAATGAGCACGAGCTACGATACCGCCCGGGGGAATGGAAGTCATGACGATTGGACGTGAGTGAGGTACTTCCGAGCGCTTCATCTCCAGACCCGGCGAGCCGACGGAGCCAGAATCAAAGCCGCTGTGGTCTTCGTCATTGTCTTCTTCCTCGCCATCTGCTGGGGCAAGGCCTCGCTGCTGCTGCATAGCTGGAGTAGAGCGGGAGTTGGCGCCGGGTCCGCCGCGGAAGGTTGGAGCAAAGTTCTGCTGGGGCTGGTGCATCATCATGGTCAAAAGCGAACGGCGCGAAACGAGATTTGGTCGCGAGTCGACACGCTGAAACAGCTGTTTGTCGTCGACGCTGGATCGGCCGGATTCGGTAACGGAGTCTTCCCAGTCGCCGTCGGACGAGTCTCCTTCGCCTTCGTCCTCGATGGCGCTTTCGGAAATCTCAGACTCGTCGTCCTCGTCGCTGGAGGCAATGGCGTCTTCGTCTGATGCACTGGTCTCGCGAATTGGTCGAATAGGGTGGCTGGTGGCCGCTGTGTCTCTGATGAAGGATGTCCTGCTCCTGCTGTGCTGGGCCGATGCTAGGTGGTTGAGGCCATCACTAAGGGAGCTTCGGTGGGTCTTGATAGCCATTCTGTCTTCGAAGGAGGACTCCTCATCACCGGAGGAGCACCCGAGAGTGAATACACTGGGCTTTTGTTGCTTGAGGGCGGACTGTTTGGGTACCGAGTTCTTGCTCGTGCTGGCTGCAGGAGAGAGCTGGCTGTGGGAGCGGAATGAAGACGAGATCTTGGAAGGTGAGAAACCACGTACGACGGAGGATGATGGTCGAGGAAGTTCGGTGGATGAGACGCTGGTGTCTGAAGAGGGAGTAGGGACATCACTCTCCCGGACTCTCTCTAGTGCAGTAGAGCACGAGTCAAGAGATTGATTGTTTGCTGGGGCCGGAAGCTGCTGTAGATGTGTCTGCTCCTGGTGTTGTCGTTGTCGTTGCTGTTGTTCTTGTTCTTGTTGCGGCTGTTGTGGCTGCTGTATGGAAACTGGAGTAGGGGAAGATGCCCGGGGAGTGGCGTCTAGTTCACGATTCTCGATCTGTAGCTGCGACTTGCTCTTCGGTACACATATCGGCTCCAGCTGCTTCTTCTCCTTGATGCTGTAGACCATCTTCTCCAATCCGAGGGAGGTGATGTGCCTTTCTCGTCCTCGTGATATGCTTAGGACAGAGTCCTCGCCGACAATGGCTGGCTTTGGGTCAAGCTCTATGGTCCGGGGTGTGCAGGGGCACTGGGGACTCGAACCAGAGCTCGTTTGTGCTGTAGATCGTGACCGTGACTGTTCCAGTCCCTCGTCTGATAGAGCAGACTCCACGCTGCTAGAAAGGTCGGGAATCGACTTGGACTCCCGCCTTAGTCGCTCCAGACGGGATCCTGAGTGTGTTCTCTTCTGCTGCTGCTGCTCTTGGCTCTGCTGAAGAGAGTCCTTGTTGTTGTTATCTGAGTTGGTACGTGACTTGGCCTGGGGGGCAACACAGAAGGTCTCGCGGTTCCAGAGCCGCCAGCTCAGGTTCTCGAGCCGTCTGCCCTCTTCCATGAAGTCTGCACATCGTGAAAACACTACACCAGCACCATTAGATTTTGGCTGTCCATCATCATCACCGGCGGGGGGGATTTCAAATCACTCACCCATCCACATTCCATGGAGAGACTCTGCATTGCGAGTGTCGACCTGGTGAATCTTTGCAGGGTCGACAGTCAAGACCGGCGTGCTCAGCCTTGACGGCATGATTTCCTCCTCCTGTTTCTGCTGCTGTTCAATTCCCAATGTCCGGTTCTGGATGTCCTGTTTCTCTAACACCCTCCCTACTCTCTCTTCCGGACCACCTTTTTTATGTCTGTCTCAATCCGGGGTTCTGTGGAGGGGGAGGGGGGGAGCCGGAGTATGTGCAGTGTGTCTCTTCGTCGGTGTCTTTGTTTCCCTCCCTGTGGCTCTGCTGTTTTCCTCCAGACGTGGGTGCGTATCTAGTAGCAATGCGACAACAAACGGGATGTAGCGTAGATCCCGGCCAGTTCCCTCTTCTTATCGCAACAAAGAGAAGCAGAGGCAGACTAATAGTACAGTGCTTGTTGGATGCTATTAGGGGGAGGCGAGGAGAGAGGAGGGATGCTGGCTGCGAGGTGCGAGTTGGTGAGCGTGCAGAGAGGACGTTGAAGGGGGAGAGCGAGAGAAGCGAAAAGGGACGGGGACGTTCCACTTAAAGAAGTCGATGAAAAAAAAAAGCCCAGGGCGGACCCCCGAGGGGAGACATCACACATCTGCCTCTTCTGGCCCTTGGTCGGTGGATGCGAGTCCAGGTACCTCCGCACCGGATTTTGTATGCAGAGATACTTCCTGCCGCATCCTTTTTTTTTTTTTTGCCCTTCTTTTCTTTCTCCCTTCAGGGCGTTATTTTTAACCTTTTTTTTTATTCCTTTTCTTTTTTTCTTTTTTTTATTGCTTTTTTGGTGCGTCATTTTTGCAAATCGCAGAACTGAAAAAAATACAAAAAAGACAAACGCAAAAAAGGAAAGAAGTGGGTCTCGCGCGCTTTGCAAAAAGGGAAAACGAGGTACCGTGACCTGGTATCTTACTGCTGGCTGCTGACTAAGACACTGCGCTCGCCGGGGCTCTTCCGCCTGCTGTATTTTTGGCGTTCTGTCTGTACGCGTATCGGTTTTAAGTGACAGTACGATCGCCTTAGCTAAGCATGTTTATTATGTAAGAGTAACCTCGGCCTGCGAGAGCAACAGAAACGACAGAAAAACCTCTCCCCCAGACTTCCAATGTTGGTCGCCATCGAGATGGAGATGGGGATGAGCGACGGCGAGGATGAAAGCATTAGCGAGGGAAGGGAAAAGGGGAGGAGGCCAGGTGTCTAGCCGCGGGCGACGCGCAAAAAGTCGCCTCTGGAGGGCACTTCTTCTTGAAGCTCCGGCTAACTCGTGGACTAGTTAATCGGTGACCTTGACCTGCTCCATACACTCTTATCCTACTATTATGCTTCCTCTCCCTCGGCGCGTTTCACCTTGCAGCCTTGGGGCCAACTAACTAGTTCCTTTTGCCTTCTCTGTTATACTCCGTATGAGACAAGCAGGCCAGACAGACAAGACACGGCGTGTGGCGCGCGAGGGCGGCTGGCGGAGATGCTGGGGGGAGGAACGAGGACCCAAGGTCACTTGACTCTCCCTTATCCCTCGCAGGGTCGTGTACCTGCCCCCTTCGTTGGTGACAGCTCATCAGTCACATCGCCTTTCTTGCTCCCCTTCCCTCCCGTCAAGTGAATCAGTGCCATACCATACATCACGGCCGGACGATACACGCAGAGAGCCTTTTCTTTTGCGCTAGCTCCCCCCGTCTGCCTTGCCCTGGGGGATCAAACCACTTCTGTTAGTTAGCCAGCTAGTAGTAGTTGGTCCTCTCCGATGGTTGACTTGTTGAGCGTCCATCTTTCGCCTGACTTTTTGGGGCCGTGTAAGAAGGGGAAAGGAGGCATGTACATCATGTACGTCTATCGACGGGGCCCCAGCCCTATCAGATATCCAGCCTCGTTTCTCGTCCCCTTCTGCAGACACCGTCTTGAAAGGCGAAACTCACCGGTTCTTTCGATCCTGATAGTTTGCTCCGTACCTACATGCATACGTCTACGTCCTGTACAAGCCGGCTGTAAACAAGGGAGACAAACAAAAAAAGGGATATATATATAAAAAAAAGCACAAAGTAACTGACACCAATTCAATCTCTTAGCTTAGTGCTCAAATAATAGTATTGCTCTTCGGTATCACATTTAGTTTTTTTGATTCCTCCTTCATTGGAGACCCCCTTTTTATTTTTACTCTTTTCCTCTGTCCTTACGCAACTCCCAATATCAACTGAGCACTGGGTAAGCGCGGCTCGAAGGAGGAAATGAGTGTTTTACCCATCATCGCCAAAGTCATTCCTCTCTTAGCGCAACGGCTTGGCATAAAACGGCTATCCTGCCTTTGTTTGTGTGAGCGGTCCAGGTTGTTCCTGTTTGTGGGGAAGCGAGAGCGGTGCACAGTGGATAGTCATCCAAGTGGCGCGGTTGGCTTGAACCAGGCCGCTTTCCCAGGGCTAAGACGAAGACGAAGACGACGAGGACGAAAGAGAGAGCAAGACGAAGCCTCTAGTGTCGGGGGGAACGAGCGGAAGGAGAGCGAAAACGAACAAGAGAGAGACAGAGAGAGAGGTAGAAGACACCCAAGAGACAAGAAAAATAGAACTGGTCGTTTGCCGGAAGGGATGTGGTCATGTGCGGGAAGTGCGCTTTGTTTATGAGCTTTTTCTTTTGCGCTGTCCGATCTCTCTCGTCTTCTTAGAGGCTACCGTTGATCGATGCTGATCCATAGGGCAGAAGCTCTCGAAGGGGCCCAAGTCAGTGTCAGGTCAAGGGTCATGTCAGGTCTGTCGTCAGTAGTTACCTCAACTCAACGCAGCGAGAGGAACGGCCATTATCCTGATTAGCCTATACGGGGGGAGGTGGAGGAGCTCTGGTTGACGTGTTCCAATTGCTTTGCTTTCAGTTCAGCCGCCCTTCCCTGATCGTGGAACATTACCCCGTACATTAAACAGCCCCTTCTAGGGTCGTGACCGATGTCTCTCAATCGCTATCATTATTCCCGTTTTCATGGAATGGCTAACTAGCTATCCAACTGGTCCCTCGAAGACGAGTGTGATGGTGGTGATGTGACTATTGTGATATTGACCTCTGGACCGTCACCCCGGGATCAGGGAGAAAGGACAGCGCATTGGTTCTAGATGTGATCTAGCAGGAAACAATATGCAAAAAAGGAAAGACGGCCGCCATGTAAGAAACATGACCGTATGGCAGTAACTTCTCGATATGGAGAATGTATGGAGTATCTCCCCATCCTCCCATACATATAGCATGACATGACCACCCGGACATAAATAGTAAAAGCTGCCCAAAGCAGAGCAGCGGCGGCTTCACCCAAGGTGGCTGCTCGTTGTATAAGCCTCATTTCTCACCGCCAGATGCAGGATGCAAGCTCGTCTGCTTCTTCCATGCGATCTGATCTTCATCTGCTGGCCACTAGAGCATCCCCGTGCTAGGTCCTTTTTGTTTTTTTTTTTTTTTTTTTTTCTTATATCTTAAAAAGATAGAAAAATAAAAATAAAAACCCCAGCCTGTCTGTTCCATGCTGCTCCCATCAAATCCACGTCTTTGTCCTTGTGACTCTGCACGTCTAACAGTTTCGCCCCGAGATGTCTGTAACTGGCTGGCAAGGGGTACATTTTTCCTGACGTCTCCCTCTTATCTTTTCATCACCAGCGCCGTTTGTCTGGCTGCCTGTTCCCTTTTTTTTTCCCTCTTTGTTTTTTTTTTTTTTTTTTTCATGTTTGCACTCTCCATCCCCCAGTTTCTGCTGACCTCTGCGTTGGCGACACTGGGGTCCTATCGCCCTCCCCCTTCACCTTCAGTCACCCAGCACGAGCACCGATTTAGGCGCCGGGATGGCTGGACATGTTTTTAAGGCTTGTAAGGCGGTCCGTACCTACATCGTTCACCCGTCAGGCTTACCATAGTTTTCCTTTCCCTTCTCATGGCTGGTTCCCGTTGATACATACGTACATACATCACCATGGCCCAGTCGTCCATGGGAGGTGTGCGTGGTGGTGGAGGGCATCCTTTCATTCGGTTCTTGGGACGATCTGACAGCGCAGCAGCACACGCACTGCGCAAGGTCCTGCGCGAATAGCCACCAGGCTGTGACGCTGTGCTTTGCTGTGCTCCAAATATAATATATCACCGTTATGCATATGTAGACAGTCAGGTGAGGTGAGGAGGTTGGGGCGAGCTGGCGGCGGTGATAGGCTTATGTAAGACAATCCCTTATGTAAGTTACTTAGGTAAGTGGTGACTAATGTTTTGTGACGTTATTTATTACGCGCATACATACGATAAATACAGCCGAGGTACGCACGGGGCAAGCTTCCATGCGGCTTCTGGAAGGCCGGGAAGAGTAGGAAGAGATAAAAGACGGAAAAAGATGGAGACGAGGAGGAGGATGGAGACGACGACGGGGGTCGAGACAAGGCCAGCTTGCCATCGCCGTCGCATTCAGGGCCGCTGCCGTCTGCAACTCCATTCGGAGATTGTCGAGCAGCGAGCGGTGAATCCCACTAGTCAAAATGTTTTGATTATAAAATGAGAGATATTCCAGTGGTCCTTCTTTTCCATTACGAAAGAGGCTAACCTGGGCACTCTGGTTATTTTGGAGATAACGACAAGGAGGTGTCCACCCCCCACCCCCCGACCAAGGCATCGGGCAGAAGTCCCAGGCTGAGAAGGAGGGAAGAGACACGGCCCAGGTTTCGCTACCATGTGGAGAGGGAGAGAAGGAGAATGAAAGTCAATGGTTGGCTCGCTCAAAATATCAACACGATGGCCATCACACCCTCAAAGTCGGTCCTCCAGGCAGGCAGGCAAGCAGTTGTGATGGCCGAGGCTGGAGGTGGGAAGTAGGGCTGTCCTGACACCTGCCAGCCATCGTCAATGTTCATCGCCGTCTACGTCTGCATGTAGTTTAGGCAAATTGCGCTGGCGGTAGGAGGGGGGGGGTCGCAAAAACAAGCCCAAGCAAGTCTGCAAGTAGTTATGCAGTGACGAAACGACTGATTAATCAAGGACAAGGTGCTCATGTGCCCGCACTTCACCCCTTCGCCCCCTGTGTAACTTGTCTGTCTGAGGTTGGCCTGAGAAGTCCTTACGCCAGAGCTAGTTTTGAGGCTTGGTGAAGCAGTATTTACAAATGCGGAGGGGAGCGAAAATAGAGAAATAATGAGAATGAGAGGTGGGCTGCGGATAGCAGTAAGCATTGCCTCCTCATCAGCATCGTCACTCTGAACCTATCCAAGCCCTGTCATACCCAGGAAGAGTAGTTGTTTAGAGCGTTAAACAATAACCTTGGGAGTTATTTTCGGAAAGATTGTCATCGAGTAGATCAATCTGTCGGTATTGGGCCATATTTCTTGGATCCTCTTCCCTCTCTGGGTTGTCACATCGCCGCCCTTGCTCAAAGAACGTAATAGACACCATATTATACCCATTGAGGTTATCTCATACGGATATCTAGTTATCTAGTGTGCAATCAAGGAATACCAAGCTTGTCGATAGATTAGTTTAGACATCCACGTGAGGAGTTGAGATTTCCATCCAGTCCCTCCCTCTTCCGCGCCCTTATGTACTTACATGGCAGATATCCGTCTTCAGCCTTCTTCTTGTCAGCCACCCCAGTTCGACTGAACCAGCCAACCAGCAGCCACCTAGTCAACAAAGTAGTAAGTTATGCTTAGTTAGCTATGGCGGGGCTGATTCATGTACGTCTTTATGCAAAGAAGCAACAGGGATTGTTGTTTATCTTTTTCTTCCCTTGCCCCTCGATCGGGACTATTTTCCTTCGCAACCGCAACCAAGGTAACGAAGAAGCAGCCAGGAGACGGTCACGGGTCGTAGAAGGGTGAATGAATGTCTGGTCCATCGACATCCTCTTCCTTCGCCCTCAGGTAGCCACCTCGGCGTTACTGGCAAGTAGTTAGCTGTCAATCTTAAAAAGAGCCGGAAAGGCGAGCTTGCTCGTGCCTTGAGGGCGATAGTTTATCCTGTGACTCGCAAATTTTGTTATGCTGCCGCTGCTGGGGTGCGTGGCTATGATGCCAGCGTTGCGCGGAGTATATATCCCATCTTCCCGAGACGAACACTGGCAGCCCCCGAGCCGAGAGAGGAGAGGGGGCAGAGACAGTCCCGAGTAAAAATGTATGCGCAGAGCCAAGGGGCAGCATCACGCTCGCGGTCGCCAGACAAACGGAGTTTTCGTCCTCGCCGGTCCCTCGCGCTGGTTCTGCGGTCCCTTTTCTCCATGTTTCGGTTCCGGGCGTCGGGATGTCACCCAGCTGGTCGCAGACACGTGATGGCTTAACTACCTATTAGCCCCTATCGATCCATGGGAAAAAATCTTGACCAGCTTCGCCCGCAACCCCGAGAAACTTCTTCTTCCCCATACTCTGTCCACTTGTTTCTCTTGTATGGATGGCCTCCTAAGTTTGTCTTTTGCTTCTCAAGCGCTTATGAGTTTGGGGGCGAAAGTTCCCCCCGCCGAGGTTGCTCGGCGCCCTTTCAGCCTCCGCTTGCGCTTCTCATGCAACTCTGTTACTTTGGCGCTTCCCGTAGTTGTGTCCCCATAGTTAACTAGCCGGCTGTCTAGCCAGAGTAGCATGCTGTCTTTACATCTGACATCGGGTGTGTTAGGGAAACGAGATCGGAAGAGAGCTGGGGAATTTGCAATTGAGAAAGGCAAATTCCAGTTAACTCTTGCCAACTAGCTCAACTCAACTAACTACTCCGTAAACTGGTTGACTACTCGATTAGTCTGTTAGTTGGGTAACTTTTGAGGTATCGATATGTATGCTGAAATCGCATTACAAGAAGCTCAAGATACTTACGATTCTCTTACCAGATCCGACCAGTCGAACAGGCAGTTGGATTGACTATAGGGTCAAGTCGTGTGCTCGATCCAAGGAATATCCATCGCTGGCTTGACCCTGCGCCAACCGCGCGACAATATGATATGTTCTGTTTATTCTCCCCCCTTTTTTTCTTCACAATGAACACCCAGGGTCTTGATGTCCAAGCCATTGGACCAACGGTTCATTCTCATGTGTGCACTGGAGCTGTGGGTTCGTGTTTGTCTGGCTTGCTTCGTATGATGCGTGTGTATCATTTGTTGGCTCCCTTCTCTTTCATCACATATAGACATGGTGAGCGTCCACCACATTCATGGTCTTGACGGATGTTCTGTTAGCTCAGTTCGCCTTGGATCTGGGCTAACTGGGCGAATTGCAAGCCGAGGATCATGAAGATGGCCACTCCAACGAGGTTAGTTGGCTTTTGTTTTCTTTTTAAGTTACTTCCGTACATCTGGGCTTTAATCTTATTCGGATCTGAGGATAATGTGACCCGCGCCAGAGGTCTGGGTGCTGGAATTTCTATACCTTGTCAGTCTCACCCGGAAAGGGAAGCAGAGGGCGCAGGAAGAAGAAATCATACCCGTGCACTGCGCAGCCTCTGACTTGCGATTTGCTCAGAATTCGTTGTTTCGACCAGACGAAAAAGAAAGGGACACAGGGAACAGAGATGGAATGGGGGGCCCCCGGGGCATAGGGGGGAGGAGGAAGGAAGATAACGTTTATTCATGACGACTCCCTTTCCTTTTTCTTTATGATATGTGTTCGGAATTGTCGATGTTAATGTTCTATTCTTGGTGCTGGTGTTGCTATGCAAGTTCCCTGGTTTCATTCTATTTTGCCCTTCGGTTGACATCTCATCAGCCGGGGCCACAGCTCGGTCTGTTTTGAAGGTCAGCCTTGGAGAATCGTAACTGGTCTCCGCATCCAGTCCCACAGAGATGGCCAAACGGCCCTCGCTCAGCGCGCTTGAGCCATATGGATAAGCTCCTCCTGGCCATGGAGAGTAAAAGAAAGACTGGCGGGTTACAATCTCTATTTCCCATGTCTCTTACCCTTCATCAATAGGAGCTGCGGTTCCTTTGACTGGAGTTCTCTTCCCGGTATCAGCCATCATGCCATCTACCACCCCTGATATAGAACATCGATGCACGATCTGGTGGCCTGAACCAAGTTCGCCACGTTACACCAGAGGGCTGACGATGGCGGTTTGGTTTCAAGGCACCGAACCCGCATCATCAATTTTCCTCCCCTAGATCTCCGAAGGGTGGTAACTTTTGTCAGGCCACCTGCTCCTGCTTGGTACCTTGTTCCTTTCCTGTACCTTGCCTTCTTCGCTGTGCACATGATACACCACACGTTGCATACAGCCAGCTGTTCCTCCCAGTACCTGGAACCTGACAGATACCTATTTCTGCTTACTTTCAGGGCCAGAGCAAGCCTGGGCTGGAATAGAACTGGGGACAAAACCTCCCTAGATGAAAGAGGGAGATTGTGGGGAGATTGCTTTGCATTAAAGACGCTACTCAACCCAATTGTCCTTTTAAAGGGCGATCTCTTTATGCTTGTTTCACAGACGGCGGAGTCCAAATGATCTATTCTGATCCGACCTGAAGTAGTTCGGCTACTGTCCCTTTTCCCCCAGATTGTTCTATATTAGTACTGCATAACGCAATCATCTAAGAGTTGCTGCGCCAGCGTTGTCTGTATTACCTGTCTAGTGCTTCCCGGCGGAGTAATAATTTCACTCCGTGCAAAAATAACAAAAGAAAAGAAAAACCAATAACCAGGTGGATGGGATGCAGCAATTCGCGGCGGAACTGAGGGTTTCAAGGCACTGATTCATATAATAGCTTGCTTCCCATCATGTGGCCTCTGTATTATCGTCTTCTCTTTTTTCCCTTTTCTCTCTTCTTTCCTTACCCCCGTACTTTGAAATTCATCGTCTCGTCTTCTCTTTTTCTAGCTTGAAAGACCATTTCACAAATAATCGATGCGAAAACAAGGATCATGGCCCTGGAGAAAGGCAACCTAGATTGCAAAAGGGTCAGTGCATAGGCGTTTTCAGCCCGCGCTCTCTGTCTTTGTGCCTGGGTGCTGTTGGCTTGCTTTGTGCTGTGTATCTCGCGTCGTTGGTCACTGTCTGGTCGTATCCCTGTGCTATGTGTCCTGTGAATGTTGGCTAGCTGCTGGTAAAGGCGATGTATCTCATCCCAATCCCAGCACACTGGGTTGCGATTTGACTAGCTGCTCCGATGAACTAGTTACGACCATGACCGCGGCTCCCGGTTCACTGTTCGACTTGCTGGAAGCGGATAGTCGACTTGTGTTCGCTTCCCCTCGAGCTAGTACTACTCTTTATTAGCATATTTACACCAAATCGGGGCACTTAACTCCCGTCTCCACGCTCTCTCTCCTGTTTCGCAAGCAGGCTGCCGTAGGTATTCCGTCTTCGTCAGGTCCTCTGCAGTATGTTGCTCTTCCAGTTCGTTTGTATATCAAAACTATGGCGCGTTGGAAAAGGGAGCTCGTTCTGGGCTTGGTGGGCAGATAATATATCATGTGTTTAATTGGGACGGGACGCTGTCGGGAGCTAGCTGCTTACATCAGCAAGAGAGTAACAACATCCCGACCTCAGGAATCTCCGGCTGTAAGGAGTACATCAGCTTGCTCTCGATACTGGCTGCTGGGGTTGAATGTACCGAGTCCTTGTGCGTTACTGTACACCCCGAAGCAGGAATGATACCCCTCTAGCTGTTTGTTTTCAATACTTTGATCGCACACTCAAGGTCAAAATTTTTTTCCTTTTCTCTCGACGAACGATATCCAGAACAAATCAACTGATACGTGTCTTGCAGGCAGTTGATCTTTCAATAAATAGTGGCCTACGACCTATTGAAGAACGTGAAGGCATATTTCCAGTCACAAGTCTTCGTGCAGGTAAAGCATCGGGGCTAGACCAAGGCCTGTACGCTTCCGCCTCTTGCTCGGCTTTGCTGTACGTCTCAACTTGCACGAGCCTGGTCGCCCACTAAGCGCGGTGATCGGACAAGGAGAGATATCATTACGCTAATTTACTTGCTTCAGTGGCGGAGGCAGATGACATGCTTCAGCCTCGAACGGCCTCCCGCGTAATGCCAGGCCGCTCAGCTCTCTCCCATGAGTCGATAAACCTTCGGGTTCGGCCTCATGAGCCAGCCACGAACTCCAAATTTGCTTCTCGTAACAGATAAATTGAAGAACTGCTGTGCCACAGATCTTATTTCCATGAACAACTGACTAGAGGCGGGAGGGGGAGAGAAAAATAAAGGGAGTCTTCTCTTTTTTTTGTTCGTAAAACGTTTTGCTCCCAAATCTAAATCAGATCATTAAGGCTTATAGCCTCTTACGTTTCCTCTTGCCGCCCTTCAACGACGAGTGACCCTTTGTAGCGGTACGCGTCCGCCATGGGAAAAAGGATGAAGCCGCTCAAGTTATTCTAAACGCCTCTTTCCGTCTGCTTGAGGAGAAATGTGCTCATGTGCATACCCAACCTTTCTCGTACGACCCAAGTCAGAATGAAGGAGATGTCAAATAGCTAGGCAAAGCTCAAATTTGCTGCACAAATGCACGATCAGGCATGGAGGGGTGTCGGTGTCCTTGATATCCATCTCTCAATATCTGTTCTGACCAATATGCTGACCACCCCCCGTTACCTAAGTTGCCCTTGATTCGTGCCATGTTTGGATTTTTTTTCCTCAAATAGCAGTCTATTTCACCTCTTTTGCTGATTTTTTACGTTTCTCTCACCCAGGCTGTGTTATCTTCGTATATATTGTACAACAATATATGCTCTCTCCCCAAATCTTTTTCCTATTCCCGCCAATAGAAAAATAGTTTTGAAATAATAGCATTCGGTGTGGTGCTTGTGCGTCTCTGCAGATTCGTCGATCGATTTCCCTTTCTCAGCCGTTTTCCTTTTTGTTGATTCTACTTTGTTTTTTATGACTTGCAGATTCATGCAGGGTTTCTTTATCTTAATGTGATTTTTACTCTTCCTCTTCATAGAGGGGTGTCCTTATTTCTTTTCACCCAAGGCCGTCTTATCCAAGGAATTATGCAGTGACGCGATGGACTGTAGGTCCATTAACCTATTTGATCATTCGATTGCTTAAAAAAGCTATATCTGCTCACGTTATAGGTGTTCTCAGAGCTGGTCATCCCTCTGGTCAATTTCTCAAGATATGACACCTGTCCCAAGAATCCTTTTGCTACGCTGCAGGCACATTGACTCGCCACTTCTACGTATATGCCCTCTCAAACCCCCACGGGCTCTTGGAGCTAAAACAGCCTGCGAGAATGTCATGGAGAATTACAAATCGTCTTCTTCTCCCTTCGGCCTTCTGTCATACGCCATCGTTGTGGCTCTTACTAATAGCTTGTACCAAAAAGGACGGACGATGCATATCTTTCTTATCGATATGCAACTCAATTTCCAAGGCTACCTACTACCTCTGCCCTGCCCTTCTCCCTATTCTTCCCCAGCGTTTCGTATTTCCATCTCGTACATGGCTTGCCTGAGCGATATCAGTTCGTGGAATTCGTACGGGCGGCTCTGTCTGATGTCTCTCTGAGTCCCAGATGTCCAGAATGTCTGCATTCCGGTTAACCATGCAAGTAATTCCTGCACATCAGATATCTACCTCGAGTTTCTCACGGTATATCCTAGTGCAACTAACTCAATAATCCGGTCAAATAGCTGTTCACGAACTCTCGAGAGTTCTGGACTTTGCCCCGGCTGTGTTGCATAATATATTGCATGAGCACAACGTATGCACACAACCGGTATTCTATATACTGTGAAAGCGTATGAATGACTCCCAAGGCCATTTTTTTCGTTTTTCCCATATTCTGAGAGAAACATTGCCCCGCGTGCTCCGCAAGCCAGAGTGCGGGAAGCCTTGCGCCTCTTGAAGCACTCAACAATATATGCCATTGCTCCATTTTGATCGCATACGCCACATCAATGGCTAGTCCCTAAAACAAAAAAAAAAAAAAAAAAAAAAAAAAAAAAAAAAAAAAATAAGCAATAATTGATGACCTCAGCTTCGACAAGCGATCACATGTACTGTCTATTTCTTATAGTGTTGACTCTTATTTCGATAAAAATCAACCACATTACTCTGTCCACGTTCTATGAAGGAAGGGTTTCAGGAGACATAATATTTACCCAGTCCGTTCTGAAATATGTTCTACAGCATATGGTAACTAATGATTTTTCATCTCTTTGAAAATAAGAGGAATACTACACTATGTAGTATGCTGGTTGGGGTACCGCTTGGCAAGCGATCCTGGTTCTACCCTGTTTCTAATATTTTGACACCAAAGACAGACACTGGACCTGCACGGAGGAGTACGAAGGAGATGAATAACTGCATCGCAGTTGCTCAGGTGATTCATATATGGCAGATATCTGTCTGTTCGTTGGGTCGTTTTATGTCGGTGGCGCCGCTCATTTCACGCTTTCTTCTGCATCCTACTGGCTGCGAGGAGAAGTCGCTGGTCCTCCGTTAAATATGGCCCCTAATCGTCTGTTCCACGTGACGGAGTCGAGCGAGGATTTTTCGCGCATGCTGCGTTATGTGTTGACGGAATACATGCAGCGAAGAGCAAAAGTAATAAGGGGTGACTGATACCTCGTTTTTGCGGAGGCTGACGGGATTTTGAGAGCACCACGAGATCTGGTATTCTTCAGGGGAGTACTCCGTAGGTCTCAGTAATCGTCTTGTACGGACGGACCGGATACACTACCCAGTTTCTTTTTTATCTCGCTTCAAATCATTTTTCTTTTTCCTTCGACTTCTTCATTCTGATCAATTCAACTATGGGGCAACGGGTGCTTGCATTTGCATAGTGTGATGTGCTATGGGGGTAGGATATATCTCAATGATAATACTGGCAAGACTGTGCAAATCCACGACCCCTCGATTTTTTCAAGGTCCATACGGAATAGCGTCAACCTTACTCCGTATGTTTAACAAGACTTCTTTGATGTCCATTCCTCGCTGCTGGGACTTGTCGAAAGAGGTGGTAGATTATGATATGTCAGTTCCGGGGAAGCTGGCATACGTATCCGCCTTTCGTCTTCAAGCTATTTTTTGAGTCTCTCGTGTTCTCCCATGTTGTTTATTTTGTCATGTGTACGAGTGTTTGTGGAATAAAAGTCTTGCAGGGTGATAAATTGGCAGCGGGCCTAGGGAGTGCCTCGCGACGAAGGATAAAAAATTCTGATATTCTACCACTGGCGTGCACACAAACCGATACCCCTGACGCTTGATATCCAATCGTTTGGTGCTAGGTCAGTGCAATCTGACGGCGTGCACCGGGCTTTGACAGATATTACTCTGCGCAATTCTGCAGGATTGACTGGCTCATTTCTTTTCTTTTTGGTGTGGATATAGCCATGATACACAGCCCGCCTTTGGGCCATCCTCCTGGGTTTGGCCAGAGGAAGCGCAAAAGCCATCAGTGAAAAACGAATGAACGAGCCTTTTTGAAAATAAGACCATAGTTATCGAGCCAGGCTTGCCGCCATCGCCAACATCAGCAGCATCACCACAGGGTGAATGGACTTCAGGGGGTGATGTTATAGTTTCCTAGTGCGCGCCCAAGCACCAGGACGCCGGCTCTCCGCTGACACTCTATTTCTGATACGGGTCAACCGGAGGTGAGGAGCAGAGGCTGTAGAGGCCACCAGAGGCCCATCACTGAGGTATACAGAGCTGCGAGATCGATAAGGATGGATGACGTTCTGTTTGTTTATCGTGACTTCGTTGGCAACCGTGGTCCATGGATGCGGATGAACCGTGGTTCGTCGCCGTCGCCGTCAGCAATGAATAGATAGTTACATGACATCATAACTCGACGACGCCCGATATAAAAGGTACGCTCTCGCACATAATGAGCGTAGAAAGCAAGGATGACACATAGATTAGCAGTCAGTTAAAACAACGGACATACTCCGTATCAGTGGGACAGATCTCGTTTCTTCTCTGCTTGCTGGCCTGAAGTGAGGTGGCAGAGAACGAGATCTCCGGCCAGGTGAGCCGCTCCGAGGCATGTAGTGATCCTTCACTGTTCAGACTGACACCATGGACTGCTACATAGATACAAGAGACAGAAAGTCGTAACGAGGGGGGTTTCGGCCCTGATAGTCTCTGAATTTCTCAAAGTTACCATACCTATAGACTCGGGAGGCCCCCATATAGTAAGGCCCTTCCTCGAGCTCACTACCCTTGCTCCGGCTACTCAAAAGAGACCTTTTTACTTAGACACTATGATAGGTTCAGGTTTAGGACATGACGAGAGAATCAAGTACTGGCGGAGGTGGCAAGGGACCAAGGATGATGAAGTCTGGAAACTACTTCAGTAGCCGAGCACCATGTCCCTTGATTGGGGACGTGGAAATGCGAAAGCTACCAGAGGCCAGCTGCTGAGGTCTTCAACTTACCACCTCCTATGCTACCAGCTGCTGATGGGATCACGATGACAAGCAGTGGAGTGATGGCAAACATGATGGATGGAAGAATAGCAGGCGAGCGTGCTGTCTATGGCAGGCTAAAGGTAAGTTCTTTTGCCTGGAAGCTAACGTACGGGCTCCGCTTCGGCTATCAAACATACATAGTCAACTATGTAGCTTGAGTTGCATGATGGACTTTAAAATGTGGATATGCATATGGTTTGCTTCCCATTGTCATGATCTAACTCTGTGCAGAAGCAGTATCACTACAGTATGGCCGCTGTGGTGGTTATCATTCTCGCCTTCATTCTTCAATCTAACTCTACACTGTACGGAGATAATTGAGTGATAGGGTAGCCACTCGCAAGTCAAGAGGCTTTCTTCCGCAGGCAACGCTGCTGCTAATTACCCGAATCTAATCCTGGCCCAATCAACCCGCGATGGGAGTATATATCAATGTATGGGCTGAGCTCCCGGTACCGCTTGTCGCCGTACCCCATACCCGAAGGGGCCTTTTATTTTTTTAACTATCAATCATCCTTAAAAAAAACAAGGAAGGCAAAAAATAAGACAAAAGACTATACATTCAGCTCGCATATATGATAGTCAGACCAGAAAATAAACCAGATTATAAAGTTGTTTATTTTTGCACTTTAGTTATTGCCTTGTGTACTTCTCCCTATTATTATCTAACATGGGGTTTACCTCCCATCCTATGTTCTGAGCACTAATTGCAGTGGACTGCACTATTCCGGCACTATTGATTTCTGCCCAGCACATGTCTTCGCGCGTGGACAGCTGCAAAGGGCTTTTTGGCTTCGGGCTGATCGACACCTCGCCCTGACTCTCGGGGTTCAGATCGAGATAGATGGATCTTTTGGCGGTGATCTCCAAGAAACCTCAACCTCTCTAGTTAGCGCTGCGGTTGAGCCACACACCGAGAACCTTGCCTTGGGAACTCCTGATAGGAATCGAAGCTGAAGGTTAAAATCCTGCGTTTCTTTTTGCTTCGATATCGAGTCTAGATGAGACGGGATGTTCTGTTCTCCTTGAGGAAGGGCTTCGTCATTCGCCGACCACTTGACCATTGGCACCATTGCCCTTCACCACCGATCAGTCGGTGAGGTATCTTGACGGTGTGCGTTGGCTGACCAGGTACGGAGTATTTACGGAGAGTCGACTGGAAGGCGGATGTCTTCGTCGTTTTCGGTCTCTCTCTCTCTCTCTCTCTCTCTCTCTGCCTGCAGTCAGGGGCATGCATGCATAACTATAACCAAGTCCAACCCCCTGCCATGTCACATCTCGCTCTTTTGCCAGGCCTGTCGCGCAACGCATAGCGTTTTGTAACAACCCCATGGCTCGTCAGGATCACGCCTCAGTCTGGCATGTGAAGTCAAGCCGTAGCCACTATGGAGCATAAACATGGCACTAATTCTTTTGGTGGTGGCGGACAGTCCCTTGTCTCCCGTCTAGTCCTGCCTTCCAGCCATCTCAGCCATAGCCCTTGTACCTGCAAAATGAGAAGCCATCATCTTGATTCCCAGGTCTCTGCATCCAGTCTGCTCCATTTTTTGCTCCACACGCTCCATCGTGTAGAGCGCAGATTCTGCCTCGATACCCCAGGGTCATGGAAAAATTACAAAGTAAACCTCTGCTAATATATTGGCCTTTGGACATAGATTAGCTGTAACCAGTGGGCATCTGGGTAGGTTACCATTTTATTGCTGCTGAAGAATTAGAATATAGCCGCCCAAGAGGGTCTTATAGTAAGAATCTAACAAGTTAGTATGGAGTGCACACGTCTTCCAGCCACGATGGCATAGGTCATGTCCGCTTTGGTACCTACGCTTCCATCAACCTGGTGTGCGAAAAGTAGGTACCTACGGCGGATTTAATGAGTTATCGTGTCAGAATTTATTTCCGACTTGTAAGAGATAACTCTATAACCCTTTCCAATGAATACGATGTCACTTTTCCCTGTCTCTGTCTGGTTGTCAAATCGACGGCTGCAAGAGAGGCCTTGGGGTCAATGCGTAGGTAGATAGATATGTGACTTGTCTTGCATCATGAAGCTGGGATTTAGAAGAGACAACCTTTCCTTTTTCCCTGTTTCGCAGCTGCTGCTGCCGGCATGAAGAGTGTCAGCAAGCTGGTTGGCATGATGTTTTTCTCTTGGAGTTGTGCGGTGTTGTTACGAGGGGGAGGCGAGTATACGTCGTCCACGCACACCCCTGACGGAAGGGAGACATAACGAATTATTAGCCTTCATGTGCCCTGTGAAATGAAAAATAATGCATGCATGGGTTGCGCTGCAGGATATATCTGAATAGTAGCTCGAGCGTAGCCCTGGATATGCAGTCGTATGCAGTCGTCCATCTCGTAGTGTGGCGGTCAGGGTATTTGCAAGCTGGATTCAAAATACACGCTGCACTGAGTGATTACAGAGTGATGCTTTCTCCATGCACGTATATTATTATTATTATTGATTTTTTTTTTAACTCTTTTGTGCGGTGTAGAATTCCCGAAATAAATATTCTATCAAATACTATGCGTAGCAAGCGAAGTAATCTGATATATTTCGAAGAGCCCCTGAACATTCTTTACTTTAATTCTCTCCGAGCTTCATAGCCAGTGAGCCATTGACGAATGCATAAACAACTGCAAGATCTCGGTATTGGATACTCCCACACGGGGTTATATATCCTACCTGGTGAGATAAAAGTGGATATGGGATTGCTCGCAGCAGCACCCGAGCGAAACCTAATGCTAGTCAAGGATCCTTATATAGAGAAACAATAATGCCCAGGTTTGAAGGCACGGATATCGTCAAGTTGGAAGAGCTTCAATTAGGAATGCCCATGAATTTCACGGGGCAACTGCAGTTTGAATAGTATTCGAGGAATGGATTCCGAAACTCTGCCATAGGTCCAAGTGGTCATTGACAGAAGAGACAAGTTCACCGGTTTGCGTCAAGCAAGAAAGAGCCCATAGTAAAGGGTATTGTTGGCAAAAATATTCAACATATCGAAAGCCATTAGTGTTGATATAATGCCGAGTTGCTTACTTTTAGTGCAAAGGTGCGTGTTTGTAAAGGTATCTGGTCCGGGGGCGATAAAATATTGCATCTCTTGACGCCTGGCCGGGGGGAATTCTGGTTCGGCTTCTTAACCCAGGGCGATGATAGAAGCCAGGTTAGCCACCTAAACATATATGAGTCAGGCTACATCTGTGAAGTGCATATATTCGCAGTAGCTTCTGGGGGTGATGGCCGCTACAAAAGTGAAATGACAGAAGAGAAGAAGAAAAGTGAATAAGCCAGACACTTGAAACACGGAGTTTGTTAATTTTTAATTTTTGTATCGGGATTATTTGGCGGTCAAGGGCCCTTTTTTGGGCTGACGCCAGGAAGTGTAGGTCGGTATCAGCTGGTATATAAACAATTTTGGCTCCTGGAAAATTTTTTGTTCTGGCCTCTCCTGCATAAACCTCAACTGAGCGTGGGGTAGAAATATGATCAAGTTTGTTTTATTTCACTTTTGTCTATTCACTCATAGATTTATTTTGGTATCACATACTGGGATCCTGCAGGGTTGCAGATGAGAGATATGTGAATATCAGTTTCTATTAAGTGAGAAAGGAGAAAGCTCTCCGATCGAAACAGAGGGAAACCAGCTTACCGACCCATCTAATTACTCACCACTCCGGAAGAATCTTGTTTAGTTGAGAGAGCGTAAGACAGGATTTAGAACTCATCGTTGTCTTCACCAGCAATAATGACATTGTTCACCTACGAGGCCAAGTTAGCTCCGAGTAAGATGTATAGTTGTCGGGGCAGCAAAGGGAAAAAGCAGCCCCTGAAAATGGATAGTGGGTACCTTGAGAACGAGACGGCAAAGCTGAGTAGCAAGGAGTAGCTGTTCACGTTTGCCAATTAGAGGGTCAATGACAAAGTGGTCTCTCATGTCTAAGATAGAAACGTTAGAAAGCTGCCGTTATTCGATATAAACGCTCATTGTATATAAACCTACCATTGCTTCCAGTCTGCATGCAATCCACGCCCAGCCTACTGTTCTTCTCCTTAACTTGTTTCGATTTGATAGAGGCTAGGGTTTCAATTGGACTCCATCCGGAATTTTCGGCTAGTGCTAATGGAATAGCATCCAATGCATCTGCGAACGCTCGCATCGCGTATTGTTCAAGGCCGGGGTTCTTCGGACATACGTTAGTTGAATATGGTCGATAAAATGGATATGACAATGAGGCAAACAGACCTTTGAGGCAGCCTCCTCTACTGCGAGGGAGCAAGCAATTTCCGCAGCACCTCCACCATAGACAATACGGTTATCCCGAACCAAGTTTCGCACGACACAAAGTGCATCGTGCAGTGAACGCTTAGCCTCATCAATTATCTAATTTTGATGTTTGTTAGCAAAAATGAGTCATGCAACATGGATTGCAGGAAAAATATTGGCATACCATTTTGTTGCTACCTCGGACAAACACAGTGACAGCTCTGGTGTTTGCGCAATCCTCGATCACCAGCATCTTCTCCCTTGTGGTTCCAAAAGTCATCTCTCTCACAACACCAGCAGTTCCGAGTTTCTCAGCACTAAGGTCTTCAAATCGAGGAACAATCCGGCCGTTAGTGGCAATGGCAATAAGTTCGATCTCTGGGCCACCAACCCATCGGACTGCGGGCAGATCGTTTTGCAAGAGGAGATGGTTGGCCTCGTCGTCAAAGCCCCACTGGCAGATGACCAGATTAGCACCTGTATCCTTGAGCTGTCTTATCATCTCAGTGAATTTATCTTTCTCATAAGCCTGGAGTTTCTTGAACTCCTCCACACTGGTAATATCAAGCTTGTGCTTGGTTTTCGGCTTTGGCGGTTCAAATGCGCACGTTAAGATAGCGATTTTCGCGTCCTTCACTTCATCAGGCATCTGGGGGTGAGAAAAATCTTTGTCCACGATGACACCCTTGACGAGAAGGGAGTCCTCCAGAGAGCCGCCGACTTTTCCATCAACTTTAATTAATTCAAAGTCAACATCTTTTCTTTCTAAATCAGCGACAGAGAGGACGGCATCGACTGCTATCTTTGCAAACTGGTCATGCGCTTTTGATACACTGTGAAAGCCATTCGTTAGCTAATTAGGCTCGGGTATACATATGCAAAGTAGAAGGGATAGTTGGGGACATACATCTTGCTGCCCAAGGAAGTCTTTGCTACCTTGAATAGGTTCTCTTGCTCATCTCGTGAGAACTCGACTTTGTCACTGATACTATCGAGATGTGCTACCGCAATATCACAGGCCTGGTCATAGCCGTCTGCAATTCTGATCGGGTGAATCCCCTTATCAATTAAATCCGCGGCCTGTTCTAGCAGAGCTCCGGCTAATACGACAACACCAGTTGTACCGTCGCCTATTTCTTCGTCCTGCGATTTCGAAAGCTCAACTAGCAATTTCGCAACATGGTTTGATATTTCCATCTAGCTCCGGGTATCTGTTAGACAACTACTTGGAAATCGGCGGGGAAGGAACGTCGCAGACCTGTGAAAGGATAGTGGCGCCATCGTTTGTGATAGTGATATCGCCATCTGGAGAAATTAGGATTTTATCTAACCCTCGAGGACCCTATATAAAAAAAACCCCCCAAGACGTATTAGCACGTAATTGCTGCCATTGTAGAAAGGGTATAGGCCAGCTTACCAGTGAGGTCTTCACAATATTGGCCACTGTCTTTGCTGCAACAATATGAGATTTTACCGCATCGGTGCCATGTTGTCTTTTCTTCTTTCCCTGACTATTAATCAAATGCCAGGTTAGACCTTGAACTTGTAGCTGCAAAGCTTGGGAGGGACAGCCTACTCTCGAACAACAATGAACGGGCGCCCCTGCTCGTCCTTCACCACGGAGGCTTCATATGTCTAGGTTAGATAAATAATTGATAATAATACCACGAGGAGGTCACTCAAATACCTTGGGACATGTCAAGCTCTATTAAATCAACACATCAGTGAGTCTTCTGTAATGAGGGGGGGGGAGTGTGGTTATTTCAGTTGACATACGCATAGCCATCTTGAAGCTGCGGCACTGGGTATTTCTATAAGCAAGGGTTTCTTCTATTTTCCGGGACTTTCCAAATGGTATAATAAGGTCGACACTCTTCAGCTGGCTGCGATAGTTTGCTGTTGTCTTATAAACCGCGAACTTGAAGCCTCCAACTTTGAAAATAATTAAATTCAAAAATAGGCGCTGTGAAGGCTTAGTCATCCTGGTGGGAGGTGATTTCCCAAAGCGGACTAGCGCAATATTGCTCTCAAACAAAACGCGATTTCGCGACGACGTCTGGATGGAACTTTGCGGTTTGTCAGTCTTCAAATGCCGGCGCAAGCTTGATATTACTTGATCCTGGTTGGCTTTTAGTTGCTGAAACTGCGCCTGTCATTTATTCGCTACTTCGCTGTTTTTCTACATCTTGCAGAAGTCGTCGGCATGCCTCGTGAGTACCGTTACTTGTATGCGTCTCCATATCGGGGTTACTAACAGCTTGAAGCACACATTGAATCTAGTGACGAGGAGTCCGTCGGCGAAGCTATTCCTTTCCACAGCAAGGAGGACGAGGAAACCAAACCCATCAAGGATGATGAGAAAGACGACCAGAACGGTGAAGAGGACGAAGAGGACGAAGCTGAAGATGATGACGAGGACGTGTAAGCAACGCAATCGCTGGCTACCTTTCTTGTTGCGCGGCAATAGCTAATGGGTGGATAGATATGTCGTGGAGCGAGTTGTAGGACATAGCTTTGACAAGAAGGTTTGGCAATTACCCTCAGGCTCCTCTTCTGATCATGCGTTGTCTAACAATGCGAGTTGAACAGGGAAAGCTCCAATTCGAGGTGAAGTGGAAAGGATATGATGACCCTTCAGATATGACTGTAGAACCAGAAGAGAACTTGCTGTACTACCTACCTCACTTTTCTTTCTGAAATTTTTTGCCCAACCGCTAAACTGAGTTAACAGTGACGGAGCGCAAGAGGCCCTCGAAGAATACTTTAAGAAGATTGGCGGTCGACCCGAAAAGCCCACGAAGAAGCGGAAATCGCTAGCGGATAAAGCATCATCTACACCAGACAAACCAACAAAGAGAGGCAGGAAGCCCAGCTCTATCAAAGTTGGAACATCGGACCAGGAATCTTCCCCTGAAAATACGGATTGGGCACCTCCTACAGGTGACTGGGGGAAGGAGCTGAGCTGTATCAGCACAGTTTTACGTGACCCCGATGGTGATGGGCTTGTTGCCTACTTGGAGTGGAAAAATGGAAGGAAGTCGAGAGCCCCAATTCAGACTTGCTACGAACGCTGCCCTCAGATGGTATGATAGCCAAATATCTGGGATAAGAGATCACAATGCTAATATTTTCAAATAGATGCTTAAATTCTACGAACAACACCTGTAAGTTCTTCCCTTATTGCATCATTAGCAAGGTTCAAGAGCTAACTGTCTTTTGTAGGGTATTTAAAGAAGTATGAATCGAATATTATTTTGTGGCTGGTCACGACACGCGGAGGGCCAACATTAACTACTAATAGGCTTCAACACCATGACCTGCACCGAGCTCGAATTTACATAACGGCCTATTTGGGAGCTGCGGATGTGACCTGATCCGATTGTTATGGTCTTCCGCGCCCTATCGCTAGCCTCTGATACACGTCTCAAGCCTGGGCGACTAGAATCATTTCTCCCCCACTGGTTAGTTGAGTGTCTACATACCTGTGCTCACCATTTTGTAACGTCCCCTTCTCCCCTTTAACTTTAACATCGGCTTATCTAGCTGGCTAGGCAGCGAGGAGTAGCTAGCTGTCTTGTTTTATTTGCATTATAGCCTGCTGTTTCTCTTACATTTCATCCTCTATATGTCCGTTCAACTTGTACACTTGGAGTATTACGGTGCGTTAGCCTGGATTACATGCTTATTCAATAAACTGCATACTTTCTACGATTCATAAGAAAATTTATGTTGACGACGGTGAAGCACAGAAGTTTACCAAGATTAGTAACTATCTCGTGAGGTTGTATGCTTGGTATGCTTGATCTGTCCAGTACCGTTCTCCATAAAGTGCTTCACTCAAATCCGTCAGGTATTCAAATCGAACATCAAATTCTTCTCTGCCATGCTTCTGTTCAATACGCGCGATGGCTCGGGGATCTACCCCTTGAAGTGCAGCGTCGTCCTCTTCACTCCATACCCCTTTCATGTCGAGGGGAATACCCTTCCCAGCTTGAAAATATTTGAGCACTTCATCAGCAAGAATACGATCCAGCGATGTACAGCGGAGAGCCATTTTAACTTGCTCTTCAGATAACACGCCCTGGCTGCGTGATACTCGAGATCTAATCCATTCTGCAACCTTTTCGGCTTCATCTTCGACATAATATTGTTCAGCGATGTTCTGTGTAGCCTGCGCAACTAAATGCGAGCTTTGTCTTGGATTTTGGACAACTCTTTGAGGGGAAATTTCTTGTTGCTTGGAGTTCATGTGCTGCCTATGTGACTCTTCCCTGAAAGTAACTGGTGATTTAGAGAACCCTATGGAGAAGCTGTGGGATAGGGTGGACTCTAGTTCTAGGCTGCTGCCTTTCCTGCTATCTGCACCCGTGGGATTGACATCACTGGAGACGAAGCAGTCAGGCAGGGTACGCCTTCTCTTCGCTTGAGGGATCTGTTTGTCACTGCCTGTTCCACCTAACTGTCTGCTATCGATCGTGCTGGTATTTTCTCGTGATACCTTTGTGGTATCAGATATACTGCTGTATCTGGGCATTGCTTGCCGCTTTTTCTTCAATTTTGACTCATAGATCGGACGAACATATGTATGGAAGTAGTTTTTCCATTCTGTTGCTGAATGTCTACTCTGAAATACCGCCATGTTAGGAAACCAAGATGCACTAACGTGATAACAGGAACATACCTCATTTTTGGCAAATTCAGACCACATCTCATCTTCTGCATCTGGTGAAACTCCCAAGATATCTTCCGCATTTTCAAGGAGGACATCCCTGTCCGTTTGGGTAAATGGCCCTGGCCGCGGGAGGTAACTAACCTTTTTTACGTATCGGTCACGCCATGCTTGCCATGTATGGTTCGGATGCTAAATGGCAAGTTTAGAAGTTGTCTCTCATAAATAAAAATGGCTTTAGGTACCTGTTGTTCTAATTGTTGATATATCTTATTTCCAGAAACTGCCCCACCAGCCATTTTGTATCTTTCCATCCAGTCGTATAAAATTTGATCATCTTCCGCAGTGAACTGTTTCCTATACCGTTTTGCTGGACCCATGGCAGGCTGCCGGACACTTCCACGGGGAGCTCCTACTAAAAATTCACTTGGCTCTTGGAGTACTCTTTGACGAATTGAACGCTCCACAAATTGATACGAATAACTATTGGGTATCAGTTATTAGTACCCGAGCAAATATAGGATATGTGAGGCAGCTCACTGACGTGCCGGGTTTGTTCTCCTTCTTTAGATGGTCAACAAGAAGGATATCGGCATCCTTTTCCAGGATCACTACCCGCCCACCGTGTGCCTAGGTGAAATTAGTATAAACAAGGAGTCAAATTACAACTTGAAGAAGTCAAAAGTTAATTATCCATAACTCACTTCAATTTGGCGTCTCATATAGGTCCGCTGAGGAACGGTCATAGATAACCAAAACTTGATATCTTTAAACAACTGAGGGGTTGAGCTAGGCTGGAGAGCGCCGGCTTCATTACCAGCGGAATGAGCACTTGGTCCGTCCATTTGAACTACTAACGCGATCGTTACATCGGAAGCCGTATTGATGTTGGAGTCTTCCAATGCGAGATCCAGAACGTCGAGCTTCGCGGTCGTCAAGAGCAGGCGCGCCCTGAACCTTGGAAGCGCCACGTGGTCACGTGAAGATAAGCGCCCCCCGGCTGTTCTCGAGCGAGGTGAACCAAAGAAACAACGGGCTAAGGTTAACCAGGCAGAAGCAAATGCAAATGCCAGTCACCTTCTAGATATTTAAAGCGAGGGAGGTCTGTAAGGACCTGGAGGTAGGTCTTGATCGCCTCTTCGTGGGCATTTGGTGCCCCTGGGAAGCTGTGTGGAAATGGGGATTTTGAAGGAAATTGTCGGGGCTATTCTAGCTCTCTCGTTGGTCGTCTTTATCACACTCTTTGGCCGAATTCCAGCTTTTAGGTAAAATTATATGCCTTTTTCCGTTATATGCTTGGTATGACAGCTACTAAAGCGCAGCAGAAAAACTCCAGTTGGTTATATATATCGTTTTGTCTGGATACACATTCCTAGATACGCCCGAGACGCAGATGGATATTTATTTGGGGGAAGGTTACTCAGTTGCTGTGGGAGGACGGGAAATTATCTCATGAACGAAAACCATCCGTTGGTTTTGGTATATACTACCTCTATTTCTGATGGTTTTGCGAATGCGTCCTGACGGCTAACTGAAAAAAAGATCTTCTTTGTCGGCCTGCTCGTTATCTCTGAGGCTATTTTCATACCGGCAGCGTGGGGAAGGCTGAATACTATCCACAAATTTATGGTCCCTGTTGTCGTCGTTTTACCATACGCATTTCTCTATCTCAGCGTCAACTCAAAGTCCGCCATTACCCCTGAGAATCACTTGAAATACCTACGTGAATACCCTTATGATAATATGATATTTCACCCGAACATGACATGTAGAACATGTCATCATTTGAAACCTGCCCGCAGCAAGCATTGCAGCCTTTGCAAGTCTTGTGTTGCACGGCACGATCATCATTGCGTATGGTTGCGCACCTGTGTGGGCCGGAACAACTATCATTACTTCCTAGGGCTGCTATTATTCACATCAGTGCTCCTTTTTTATGGTTCATTTCTTGGATATTCTCTCATGGACGGGGCGTTACAGCAGGCTGTTAGCCCTGCCACGACCCGACATTGGAGTGCAGATATGCCCATGATGGTGTTCTTGGACCTTTGGCTTTTGGCCCTTACAGATGATCTTCGAATCGGCGCCATTACTTTACTGTCACTATTATGCGCTCCTTTATCTTCAGCAATGTTTTTTTACCATATTTATCTTATATGGTCTGGGATGACTACAAATGAAAGTAGTAAGTGGGGGGAATGGCGTGACGATATTAGTGATGGCTTTGCATATATAGCAAAGGCCAAGGAAGTCCGCCCACAACATGACATACATCCGAGAGACGAGGATATCATCTGGCCGAAACGAAGTGACCAGACGCTTATATATACCAACGGCCAACCGCCTAGGGTAGGATATACGTTCACTGACGAACGAAACTCAATAAAACAGCCGAGCAGATACGACGCCCCGATTGACACAAGGTGGACACAGGTACAAAGTCTCAAGGAAATAGTAAATATATATGATCTGGGGTTCTTAGGGAACCTTTGGGATTCTATTTTAAAGCGATAATAGAGTCATGCATATTGATTATTAGAAAAGATTAGCTAGTTGCTGTCTTCAAGCTCTTTATCTTTATATCAACATTTCGTAAAAAAAAAAAAAAAAAAAAAAAAAACGGAGTCGGCAAAACCGAAATGCCGAAAGCTAGGCGGGCTCCAGTCCATCCACCTGCTTATCGCAAAATCAAGTGGACAACTTCATCATTTCGTTTTCTCACTTGACGATCCAACAGACAGTTCCGTGGGTACAAATTTTGAGAGATGGCTTCGTCCACGGTGCCAGAAACCACAGAAGACGCTGGAACGCAAAGTAATCCAAAATGCACCGCCCCAGAGCTTCTGCTGAAGGTGGTATTAATTGGAACTTTGAGCCATTACGAAACTCGTGGGATGATTGATGATAAGAGACTGGAACACATGCTCCTTGCGGGCAAGCAAATACTGTACAAAAGCCACCAGGAAAGTGACGTAAGGTAGGATATGTTTTCCACATAGCTGGCACAGCTTTTTCTGTTAAATCTGGAGAGGAGAGGGGGAAATAAAAATAGTTACCTCACGAGTATAAATTTCTAAGCTAATTTTTGCCTACTCTGCAGACAAAATCTAGGGTTCTCACCTGCGATATGGCAGGGGCTTACTGATGTACTCACTAAAGCTATCCCGGTATTGGAATCGCAATCTTTTGCCTGGAAGAATCCGGCATCTGCAAACTATGACGGCTCTTCATCGAACCTGATTGCATATAATTACTTCCCCCTGGTAAAAGACATTGAACGATTGAACGATCTCTGTACAATTGCTCGGAACCTACTTGCAACAACCAAAAAGGCGCAAAATCTGGCTGCAGAAAAGGGCTTTGACCAGAGGATTTTGATGCTGATTGATACTTGCGTTAGAGTGACTGCTAGGGGATATGATGGAGAAAGCAACGCGAGAAATGAAGAGAGATGGCAAAAGGTTGTCAGCCTCTATAAGCGGCTATTGATTACATGCCTTCAGTTTCTCCATAATTTCATTATGCACAATGAACACCGAAAGCTGGTTCTCTGGCTGGATCTGTTCGGCTACCACCAAAATGGCGAATCTAGCATTATTACCCATATGGAGCCTCTGGATCAATCGAACAACGCTGCTCAAGGACTTGCGCCGATTGTTAGAGCCGGGGAGCGACTCGTTAATCCGCCTCTTAGGACACTTTATGACCAAACTGCCGAGGACCTATTACTAGAGACGATTTCATCTTTCCCAAGGGAGCCTGCCACCATAAAAGAAGAGGCTGCTATGCTACTGTTAGCTAATATCAAGGACCATATGGAAAAGCTCCTCGGTCGAAATTTGAAGGAGATCCAGCAGATGGGTAAAGATCCCGAGCGTGTCAAGGAAATTCGGGCGGCTCTCACTGCCATCCTAGGCGCAAAAGTGGACGGCTGGGCAGACTTGAACGACCGTCAAGCAAGTCCATGTCGAGTCGAGGAAGAGCCTACGCGCAAAAAACCTATTTTAAGCATCGACAGAAGTGCTACGGCGGGCTTCCCACGCACATGCTGGACAGATTTCCCAAATCTTGATGAATATGGTGTTATATCTGCAGTTGATGCTCCAGTAACCCCGGAGGACCGAATTATGACACGTTCAGCACAGTCTGCAGCTGAAACTCTCCAAGAAGCTAAAGATGAACTAATGACACGCTTACAAGAAACCTCACCTGTACTTACAGAGGGCGAGCATCACTATGATGGCATGGAGCGTACTGGTATTGCTGACGATGATTCACGAAGCTTGGAAGCAGTGGTGGATGGTAGCGTCGAGGAAGAAGAAGACGAGGAGGACGACGATGATGATTATAGGGGGCGTCCGGGGGACCAGCAGCGCGGCCTATTGACTGATATCCCCTTGGTGTTAGGGCCTGCTGAAATTGAAGCTCTACCAATGTTAATCCAGGCTGGAATTGTGGACAGTTTTGGGCCCAAAGGTGGTCCTAAAACGGGATCTAAAAACATGCAAGCTGTTCGCTGTCACATATTGCTTGCCCAAGAAACTGGGCGGAATCTGCTTAGAGAGCTCCTAATATTTATTGCTGCATGGGATCTCCCCGACGACGAGCTTTACTTCAAAATGATGGTTCAGATTATGGAAGCCGTCCTAAACAATGGACTCATGTCGCACGCCTATTCTGATTTCGGACAGGCTAAGGATATTATATCCCCTGCGCAAGCTGTCGTGATAAAAATCCTCACCCATATCTTCCGGTCGAAATACTCACCGCCGAACATTGCATCTACGGCAGAAACCCCAACCGGGAGAAGTTCTATTACTGTCACCAAAGTCGATGTTCTGACAGTTCGCTATATTTTCACTATCTTCCGTGGAAACATCATTCCGGAGACATGCGCTTTGATCTATCTTCAGGGACAGATTCGAGCTGGACATGCCCTTCCTGAAGATTTCCCACTGAATTTGTGGGACATGGAACGAGTGTATGAAGGAGTTTACCAATTCCTTGAATTCTTTGCGGTTCTGACGGAAAATACCGAATGGAAGAACCTCCTCGTCCAGTGGGAGATTGTATACGATTTGGTGACTTTGATCAAAGAATTGGAAGCTAGCATTCCTAAGGGGTCTCTCAGTTCGCTGACCCAAGCCGTCGCGGCAGCAGCTCCAAGAACTCCCCAGCAAAACCCGTCCAACGAGGCTTCTCCCTCTGAAAGTGACAGTGCAGTCGTTGCCCCAGTAGCAGTTGAACGGCCATATGATCCAAACGATTCCGAGCCGGTCGATAATGCCACCGTTGGCCCAGAGTCTAGGGTACCTTCGCCACCAATTGGCAACGAAGACCCAGCTGAATTTGAATGGCGTAACCTAAAAAAACTGGTTATATTGGTGCTTTCCTCTCTGGTTTGGAAATGTCCTCAGGTCCAGAATCAAATTCGAAAGTATAGCGGGATTGAGACAATCCTATCCTGTACTGCCTTCGATGCTCATAATCCATACATCAAAGAACATGCCGTCATGTGTTTGAAGTTCCTGCTTGAAGGAAACCGGGAAAATCAAAAGCTAGTGGAGCAGCTAGAAGCCCGAGAGGTGGTTCAGGATGATTCCAAGATACTAGAGAAGAGCGGGTATGAAGCAGTTTTGGGCCAGACAGGAAAACTTTCGCTTCGTACAAAAGAGGTCAATGGCCCTCCGCCTCCACCGCAGGTTAGCTAGAATTGGAGGAGTTGGATATTTTTCCGTTGGCCAGATTCCAAACCTCCGACACAAACTTTGCTTTACACTGTGGTCATGATCATTCTAACCAAACCAGATCCTTTACAGGTTTATCTGAACATGCGGGATAACGCCTGGAAATTGAATTCGCTCTTGAGAAGGGTTACATGGCTAGAATAGAATCAAATCAGGTGCAAGTGTAATTATTATTTTTTTTTTTAACACCTTAGACAGGTGGTATAGGCACTTTGCCAACATCAATCGCATCTGTTGATGCCTGGGGGGTTGTTTCCGGTGTATTCCTTCATCACTTATTATCATGGACAAGAGTTTGATTGGTTTGATCTGTTACCGTCACTTCTCGGTTGACTGTATATCTTGAATGGGTTGTCAGCCGAGTCAACTTGCCCTCATATAAGCTAGTTTTCGTTTCAATATTCAACAGGATGGATAACCCTCTCATTTGACATCGTAATTTTGCAAAACTAGGCAGTGCAGGGACAGCTGAGGATAAAAAAAAAAGAAAAAAGAAAAACATTCTATTAGTTGAGGGAAATCAGAATAGAGAGAGTGGGGGTTCTCACGTTATATGATTCTTCCCAGGGGTCAACTCGACTATATTGCTACAGAGGTAGCATTGCAGGCGTGTACTTTTTGTACTCAGGTTTAGAACCTGGAGTATTGTGGTATTGTCTAGGCAGTCTCCTTCATGAGAATCAGATTTGCAAATTGTACAGGTGACTGTATTGCAGTACGGACATGAAGCAATCCTGTCTTTAATGTTTTTAGAAGGTATAACTCTGGAACAAAAGGAGGAAAAGCAGCAGGTCCTATCGTCCGCTTCGAATTGGGAATTTTCGGCTAGAAAAGATTAATCAGGTCAGGCATTATGAATCTTGCAACTTGCTCGAATATGATGGGTTCGCCACAGCATTGGGGCGGGAACTGTGCGTCGCCAATTGAGGATTCCTGGAATAATTTTTGGAGACATTCAGGGCAGCATAAATGGGTGCAGGGAAGCCTCACAGATTCAAAGACGTGGATGTGTCTGGAGCATATTCCGCATCCAAGTGTTTCGGGCCACGGTTGTTTTTGATATTTGGCAGGTAGTGGAGGTGAGGATTCATACGTCACTCGCGGGGAGGCCTTTCCAGGGTGGATTTTCAAAGCTGGAAGCTCTTTAGGGAGGATAGTCATTTCGTCCGGATGGCACGCTAACTGGCGGTCCTGGCATGCTCGACTCTCAGATTTGAGAAATTCGCGTAGGGCTTCTTGATCACTGTAAATTGCAGTTGCGATACTCCTTGTTATCGAGGTGTCTCTGAGTATATCTGCCGATCTAGTGAGCTCGGCGCTACAAAGCTCTAACGATAAATCGGGGTCAGTTAATTCTTCTTCGCGAGCTTTGCCTTTCGACTGGTCCTTGATTTCTTGTAAGTCGTCAAGTTGAAGCTGAATAATTAGTCTTGCAGTTTCTGGATCGAGGTCTTCAAGATTGCTGTAGGACATCTTGCTGGGTGATAGGTATATCTATCGACTTCTGAGTTTTCAATTGTCTGTAATGGGAGCTGGGTAGAGGTAACGGTGGATTGCATAGCGGTATTTATTGCGGCGAGGAAAATGCTGTTACGCTGATGTGGGCAGGCTGGAAAATTCCGTTAGTTAACCAAAATCGGAGTATAAAATGCAACGGGTATGAAAAACAATGCAGTGAGGTTCTAGCTAGTATGCAATCACAGCCTAGCCATGACCTCTCAATTTCGTTCAAAGAGGTGTATTTTGAAAGCCAGAGTCGGGCTAGAATGAATAGGTAGAAGCGTCCTCGTACACAATTGATGTCATAGGAGTATGTAAGGGGCAGCATTTTCTGGAAGACAGGGTATGTATGGGTTGGTAAGTTGAAGGGAAATGCAAAGAAGTGTAACAAATGTGCCTCTAGAAAGGAGACTAAAAGGTAGTTATCTTATCGATCAGATGTTGAGTGTAATAATCCTCCTTTTGTCTTGTAAATCCAAGTCTTTACGCATACATGCCATCCCACTCCCCCTCCTCGTCATCATCATCAACCCCGCCAGACTTTTTCATGAGTCTTTCCAACCTCTCTTGTTCCTTTTGGCGCTCCTTCTTTCCAAAATCTGTCCTATCAAGAGGACATGTTCCTCTAAGCCGTAGCCAAGGGCGTACGCATTCCAAGTCAAACATATGCGATGTATGACAGGGTAGCCTGACAACTAGAGGATGCGAATCTTCTAGGAATGGATTATTGCATATTGGACATGTTTGGGACTCTTTTAGCCTCGTCTTAGGAACACGGTCAAGCACTATGAAGGGCACAGGGTGAGTAGCTATTCGCAATCCAGCAAAAAGAGTTACACATACTATCGCAAAACTCCTCTGACACACCTTCTACTTCTCTCGGAGGAGCTTCCGCATCCTGCAGTAGGGCCCGGATCATTTCTTCTATCAATTGTCCTTGCCCAGCGTCGGGAATTTCAGGGTCTCGCCCGTCATAAACTGGTAGCGGCGCATTATCCCCGCTGCGTCTCATAACATCGAATGCCTCTGCAAGAGACCTAAATGCAGCGCTTACATCGCCTGGTACCGGCACTGCATAGGGTCGTGTCCTCTCGTTGCCTTGGTTAGGACTGATTTCATTGAGTGTGGCGAAGAATGTAGACAGGTCAGGACGAGCTGAGCGTCGAGAGCTGGTTTGCCGGGAGTTATTGGTAGACGAGCTATTATCGTCAGTTGTGGGGTGCTCAACTATAACAGGTATTAGATTCCATTAAATGAGCAATTGTATAACTATTATTAAGCTCCGAGAGGTGTTCAGGCAAGCTTGGGAGAATGCAAGCATCCACCCCGCGAGCGCTCTATTCAGACATACCTTCGTAGGAAGCCATTGTAATATAGAGAACAGAGAGCAGACGTAAATAGCGAAGGAAATAGGGCGGTATGGCTCCTCTGGTTAACTATTGATCAACCTCTGTAAGCAGTTGTTGTAGTGTTGCGCGAAGTTTGCGGGAGTTGACGATGTTTGAATTTATTGGAGACCCTAGTTAGCCCACCAGGCAGCGCTTCTGGCGTCATCAAAAGCGGCGCTAAGCGGGTAACTATCTGTAAGCAATAGATAAAACTGCCAAAGAGCTCGGAATGCCTACAACGCGTCTCTGGACATGGCGGGAAGAAAGAAGATCGAGTCAATGCTATCATATCTTTAATACGTGATGTTAGGACGTTTAGTATTTGGGGAGTTATTAGTTATGTATTTGCAAGTGATGGTGCTAATAGGCTATAACTAGGCTCTCGTCTGGAATTAACGGCCCAAGCATGCTGAAATATCTCAAATTTGATCTTATATAATGAATTAGGTGACTATCATATCTGCAGCATACTTATCTGGAATTCAATAGTTGAAGTCCTCGTAGATAAGCTTCTTCCCTGTTAGCCAAATAGTAGCAGCCGTCTTTAGCTCGGTGCCAGCACAGATATACCAGACATCTGCATCAGGCACAGCGGAGAGATCTTCCTTTGTCAATCGTCGGCGCTCTATTTTTGCCCCTGAAGAGGTCATCGAGATAAGCGCCTTCTTATCACCTTCATCCATATCCTTTTCAATGGTGGGGGAGCCGGAAGTAAGAAACACAGTAGTGGCATTTGGTAGGGTAGGATATTGTTCAAAAACGTCATATACAAGTCCAACATCTTTCATCGACACCGACCACAAAAGCTTTAGTCGGGACATATCAATATCCGGGAGCTGTGCGAGGAGGGGTGTGATTCCTATCCCACCGGCTACGAAGGGAAGAGCGCAACTATCATGGCCAACGCACTGGGTTGATCCGGAGCACTCAAATCGAAAACTCCCATCAAACCCACGAAGCGATAGCTCCAACCCACTTCTTTCGCTGGCCCTAAATAGGTGGCTGGTGGCATTCCCCTTTTTCCTGACCGTGATCTCGAATTCGTTCTTGGCAAGATTGCGCCCAGGATGTGATGACACTGTGAAAGTGCGAATATAGTCATCATTGATACTTGTGGGGTCATCATCTCTCATGTGGCTGTATCCCATGTCTAGCTCCTCTCGGAACGAAACAGTAGCATACTGTCCTGGTATCCATTTGAAAATAGTGGAAGGGTCAGATGCCTTAAATTTGAATCGATTAATAGTAGGGGTGATCACATCCTTTTTAACCAAGATGACTCGCGTATCCGCATTATCGGGAAGTCGGCTGCCGGGAGCTGGCTTCTCAGAAGCCAGATACCGCACTTCTGGATTGTAAGGGGACCGCTGCATTGCCTCCCCACGAAATGAAAGACCATTTTCTACGTATCTGGCAGCAGTGACACTAACTCTGACGGCGAGGTTTGATCTGGGAAGTATCTTCGCTGCATCTTTTCCTACTAGGACCTCCGTTTTTCCGGTGATATATAAAATGTGCCCTAACTCAAAATCTGGAAACGCATACCCTGCAAGGGGCGTTGTTTGGAGGTTGCCTAGAGTCTGATATAAACGGTTCCCTGAATATTCTGGGTATACTATGACGGCGCCCGTACTATCGTTGGAGAGCAACCGAACAAAACCTGCTGGGCCTCCACGAATATTAGAGTCCATAGAGTCATTTCCATGGGAACTGGCTACAAAAAGGGTATCTATTCGACCGAGTAGGTCAAGTGCCTCCTGAGGGAGATGAGGCGAGTTTGATATTAGTTTGGGATGTGGTAGTGCTGGTGTGATGTGTTTCTTATTAATATATTTGGGACAATTTCCTAGGCGAAGGTCAGTAAAATTCGGGCATGGGATAGATGGGGCTGGCGATCAAATAGTTATCTCACCTAAGCTTCCCTCAACTTTCATAACTAACTGTATTTGGGCAGACTTCCCTAAGCTAGGATCGTTTATACTTCTGTTTCCAGGGTCTTCTTGGGTATCCACTTCCATAGAGCCTGCCACCATCCGTCCCATCAACTTAACACGTCTCCTATTCTCCATGTCAATAGGCAACGCGGACATTAGTCTTCCTGGCGGGGGTTCCTTGACAATGGTGCCGGCCAATTCGCCGCCAAGTAGTGTTTCTGCGACGGGATCATGGGTTCCGTCGATAACATTCCTTATTCCGATGATGGATTGAGCAACTGGACCAACGAATCCAGCCTGGCCACCCCATACTGTACTCCATGGACGGCCTTGTTTATCCAGTGTCCCCAATGCAAGCAGAGGACATTTTTGGACTAGTGCAGCTGCTCCAGGGCTCAAGAAAGCCGCTGTTGGGTTCTCCTCGTACGGAACGTGCATCAGTTCATGCATCTTCTTCTCTCCCTCATGCCACTGCACCTCTCCGGCTAGTACAAAGGCCATGATGTAAATATTGGGAATTAGCTTGTATATCCGGAAAAGCTGTGGATTATGTGCTACTTTGATCGTTAGATTAACGTCGTGAAAAAGTATCCATAGAGGTATATATAGGGAGAGGTAAAAGCAATGGCGTTTGGATATCGTGCTCGCACTGATTTATCTACGAGCTTCACTGAGCATGCCTATCACGGCATATTATGTTGAAGGATTTGATCACGCCAGACATTGCCGTCGTGCCTCATTTTGTTGGAGAGCGAAGCCGAAGCCACGGGTTGATTTGTAATTAGTTAGTTAGGTCGTAGGCACCTCCGCCAGGCCGGCGTTACTGTTGATTAGTAACACGGAATATAACTAATCCAGCTACAGTGCGGGCCCGTGCGGGCACCTGAGGTGGGGCTACCCGGGCTGCCGAGGCTCTCCAATCACGATCTAATCTAATCTAATCTCGAGGTACCTCCCTTATCAGACCTCCTAATTTAGGGGGTGCCTAAGGTGGACGTTGCCTCAACTCGCTCAGCCTTATTATTGACAGCTTTTGAGAACCTCTGGCCCTTTACTCTCCTCAACTAGTTAAGCTAAATACTGGAGGGCTTGAAAAGAATAAACCGGTTCTTTCGTTTCCAACTTCAATAAGCGAGCAACGTGATATCACAACCCGAGCATCTACAATTGTGAGAATCGATTTCTCTCCGCAGGAGATTTTTGACTCCCGAGGAAGAAGCTATCAAAGGTCTAGCTTTGTGCTTTTGATCACTAGTGTGAACTCACCTTCTTGGCTCATATTTTCACAATTTTCTTTTTGGGCTTCTCTACTACTAGTACGACGCATACTCTGGAATATCCTCTTCACTTAGGTGAGGTTCTATGAAAACTTCTACTTAATAGTACGGTTAACAACTATTAAACCAAATCACTGTATTGATCAATGAAAAGAAGAAAAGAAGGCGAATCAGAATAGTTGTGCGATAAATATGTACAAAAAGTAAAACTTTCCGCCCTGGAAGCTCTAGTTTCAAACCAGAGCAACATGACAGGGATGCATGGGTATCTAGTAAAGTCGAGGCATTGAACTACAGACTTAGAATAAAGTCAAATGTGGAACAACAGTTGGGACGCCACATATTACGTTGCAAATCCAGCAAGTCCAAAGGAGGTCGAGCGACCTCCACCAGTTAAAACCTGTTTTCGCTTTGAAGCAGTGACTCGGGCTTGCTCTTTGACTATTATGTGGGTTAGCCCAGAGAAATCCATAACACTGTTGGTGATATCAACACAACTCACACTCATCCCATGTGATGGGTTCCTTGACAATATCTTTTGCCTCTCTCCAGTTGTGCATGCACCATGCGGCAATCATAAAATCCAAATACTCCCTATCAAAATCATCCCAACTTTTCATCAATTCTAGTCGAGGGGCTGATATCTCCACTTTATTCTCCATATCCCAACGCCTCCGTGTCTCCATGGCTATCAAGGGGCCATTCTCCTTTTCACGCCATTCATAAAAGGATGAGTCGGTAGTCTCACCAACTTGAGCAGCATTACCACTCTCTGATCTCTGGAGGTAGAATGACGGCAGTCCTTTACCCCAGGCGGTCCATCCTGATCCGACGCCAAAAGATGACCTGCTCATGCGGCCCCTTTTATCTGACAAGTACCGTCTACCATCAATCTCGTAACGAGCATGCCCTATGTGAAGAACTGGCGCATCACGAAGAGCAAAAACATCACGCTTAACAATCTTGGTACTTGGTGTGCCCCGAGAAGAAGTAGATGAGACTGTCCGATCTTCAATACGTGTCAACAAAACTCCATACTGATTCAACTCGTGGCCATCTAGAGCATGAGTTAAGCTGTAGACTGGTTGGCCACCCTGACTGGCAGAAGAACATATTTCTTTGCCATGTATAGTCAGTGTCACTGCACCGCTGGATCTCTGCTGTGGCCTTGGGGCTGAAGCTTGAGGGCCCTCACTTGCTACATCTTCGTAGGCAGGTGGCGAAGAGGAAGACATCTCAGACTTGGAGGGGTATGGGTGGCCAGCATCCGCCATTTGCACGTATCTCACGGTAAGCCGTTCATTGACCACTGCGCTCCATCTGCCGGCTTGAAGCCTTTCAACTGCTAGCTCTGGCCAGGAGAAAAAGTGAGGGAGAGAGACGAGGCTGAGCCTCAACCTCGAGCTGCGCTCTGACGTCATCCCCGAAAACACGAAGCGACAAGGGGCTAAAGCGAAGCCGCCAACCAACATCCATGCCAGTCGCATGGCGGACGGACTGGCGGAAAGGCGAACGAAGCAAAAAGATGGAGAAGGAAGAGACGAAGAGAGACATTATTGCTCGCATTCTACATCCTGGTAAGAAGCAATTTAGCTAACTCTGCACCAGGGATGGGACTCTGCTGGTTTGACTCCCAACTGACAAGGCACCGAGGCCCTGCTCTCCCGCCTCCCGAGAGAGCGAGCTCACCTCTGCTGGTCAGATCGATTTCCATCAAATAGACAAGTCTTCTTCATATCCACCTCAGAACCTGGGGAAGCTCCTAACGGTGGGATGGACCGAAAATCCCCAGACGGATCGCCGAGGCCAGCTAATAATAGAAACTAGCTAGTCTCCGGCCTGGCAGAGTTCCATGGTTTTCTCCCTGCTGGTGGGCGAAACGCCAAAGTTCTGACTAGCGATGCAAGAATGCTACGATGATGACCTAACTATGCCAATTGTTCAAGGATTTCGTATTTTAAGACATTTTTTTCCTGCAGTTCCCACCTGTAAGTGCAGGCTCGTTTGCTCGTCAACCTGCTTTGCGGTGGTTGCCTTTGGACCCGCGATGGATGATCGACATCCCAGCAAAAAGCCAACATCGACTTCCATCCGACTTTGCCGCAGACAAAATCCAGACACATATTACACCTGGCCGTATTTTATTCCTCTCCTTTGATGTCTTACAACAGGCTCCACCGGCTGGTTCTATAGTGGATATCAGATCTCTACGCCGCAACGCTGGCCTGACCTACTCTCACTAATTAGTTACCTTAGATATGGACTCCATTGTCTGTTGGTTGCATTTGGTTGCTGGATCTTGGAGACATAGTTGTCCAACAAGTGCTCTGAGCAACGTACCACCACTATGGATAACTATTTAGAGTGGAGTTTTGCATGTTTCTTTACCAAACGGATATATCCGTTGGCGGCGAGGCAAGACGAGACATACTGCTTGAACAACCAGAAGATATGCATGTTGCGAAGAACAAGGTAGTATTGAATGAATGTGACCCTGGTTGCCTGCTTCGCTCGTCCCCGTTCAAGAAGATGCTCCTGCAGCCACTAAGCGTACCTTGGATCTGAAACCTCTCCAACGGTTGACATTCAGCTCCAATCCTATTCCTGGACATTCGCGGAGTGCAGGGTGCATCGGTGCTGAAAATAAACTCCCTCAGGCATATTACTTAACTGTGGAGTAATATGTGCTTCTGTTACCATTAGGAGAATGTATTATCTGGCATAGTTATGATTTGATCTACGGCTTCTTGTCTATTGGTCGGAAGCAGGGAGTCGCCTGCCAGTCGGCTATGCAATGGAATTATATCCCCTCTTTCATACCTCGAGAGTCAAAAAGACGCTCGCTGGGGTTAGAGTAAAGGTTAACAGAGATATTAGGTATATCATGATCCAGATGAGGGCTGCTTTAAGCCAATGGTACCAGTGGATCCGTGGCAGTAGCCCTTTCTCCCCTCATGCCTCAAGTTCGTATAGCTCATGGATTGTCGAGGAGTCAAGAAGCAATCTAAGACATCAATTGCCATACACTCTTCCCATGGAATTGCTCACGAAAGGTATAAATACGCTGTCCAATTCCCTATGATCAACCCATTATCTCCATCATCAGCTCCTACTTCTCACATACAAGCAACCACAGCATCTTTCTCCAAGCCTTTACCAAACATATCCTTCAAAATGCAGTTCAAAGCCATTGCTCTCACTGCCATCGCGGCCATTACCCCATTCACTGCTGCTGTTGGACATGCCATCGTTGAGAACCACTGTGATAACAACGCCTACCTCTGGTCTGTTGGTGGCTCCGTTGGTCCCCAGCAGACCATTACCCCCGGACACACATACTCCGAACAATTCAGATACGACCCAGTTAGCGGAGGCATCGCCCTTAAGATCACTCGCGTTCAGAATGGCATCTACAACGGTTCTCCCCAAACCATCTTTGCCTACACCCTGACGGACACAAACACATTTTACGACCTCTCCGATGTCTTCGGTGATGCCTTTGCCGGAACCAGCGGCTTGCTTGTCTCTACCTCCAACCCTGACTGCCCCGACATCTGGTGGCCCAACGGTGTCCCACCAGCTGGTCAGAAGTTTACTTCTGCCTGCCAAAGAGATGCCGATATCACCCTTACTCTCTGCGCTCAGCCGCCAAAATAAGTTATTGAATCTGTATGTTTTAATTTAGTTTTCTTACTATTTGGGTACCATAGACTAACCTCTATCAAGGATGAATATAATGGCTGGATTTGGAAATTGATACTGGAACCGCCTCCAATAGCTTAATCTATTCAATGAAGATTTTAAATGACTGTTTACGTTGCATGCATACTTCATTTTCCAGGAACCACACCCTTTGCGTAGATTTAGTATAACACTTATGAGCCAATAATGATAACTGTTTGCCTTCGAGAACAATTAAAACTTTAAAAACGCCCTATTTATAGCGTCCACGTATCTACTAGCCGAATATCCTGTCATACCTGAATCATCTTGTGCCAATCATGACATATTGACTCAGGCGCTCGACTCATCACTGTGCTATCTTAAAAGCATATATTAATTGCAGATAAGAGCCGAAGAAAAAACTCCTATGCTCTTGAGAAAGGTAGATCATGACAATTGATGTTTCAGCACTGGCCCAATGGCAATTAGAGAATGGGCGTGGCATGTGTTACGATCAGCAAATCCAGTGCTGTGTAGAGTTATATGAGATCACAGATAATATTTCGATTTCGTGGTATATCATTTATTCAGTATCGCATCGCGGACGTAAGACAGAAAAGCTAACACTTCAAGAACCGAGGCAGGTCGTTAGTGGAATCACACATTCGACATTCTTTTTTTTTTCTCGTCACTATTTTAATAAGATTTTTAACAGGAGTCAAAGGACATAAGACATGATGTACTTATGAGAAGTCTACATGATGACTTCATTTGCAACATCCTGCGGAGAAAGTTAGACTGAGGCAATAAAACGAAGGAGCCTGAGAAACGTACCCGTTTGAGCTCTTTGAAGGGCAAGCAAACACAGTTTTGAACACGAACTTCATCGCCAACACCACACTCCTTGCCGAGGATAGTGATGTTTTGGACCTTGACACCATTTTTGATGATGGTCGTAGAGTGACTACCGGCTGGGGTGGGGGTGCCTTCGACTCGAGCCCATGCACCGACGCGGCTGCTCCAACCAATGATGGAGTACAAAATACATGCATCGTGCTTGATCTCAGCGTCTTCAAGGACAATGGACTCCTTGATACGGACGCCTGGGCCAACAACGGCTCGTGCACCGATGGAGACATTTGGTCCAAGCTTGGCGGTAGGATCGACAGTGGCGGAGGGGTGAATGTAAACCGGTGGAACAATGGAGGCAGAGGGAGCAGCAAGCTCTTCAGAGCCAGACTGGAAGGCCTTTTGGAGGTAGAGAGCATTGGCTGGAACAGCGGAGCCTGCAGTCTTGATCTGGCGCCAAAAATCCTTGGTTTCATGGACAAAGAAACGGTTGCTGTCTGCGAGGTCAGGAAGGATATCCTGCTCGAGACGTAGGACCTCGGGCATTTCAGCAGAATCATCCTGGGCTACATAAGACGATTCGAGATTTTCAGATGATGGATACGAGAGTAGACGAGGGCGGGCGGTGCGGCGTTTGATAGCACTGCGGATGGAAGGGAAGATGCACTCGGTAGCGAAGAGGTAGACACCGCAGTTTATCAGGTTCGAAATGTGTGACTCCGGCTTCTCGACGTAGTGAAGGACTCTCTTCGTGTGGGTGTCGGAGACAATGCAACCGAAATTGGTGGCAGCGTCGTCACTGACGCGGGTACCAAGGATGACTGCCTCTGCATCCTTCTCCTCAAAGAGCTTGAGCATCTCACCCAGTGGGAAGGAGCAGCAGACATCGGCATTAAGGACGAAGAAACGCTCAGGGCGACCCTTGAGAATGGCATCTCGGAAGTGGTAGAGACCTCCAGCGGTGCCGAGGGCCTGGTATTCGCGGAGGTATTGGATGCGGAACTGGGGGAACTCTACACTGGCTGACTTGATGAAGTCTCGGAACACAGTCTCGTCGTAGTATCCCACGAGAATGACTTCGCGGATGCCAGGGACTTTGGCAACAGCCTTCAGGCAGTGTAGTATGATAGGATGACCGGCAACTTCAAAAAGGGGCTATACAGTGGTTAGCGTCTCAACAGCTGCTGGAACAAACTAAGCCTGGCGGGCAGCTGAGAGAACGCACTTTGGGCATATCCAGTGAAAGAGGCCTGAATCTAGTTCCTCTAGATGGTCCACCAACCTATAGGTAACGTCAAGTAAAAGCATCAGCTATGATCTATAAGAGTGAATATAGAAGGGGGAGGGGGTTTGTTATAGTAAGGACGCAGGCGGGTGTTTACCAAGATAACGGCCTTTGTAGACGCCATGTTTGAAGACGCAGAGGGCACTGCTAGCATTCCTCTAGAATAGCACTGCACAGACTCAATGTACTCTCTCCTTCTCACTCTCTATCTCTATTTGTGGCAGCTAGGTCAAGCAAACAGTCCGACTTTGGGATCCAAATCTACCACCAAAAGACAAAAACACGTCGAAAAGAGGTCGAAGCGCCAGCCCAGAAGGAAGCTATCCCTCTTTCGGCTTTCTGCCCTGGGCGGTGAACCACGGGCCCCGTGACATCACGTGGTCTTTTTCCTTTGACGTCGCTTTAAGGTTGGGCATAAAAAAAAGAGATAAGATGCAGATAAGATGGAAGACGACGTCTGTGGATGGCATTCGGGTCTCCCACCATAGCAACGGCGCCTTGTACGTGGTCAATTACTCTCTCTAGCCATCATTGGTTATACCAAGGACAAGATGACTCATTGGCAACAGCCTAATTACCTAGTCAAGCCTCTTAACTAGGTGGGCAGTTATTTCATTGCTGGCATCTTGTACAATAAAGGATCCATGAATTTTTAACTTATGCCCTTTTCATTACTCTTTAGTACTATGGGATAGGCAAATATCGATAATTACATATGAAATACGGAATGTTTGCTCTATGGCAGGAAGCCAGCAGCAGGGTGGCTGCTGCTGGAGCTTTCTTTGCCTTCTTTGTGTTGCTGGTTTGTCCTGTTGACTGAAGCAGCAGACTGCTGTTGTTCTATTTCTTTGTAAAGCTATCTTTGAGGAACACTTATACCAACTCTTGCCTTACATAATTCTGTCCTCCTACCCCTGCTGTTTTGTTATTAAAACAGGGCCTCTTCTGCCACCATTACTTTCTTTCCACCTCTCTTCTCCCACACATACACACTTGGAATTTGGTTTTGCGGTTACAGTACTTTGCAGCCTTTCGGTAACCATAGCAATCAAGCTCTGTTTCTCCTGTCTTGAAACACTTGCATGCTCATCCTTTGCTGGACGCAGATACCAGCCAACCAAGAGTGTGTTGAAGATGGCAGCCGAAATACACTCGTCTCCCAGTAAGGCTTTGTCTTTGCTATTTGCCGTTATTCCTGTGTTGGACTAATGCTTACGATTAATATTACAGGCACCGTGGGAATTGAAGAAAAAAATGCATCTATTGACTTTCTCTCTCAGAATATGAGAGAAATGGTCAAGAAGATCCAAGACCTTAGACATTTAGGCATCGAAAACCATACCTTACCCTTACCAAAGATTGTAGTCGTTGGCGATCAAAGCGTTGGGAAAAGTTCACTCATTGAGGGCATGAGTGAGATCAAAGTGCCAAGGAGTGCAGGATGCTGTACGCGATGCCCGCTTGAAATAAACTTGTCTGAGAGTGACGGACCTTGGACGTGCCGGCTTCTTCTGATGAAGAAGTACATGTACGATGCGGCAGGAAGAACTCGGGGGGCCACGAACGCTCGGCCATTGGGTCCTTGGATTGAACAAGACCCGGAAGAGCTTCATTTCGCAACTCTGACCGACAAGACTCTGCTTCAGGAGCACCTTAAATGGGCTCAGTTGGCCACACTTAACCCGGGGCGCAGCCACACCGACTTTATTCCTGGAGAAGATCAGGAGACCGATAGCACTTACAGTCAGGTCAAGTTTTCTCCAAATGTAGTCCGGCTTGACATCTCTGCACCAGGATTTCCCAATTTTTCCTTCTACGATTTGCCTGGAGTGATCAACGTTGCCGAACTCGATGAAGAGCGTTACCTAGTTGGGCTAGTAGAGAACCTCGTGAAGGAATACATCAAAGCACAAAATTGCATTATTCTCCTGGCTCTGCCGATGACTGATGATGCTACCAATTCCAGCGCTGCCCGTATCATCCGCGACATCCCAGGAGCGAGAGACCGTACTGTTGGAGTTCTCACCAAACCTGATCGTGTTGAGCTCAAGAATGGAAACGAGTACAACCAGTGGCGCGAGATACTTCGTGGGGAAAAATTTGCAACTGGTCATGGCTATTTCGTGGTTCAAAATAACCCAGATCCGAGGATTGATCATGCTACAGCTCGTGCAGATGAAGGCTACTTCTTCTCTAACCCCCCATGGACGACAGAATTGGCCGAATACAATGACAGATTTGGCACTCGCCGTCTACAGACTGCTTTATCAAAGTTACTCCTGAGATTAATCCAGGACTCGTTGCCCGGGATAATCAACCAGATCAACACTCAAGCTCAATATGTCGACCAGGCGCTAGCTAAGTTGCCCAATCCACCGTCCGCGAATGTTGCGTACATCTTATGCCAAAAGCTTAATTCTTTCATGAATAATGTTCAAATGCATGTCGATGGAGGTTCAGCCCAGTACCCTTTCCTGAAGCAATGGGGTATCATCGCCTCCGAATTCCAGCAGTACCTCACTGCCTCCAGACCAGGGCTGAAACTGAATACCCCATCCGAATTTGTCAGCCCTGAAAGAAAGGGGGACGCCTCTGCTTCGAGCTCAAAGGTCCAGAAGCGGAAAAGTACCCCACAAACAAACGGTGCAGGCGACCTTAAGAAAATGAAAATCGGAGATCTTGCCAATGGTTCAACACCTGATGTGTCGGAATTCAAAGTTCATGGTCATTTTGACCACTTCCCTAGTAAGTTGATAAATATGCTGGTCGTTAATCACAAATCGCTAAGCTGTGACATTGAAAGAGCCCGCAAAATCCTTTACGCTCCCCGAGGTCCGAAACATCAATGCTGACACGTATGCATCCGGTGTCCCTGGCTTAGGAAACCCCCATGCTGTTGAAGCACTAAATCGAATCAGTGTTTCTCACTGGGAGGATCCGATGAAAATGTTCCTTCTGGTTACATATAGATTGATGGCTGGGGTCCTCTTGCATGAGATGCGTTATGTTTTTGGCCAGTATGAGCAAACAGCCCTGTTTGAGGAGCTGAAGGTCATCATTATGGAATTCCTGGAATCCATTCGCATTGAACATTTTCATCAGGCGGAATCGGTTTTCAACATTGAATGTTTGAAGCCCTTTACTATGGCGAATGACCTATTTCGACGTGGTCAAGAGGAGGCCTATGGATACTTCTTCCACAAACGATATGAAGCAAGGGTCACACAGTATGTCAAGCTCATTGACGCACAGCAGCAGCAAACCACTGGTAAACCCTCGCGAACAGACCCAAGCAAGGTAACAGAAAAAGAACTAGGTCCTGACGAATTTGCAAAGGAGTTGGAAATAATGAGTGTAAGGATATTAACCCATTCTCTCTTCTCAGTATCGGGATTAACCCACTAAATACCCCAAACACAACAGGCATCTCGCGCTTACTACGATATTGCATCGTCTCGCTTTGTGGACACTACGTGCCAGGGTATCCATATTAAGCTCTTCATGCGTTGTAGGGACGAGTTGAGAGGGGAAATCGAGCAGAAGCTCGGAATTCTGAATGAGAATGGTATGAACGTGTCTACCAAATATGATAATTCCATCGCTAACGAAGAGGAACCTAGCTTCTGAGCGTTGCACAGAATTAATGGCTGAGGACCGAGAAAGACAGTTGAGAAGAATGCATCTTCTGAAGGAAAAGGAGAAGCTCGACAAAGCTCAGGAATGGTTGAAGGTCGCCGAAAAAACCCCGGAGCCCCTTTTCTACGACTCCAATCCTTAATCGCGACTCCCATAGCTACCTGAACCAAAAGAAACTTTGAGATCGAGCATTCTCTAGAAACAGAGTCTATGCGGCACCTGTCTCCTCAATTGAACATTGAATGTGTTTGAAAGAAGGCATAGGTTGTGGATTTGAAAGTTCCATGTCCGGATTGGCCGTTGAGACGGGAGTTCACAGAGATATAGAATGTAGTTAGTTACCTGGGCCGCTCATCAAAAAATAGCTATTCTCCTGCAAGCTATCCCTGGCATCTTGTTCAACAACTACCATCATCTATCAAGCCTTATAGACGGATATCTCATCGGGAGTAGAGCGATTGTTTGACTAGTTAGTTAGCAAATGTGGGACTTGAAACTTTGTGTGCAAAAATTAGTTAAAAAAAATCCAGAAAAAGAAAAAAGTGACCTGAGTCAAAATAACAACTTCCAACTCCCCGCCATTTGCGCATTTTGACTCGTTAATTATCTACACGATAAATAGAAACTCTAGGGTCGCTTCCTGGAATCGGTAATTCATGCTCGAGAAATTCTGATACACTCGGAAAAAAATACAGGACGAACTGCTAGAGAATTATGGCCGACCAAGCTGCCGTTGACCAGGCGGGGGCTTCTGTCGCAAACCTCCAGCTTGACGAAGTCACCGGCGAGAGAGTGTCCAAGTCGGAATTGAAGAGAAGACAGAAGCAGCGTGCTCTAGAGGAAAAGAAGGCCGAGAAGGCTGCCGCTGCTGCCGCCGCGGCACCTGCAGAGGGCAAGAAGAAGAACAAGGAAGAAGATGAATCCCAGCTCACGCCCAACGTAAGTGGTTCTATTCTGCACAGTGATGCGCTACATTGCACGGAGTGAGCGATTCTAATCGTGTCTTTCGACAGCAATATTTCGAAATCCGAAGTACCAAAATCAACCAGCTTCGGCAGACCAAGGAGCCCAACCCATACCCCCACAAATTCCAGGTCACGGATGACCTCCGCCAGTTCCTCAAGGAGTTCGATTCGCTGAAGAAGGGAGAGCAGAAGCCCGAGAAGGAAGTACGCATTGCCGGAAGAATATATACGAAGCGTTCTTCGGGAGCCAAACTTATCTTCTACGACCTCCGCGCAGAGGGCGTGAAGGTGCAAGTCGCGTGTCAAGCCCAAGAGGCCACCGGTGATATGCCATTCGAAGCCCAGCATGAACAGCTACGAAGAGGAGACATTGTTGGTATCGTTGGGTTCCCTGGACGTACTAACCCAAAGAACCGGGACGATGGTGAGCTCTCGATCTTTGCCCGCCAGGTTATCCTTCTCTCGCCATGCCTCCATCAGATCCCTTCAGAGCATTACGGCCTGAAGGACCAGGAGCAGCGATTCAGACAGAGATATCTAGATTTGATCATGAATGACTCCTCAAGAAATGTCTTTGTTACTCGCTCCAAGATTGTCAGCTACATCAGACGATACTTTGATGAGCGTGACTTCGTTGAGGTTGAAACTCCAATGATGAATGCTATTGCTGGCGGTGCTACTGCTAAGCCTTTCATTACCCACCACAACGAACTCAACATGAACCTATTCATGAGAATTGCCCCCGAGTTGTACCTCAAGATGTTGATTGTTGGAGGCCTTGAGCGTGTGTACGAGATGGGTCGTCAGTTCAGAAATGAAGGTATCGACCTTACTCATAACCCTGAGTTTACCACTTGTGAGTTCTATTGGGCATATGCCGATGTCTATGACCTCATGAATGTCACCGAAGATCTTGTCTCTGGCCTTGTCAAGCATGTTACTGGTGGCTACGAGACCGTATTCCATACCCAGAGCGGTGAGCAATACAACGTCAACTGGAAGGCCCCTTGGAAGAAAATTGAAATGATCCCGGCTCTTGAAGAGGCCACTGGCGAAAAGTTTCCCCCAGGTGATCAACTTCACACTGAGGAGACCAACGGGTTCTTGAAGAGGGTCCTGAAGAAAGTCAACGTCGAATGTACCCCACCGCTCACCAATGCCCGAATGCTTGACAAGCTTGTTGGTGAATTCATTGAAGAGAAGTGTATCAACCCATCGTTCATTATCGGGCATCCACAGATGATGTCACCACTAGCCAAGTATCACCGAGATCACCCGGGTCTGTGTGAGAGATTCGAAGCTTTTGTCTGCAAGAAGGAAATAGTTAACGCTTACACTGAGTTGAACGATCCTTTCGACCAAAGACTACGCTTTGAGGAGCAGGCCAGGCAGAAGGAACAGGGTGACGATGAAGCACAAATGATAGATGAGAATTTCTGTACCAGTTTGGAATATGGTCTTCCACCCACTGGTGGATGGGGTATGGGCATCGATAGACTGGTGATGTTCTTGACCGACAACTACAGTATCAAGGAGGTTCTGGCTTTCCCATTCATGAAGGAGGACAAGACTGCTGTAAAGGACAAGGACCATCTCGCGGCGGAGGTTGCTGGTGTTGAGCCTACCCCTGTTGAGGGTATTCGTAAGTCACTTCACTGTTCCCTCCAAATCCAAGAATATTTCCGAAACTGATAACCTATCCTCTCTGAACGAGTCTAACTTCTATGCCTTAGCCCATAAATGAATCAGGCCATCTTCGCCCCTGTATCTGCGAACTTAAACGCTCTTCCAGATTCATGAATAATCAACGAATTAGGATTAGGAACATCTCACCCCTGAATCGTATGAAATACAAAAAGCATTATTCTTTCATCCTGGAGTCTTCGAGTATTCACCGTTCTTTCCACCCTTCCAAGCATACATCCTGTCTTCTTAACGGAGCTCAGATTAGTTTGATAAAGGAGTCTCCCTACATACTCTTATAGACGTGGTTTCTTCAGATGGGCAGGGGGCTTTATTTACCAATATTTTGATACCATAAGAAGCCCCTGATAAGTAAAATAACGAAGGATGTATCTTGCTACAAGCTCAAGCCTATGTATTATATGTGAATATTTACTTTCACATATAGCACCCTTATCAGACTCTATCCTAACAAAGTGACTGCAGGAATGTCACTACGGAAGTGCCCATTAGTGTGTTCCTCTTCCTTTGAACCTGACTCACTCTACTAGTGAATGTCCTATTCAATACCAAAGTTAACGGAAGAAACCGTAGTGAGAGCTTATGGTTATCTTTTTCTTTCTCTGCAAAGCCTCCAAGTTCTTCCTCGCTTAACTACTAACTTCCCCACTAGTCCATGCAAAGTCCTCCCTGGTATAGCAAGCCATCGTTCTTCTCTACAGGGCTTCTGTTTGCTTCTTTGGACGTCAAACTGTTACATATTAGATGAAGCTCCTGGCACATCATCTTTTGATCAGTTTTACCCCTTTTGCTCTTCGACCAAGGTATCTTGATATCAAACAAACTTGAACATCTTCCACAGCGCGAAGTTGGACGGCTGTCATGTTTCCAACAAATGGACAGGATCTCGCGACTCCTGAGAGGACTTCCAGCTCCGGTACCAATCCATTTCGGCCTCAACCTCCCAAGATAAACACAAACGTCCCTCATATCATGGTCAACGGCAAGCCAGTCGAGGTGATTGAGATATCTTCCAGCCCGTCTCCTCAGGACACTAATCCTGAACCTGCACAGAAAATTCCAGCACCAGGACCGCCCCAGGGGCAACCAGTTCAACAACCAATGCACACTCAGCATGGTAGCCCTTTTCCCTTTACAGCCGCACCAGCAGGAAGCTCCCAGCGGCCTCATACAATTTTCAAACCAATCAAAATCCATACTGCGAAGTGTGATGTCTGCAATAAGCATAACAAGTCCACCTTGCAGCGCTGTATTGATTGTGGGTGGCAGATATGCACCCCCTGCTGGAATGCCAGGGGTGGGAATGGTGCCCATGGCAGTGTCAGAAAATTCACAGGGACCATTTATCGCAGCTCAGATGATGAATTGCCACAGAAAAAACCTCGAAAGAAAGGGAAAAATTCCAACAATGGAGCAAAGGATACTCCTCCTGACAAGGGTAAAGCTGTTGCAAAGGATATAGCTTCTACACCGATGCGTCCTAACCCTGATATTGAAGAGAATTGGACCCCTTCCGTCGTTCCAATATATTCAACCGAGAGTGCAAATAGTTCTCCTAGCATGTTTCTGACAGATGCAAGTGATCCCAGGGCGATAATTCAAAGAGGTCTGGCGAGTTTAAAAATGCAGTTTTCCAGCGGCCCGGCCAGTGTCAAGCCAGCCGGCTCCAGCAGCGATCTTCCAAGCCGAGCCTCAGTCGGCTGTAGTAAAGCGCCCCGAACTCCTGAAAGTACTCATCAAGCGATTACCGATAATCTGTCGAGCTCATCCTCCCTGACTTCTCTCAGCGCCCTTGAGGAGGACTGTGGGTATCGAGGTGATGAAGAAAATGAAAACGAGGATGACGATGCCACGGATATAGACCCAGAAAACGAGGATGTCCTTATCGCAGATGGCAGGGCGTATCAAAAACGAGTATTCAAAGGCCTCAACCCCATGGCTCAGACCCGGATGAACTGGCTTCTCATCGCTGCAGAGCAGGCTCTCAAAGAACGGGAAAAGGACCAGAAGCAGTCCAAGGAGAGAAATGAGGGCCCCAAAACCCCTGTGCCAGCCACTCGTAAGTTTGACCCGCCGACTCGTAGCTGGATATTAACTCCATCTCAACATTCGTCTCCAGCGCCTAAGCCGGATCCTGCTCCTGAGCCCAGCACTGTTGCTGTTGCCTCTCAACCGCCCCCCTCCACTCCGGTTCCTACTCAAACTCGAACTATAGGAGCGACTACCGTTGTACGTCCCGTTCCTATTTCGCTTTACTTCCGATCCCCGTCACCAGTTCCGGAGCATATGCGCGGCATTGTGCAAGCCCCAAAACGACGAATCTTGGTCCAGCCCTTGGATCTGATTGAGTACGTTGCTCCTCCCGCTGTGCCAGTGTCAGAATTGATACCTAGGCCTGATCCCATGGATATCGATCAGCCTAGGCCAGTAAGCAACCCGTCAGCAACCCGTCATCCACGGATGCCACTTCACCAGCGCGAAGTTCCATTTGGCCTGAGAGATATTCTCCCTGGAGATAGAGAAACCGAAAAAACCGAAACCTCAGAGCGGGAGCGACGTGAGGCAGAGAAAAGAACATTAAAACCCCATGGCAGGGCATGGGAGCTGTGATAATGAATAACAGAAGCCAATCAAGAAGGGTCATAGACCATAAAACATTTGGATGTTGTTCCTGGGAATAAATATATGTTGATTAACAAGTTTGGTTGTTCTGGGCCCACAAACATTTGGATTTCTATTGCACCCTGCCTTTGATTTAACAGGTAATTGGCTCCGTGATGATGTTCTTGTGTTTGCTACTAGCAATAGCCTCCATCACTGTCATTATAACTGGCATAGCAGCATACGACTTAGCATCATTTGGGGTCAAATTCTTTTAGTTTTCTATGTGGTTGTTTGTCTTTCCTTCTATTTACTTCTTTCTTACTGCTTTTATCGGTGACTGTTCGCTCTCAATCCTGGTTAATTTGGTGTTGTGCCAGGAATTTACACTTAGCTGCTGCTCAAGGTGAATTAGTTTGAACAACCATGCAGCTACTATTAGTTAGAGAGAAGCCATCGAAATGATACTAGAATAATACAACTATAATTTCATCTTCTTCCAAATTGCCGATTTTAGCGGAGATAGTACATTTATTATATAGTTAGTTAATGTTAATACAGAGGGGAGAAGAACTAAAATGGTAGGTCTCGCAGCTCTTAACCTCTTTTTGCAAGAGGAGAAGCAGCATGTGAGGTCGAAGACAGTGGCTTAGCTTTAACAGTCTGCTGGAGGAGCCTTGCCGTACGAGAAGGATGCCATATGCGGCTGCCCAAGACCATAACCCAGGTGAGGAGGAACAGGCTGCCTGCCTGGTGGGCGGATGCTAAGTGTATTGGAACAAGGTAGAGGAGCGTGCTGATTCCTAGGGTCAGCTGAAGTGCAGTGAACCCTACAACTCCATGGATACCTTTCTTTGCTGCACGAGGGAGAAGTCTTTTCATGGTGGGCATACGACTGTACGCCCAGAGTGCCATGACGGAGGTGAAGGTAGTCATAGCCAGTATTCGATGGTCAAGTTGCACAAAAGATGGGTTCTCGAGCATATTTCTCCACCATAGATCGGATCGGTCTTCTTTTCTAGAGTAGAACTCATCGAATAGCTCTTCCTTCGGAGGAGTTAGGCCGTTGCCCATCCACGGGATTTCGTTATATATCAAACCAGCGTCGAGGCCTGCGACGAGCCCACCTGACATGGCAGTGACAAACACAAGCAATGCAAGTCCGGCAACGGAGCGACGGAAGACGGCCAGTTTAGGATTTTTCAGTGCCTGAAGGACTTCTAGGCCCTTGACTGGGTCGGCGAGGAGGCGATGGGAGCGTAGAATAGCCAATCCGTTCCACAACATGGCAACATAGCAAACAAAAGCAGCTCCAAGATGTGCAGTCAATCGATACTGACTGACACGAGGATGGCTACCGGGTGCGAACAGGTCATCTTTCAAGCCAGACTTGACCATCCACCAACCCAAGAAACCCTGGAAGCCAATGAGACCAGCAATGCCAGCAAGACGAAGGCTCATGGGTTTTGAGACCCGTTTTGTGGCAACAAAGTAAGCGGCAGGAATAACGAAAGAAAGGCCAACGAAACGGCCCCATATACGGTGTATCCATTCCATATAATATATCGACTTGAACTCTTGGAGAGTCATGTTGGGATTGAGAAGCTTGAACTCCGGTGATGCCCTATATTTGGCAAACTCGGATTCCCAGTCGTCTTCGTTCAGCGGTGGTATAGAGCCCGTTACAGGTCTCCATTCTGTTATACTAAGTCTATACGGATGTCAGCGATTGAACATATCACCAGGTGTCGGAGCCTCGGGATTACCATACCCAGACTCGGTAAGACGAGTTAGCCCGCCAAACACAACAATGCCAAAGACACTTGCTGCGCTCGCCAGCAGCCAGTATGCAGTTCCTTTGGAGCTGATCTCAGGAAACCTTGACTTAGAAACAGCCTCTCCTGCTGCTGGAGTAGCTGCGGTTGTGAAAAATGACCTTGGAACCACTGGTTTGGAAGACTGCACTCGAAACGCAGCTAGCAAACCGGAAGTGTACTTCGAAGTGCCTCTAAAATGACTTGTCCCTATCCATTGCCGTGCAGTTCTCGCCGGCTGAGGCCGCTGTAGACATTGGCGACAAGTGAAGAATTCTCGTGGGAGTCGTGATAGTGACAGCGACTGCCTCAATATTGACGGGCCAGGAGTAGCGGGCGGCATCGTTTTTGGGCAGGCAGCTTACTGGAGATGTGACCAGGAATCTCACACGACCGTCCGCTCTTGGATTTCTTCAGCTTCTTCAGCTTCTTCAACAGCTTCGACTGCTTCAACTTCTTTAACAGCAACTTCTCATCTCCAGGCACGAAATGAAGCTCTCCTGATTGGACTTCGACCTGCGATAAACCTTAAATAATTAGGTAATCACTTGTTTACGGATCTTCATTATTCCTTGATTAGTCATAGGCTGTACGTGAGTGCGCCGAGGTCGGAGCTTTTCTTCGAGCCGAAAAGGAAAAAGAGACGTCAAGAAGAAACTACCCGACGTCGAGTATCAACCGAGCTAGATGCTTTGATAGCTACATGTTTAAAGATAGCTGCTCTTCTTGAATGATGTTAAAACATTTCTCTGCGTGAAACACATGATTAAAACGTTCGAGCCAAAATGAATTTGACTACTTCCTTCGAGATTGATATCATGGCAATGTGCGCAATAATGGGACGACTACAACTGTTAGTATCCTGGAGGCTACTATAGGAATACAGGAATATTGTCTTGATAAATGGTTGAGTGTTTTCTGCTCTATTAACTGCTAATGCATTCCGAACAGAAGATATATATAACTGGAATTATACATGACATGGCAGCTGGCATCAGGGTCATTATTGAAACAATCGAGACTGAGGAATGAAAGAGAAGTAGAAGACTCGTGACAAGGAAATTTCGCTATTTCCATATCTATATCAGATTTCCTCGGAGAGCCTGCTCGCGTTCTATGGCCTCGAAGAGAGCACGGAAGTTGCCAGCACCGAATCCGGAGAAGTTGCGTCGCTGGATGATTTCAATAAAGACGGTAGGGCGGTCCATGAGATGCTGACAGAGAGTTAGCAACGTGTGCATACACTTGCATGGGGAAATTATTACGGAAAAACATACTTTGGTGAAGAGTTGGAGGAGATAGCCACCCTCGTCAAAGTCAATGAGGATGTCAAGCTTCTTGAGGGCTTCGAAGTCCTCCTCAAGAACCATACCCTGCTTCTTCAAACGCATGCGCATGTCATCATAGTACGTCTCTGGGACCTTGATGAACTCAAGACCACGGGCCTTGAGCTGTGTGATGGTGTCGATGATGTTTTCGGTTCTGAGAGCGATGTGCTGAACACCGGCACCGCTATAGAAGTCGACATATTCTTCGATCTGGGACTGCTTCTTACCCTGGGCCGGCTCGTTGATAGGCATTTTGACGATGTCGTTGGGGGAAGACATAACGATACTCTTGAGGGCAGAGAATTCACTATTCATGTGTCAGCTGTTGTTCGGATGAGGTGTACAGGGTAGATTCTGATACATACGTGCAGATGTCCTTGTCATCAACAGACCAGAAACGGTGGAATCCGAGCACCTTCTCGTAACTATTTACAATGTGTCAATTCTCCATGTTCACAAACTCCAGTAAAGAGCATGAGAAAAAGGAAGACTTACTAGTCACAGACCTTCTCCATCTCATTCCAATCCTGGTTTCCGACACAGTGGTCGATCCGCTCGAGCTTGACTTCTGGAAGGAACTGGGTGATTGGGTCTGGTGCGGCGGTCTCATCACGATATCCTGGCAGGAAAAGGCCCTTGTATGCCTTTCGCTCGATAAGGGTATGTGTGGTCTCTCCATAGGTCTGGATAGTGGCGTACTTGATCTGACCATTCTCGTCCTCAGAAGTCTTAACCTCGGAGACAACCTTAGCACCGTTTTTCACTGCAGCATCGAAAACGGCCTGAACGGAGTCGACTTCGAAAGCAACATCCTTGACACCATCACCGTGCTTCTTAAGATGGGCGTGGATCTCCTCGAGGTAGGCCTTCTCCTCGGCAGGGTAACGAGCAGCTTGCTCGAGCGATCGAAGAGGCGAGGTGAGGACAAATGTGACGGAGCCGTTGGAAACAACGTGGGAGGCGATAGTCTTAAGGCCGGTTTCCAGACCACGGTAGGCGATCTTCTTGAAGCCGAGACGTGTCACATAGTAGGTGGCAGCCTGCTTTGCGTTTCCAACATACCAGTGAACGTGATCATAGCCCTTGTATTGGGAGAGGTCGGCCGGAGCAGCAGCAGCAGCCTGGGGAATGTCGGCAGCGGGAGCCATGTTGATGGGTGTTCGAAATTCGGTGGTGAGAGTATTGATTTTGTTTCCTTGACGACTGCACCCGCATATACGCTGAAATAAAGAAGGAAAGAATAAGATCAGGAATGAACTCTGTGCGAACGAGCAGTCTTTTGTACGGTTCCTTAACCCCAAACCAACAACCGACTCATAGACGCCACAATGGTCAGCAGCGACCCTTGCGCACAGTTTCTTCCCGGGGATTCGGCTTCCTTGCAGGCCAGGCAATTTGATCCTCCTCCTGTGCCTCAATAATAAAATAGCGGGCAGCCGCCTTAAACTTCCTGTGGTCCATTCTTTGCGCTTTGCTTTTTCCGCTGGCTGTTGCAGTCTTTCTGGGCCAGGCTATTTTCGGTCGCCCGGCTGTTTACGGGTATTTTGAACCTGGGGCGCATTCACCCAATAATATTCATTGCCGGGTCGGCTATTTCAACGGTCTCAAATTTTACGTCATCAAACAGCCTCCGCTTGGCACCCTGGTCACGCTTCGGGTATTTTTGACCCCAGCAGCAAAAAACATCCTAGCCAACGCCGACCGGAAGGGATATCAGATATCAGATCCTGTCGTCGCCGAAGTTGTTGGACAACTTGACACAGACTGGCTGTCATCTTCTTTGTGAGAACAAAAGCGAGGCAGTACCAAGCAGGACACTTTAACTACCCCCGACACGATGGCTCCAACTCCAGAATCGATTGCGGCCGCAAAGCCGTCACTCACATCAAACGACTCTGCTGTGCTTCAGGCTCTGTTCGACGCTGAATCATCTCCTTCTAACGGCATCAAAACGGACTCGACTCTCCCTCAACTCCCCAATATCGCAGATGCTGACGTCCAGTCGCTAAAAAAACGGGAGTTGGACGCTCTCCGACCCCTGCAGACCACCAACGAGAACCTAACACCGGAGATAATTCAAACGGCCATAGCGCAGCTTTCGGGGATTATAGAAGAACACCCTAACTATGCGCCAGCTTACCTAAATCTGGCACAAGCTATACGCCTGTCGATCGACACTGGCTCCCAGAATCAGCCGGACGGGCCTCAAACCACACCGGCACCTTCGAACCAACTGTTTGATAATTTGGCCAAAACAATTGCTCTATTGACCCCTTCGTCGTCCTCGGATGCCATCTCGCCCTTCCACTCTCGCATCCTGGCCAATGCCCACACCCACCGTGCATACATACTCTACAAGGCAGCTCGGTCGAAGGATGAGAAGGAGAAGGAACACCATCGACGAAACTTTCTACCACTACAGCTTCAGGATGTCTCAGATGAACGCCTGGAGGAACTTGCGAGCTATGATTTCCAGATCGGTGGCCGGTGTGGCAATGAGGCAGCCAAGCAGATGGCTGTCGGCACCAACCCATACGCAAAGATGTGCGGTGCTATTGTGAAAGATGCCATTCAAGCCGAGATTGCCAAATGGAATGAAAGCCGGACATGAGGTGGCCAGCTAGAACCAACTGCACTCCGCATGAACCCCAGTCAGGCTGGGCCAGTTGTAAATATTTTGGTTACTATCACTTTAGATGTAAAAAAAGAATGTAACGAAGTTATGAGATTATATTTTTAAGTCGTTCTATCCATGGCCCCACTGAAATGTTGGTTGTCTCAACGGATATGGAGTATTGGTCATTATTGTGCTAGCTAGGGTCTTTCGAACAATCATACAGAAAACAGGTCAGGGATAACTGGAACAGCCGTGATATACCGCTTGAGCCATTCTTCTTAGCTTACTTCTTGTTTGGGTTTTTGAAGTATCTTTTCAGTGGCGTCCAACTCTCCTCATTGTAGTCGTCCTGGACTTTCTGGCAGGTCTTTAGACCCCATTCAGACACGCCAACCATCAAGCAACTAGTCAAAACGTTAGCAGTAGAACGGAGGAAAATGGAGCTACGTATTTAAGTTAGCTCACCTTTCGAACATGAAGGCCATGCTGCCTTCGCCAACCTTCTTTGGAGTGAGTTCGGCATTGGAAGCGCCTTCGTGGCTGGCCGCATCCGGGCCATGGGCACTCATGACATTATGCAAGCTTGCACCAGCCGGCTTGAAACCTCCTGCCGTTTTGGCATCGTAGTCTCCACTGATCAAGCCCATAAATTCAGACATCGTATTTCGGTGGTACCATGGGGGCCGGAAGGTGTCCTCCTGCACCAGCCAGCGCGGGGGGAAGATGACAAAGTCCGCGATGGCGGTGCCGGGGTGGTCAGATTGGCCAGTGAGGACAGTGAAGATAGAGGGGTCAGGGTGGTCGTAAGAGATGGATCCGATAGTGTTAAATCGGCCTAGGTCATACTTGAAAGGATAGTAGTTGCCATGCCAGGCGACGATATCAAAGGGCGTGTGAGGCTGGGTGGCGCGGAAGAGGGTGTTGTTGAATTTGCTGAGGATGGTGTATTCGCTAGGCTCCTCTTCGTCGTCGAAGGAAGCGACAGGAGCTTGGAAGTCGCGGGGGTTGGCCAGACAATTGGATCCAATGGGGCCGAGTTCGGGGAGTTGGTAGTGTCCCTGGTACAACTCACAGATGTATCCTCGGACAGGACCTTCGGGGAGGGTAACGCGGTAGCTACATACGATCATAAATATCAGTCCATGTTCAACCATATATTCCCAGACGCGGGAAAGAATTAGTCTGGCCTACCGGACACCTCGGGGAATAACACAGATCTCATTAGGACGGACAAGGATTCTGCCCAGCTCGGTCTGGATGTCTAATACTCCGTGCTGAGGGACGATCAAGAAGTCACCATCTGCAGAGTAGAAGGCTTCTTTTCCCATATCTTTGCCCGCGGCGAAGAGCAGAATACCTAGCCCATGCTTCGTAGCGGGATCACCAGCACCAGCGACCAGGTGCAGGCCACGAACCCAGTCAACTTTCTCATCAAGGTCAAAGGGGTTCCATCGTAGCTGGTTGGGGATCTGGCGGAGCGAAGTGGCATCCTTGCTCAGGCTGGTATGATAGGTTGAGGCATCAACCTCCTCAAACGGTCGGTGAGAAGCTGCGGGGATTATCCTGTACAACCATGTTCGCAGGTTCTCATGTCGAGGAGCCGTGAAGGCTGTTCCGGATAACTGCTCGGCGTAGAGGCCAAACGGAGGCTTTTGGGGAGAGTTCTGGCCAACTGGCAGGGCCCCCTTAACGGCTTCGGTTCTTTGCAAATCAGCAATCATTTATTTCATCTTGTACTTATCATGACAAAATTAAGTAGATAGGGATCACTCACTCGTGGTAGGAGCCGAAGCCGTTCTGGTATGTGTACTTTTCTGGCGTGGAGAAGGCTGTGACGGGCATGGTGGCGTTTGTCTGACCGTTTAACTAGCGATGAGAGAAGAATTGAACGTATGCAGGGATCTGAATGTCCCAAATTGCTGATGAAGAAGACAAGATATCGCGACGCTCTTCGAGGAGTTTATATGCGCCCTTGTCAGCGGCCTCGAACGAGAGAAGTTGGTCGTCTAATGTGTTACTCGCTCGTCATCTTATCTCATCCAGTCTCCCGAGCGAGCGGAACCCGGAATTAGCCGGCGCGGGAAGGTTCCGCGGACATGGAAGGGCGTCTTGGCACCAAACAGGCGCCAGAAAGCTTTGGCCATCCGCAACCCCGCCGGCAAAAAACAACAAACAAGAGGCGATGACTAAGCTGAATAACACCAACTGCCCCTCTCCCGAAAGAAGAAAGAGCCGGGAGAAGGAAACTGCCTTCCTCTTTTTCTTTTTTCCGTTCGTTCCTTCCGTCTTTGTGGTATGAAAGTGTTATTGCTGCTCCTTCTCTGTCCACTCCGGCCATTGCGAACTTCACCGTCCCGCTTCCACAGTCAATTGCGCAGCTTCTCGCCGTCATCCATATCACAGTTTAGAAAGATGTCGAACGCATCGTGGCTCCAGATCCCACGGGATTCTCCATTTTCCCTGGCCAACATTCCCTTTGGCATTATCTCAACAGCGGCGCTGGCTGACCCCCGACCGGCTGTTGCCATTGGTGACTATGCACTGGACCTCTTCGCCTTCTCCTCTGCTGGTGGTTTCTCCAAGCTTTCCTCTTTCTCTTCACACATCGACGTCTTCACTAAGCCCACTTTAAATGACTTCGCCGCTCTGGGAAGACCGGTTCACCGTGAGGTCAGGGGCTACCTACAGGACATTTTCCGCGATTCTACCCCTTACCCAGAGATCCTCAAGACCAACGAGGACCTCAAGGGAAAAGCTCTCGTCCCGCTGAAGGATGTCACCAACCATCTACCCATGAAAATTGGTGATTACACTGATTTCTATGCTGGCCTAAACCATGCCTTTAACGTTGGAGTTCTGTTCCGTGGGCCTGACAATGCCCTGCAGCCAAACTACAAACATCTCCCCGTTGGATATCACGGCCGTGCCTCTTCCGTCATTGTCTCTGGCCAGCCCGTCCGCAGACCAAACGGTCAGATCCTAGCTAACCCAGCCGCCACCCCCAAGGTTCCAATCTTTTCCCCTTGCAAGAAACTCGATATCGAGCTTGAATTGGCTGTCTTTGTTGGTAAGGGGAACAAGCTAGGAGAGCCCATCCCCATTGACCAGGCTGAAGATCACCTGTTTGGTGTCGTCTTGATGAATGACTGGTCTGCTCGTGACATCCAGGCATGGGAGTATGTTCCTCTTGGCCCATTCAACGCAAAGAACTTTGCTACCTCCATCACCCCTTGGGTTGTCCTCATGGATGCCCTCGAGCCTTTCCGTTCCACTGGTCTCGCTGCTGAAGAAGGGCTCGATAATTTGCTGCCTTATCTTCGTGAGAAGAGAGCGGAGAACGTGTACGACATGCAACTTCAATTTGATCTCAAACCAGCAAACAGCAGCTGCACCTCGACCGTGGCCAAGACCAATGCAAAGAACTTACTCTACTCCTTTGCCCAAATGCTTACCCACCACTCTGTCACCGGTTGCAATATGAACACTGGTGATTTGCTTGGCAGTGGAACCATCTCTGGGAAGGAGACTGGCACACTTGGAAGTTTGCTCGAAAATACTCAGGGTGGAAAGCAGCCTATGAAGTTGTCCGATGGTAGTGAACGTGTCTTCCTTGAAGACGGCGATGAGGTTACTCTCAAAGGCATATGTGGTGAAGAGGGAAGCTATGTCGGGTTTGGAAACTGCACTGCTACCATTCTCCCTGCCCCCGTTATCAACTAAAGCGTTTGCTTCCTGTGTTTGTATAACGAAACTATAACTGCAATTTCCCTTCAAGTATAGATATGAAGTTGATATGAAAATGAAACTGAACAGTGTTCGATAGCGAGCAATACTTTTACTTCATCCTCAATTCCTCGGGCGTATCAGGTTGGTTTTGCCAGAATGCCTCCTTGACGGCTGCTTCCTCCAACATCAAGTCATAGATCCTCTTGGTAGTTGGGTAGTCGGCAAGCTTCAAGCCCACCCGCTCTGCAGACCACACAGCAGGCACTAAACACACATCAGCTAGCGTAATCTCGTCTCCCACACAGAATTTCCCGGCAGAATGAACAACGGTTTTCTCAAATGCCGTGAATCCGGCAACGGAAAACTCCAGTGCCCACTTGGTCGCATCGGCATCCAACTGCTTCACTTTCTTCTGAGCGCGAAGATTGGTCACGGGCTGAATATCTGTTGCAATCAACAGCGCCAATTCACGCGCTTGAGCCCGAGCCTCGGGGTTAGATACCGGTGGGAGGAGGGCACGCGTGTTCGGTAGTGACTCTTCTAGATACTCTAATGCCGCAAGAGACTGGGTGACTTTAAATGTTGTGCTCTTGCCATTCTCCTGGTGTGTGGATAAAAGAACCGGCACAGTAGCATTAGGATTGATCTCTTTGTGTTCATCAGAGAGCTGCTCTCCTTTCAACAGGTTAACGAAGATCGGTTCATAGGGCGTTGATTTCAGGTTGAGGGCGATCCGGAGGCGGCCAGCACATGAAGACCGGAAGTATGTATAGAGCTGAAACTTGACGTTGGACGGGGACATTGTCGTTGTTTGCTCGTTCGTAGTAGTTGTTATCTGCCTTTATTCCGCTGCTTCTTTGATAGTGTACACAATCAGCGTCTTGTAATTGAAATCATCTATCTAGGCTCCGAGCAGACGTCAGATGCAGGAAAGAGCCGAGCGACTCCCTAATCACCCGCAAAAAGCCGAGTATTGCCGGATGAACCCCTCCATATTAATCAGCAGCCCGTTCACGTGATCAGCTCCCCTCGGCCTCAATCCAAATAAAAGAAAACAGTCGTCAAAATAAAGAGATGGAGAAAAATCGAAAGGGGAAAAAATAGTAAACGAGAAGTCGAGAACGTAACAGCTCTGAAGATGAACCCGGTGCGAATTGAACGCACAACCTTCAGATCTGGAATCTGCTGCGCTACCATTGCGCCACGGGTCCGTCAGTGGGTCTCTTTTGAGCCAAACACTTTCATGGATCTTGCTGGATCTGCCTAACCCCCGGAGCTTCGTTTCGCAGATGCACCCACCCGACCCGACAATTCTATATCATGAGTCTCATTAAGTCTATTTATTAACTCAAGGTTCCTGAATTCTTGCCGACGCCATAGTTCTACTCGGAAAACATCCATACTGAAAAGGGGTATAAAAATTATTACAGACGTATCCAAAGTAATTGTACCAAAACATAACCCCAATTAACCCCAATTACTTGTCCCCCAATCCTTCCCCCCCTTCCCAATCTCATTTAAGACATGAAAAGTCAAAAAAGGCCCCAGAATAACATTGCTCAATATTTGTGAGGAAGCATTAGGTTATATTCTCTTAAGTTCTTCGAGTCTCTTGATCGCTGGTTTCGGTGTTGGTTTTGGAGGTTTCTTCTTGGCCTTCCGCGTACTGTCTCCTAGGTTTATGAATTTTTCGAAATCATCGGGCATCTTTTGTAAATTTGGGTATGTAGTTGTTTCACCAATCGGTTGACTCACTGACCACCGAGCTAGTAGCTCGTATTTATATTTATCGAACGTCTCCAAGTTAATGAAGGGGGTACAATTGAAGTGCAACATCCCATTTTCAAGGTATACTTCATTAGCACGGACTTGTCGGTTAAAGAATGAAATCATAAGTACCTGGTTTTCGGTTAGAAATGTCGGCACATAGTGAGAAGATTACAAACTTACTGGGAAGATATGGTTTGTGATATGTGGGAGCCATAGCATCCGTTGCATCATTATATCGAGGCCCACCAATATCTCGCTGCGAGCAAGCTTTGATTCCATGCTTTTATCGGGGCGAAGGCCATGTGTAGAAAACGAGATGACATGACTATCAGAAGGACGGCTCTCGTAGACGTCTAGCTCTATCTGGGGTAGCCAGTCTGTTAGTTCATCGGGAGAAGAGTTGCCAAGGTTACCTCCCATTCGCGTGTGAGGAACACTAATGATCATTAGAAAAGGTAGAGCATCAAAAGTGGGAGTGAAAGTTGGTGCCTTACACAACATGACGCCACGGCGTATTCTGGAGAAATAGCCTGGACTCCTCATCCGGATTTGCTGGCAGGTCGGAATGAATAAGTTCACGGCACATCATGAAAATATTTTCGGCATCCCGCATCTTCCAGCTCTCAGAACCCCACTTGATCTCCTCCAAAATGGTCTCGTCATAGTCCCAGGAGTTGAATTCAGATTGTGAAACGGGTTTAAAAAACCGTCCGCCTTGTTCCAGGTCCATGCTTGATAAGTGTATTTTGAATTGGTTGAGTTTTTCCTGAGAAAGGTAAATGCTCTCTTCTCCACGGGCGCTTCGCAAGTATTTAAAAAGGGGTTTGAGCTTTTCATGGTCATCAACCTTGCATTTAACAATCGCGCGCAACGTTGCAAAGTCTGGTTCGGCTGCAAAAGCCATGGCGAGCGATAAGGATGGCTGTGGTGCAAATATCAGCTGCAGCTAGGTATTTAACTGCTAGATCTTCTGGTTTGTCAATAGCTGATGGGTATACATTCAGGGAGAGAAACTTCGGTTCCTGGATTAATCAGGCTTTGTTGTTGTTGCCTGCAGGTAGTTCTAGGAGTTCCCGGCACCTGCTCGACATTGGGCGATTTCCAGGCACGTGATTTCGGGAAAACATAATTCCAGGTCACTGTACCTGCCGCCCGCCCGGCGCCTAACTACCTCCTTACCTAACCTAATAATAGCCTCATCGCCTGCCGCCAGAAACCTTAGTTAACTAGTTAGTTACTGAGTTACTAAATTTAGGGTGCCTATTCACAGACTTGGCTAGTGATCCAGCACGCGCCGCCTATAAAAAGAATGTTTCTCAAAGTCCAATCATCTTTTCCTTCATAAGGTAAAATCATGGGCAAGCCGAAACCACAATAAGTTCGCCTACGTTGAATATTCGGTCAATAGAAGGCTTTCATAAATGGATGGACTGCTGTCCAATATGATAACTAACTAGTTAACCAACGACGCCCTCCGCGCACTCGCCTGTTTGGCTTAGCAGTTTGGCAACTGCTCAGCTGCAAGGTGGCCATAAATAATGCACCTTAGCGCCATGAAATCATGTCCCTAACTCGCAGCTGAACTGCAGCTGGTTGAAGCAGGGGTGCGAACGTTCCGGGTTGAATTATCATCCACTCTCCAGAGGATTGGGGTCCATGTCACAAAGACCATGCAGATTGTCTCCATCTTGGCGCTTATACCTCGTCGTTAAAGTACTACGTTCTTTTGAATCGAGCTACTTAAACGATGATTAATTCCAACCCCCGATGATGAAGGCATTGTCAGCTCAGATCGTTTTCCAATCGACTGACGTGCCCAAAATTCGATTGCTGTTTATTCTTGTCATTTGGTTGAAACTCTCTTTCTATTACCCCTACAATTATTCTCCTTGTGCTCACTCAGGAAACAAACCAAGACTATGTCCAGGTCCAACGACATAGTTGAGTTTCCTCGCTCTGCTGTTGCGTGGAGAGAACTTGCCTCCAAGTCTCACGTGAAAGATGAGAGCATTCACAGCAAGACTTGCGACTCAGCATCAAAGATATCCAAAGAGCAGTATCTCCTACTCAGGAGTTATTGGGTTGAAGTGAAGCGTAAGGCGACCAAGGCAGAGGACTGGGGCATCAATACTGTTGACGAAGCAAGCGGGTGGTTAGATAAATTCGATGACTGGCAGGCATATCTCAACAACCTAGGCTCGCAACCTATTATGCTGATCCCACGACTCGGCTCATTCTCATATGTATATATGACCTTATGCCAGGTGATCAGGCTGCCGGAAGAATATACGGAAGAGGAGGAGGACAAAAACGTCAATTTCAGCCCAATCGCATCCCGTCTTCGATCATCCGACTACAAAGTATTTCTTGAGAGTCCGACAAAAGCGGCTGCGGAGAGGAAAGGGTTGGACCAGTCTATGGGTACCAATAAATTTGCACAAATGTTACAGCAACTAAGCATCAAAGAAGGCGCCGGTGACAACAGCTCGGACGAGGATATAAAGGGTAAAGGGAACGCGAAAGATGATCAGAACGAATCGGCGTCTAATGCTGGTAGCGATAGCACTCAGGCACACTCCTGGGTACAGATGAGCCCTAACTCCTTCCGCAAGGCATTCCCAAGAGTGGAGGACGAGCAAATAGTCAACGGATTCTTGATTGCCTTCCTTGCTGCACTTTGTATGCACCACCCGGATGTGAAACTCGAGTGGTCTCCTGTCAGGAAGGGTTTCAAATTTGGCAGATCTAGTGATACTGCTGGTGAAACGAAGGCATTCCTCTTCGAAGCAAGGACTGATGGCCATCTATCCGAACCTGTGCTGAGAAAGACGGACATACGATCTACAGTGATCGTCGAGGTCAAACCAACTCTTCGGGGTTATAACAACCGTGTCATTTATCAAGCCACTGCCCAAATGGCGGCTTGGATATATGAGGAGCCAGATGAGCCCGGAAGCCAGGAGCCATATCGGTGAGTTGAGCGTTGAAGCATACTCTCTTCTAATTCGATTCTGATAATAATTTATTAGGCGCGCAATGATTCTGCAGGAACGCCAGCAAATCAGGCTTGTCGTGGCCAAGTATGACCGTAATTATATAAATTACCTCAAAAATACTGCGAATGCAGCGGCCACCATGTCCCTATTGGAGATGCACGAGGTACGAGTGTGGGACATTGGGGAGAGAGATGAAATGAAAGAATTTGGAAATATCCTTCTCGCGCTCGTCCTCCAGGGCGGCAAGCTCCTATATTAGGCCCTTTAAGCTGCTTATTTGCTATGCACAACTGGTTATCCCAAACGGTTAGTTATCTCTCGGTTTGTATCATTGAAAAATGCGCTGACAGCCTGTGCAGACCTTGATCGACAACTTGGTATTCCCCGTGAATTTGCAGCAGTCGATGTACTCAGTAGCCCCTACAGGACTTCTGGTGGCGGTTGCCCTTTCCTGTCAAAAATTCAATCCTTGGAAGCCGTTTGTTTCTTCAGGGAGTTCAAATTCATATTCACAAACTCTATATATTTTCCTCGTTGCTTTGTCTTTTCCTATTACCGTCTATATAGCCTTAAGAAAATCCCTTGGCCTTTAAACAGGCCTGAAATGTATCGCGCATATTTCATTCTTACTAGCGAGATTACATCTCCCTTGCCTCCTTCTCCCAAAATCTCAAATACGTGTAGAAAACTAACTCGTGCAATAAGAGAGAAGAGCTAGAGAATAGGGCTTCGACTAAAGGAAATGTGACGCCGCAAAATTCGATGTGAATACTTCATTGCATTAAGGCATCAGTTTCAGTATCCCTAGTGTTTGTCGCCTCATCTAAGACCAGGATATCAGGGAGTGTAATCATGGCTCGTGCAAAAGAAGTGCAACTGCTTCTCGCCTTAGCTTAGGTTTTAGCCTTCGCGTGAAATAAGGGAATGAAGATTCTGAAACGCAGAAGTACGCTCTGCTGGGGCAGAGTAGATCAGTTACAGAGCTTGTTTGAAGCACGGAATCGGGATAATGGTCAAAAAGATATGAATTAGAACCGGTAGGCCCTGAGGATAGTATGGGGTAGTTAGGGGGTATTATAGTTAAGCGACTGCGCAGGTCATGCGGTTTAATGTGTGAACTATCCACACCATCAATCTCGATTGCATCCTTCTTTGCTGCGAGGAACCTGAACAATGCAAGAGTGAGGGATAATTTGCCATTTCCAGTTCGTCCGCCTATTCCAACACGCTCGCAGGAGCATGTATAATTGATGCCTTTCAAGATCGCCGATTGAGCCAGGAGTATATCCTACTTCAGCGTTCGTGGCTTGGAGCCTTTGCATTTCAGTCTTCTGGGAGAATCACCGCTTGGATACCTCTCGAGAGCGAAGCAGGTTTATTGAGCATCTCCAGCTTGGCCGTTCTGATACGCAAACGGCCCTTTGTTGCAAGAAAGCACCTCCAATGGTGAGAGCCAGAGCGAAGCCTAGCTGGTCATACCGAGCAATTTGGAAAACAAGAGAAACAAGCTGGCCAGCGGGCGGGCGGTAGCTTTGTGTGCGGTACAGAGTGTACACGCCTCTGGCCAGTGCAGAAGAGAGGGCTATGGCTGAAGCCTGAGAAGGATATCCATATGCCGATAGCGTACTTTCTCGCTATCAAAGGCTTGCTGCATACAAGGAAGATCCCACCAGCACTGACCAGTATCTAGCCATCCTTCGTTGGCGACGGTTAGGAGTGAGGCCTACATGAGGCCCCGGAGTCTGGAGTAGCAGAAGTTATAGTTGCCCATTCCATGGTGATGATGATAACCGGGTGGAGTGGGAAGCCCAGTACCTGTTAAAGTGACAAATTTTCAGGCAAAGGCAGCAAGAATAGCAGCGAAAACTAGGCGCGGCTACGGCTGTTGTTATCACCATGACTTTGAGCCCTCGAAAGAAAAGGGAGTCGAGCCCGAGGCAGCTGGAAGCGGGTTGTGATATCGAGCTGCAACAGGCTGTGTCAGCCCTCCATTGGGACGGTGGATGCTGTACTCGTCGTCATCTGAGAATACTCCGCCCGGTAGTTAACTACTTAGTTACGTGTAGTTAATCAGCTAACTAGTTAACTGCCTTGATTGCACACACGTTTCAGTAGAGCAGAGCCATCCACGGCTCTCGGAGCAGCAGGGCATCGACACTGTGCACTCAGTGCTGTCTGTTGCCAGTTTCCCCCTATCTTGCGTCAACCAACTAGTTGTTAACCATTAGTAATCCCTGATTTCAAAGCAATCACATCATCTTTGCTGGTTCGTCGGTTTTCGGTTTTCTCTTCCTTTCCGCGGCCGCCGTCTGAAGCCTTATATAAAGCTATACAGCAGTCGCATACTCTTGCGCTGATTTTATTCTATGCTATCATTTCAAATCCCCTCTTATCTGCCTATCAATTTGCTTTTTGTTCTGTAACTTGAGGGGCCGCTGCATTCAAAGGAGTCGGCTAGTTACTCGTGTTATAAAGCCATTGTACTACGAATCTACTTTGGACATACGGAGCGGGAAAGCGCAACAATGGGCGATTCTGATATCGATACCAAAAACATTTCAAACACGCCGGCTCCTGACATCAGCTATTTCACCCCGTATCAGAATCCTCCGGCAGGCCAGGCGGCGAACCCTCAGAGTAATGGCTCGGCCCCGCCAAAGCTCTTCCAGCCGCTAAAGATAAGAGGGCTGACTCTTCATAATCGCATCGGGGTGAGTAAAGAAATATATATAAACACAAGATTGTTGATTGCTGATATGCGGCATAGCTTGCGCCTCTCTGTCAATATTCATCGCCAGATGGCCATCTTACCGACTGGCACATGGCTCACCTTGGCAGCATTGCGATCCACGGAGCTGGCTTTGTGATGGTAGAGGCCACATCTGTCCTCCCAGAAGGGCGGATCACCCCTGAAGATTCTGGGCTATGGAAGGACTCTCAGATTGAGCCTCTAAAGCGGGTCGTCGAGTTTGTTCACAGCCAGAGCCAGGTTATTGGCATCCAACTTGGCCATGCTGGCCGCAAAGCCAGCACGTTTGCTCCCTGGCTCTCATCTGGCGACCTCGCCCCTGAAAATGTGGGTGGCTGGCCAGATAATATTAAGGGGCCAAGTGATATTCCTTGGGGTCCGCGAGTAGGGAAGCCGAAGGCCATGACAAAGGCAGATATTGAAGAATTCAAGGAGGCCTTTGGTGCATCCGTGCGTCGTGCTGTGACTGCCGGCGTCGACTTTATTGAAATCCACAATGCCCACGGATATCTACTGTCGTCATTCTTGTCCCCAACCTCAAATAACCGAACTGATGAGTACGGTGGTTCGTTTGAGAACCGAATACGCCTCACCAACGAGATCGTCGACATTTGTCGCAAAAATATGCCCGAAGACATGCCTCTGTTTCTCCGTGTCTCATCTACCGAGTGGCTCGAAGAGTCCCGGCCCGACTTACCCAGCTGGACTGTGGAGGACACAGTTCGCTTTGCCGAGGTACTGGCTGAAGGCGGCAAGGTTGACTTCATCGACATCAGCTCTGGCGGTAATCACCCAGACCAAAAAGTGAGGGGCGCACTACCTGGCGTGCCTTATCATGCTCCGATGGCAAAGGCCGTCAAGAAAGCTGTTGGTGATCGGATGCTCGTGGGCGTTGTCGGAAACATCACCACTGGCACAACTGCTAACCGGCTATTGGAGGAAGATGGCCTGGATTACGCTCTCGTTGGTCGCTGGTTTCAAAAGCACCCTTCACTGGTATGGTCTTTTGCCGAAGAGCTGGGGGTTGACCATAAAGTTGCTAACCAAATGTCATGGCCCTTTGGAGGAAGAGGCTCTACTACATATTTGAAAGCTGCACAGAAGAATTAGATCCTATTTTGTTTCTGGAACGGAGGCTACATTAGATTGAGTATATAGATAGCTAGACTAAGTATTGGCTGATAAATAGAGTGATGTATCAATGAACTTTTAACCATCAACTCTCATTCAAATCATCCTAAATAATTTTACGGAGTATTCATTCGTCCTTCAATAATAGAGCCAAAGCTTTGTCTTCGCTTCCTGCAAAAAGAAAAGAAAGAAAAGAAAAGAAAACGCCATAATTCACATGGAAAGTAAGCTTTCGGGGAAGCAACCCGACTGTATTGTAATCCGAAAACGCCGGTAATATTTTTTTTTTTCTTCTGAAAGCTAAAATGATGGGTCATAATTTATACAGTATCAATACACAACAAGTAATGGCACACACGGTTCTTTGTTCCCCTAAGCCAACGGTGTCGATTGAAGAAGCTGAATGATCATTCAGATTGATAAGTGTCAATAGAAAAACGCCCTATCCTTGTAACTGGGCGTGTAACATCTATAGATTACCTTTTTCTGATATACGGGCAAGTCAACTCTGCTTATACGGATACATCGAACCAATTCCAAAGTACTCCGTATGCAGTAGAGTGTCCCAAGTCCTTAGAATGAAACGGTATGCTCTCTGCGAGCCAAATATTTGTTTACCTTCGGTTACGGATAGTCGGCAGCGCCTCTGACAATGCTGGCTCTCTCCACGGAGTCTGTCCGGCAGGGCCAACACGAACAAAGCGCCGCTCGCAAATCACGCAAAGAAAAAGCAATTAAAAGTCTGAATGTCCAGCCAGGACCTTGTCCAGGAGATGCCATGTCCATGACCCGCCGTGGGGTAAGGGATGAACTGAAGGTGAACGAGCAGATTCTTCTGCAGTCAGTTTTTTTTTGCCAGCATCCGAGGGGACGCCGAGTTGCTTATAAGCGTCTCTTGATACTCGCTGCGTGTAGCCAGCTTCGAGCTAGGGCTGTCAGTGGCCCTCGTGTATGAGTCTATTCAGGCCAGCCTTTGTAGCCAACTGGCTGACGAATAAATCCCTGGAACTCACAGGCGAGGCAGCCAGGGGATCGATGCCCCTCCATTAAAAGGCACAAAACTGTTGGGCCATAGTTTTAAATGGCCCGAATCCTCTCGCCCTGTTCATACGTCCATTATTATCTCTGTTCCTCTCCACTCGACTGGAGGACTAGCTATCAGCCGGGGCCGCTAGGATCTTGCACGCAGACGCCTCGATTTGCTGCTTATCCCGTTGACTTGCGGGACGACGAGGGAGGAGAGGAAGAAGAAGAAACGAAGGAGGACGTCGAAAAAGACTCGGCTCACGTGGTCTGCTTACCTTTGCGTTTGTCCTGATTTGTTTCCCGCCGACTTCCAGCCATCTCCAACTCCATCGAACGAACAGCAAGCTCACCGGCGCATCTGCATCGACAAACATCGATCTTCCCTTTCGACGCCAGCAGGCTGCGAGGAGGACAGACACCTAGTGTCGCAATGGCTGTTCGATCTCTCCCCAGAAGCCTCTCGAGGCAGCTGGCCTTTGTCAGACCCTATGGAACGGTGCAGAGCAGCATCCCCAAGCCGGCGGCTTCTGCTTCTTCTCCAGCCGCAGTCGCACCATCTCCCACGAGCTCGCTGCCGGCAGCACTGCAGGATGCGATTGCGGCCAGCGCGCCCCGTACATCCTGGACCCGCGAGGAGATCACTCAGATATACCAGACTCCCCTTAACCAGCTGACTTTTGCTGCTGTACGTCACCCATTTCAGTAACTAGGAAGAGCTGAGACGACACACAGGATAGTATGGTTAACCTTCCTACTTGTGTATTAATATAGGCCGCTGTCCACCGTAACTTCCATGACCCTGCGGCTATCCAGATGTGCACGTTGATGAATATTAAGACCGGTGGATGTAGTGAGGACTGCTCATATTGCTCTCAATCGTCAAGATACGATACCGGCCTTAAGGCAACAAAACTAAGCAGTGTAGACTCTGTCCTGGAGGCTGCTCGCATCGCCAAGGAGAACGGGAGCACCAGATTTTGCATGGGTGCTGCATGGCGTGATATGCGCGGTCGAAAGTCCAACCTGAAGAATATCAAGGCAATGGTCAGCGGTGTGCGCGAGATGGGCATGGAGGTCTGTGTTACACTCGGCATGATTGATGGTGAACAGGCAAAGGAGCTGAAGGAGGCCGGCCTGACTGCCTATAACCACAATGTCGATACATCAAGAGAATTCTACCCTTCCATCATCACTACCCGGTCTTACGATGAGCGTATTCAGACTCTTGGCCACGTCCGCGATGCTGGAATCAATGTCTGCTCTGGCGGTATTCTTGGCCTTGGTGAGGAAGACTCAGACCGTGTGGGGTTGATTCACACTGTTGCTACCCTGCCTGCTCATCCAGAATCTTTCCCTGTCAATGCCCTGGTACCTATCAAGGGCACTCCTCTAGGCAACAGGAAGATGATTGAATTTGACAAGCTGCTGCGAACAGTTGCTACGGCTAGAATTGTCCTTCCTGCCACTATCGTTCGTCTAGCAGCTGGCCGTATCTCCTTGACAGAGGAGCAGCAAGTTACTTGCTTCATGTCTGGCGCAAATGCTATCTTCACCGGTGAGCGAATGCTTACAACCGACTGCACCGGCTGGGATGAGGATAAGAAGATGTTCGACAAATGGGGATACTATCCTATGAAGAGCTTTGAGCGTGGAGAATACAAGGGAATTGCGGAAAAGCAATCTTCTTCAGTTAGCGACGTTGTCGTCGAACCGGCCCAGCCTGCTGCAGCCCCAGCTTCATAGACTCCTTTCCATATTGCCCACTTGGGCTGTTATTATTTTACATTTCACTTGTGCCCAACCATTGATTTGTATATTCATGACCAAAATATATCATCATTTTCGTGCCCGTAGGCTACATCTATACATTTATAGAAACCGCCCTTTTTCATACCATCCAGGGAAAGGCTATGTACTTTTATCCTATTCATCCATTTTTTTAATTTTTCAACATCTTAGGGTCGCATATCGAACAGTAACCTCCTCCTGAACGCCGCATTCTCTATTCTCTTCGACCAGAGATTTCCGCAACAAAGTCTCTACCTTTGACAGCACCTCTCGCGTTGAGGTGACGCTGGCCATAAGGTAGAGTACATTTCCCAGAACTCGGGAATGGATGCTAAATGACTCTTCACCAGCCGTCAATTTCTTTTGCAGACCACTTGCGGCATTGGATGTGTATCCTGATAAAAAAGTCAGCTAACATTTTCCTTTATATTTAGTAGAATAGGGTTGGACTTACCTCCGCCATGCTGATCTCGGAGTGTAATACTCAAGACAGATCCAATTGCAAATACGCTCTCAACGCCATCTGCATAAGATAAATCTGAGACAAGGGCCTGTGGCCAACAGCTCCATACCTGGGGCCGGGTGAGGGTCCTTGCATTGTTGCCGGCTGGTGTTGTAATAGTTCGCTTCCAATCTTGCACAAATTCATCCCAATATCCGGTATTCTCCATGTTCTCCATTTTCCGAAGAGATTTCATTGCAACCGAGCAACCAACAGGGTTAGCTGTGTAACTGTGGCCATGTAGCAGTGCATCAGACTTGTGTGGGCTATCAAAGGTCTCGAAGATTTCATTGCTGGCTAGAGTTGTGCAGAGGGGCATCAAGCCGCCAGTTAGTAGCTTTGCATGCACCGAAACGTCTGGATCAACGTCCAAAAATGATGCAGCGGTCCGGCGGCCAAGACGGTACAAGCCAGTGAAGACTTCATCAAAGATAACGGGCAAGCCGGACCATGAGTCGGGTGAGGCAGGAGGCTGCTGGTGACACCGGCTGAATATCTGAGGATTTTCTCGTACTACTTGGACAAGTGATTGTTGAAATAAGGGGTCGCTATATCATGCCGTCAGTCTATGCAGTGAAACAGGAGTTTCAATAGCGGGTGTTAAAAAAAGACATACCAGAACAACATCCCTCCTGCGCCGAGAATGATAGGTTCGATGATGAGTGCACCGAGTTTCTGACCGCTTTGAACAACGTTCTCTAGTGTCTTTTTGATATAATTTCTATATCGTCCGGCAATGCTGGACTCCTTGCGAGCGTTCAAATCAAATACAGAAGAGATGTTTCGAAATGATACATCGTCTCCAAGCTCTTTCTTCAGCCCTTGTGGAACAGAAACTTTCCAAACACCGTCTGTCATCTGTACCATTGGGAAATCAAACCAATAGCCACGGCCCCTATACCATTCCACCTTTTTATTATATGTGGAAGGCTCTGAACAGTCCATCACTCCGATGGTATCACCGTGGTAACTACCCTTCAGACCGACTATTCCAATGTCTTCCTTGCTTGCGTCCCAGCCGTATCTAGTGCAAGACACTCGTAACCCCATTTTAAGAGCAACTTCCATACCCGTGCTACCGTTGTCCGTGAAGAAGACTTTCTGTAGACGAGGGTTACCCGAGGTTTTCAGCAATTGTTCAGACAGGGAGAGAGCTGGTTCGTGGATGGTTCCTGCAAACATGACATGCCCATATCTACCCGCCGCATAGGCAGAAGTAAGAGCCAATTCCGGGTTACCATGCCCCAGGCCCTGGGTCCACCATGACGCGGATCCGTCAAACGTTGGTCGCAGTACATGTTCACAATTGCTGCTCTCCGGACGAGCTAGGGTTTGGAAGCAATCACCATATGCAGAATCAATGACGCTTATGTCCTTTGGTGTCATTCCGTTGTGTTGGGTGAACGGGTACCAGATGACCTCCTTGGCCTTTGCTGGCATTGAATCGAGCCGATTTAAGCGTTCAGTATGCTTGCTAGAGAGCTCGTCAATCAGGCCAAACACCTCATCGTGCCTGGCGGTTTTCTCGTAGAACGAAGCCATGGCTTCCTCGTCCCTCAAACGAGCAGTCTCGTTATCTAGTTTCCCCTTCCGAGGAGGAGGAGGAGGTAGCGAGAAGACCTTGACGTTCTTCTGGCTGAAGAAATCCTTCAAGTACTCGTGGTTTTGATAGTACTGGTCCTGGAAGAGGATAATGCCTTCAACGTCGTACCCGCGGATACACAATGACTCGTAGGCTGATATAGATGCGGAAATGCCTCCAAGCCTGTGATCTGCAATGAGAATCACCGGCAACCGTAAGGGACGGTAGAGGTCTGCCTGCACCAGGCCGCTCGGCCCAGGGCTCAAGACGCCGCCAGCCGACTCTACCAGTGCAAAACTCGGTCCATCCTGGTCCCAGTAGTTGAGGGTGGACTTGATGCTCTCCAGCAGCTCATCGTTATGCGGTATCTACATCCACGGTCAGCCAGCATTTCTTTCTATACATCTAGACAGACCCCCCTCCTCTCTCTCTCTCTATCCTGCCCTCGCCGTCTCCCTTGCCGTGCTTTCTCACCTTGAGATCTCTGGCCGCGAGATGCGGGCTCACGGGACGGTCGTACCCGTACAGACACGCGGTCGTGACCCCCTTGGTAAATCGAGATATGTGTCTGTCCAACCGTCAGCGCCTGCAATGTCTATGCATGTTGTGGTACGTCGCGCTGGCGAGCGTTACGCCGTACCTGTCATCAGCCTCTGCGGCCGGCCCAGCGCTGACTGGCTTCAGGAACCGAAGCTTACTGCTCGCCCACGGCCGGTACGCAGGAATCGCATTGAAGAGCACCGCCGACACCACCGTCTTGCCGATGTCAGTGTTTGCGGCGTACACCTGGTATGCGCGGGACGACCGCCAGAGCCCTGCGGCCACCATCGAGGACGACAGCATCGCCCGTTAACTATCGCGACTCTCGACGCAGCCCGCAAAACAACCGCAGCAGCAGCAGCAGACAGCGGCGACGGCCAACGCAACAAGGAGAAGAAGAGCAGCACCTAGTTACTTAGGCCTTGACATCCATCCTCCGTCTGGCTGGCTTGCTTGGACTGACCTGACACCCTCCCGCACTTTGCGCTGCACTGCAGGTATCACGCTCCCTGTAGCTGTTTTAAGTCCTCACTCCAGCGGGATCCCTGAGACAACAAAAAGCCCACTAGGAAGAAAAAAAAAAAGAAAGAAAGGAACCTCCAGAGATCTCAAGCACACGTCCTCCGGCCAGGCATCACTCCTGGCAGCGTTCTCTTCCTTTCCCTCCACCCAGCGGGACCTTTTTCCCGGCTCCAAACACTCATCCTCGGCTTCAAGATAACAGCTAAAGGCGGGCCTGTCTCCGGGGCGGGCTTCGTCTGCCTTCTTCTGCGGCCCAACAGATTTGAGTTACTGTGCGGCCCTTGACAGCCGATATTTACGCATGTATTATTCTGGCTCTAGTCTGTTTTCTTTCCTTTTTCTCTCTCTCTCTCTCTCTCTTCTCTTAACAAAAGCTGGAACTAACTTGGCTGGTACAGGGGATAGAGCCTTGCGCTGGCTCATTATTATTTATTGCGGAGATGACGTCCCTCCCCCGGGCCGGCAGGCAGAAGGGAAAAAGCAAAGACAGAGCACGACAGATAGGGCCCTAGGACGAATGGGAGCCGGCATGGAAAAGACGCATGGATGAAGAAAAAGAGGGACAGCAAAAGAAACGGAAAAAGCAAAGAATGAACGTTGTTTGTTCATGAAGGTGCCGGTTTCCCTCGAAGGTTTACTCTTCTGGTTTCGAGACGTAATTTTTATATCTCAGGTCCACAGCCAAGTCGAAGGGACGAGAAAAAGAAAGGAGCATCGAACTAAATAAAAAAACAAAACCCAGGCAGGGTTGTTTGCGTGCATTGGATATATTTAATCAAGCCCATTGCAGGTACCGTGGACAGGTCTCGCCGTTGTGGGAGAGAGCGAGAGAGAGGCGCCAATGCGAAAAAGATAGAGAGATCAAGAGAGCACAAGACGATGCTAAGCCCGCCAGGAAGCAACTTGCAGCGATCGCTGAGAGAAGCTCTCGAGAGACGGGAATCAAGGGGAACCCTTCGTTCACTCAAGATTGTACCAACCGGCGCCGTTGACTTTTCTTCCAACGACTTTCTCTCTCTCTCAACCAACCCGACCTTTCGAAGCCGGTTCCTAAGCAACCTCGCCAGAGCTTCGAGCTCGCTCCCTCTCGCAAGCACCGGTTCGCGGCTGCTGGATGGCAATTCCCTTTATGCAGAGCAGCTCGAACAGCAGATTGCCAGCTTTCACAATGCGCCCTGCGGCCTAATTTTCAACTCAGGCTTCGATGCCAATTCAGGGGTGTTTGCATGCATTCCCCAGCCAGGAGATGTGGTCATCTACGACGAGCTGATTCATGCTAGTGTGCATGACGGCATGCGACTCTCTCGAGCTAGGAAACTGGCTCCCTTCATTCACAATTCGATCGAGGATTTTGAACGGGTGCTCGAAGCACTCCTTCTCGATGACCCTCTGCTGCTGGCCGGCCAACGGAATGTGTTTGTCGCTCTGGAGTCGATATATAGCATGGACGGGGATTTTGCGCCAATACGGGAGGTTCTGGACATACTAGAGAGGAAGCTCCCGCACGGGAACGGGCACGTTATCGTGGACGAAGCTCATGCAACCGGAGTATTTGGCACGCATGGCGCAGGTGTTGTGCAACAGCTAGGCGTGGAAGATCGTGTTCTTATCAGACTGCACACGTTCGGCAAGGCGCTGGCTAGCAATGGAGGTACTCTCTCATACCTTAAATCTTAGGCTTGTGCGAAAATTCCGGCGAACAGACACAGCTGACAACCCCGATTACCACAGCTATCATTCTTTGCTCCCCGCTTGTTAGAGAATATCTAATCAACTATGCCAGACCTCTCATCTTCACCAGCGCCTTGGGCATGCCCTCCCTCGCCGCAGTTCGCACAGCATATGAACTGATGGAAGAAGGGCAAACACGAAAGGTAAATATATATTTTATCTGACCTTCCTAGTCGATCCCTTTATCTGGCTTCAAATTCTAACCCCTTCCCGTTTGTTTTAGCTGCAACTCCATCTTCAGGACCTCATCCAGCTCTTCCGTGAGAAGCTCATGCAAGTTTCCCTATCGGATACCTCCATACTTGAAGCAAAGCACTCTCCTACGTCGCCTATCTTCTCCCTCCAAACCAAGTACCCCCGCGAACTATCCAAAGCATGCCAGGACGCAGGCCTGATGGTTCGAGCAATCATGCCGCCCACGGTGCAAGTGGGGACCGAGAGAGTACGAGTCTGTTTACATTCTGGAAACGATATGGAACAGGTACTATTACTTTCCGGAGTAATTGAGAAATGGGTAAAGGAAAAATCCAACCATGCTACTGAGAATAGGCTGGAGGCTGCAAAGCTATAGTAGTAGCGTAGCTAAGAAATGAATAAATACTACCTAAGTACCTCTAGTAATACAAGCATAAGTGTTAGACATAAGTATTTGGGGCAGGGGATTCCTATACCAGCCTTTCTAAGTTTCTATTTGGTACAGCTCTATCATGATGCACAGCGAATTGATGATGGTATAATAAAGAAATTTCTCATTTTTTGGAAGCTTCATTCGACATGGAGCTAATGCAGCCTGGGTGCGGATATATGTATGTTATACGAAGGAGCCCACTTGGCTTCTTATCCCGGTAGGGTAGATAGATATATAAGGCACACTGGGATCCGTAAGTACACTATAGTGGTAATAACTATTCTCTAATAGCATTTTCCGTGTAATTCGCTAGACGTGAGAGGTGACAAAGTTGAGTACAAAGCAGCATTGGTTACCCCTTCCCAACCTTTTTTTATGCCCCAGTCCCTTAAGAAAAGAAATTTAAAGAGATGTGAAGAATCAATCATAGATTCCATCGGTAGATGTATTTAACCAAATGGAGCCCCCTTTTTTGGGTGATGTTAGTTGATTTATTTAAGCAGTGGTGGTGGGATCGGTGATCAACTTGGTGATCATCCCAATGGCAATGGTTTGACCCTACTTCAACGTTAGCTGACAGCACCATTTGAAACCATGCGAAGAGATTTTTGGAGAAACGAACCTGATCACGTAGGGTAAAGCGTCCAAGCTGATTGTAGTCTTCAAACTTCTCCACACAAACAGCACTTCCACCACTAGCAATCTCTAACCGAGCAATAATGGTTTGACCCTTGCTAGCAAAAGCAGGTGGTTTTTTGCTCTTGCGTCCAGTTTCCTTTTGCACTTTGTGTAGAAGTTCGGCAAAAGTGACTTCTTCAATAGCGGAATGAACATGCATCACACAATTAAATCCAGCCGTTAGGATGCTCTTCAAATCAAGAATACGGATCTTTGCTTCAAAAGCCGTTACACAATGTACGGGTCGTTTGGGCGAGCACATGACAAAACCTGGGAGAATATCTTCCTCCTCCACACCTCTAAGACGGGCTCGAATCTGGTCACCGCATGTGGCGGTTTGGATTTCATCCTCAGTTTCACCGTAGAGCGCTGTGACGGTAATTTCGGTTCTGTTGGGCATAAGGATGCAGGTAGACCCTTTTTTAAGAACACCAGATTCAATTCTGCCTTCAATAACGGTTCCCATATCCTTGTACTTGGCGCTAATCGGCATCATGAAAGGCGCGTTGATCTTTCGTTCAGGCATCTTCATGTTGTGAAGGTATGGAAGTAATCCGGGGCCATCGTACCATGGAGCAATATCCTTGGGAACTGGCTTATCGATACCAATGGTTTTCTGAGCGGAGATGGGCATGAAATGGAGGTCTGACTTCTTGTAACCCAAAGCTTCGACATACTTGCCAATCTTCGTCGTACATTCATCATATCGAGCTTTACTCCATTCGACAGTTGGGTCGTCCATCTTGTTAACTGCGATGATCAGTTTCTTCACGCCGGAGTTTCTGGCCAACAATGCATGCTCTCTGGTCTGGCCACCTCTCTCGAAACCAGTTTCGTATTCACCCTTTCGAGCAGAAATGACCAAAACTCCAACATCAGCCTGGGAAGCACCTCCAATCATGTTAGGAACAAACGACTTGTGTCCAGGGGCATCTAGGATAGTATAGTGTCGTGTCATAGGTCCGTCAGGTGTGTCTCCACTCGTCTTGAAGAAGGCTCGGCCTACTTCTACGGTCTTACCCTTCGATCGCTCCTCGTTGGTCAAATCAAGGGCCCACGAAAGATACCAGGTCTCACGTCCAGCGTCCTTGGCTTCTTTCTTGTACTTTTCCATTGTTCGTTCGTCAACCATCCCTGTGCAGTATAGGATACTTCCACCTAATGTCGACTTTCCAGCATCAACATGGCCGATGAAAACAAGGTTAACGTGCTCTCGTTTTTCTCCGTAAATTTCCTTGAGGGTAGCTTCATCAACATCCGCTGCTTGTTCCTTTGCAACAATATCGGCATCACGGTTTGCGGTCTTGCTGTCAGCGGCGCGACCGGGAGATGATCGACCAGATGATGGAGTTGGCGAAGAAGCACCTTTCTTCTCCGTCTTTTCGATAGCTTTTGTAGCAGTGACCTTTGCTCCTGCGGCTGCGGCTGCAGGCCCAGTGGATTTTTGTGCTTCCGTAGTAGATGTTGCGCTGGCTGCAGGCGCCTTGGACTTTGGAATATCCCCGCCGATCGTCAACACTTTAGCTTTGGGTGGCTGGGATGCTGGCGATGGCTTCGAAGGCTCTGATGGGGTCGGTTTAGGGGTAGCCGCGGCCGCGGCAGTATCAGTGGTGGCATCAGTGGTGGCATCAGCGGGAGCAGGATTGGATTTCTCAGCGGTCGATGGTGGCTGCCACTGTTCCTGTTGTGGGGGAGGGGCTTGCTGCTGATATTGGTTGAAGCCCTGGTTGTAACCAGCATGCTGCCCACTCTGGTAGCCTCCCTGGTAGCCCCCTGGCTGCGTGTAATGCTGGTTGTATTGAGGATACTGTTGTTGAGGATAACCCCCATATCCGCCAGCATACGGATAGTATTGTGCTTGTTGCTGGTAGCCACCGTACTGTGGGAACTGCTGGCCGGGGACGAATGAAGCAGCTCCGGGCTGGAATGTAGCAGCGCCAGGCTGGAATGAGGCCACCTGGGGGCGGAAGCTCTGCTGTTGCTGTTGCTGTGCTTGTGGCGCCTGGTTGAGGTTCAGGCTCTGCTGCGCTTCCTTGGACAAATTCTCATCCTGGGCGGCGGGGTCGTCTTCCCACGAGTCGAGGGCAGACATATTGGTGACCGGAGGCGTTATCGGGGATATGGATATGAGGCTCAGAGAGGATGAATCTAGCTATCCGATGGTCTGTAGGCGTGAAAACGCTGCTCGTGTGTTTGAGGCTGGTGGTCGTAAGTGGGATGTTGAAAATGCGGAAGATCTTTTGATAGACGGGGCCCGACGGCGGTGGTCCCGTGACCTGACCCGCCTCAGCCCTCAGTTGTGACTCCGAAAGCAGACGAAAGCCGATAATGAACGTTAGGCAGCGCAGAGAGAAAACATTATTGAATGGCGTAATGAAGTTGAAGAGAAATCCATTAGCTACTAAAACACAGAGCTGAAGTGCAAGTACTTGCTCGGTAGTACAAAATTCTTTGGCAGGAACGGTATTCTAGCTAGACCGTTGCAGTAGTATATGGAGCAAAACAATCACTCCCCAGAAGACCAACATGAGACCACGCGATGGGTCGGCGACTCCCTGAGGATGAAAGAGGAGGCCCGTTACTATTCATCTCCATCTCGTCAAGCCTGTCAGGGCGGTTCATCCAGGCCACCAACCGCTCAAACAAGTGGCTGTGGGTCAGAACGACTTCCATACCAAGAGTGCCATTCTTTTCCCCTTGTTTTCCGTGGATGAGTTTGAGGCAGCAGCCTAAATATATATCGGTCAATAGTTGTTGCGAGTGTTGTAGAAGCACCTGGTTGTTAAGGCAATGAAAGGAAATTGAACAGTATGAAGGTAAGGGGCAACCCAATCTACCGCAACGGGTATCAAATCACTTCTAAAGTAGTAAGGAAGCCTTTATCCAACGACCACAAATGCCTTGTGGCAGAATTCCCAGATTGATACAGCAGTCTAACTGATAAAATGGTCAAAGCACGAAGCTCAGGAGCCTTCATAGCCCGAGCTTGCATTTTAAGCGAAGAGAAGCAAAGAAAACAACTCTAGCTGGCTGGGGTACTCTTCCCTTTCCCTTTCTCCTGGATATTTGAGCATGAAGCGCTATTACCCTCGTCTTCGTAGAGATGGTGCTTTTCAATGTAGTCGATCACAGGGCGCGGAATTAGATAGCGAACACTCATCTCTCGTCGAAGGAATAGTCTGATCTTGGTGCTGCTAACATCATTTTGAATGAGTTGTTGAATGACATAAATGTTTTCTTTCCATGGCTGCAGGCCAGCAATGGCTTCATCGATATCGGTACCGCTACGTTCGACAATAAATGTCTGTATTAGAGTCGCCCAGTTAGTTTCATGAGTTAATTAAGATCCTAAGGAAGGATAATGGATAATAAAAAAAAAAAAAAAAAAAAAAAAAAAAAAGAACAAAACCTACCCCGTATTTCCCAAGAATGTGATCCAAATCTTGCTCACTCCAAACTCCTGGTGTCGACATGGTATGGATCAGATCAGCTCCTGCAAGTAGCGCTATCCTCACTGGTCTCTTCGTGCCATCTCCGATGTCTATACCGCCATAGTCATGATTGATGATCTTATCAACATGGTCTAAAACCTTTGCGGTTGGGCTGTATTCTTTCTGCATAGCTTCCCAGGGATCGACCATCAACCAGTCTGAGGTTTTGTCCACGGCCAATCGGCACATGTTTATCCTATAAACACGAAAACATTTCACGTATTAATCTCTGAAATTCGGACGCCGGTCAAACTCAGCAGATGACGGAAAAACTAACCTGTGTGATGCAGAGGCAAGACCAGCCTTCCTGTATGCGTCTGATACAGGAGACAGATAGCCTCCGATGAGCTCGAACTTGGTGCTGAATTTGACAAAGTCTGCCGCCATCTCGAACATACGTAGATGCAAATAGGTAATGGGCGAAAATGAGCCACAGGCAACGAGTAGCAAGGGAGTCTTTGACGGATCATCCATGACCTTCTTTAGTCTGTCGTTAGGAAACGAGTAGGACTCTTGTGCCGAACTCGCCATGGCACCGTCTATGCCGTCAACGGCTTGCTGTAACTCCCCGCTGTTGCCGGCCATTGGGAAGACAAGCAGCAGGCACTTCCACGGCGCCCACCAAGTTAGCTAACGGATGAGCCGGAGTGATAAGGAGGAGGCACAGCCAGGCAGTGCGTTATTCTCAAAGCTGTTTCAGCGTCCTAATGGCTGCGAGACGGACGGTCGATGGAACTGCAGAGGGAGATGGGCTGCCTGGTGGGAAAAAGCGGGGAGTTGCTCCAGGCCTGTGACGAGTTTACCTTGTTAAACAAGCTCTGGCAGGCGTTGGTTAACTAGCGAATTTGAAAGCAATGCGGAACCGTTCACAGCTTTGTTCCTGTGTAGATTTCGAGTAGGGCCTGCTTTTCTCGTCCACGATGCATAGCACTGGCCGATGTTGAGATGCTAGACCAAGAAAAAGAAGAAGAAGAAGAAGACGATAGCGAAAGAAAACTCCTGGACTTCCTTGTTTGTTCGTCTCGAGTCGACGTTTTGGTGCCGGTTAAAGCGCCGGCAAGAAATGTCGCGGGCTCTTTTTGCCGCCGAGGCCGGCATGAGGTCTGAAATTGCCGCTTTGGGACTAGTTCCAGTGCTTGTCTAACTAGTGGCCGAGTCAGCGTGTTGACTTTTTTTTTTTTTTTTCCTCTCCTTTCTTTCTATTCTTATATATAAAAAAGTAAGAATACGAGACGAAGAAGAGGGAAAGGAAGACAAGGACAAAGAAGACTAGTAGACGAGCCGAAGGTGATGTTGGAAAGTTGCCAGGAGTGAGCTGTCAGGCCGGGCAGAAGCTCGGAGGCGGTCATGGTCATTCGCTTTACCTCATATAACTAGCTCGTTATACGGCTTGTTCGCCCCTCCAGATAACTAGGGGTGGGTTTGATAGGAACGACATACCCCAGCTAGTTATCTCATGCATGAAAGTTGCCTTTAGTGGGCTAGAACTTGTTATAGATACCTACAATACTCGGCTGTGACGTTTGGAGCGGTGTCAGGGGAGCTCCGTCTGGGCAGCGCGTGGACTACAAAAAGATAAAGCCTTGGGAAACCTGATATTTCCTACGATAAATGGTAGATATCTGGGGTATTTGCAGCCATGGATCTTCTTCTTTCGAAAGTAGGTGATCCAGCTATGTTAGAATATACTATTATTCCTCCCGGCGGAAGACAGTCTTACAGTCCACTGACCCTTTCACCCACAGGTCACCCAGCAGGCTATGAACTATGCTATCAGGTATTATTAGCCTAGATAATTCATATAAGAAAAGGAAGGCAAGGGAGAATGCTGATATAAAGCAGATCTGGTATCGCCATAACTGCCACATATGCGATACGTCAATCTTCAAAGCTCCTCAAGGTGAGCTACCTGTTTGCTTCAGCATACTCTATCCTCTCAAGTTTGCGTATTACTAACAGGTAGAGGTAGAAAGTCGATGGAGCCGAGCGAGAGGAATTACGGTCTCTCCAAATTCGTCTGCAAAGCAAGATACAAGTAAGTACGCTGCCCCCTTTGCAAGAAAACGGTTCTGTTGACTTTACTAGATTATATCTCCTGCTATTGATATGATTGAACTCATGTAGGTTTGCACAACCGCCGCTTATAATGCTTGTCCAGCCCTAATGTGAGCGTGACTACAGTGCTGCAAGAGGAAACACGTCTCTTGAATCCGCCGTCAATCTTACAAAAACCTTAAGATTAGACATTCAGAATATAGGACAGAGATTAGCACGGGTCGTTGGTAACGAAGAAGCTCATGGGAAAGGGGCTTCTGCCAAGCGTCGGGTACAACTTGATGCTGAGATAAATTCTGTCATAAAAGAGATAAGGACGCTTCTAGATCGCATTGAGGATGCAGTACCGCTCATCAACCTAGCCATCACCACTTCAGGGGCAAGGCTATCAACTACATTACCTTCTACCGTCTCACCATCTCGGTTACTACAGGCTAGTACGTTTTTAACGGCTGGCGACACTCAGTTCTCTTTAACGCCAAACCGTTCGGTGCAAGTTGGTCCCACCTTCACGCTATCCATATATCTTCTTTTTGCAAGTCACGTTCGACCCACAGATGAAGAGGGTATCCGAGAAACTACATGGAAAGAGGTTATACACAAGGCTAGAGTGAAGCTATGCCGTGTGCCTATGGATGTGGTTCTTGCAGATCAATACGGAGATCGATGCAACCTTCGAAGCGAGGCTAGAGCGGACGAATTTGCTTACCAGATACTTATCATTGAAGACCTTGATGATGGAAGGGTTCATTCATTCGAAGATGATGAGCCCAAGCCAGGATCCTTTGAAGGTGTGGCCCAAGCCGGCATCAGGGATGTTATCCCTGTACACCAGATATCCAAGATCTTCTACGCAGACACAGGAAAGATCTTAAACATTGGGACAGAGGGTGAAGCCAATAATCCTGTGCTTCTTCTGAAGAGAGATATAAATGCGATACCTCCACGAGGAATGATTGAAAGAGAAGACCTTACTGGATACTTTGACTCTGAGGATGGCCACTATCCTGAACAGGAGCCGTATGACGACGAACAAGCACAGATCGACGCGCAACTTATGGCATCACAGGGTATGCATAAACCCTCTGATCCTGTACGATACCAAAATGACATCCCTGAACATTGGCAGTTTCCCCCAAGCCTTGATCTGGAGTGGATAGCTCTCGAGGTCCACCAAGAGGAACCTGAATCTGACGACGATGACAATGAGGAAGACGAGCCAGAGGCAGCTTCTGCTACAATCACAGAAGAAGATGAACTTTCCGAAAACTTAGCAAAGCTGAGTATCCCCAATAAACATAAGTCACCCTCAAGTCAAGTTGCAGTACCCCCATATCCAGACCAACCAATGTCCTCTTCGACAGTCTCCAACCCTCTATTCAATAATATTCGAACCTCATTGTCGCTGCTAGAAACATTACTACGGCTTACTTCCCTCCAACAATTCCAGCAACAATCCCATCTCTCCATCACAGATGAACTTCTCACATTTTTCCTCGAAGAATCGTCTGCCACAGGTGCAGGTGGAGACGAACAACATCGACAGCGTGTCCGATCTGAAGCTCGAAGAAAAGTCGGTTGGGACCCATATGACGAAAGTCCTCTGAAGCCTCGCGGAGAAGACTATCAGTATCAGAATGAGCATGGTTCCGTGGCAAGTACTCCCTCCAGATACCAGCCGCAGCCTGTAGATCCGGATGAAAGTTTTGAAGAAATACCTGCTCAAATAAGAAGCAACCATGATGGTAGATGTCGGGAATCGCCACAAGTTAGGCGACGGAAAGAATCGTCACTGGCATTGTCTCCAACCATTCCCCGTCCCCTCACCCCTGCATCACCATCCCCTAAAGAGAATTACACCGAAAATAATGATAGAAAACTGTCCAGTCTCAGATGGCAAGTTCCTACGAACAAACCAGCGAAAAAATGATTGGTAAAGGATATTTGAACACAATAAATGCTAGGGCTATTTATTTAAGTGAATAGATGATATTAGCCTTTTTTTTTTTTATACTCTACAGCTAGTTATCTGCCTACACGAGATAATATTGATAGATGGCAAGATGATAATTTCCCTACGCTCAATCATTGTTGAATTGCCCTTTGGCATCACCACACGAACAGGGGGCTTTAGTCATAGTATTTTTAAATGGCTGAAAAATGAAGACAAGTAGGGGCATTCTCAGTATTAGTTCATGTAGCTCATAATGAAAGACAAATTAGGTACTCATGATTGGCAATGACCAGTATATGAGAAGGTTACCGTTGTGGTTTGGAGCTTCTTGAGCCACGCCACAGGTGTCTGATTAAGGCTCAAGAATAATTATGTTTTTGTTATACAATCAAAGTCAAATACTATGGGGAAACTGACATTGCAAATAGTTGCGCAGAGCAAAAAGGAGGCTATAAAAAGCTTGGCATTGACCCACTTCCCGCAACCTTAAAGAAAAGAAGCAGTGAATATTCAAGCTCTGGTGAAGTCCTTATTTGCTTTTTAATTTGAACGCCCAATTTAAATTCTTCACCTTAGTTTGCATGCCACTCCGACTGGCACAAAGTAGAGGCTCTCATACAAAATCTAGTGTGCCCTACCGTATTCCAAGATGCCATAATAGATATCAATACAAGTCGGTGTATCATTTGACTAATCCGGAGAAGTAAAAGTCATGGGCATTGTCATATTTTATATTTTCGGATAACCTATTCAAGTTGGGAGAGTGAGCATAGCTTGGAGAAATATTTGACCGTGATAACGTACTCGGTGGAAGTCATCGCGCGCTGGAAGCAGATAATGTCCCCGTCGCCAATCTCTAATTGTTTCATTGTCTTTTTTCCTTCCATCTTCTTTATCAAAGTGGGTTTAATTTCCTATAATATTGCTGGATTAGCCCATCTGCATGTGAAAAATATATATCTATGACCAAACACACCTCGTAGTAAGATACAGGGGTATTGGACTCCCACCCCATAGCCCTGCAGATCATAGGAGACAGGTCATCAGGCCTGTCATCAGGCTTGACGTAAACAGAGCAGAACCCTGTAATTGCCTGTTTTGTTACATTAAAGTACTTGAGGAACACTAGGGATGAATCAGATCCATTTCTATCCCCATATCGACAACTATCACTCTCAACCCAGAGCTGGAATTCATGTGGGAGTCTGGGATAATGCGTCTTCCTTACATCTCCCATCGTCACCCCAGGGTCCAGAGGAGGGCCAATTGGTCGAAGGGTTCCATTTTGTCGAGTTATCATTGGCCAAATTCTGATGTCTTTTCCAGGTATATTCAGCGCCTGAGTTACCGCGCTAACAAGTTCCTGCACCAGCATGTTTTCCTGAAGGTGGCTGTAACATAGAGAACTAGCTGACTTATCATCGATTGGTAATATGGGAACAATATCGAGCCCATGGTGTTTGTAGAAGTCACTAATAGAGAAGAGCCTAACATTGATGTCACTATTAGCAGTAAAATGAGCCTTAAGCTCCTTGCTTTGCGTGTTTATTGCCGCTGCGCCCTCCTTTGTTAATTTGGAGCTGTAGAAATCTCCCAAGTGATCTTCTTGTGCGTATGAAGACGGCGAAGAATAAATTCTAGTAGGAATTTCATCTTGTAGTACGTCTGCTAAGACACGATTAGCTTCAGATTTCCGTATGTAAATCAACATGGTGGCTGTTTTTTCCTGGTATTTCTTTGCATTATAATAAGGCTCCAAGACCTTTGGATGTGGTTGTTCCTGATTGGTTTTTATGACTCCGAAATTGTCATTCATAGCTTCCTTCATTGTAGCCATCGTGACCCTGTCATCATCGAACTTATAGAAGTGTCCATCAGGCTTCGGTCTGATAAAAGTATAGTAGTGAGGGTTAGACGGGCCGCTTGCATGAACCACAACACCGTAGAGTATATAGTCCCATGACTGAGATTTATCAACTTCGTTGGAGAGATATGGTGACATATCGATTTCTTCTGGAAATTCGTGGTAATCCGTAATCTTTTTCATTTCTCCAGCATTGATGTCAAATTCCACTCGGTTGAGGTAGATGGTAAGAACCCATGGAAGGTGGGAAAATGTGTTGCGTCTGATCACATCTTTTGTCTCAAATATGGCCCCGGTGTAAAATTCCTTGAAAAGGACTGCAGAGGTGTAATCCTTGAAGCTATCCACCAGTGTTCGGTGTCCACGGACATTAAGCTCGACATGAGTGAATACCTCCTCCTTAGACCATTTATAGGAAACATTAACAGTAGATAAGTTCGTCATACCCCTAATGGTAAAAAGTTTTTTGAAGATATCACGGCAAGGGGCAACCTCGAGCCTTTTCTCAACACATGATAATAAAATGCTTGAGAATTCCTGTGCATCCTGCGGTTCACAGAGGTGCATTGCTCTCCAACCAAAGGAGTCTGTAAGTTTGACAGGCGAAATAGCGGATGACTTTGTCTGAAGTAAGCAAAAGACATGCTGCAGCGCCCAAGCTTTATCTGTTGGCTCATGTATAGCTGTGGGCGCTTGGTATATTATCTATTGGGTGTTAGTCCGATAAATCTAGTAGAATTAGGCTGATATAATGCTCCAACCTTTCTAAACAATGAGATGTGATACAAATTTTGAACAACGCAGCTCAGGTAGTCGGTTGCTCCTAAGTTACTCACCCCGACCAGGCCAGTTACGCTTTTTGAATCATACCTAATTTAGTAAATATTAGATTCAACCCACAGAAAAAAGAGAAAACGAATACTAGATAGTTATACTTGACAAGATTATGCCACAATAAACCCGTTGGATCCTTGATTACCCGGACATAGGCAGTTATTTTAACACCTTCTGTACCTGAGAACGGAGATCCAGGGGGTTCCAAAGATATGGATGGCTTTTTACGTTCACAGAATTTAGTGAATCCCCAATCGGGCTCTTCGCCGTTGAATCTATGAGCAGCAGCTTTTAGGCAGATTAGCTGACTGTTCGGACTGACAAACAGGGGCGAGTTCTGGGGTAGAAATCAACCATGGGAAACATAATTTGAGGAATTCTTTGGATCCCACAGAACTAGCGCAAACTGAACACAGGCGTGCCAATCTTTCGAGGGTAAGCTAGCATCAATGTACCGCTGGAAATATATGGATACTTTGTCCACACCATTTCCTTGGGGGTAGAGAAGAATTTGCCTGGTTGTGGCGATCAGTATAGTGATTGACTTCAACAAGAAAACTACTCATAAGAATATTTCCAAACATACCAGGAGCCACTTCCACACTGAAAGGGAATACCAAGCTCTTTCTTTTGTAAGCTAGTCCAGTCTGGAATCGTCCAAGTGCTGTGAGTTTGCTCTTGTGTCTCAAGGTCGTTGCCGAGAGGCAGTAATTCTGCCAACATAGCTGCATCTAGATAGTATTCATCCCTAAGTAAATTGGCATTTCATGACATACAAGGGTATCAAGTATCTCACGGTCAGAAGCAGGTGGTTTGGCGGTTTCTGTAGGCGCCTTAGGCCTAAAGGCCAAACCTGCAGTGCTCATGGTTATTTATGACTTTTCCACGTCGTATATATGAAGGTCGGACAATGGGCAGGTAATAATGAGATAATACATTGAGTCTTTCGCAGCATTCCTTCCTGCATTGTGGTCGAAGAAATTTAGCTTGATTGCCATCAAAGGGAAAAAGTAATTATATCCAATGTTACTGGGTCATCATCATGTGAAGCAGTGTGGCTTTATAAATACGAGAGGCTCCCCGCTCCCCCTTTGACAAGAGCCGCTCCCTCAGGATATTTAATGGGGAATTTGGAAGATAGAGATACGAACCTCTCCCACCTCCCACAAGAACGGCCCTGGGTGAAATACTGCGGAAATCTCAGGGGGTAAGGGGAACAACAACCCAGGAATATCATTTACCAACCAATCCAACATACACTAAACGCAGGAAATCCAGGATATCGAGAGGAAAAAATTAGCCAAATTAGTTAGGGAGGCAGTCAATGAAGAATAGTCGAAATTCCAAGAGGACAGAACACCGTCTGCGCCAAACACCAAAACCAAAACTGAAATAAAAAAAGTCCAATCTCAAGGACGAAGCGCAGACTGTAATGTACAGTTACTCCCAGTCTTCCTCATCGCTATCGTCGTCCTTTGCTGGTGTGCCGGTTTTATTCTCCTTTGGGCTGTTAGCAGAATGGCTCGTGGCACCGCTGACAAGATCGTAGCTTGCATCACTTCCAGCTTGAGATTGGAGGTCATTCGAACGGCGCGGCTCCTCGGCTTGTAAATGTTCATTGCTTGGTGTGTTACTAGACGGTTTAGAGGGGGATGCAGCTTGTGGAGTAGCAGGGGAATCTGAGTCGGAATCTTCATCCCATGCGACCTCTTCGTCCTCGTCCGTAGATACTTTGGTTTTAGTTAGTATATTGTTAAAGATGCGTTGGTGTAAAAGAGTATAGACTTACCCTTGAGCAAGTCCTTTCGTCGCTTCTCCTCTGTCTCAATCACAAGCCGTAGAAAGTAATATCGACGCCAGAAGTCGCCGTACTCGACTTTCTCGGGGACGAGTGACTCCATTGCCTTACGAAGTTCAGGGTATTTTTCTAAATCTGCTGCAATGCTTTCTGTCTTTTTGTCAACTTCGAAATTATCCTTGAACGCATCCCACTCCTTGCTAGCAGGGTCTTCTGAGAACCCTTGTAGGCTAGAATGTATGGCATGAAGCTGAGCCTCAAAACGAGTAGTATGAATGACCCTCTTGCCGTCCGAGTCTCTGCTCTCAAAAAGCACCTTTCCATCCGTTTTCTCGTCTGTAGAACTCGGCGGGGCAATGCTGACAGCCTCACGTAGGAAGTTTCGAATATTTGTGCCAAACTTCAGTAGAGCTTCGTCTGCTGCATCCTCAGCCTTCTCGAGGTCCTTTAGTCGTTTGGCAGCCTCTGAACGGAACCGTGAAATAAATCCTTCGCCATCTGCGTCCACACTATCGCTTCCAGTACCTGCCTTGTCACTTGGCTTTATGGTTGCGGCATCGTCTGCCGTTGATGACCCTTCTCTATCTCCAACCGCTTGATCCGTTTCATCAGTTGCGCTTAGTCCGCTAATCGAAAGGCCTCTCGTTCGGTCGATTAAGCTTGCTCTAAGCCCAGTAAATCCCCTGATGGCTTCCTCACTCGCTGCGTTGTACTCCTGGCGAGCACCCTCGTAATACGTCTCTGACTGCTTCCGGACATTGCTCCATAGCCCACCAAGGCGGGCACCCCAGGGCTGGGCTGATAACAGACGAAGGGAGTCTTGAAATTCGCTAGTTAAGTCCAGCCGCTGGCCGGAAGATGAAGATGGCTCGCCGGGGCTGTCGGAATCATGGGGGTTGCCGGAGGAGGCGAGACTTTCCTCTTGGATGTGGTCGTATGCTACATCCATGGCTAGAGAACGACCATGTGTGACTGACGTGAGGGAGAGCGAGGCGAAATGTCAACGGCGAGAAGGACGCTGTTGGTCGAAGCTGTGTTGTTATTTTGGTCTGTCGTTGATATCGAGGTTCTCATCACATGGCCGGTTGTGGCTGCCCCTGGACTTAAGCTAGTTAAGTTTAGCCTTTTGTTAGTACTGGGTGTATTTGTTTATTATTATTTTTGTTACTCCGTAGTTACTCTTGATGTACAAATATAAGAACCAGTGATATCGCCAGTGATATTAATATATGGGGATGAAACATGCACATATGCATCACTTTAGTGTGTCTTAGCCCAAGGACAGAGATTGAGCGAGAACTCCAGCCAACCTGATCTGAAGGTCACAGCAGCGCAACTGGCGCAGCGAGCGCATTAGTCACAGAGATCGCAGAGCTGCCCTGGGGCTTGCTAGCATGGCTACAGGCCCAAAAATGGCCAATCTAGTCTGGGATCGAAAGGAAATGAAAGCTAACTTTCATGCGGCACCGTGCCGTCGTCGTTAAGGTCATTATGGTCGTTACTATGTGGCCCCGGAACCCAGGCAGGTGGTCCAGGTATGCTCTCCATCAAGCTCTCGGTGAGAAGTTGGCTGCATGTTATTATCCTCCGTGACTCAATCTCCGTCTCCAAAGCCTGTGAGCCGGGAACCTCCACCTCAACTTCCGATTCAGAACGTTGAGATGACTCTACTTGGACCACTGGCGATAGAGCTGACGGGGCCTGATTAGGTTGAGTATCGTTCTGTCGAGTTGAGCTGGTGTTCTCCCACCCATGCTGTGGATCTGCTTTCGCCAGAGTTTCCTGATTATCGGAGCCAACGATAGATGGGAGGTTAGACTGCGAAGATTCGACAAAGGGTCGGGCAAGCCAACGAAGCGGAAACCGAAGATTGTGATGCAGGAAACTTTTCAAATGCATAGCTCATGGGCTGGCGTGTATAGTATACAGACATCGTATCAGACATGTAAGTCGAGGCTGGGAGATTTTGGCTTGACTGCTCGATATTACTCTCAAGAGAGAACTGCGGGCCACCCTGATCGCTTGATCCAGATTTTTGTGTACCCTTAATTTCGAGCGCATTTGGACAAACATCTTCGATAGATTCAGGTTTTGCTTCGCCATCCGTCTCATAAACAATGCTTTCCGGTTTTCCTGGATCCGAAGCCTGGAGTTCTTGTGTCTGGCACTCTCTACGTGCGGCATTGAACCGAGCATTGATATCCTCTCTGAACGAGATAGACGGGTCGGAAATAGCTCTTGGAGAAGAGAGTACAGAGGCTGGACTTCCTGGAGCAGAAATACCACAGTAGCCGTCATCTGGCACAACCTGCGAGTCATAATCGTTTGCATTGAACCTGAGCAATGACCTGCGTTTATTGAATAACGGAGCTGCAGAAGAAGCCAATGACAGTCGAACGGGACTATTGTTTATACTCCTTGGAGTTCTCGGGCTGTTCAAGGTGATTTCAGGACTTTCTGGAGATTGAGACGAGGGGACAACCCAGCGTATTTGCTTGCGGGGAGTAACAGGATTAGTCGGTGGTAGCATCTTGCCATGTCTGGTTGCCTGTTCAGCGGATATTTCCCGACAAGACTGTCCCTTTATTGCCGACAATACCTCCAATTCTTTGGGAACATTATCAGCTGGTGGGTTTGGGGCCCCATCCTCGTCATCAACGGCATTTTCAACATTTTCCAAGATTGTCTCCATCTCAACGCCGCGTCTCTTTCGCGAGTGCCTAGGATTGTGCTCCCCAGGGTCATTCTTATCAGCACGAGAAAGAGTCCAGTCAACGTTTACCATCTGCGTCAACGTTCCGTTCGGCCTATCGTCTTTCTGTCTCTTCCTCTTCCTCCCATGATCCCTTATGGTTTGTTTCTTTGGTCGTGGCCCTCCACTTTCTTCGCCATCGGTGGTTTCCGCTTCAAGCCGGGAGCCCCCATCGTCATCTTCGCTCCTTGGATAATCCTGCGGTAGGACGAAGTTGAGTTGAGTCAATGTCTTCTGGCTCCTGGTGTTCCCACCGAGGGCAAGACGATGCTGTCTTTGCTGGTTGCGGGTACGCGACGGATAGCTTCTCCTGCGAAGGGCATATCGAGGTTTTGTGACGTTGGGCCGTCCAGCAACAGCCCTACTGGCAGACAGCGGCCGGGTCATAACGAAAACATGAGGGAGCTTTGATACGTCAGGACGGGTCCAAGTCAAGCCCAAGTCCAGCCCAAGTCGGGTTCAAAGTCGGGTTCAAAGTCGGCCCAAAGTTGAGTCCAAAGTTGAGTCCAAAGTTGGCCCAAAGAATGTCCAAATAAAGTCCGTTTGCGTCCTTCGCGTTTCTTAAATTGAAAATTTTCGCGACGCGTCTTGATTACGTAATACGAATAACACAAGAGCCGCATGGCGAGTTGAAATATATATAGATGTGTTTTTTTTAATCTAACAGCATGTACAGACTCAGGGGATGTCACTCTAGATGAATAGTTGGTTAGGGATATTAATCAGAGAGCAGCCACTCTGGCTCCGCATCATCATCCTCGGGGTCATGGGATATCATGGAGCTGCGGTCTATATCGCTGTCAGAATCGACATGTATCAGCTCGGGCAGTCCCGAGACCTCTCTTTCAGGGGAATCAACTGTCATAGGAGCTGAGCGGGTGCCATCTGCAGGTTGAGAGCTTCCAAGTTCCACATTATCTTGCCATTCAGGCCCAGTTGAAGTGACAGACAGGTGTAGCCGGGCCTGGTCTTGTTCAGGCACGACAGATAGAGTATATCGAGGATGAGAGGCGGACACCACAGGTTCTCTTTCCAGCAAGGGCCCATGAGCCATGTCTCCTGTAGAGGCTTGCTGTGGTGTTTCTGGTTCCGCCAAAAAGCTACCGCCAATGCTTTCCTGTAAATTCTCACTGGTTTCTACCGATTCATGCAGATTGTACGGGCCTCCTATAGAGTCGTCTGCAGGAGGTATCATGGAGCCAACAGGGTCATTTTCGGGTAGGAATCCGCCTCCTTGTTCCTCCACTTCTTGTGCGCTTTGCACCGTGTCTCCTCGACTACCATACTCTTCAACTCTGTAACTGTTCACCCGCTCAAGGACTCGGAGCTTGATCAAAAACAGTTTCCACATATGAAGAGCAGCCATAGTCCGGCGGGTTTCTTCAGCCTGTTGCCTTTCATCGTTAATGCCTAAAATGATTGCTTCAAGAGCTTCTCGGTACTCAGTGGCAACAACAATTCCGTCTATGACAGCTGTACCGTGTCGCTTGTTGAACTTGAAGCCAACAACTGCATCAGCATAATCAATGCGTAATAACTTAGCTGCTTCAGCCGCATCCGGATGTCTGAGGTGGAAGCCCCCCCGCGGGATCATAGAAGGTATATATACATCAATATTCCCATACTCATTTCTTGGTACCTTCCCGTCAACGACTGGCTCTGGAATATAGAGCTCTGTCTGATAGGCGGCATACATGGGTGTCTCAGGGGCTTCTTCATCAGGATTGAATATATGCTGGCGCACTTGGCCTCGCGCTTTGACTCTCTTCAGCGGCTGTTCTCCAGCCTTGACTTTGCGCCCTTGTCGGTACCAGCCATCCGCACTCTTGACGGAATGTACATCTGTCCGGCGGTATACAGATTCCAACGGCGGAGCTTTCTTGTTCAGTGATAGCTTACTCAGCCCAACTTTTCCAATCTCCCGCTTTGGATATATAACTTCATTCCACCGCAGATGCTGTTCTAGGGCATACACAGGGTGATTTTTAAAGTCCTGCACACTCGTAGGCATACCTTCACTTGCCGCCTTGGCTGTTAATTCTCCAAGCTCTAGTTGGTCCCGGTCCTCTGGGAACGGTGACTCAAGCGCGTGCATGGTATGGTTCCACCATTTTTCTCCTTCTTTGGTAGATTCAACTCGGGCTTTTCTTGTTTTTGAGTTGAACGACTTCACGTATCGCCGGGTGACATCTCGTGCGAAGCCATCTTCATTGAACGCAATTACGTAATTCATGTTATTGTATTTATCACTTGCTGGTGGCTCAAATAGCGCCGGTTTCCCCACGGTATTTGTAACCAGAGGATCAACACATACCCATTTCTGCATTGCATGATTAAATACTTCAACCCAGAAAACTGGAAAGGGCGAGTCAGAGTGTGGCGCATCGTCTACGGGAGAAATTAGCTATTAAGATATTTCGAAGTGAAGGGAAAGATGGGCCCGATTCCTCACCTCTTGCCTGTGGTGCAGGGCTTCTTGTATGTCTTGATGAAAATTGCGGTTGCCCGATCCTTCGATGAGTAGTCGTATCTTTAGGAGCAACTTTTGCTGCTGCAGTTACGCTAGAACTTGAATCATCATCTTCAGATATGACTACGTATCCTTTTGTTCGCTTTTTGGGAGACTCTCCTTTGGCCACGCCAGTGAATGGCAGAGTTTGAAGGGAACAAACCAAGCGTGTATCAACACCCACTCCCCGCAGCATAGCACAGAATAGCTGGGCACCAAAGTCTCTCGAACCCTGCATTATCTCAGCATGTTTTCGAAAGTCATTTTTTGACTGCAATATTTCGGTACTCCCTTGCAAGGCCTGTTTTGAGTGTTAGAGTGTTAGTTATGCCGGATTAAATCCATCAAAAGTAATTTATTTATTTTTTTTTCAAAGGAAAGAGGCAAATCAGACAGTTGGATCCTGAGCCGCGGAGCAATCCTCCAGCCAGTATGGCCTCCTCATCCCGGGTCCTGTAACTCTGAATCTTCGCCGAAAGGCTTCTGAAGACTGTAAAAGGCCATCCGCAAACGTAGTAGACCGGGTGAACTGTGGAAGATCCTCTTTAGGGTTCAGGCACATGATGATACGTTTTGAAAGTATCCGGCGCAGTTTTTTCTATCGCAAGAATAATATTAGCAAGCGTAACTCCACATATAAGGGATGGTACAAACCTGGGTTTCCTCATCATTACACCAAGTGTTCCGAAGTCGAATATGGCCAAGAAGACAAAGGACATGAACTTTATGTATTTCCAAGCGCAGCTTCTTTTCAGCTCCAGTTACAGGTTTCCGTCGGATAACGCCCCCCTTCTTTCCTTGGTCAGCTTCTTCCTTTCCAAGGGTGATCTGCAAAGGCTCATGCTCTATATGATGTCCCGCTGGAAGCATCGAAGGTAAAACAGATGTGGTGGAAGGACCAGGCAGGTTAACATCCTCCCACTCAGGTTCTGATTCTTCCTCAGAGGCATCAAGATCGAAGACCGTTTGCGGGGGCATAGCCGCAGACTTTTCTTTCTCTTCTTCGGACTTGTTTGTGCCTTCAACAGCTTTGATCTCCCCATGTTCCCCTATCCTCCGTCGTTTATGAGGCGGGTTGTTCCTATGAGGTAAGGCTTGGGGTAAGGCCTGGGACTCATTCAGCATTTCCTGATAGATCTCGGGTATGTCGTCATCTCCATTTTCCGGGGAGCCCGGTGACGAAATCCTTCGCCTAAGTCCACCTCGTCGGGCCCGGTGAGTGGCAGGTGAATGACTTTTCTTCGCCATGTCTGCTCAGCCGGGGCATACACTCCGGACAGATGAGTTCTTGTCGTTTTCGTTCATTAGGGCGTTAGGACCATAGCCTGTTAAGCCAGGATGCACTTATGCACACACTACTTGGCGAATACGATCCACTGGCAGCTGTTCATCGCTGCCCGTTCTCCTGCTTTCGTCTATGGTGACTATGCAGGACGTTGTTATAATATCACGTCTGTATAGCCCAAGGTCAGCTATCGGGAAAATATATTAAGGTTTCGGTTTTCGTACTTTTATTGTTCCGTGATTCCACCATTGCCCGTGCAGGTGGACGGGAGTGGACGGCCGACAGCCTTAAGGTTCCACCAATAGAACCTGGGCTAAGCCGAGGCAAAACATTCATTATTGGGGTGACATTTGACTCTTACTTCTCCTTTACATTGCTCCTTTCGTATGGAGATATGCACAAAGATAATATGTCGAGAGTAGCAGGATTTATGACATGTACATATATCTCACAAATTGATAACGAAAGAGCTATGTGGATGCAATATCTGGCAGATACGAAGGATAAAAATGTATAAACAGAAGGTAGGAATTGTATTCAGAAAAATAGGGCAGCTGGGTGGCTGGATATATAACCATAGCCATAGTAGTGTATTATTCGAGGAAGTTTATTATTGAACAAGTAATAATGAGGAAGGGTCAATCAAGATACAGGGAAAAGGAGGAGGTATCTCATAACAAAGGGAATCTCTCACACAGTATATTATAGTGAAACGGGCGAGTGAAGAGGTATGTAGCTAAAATGAAAACACGACCAGTCAAAGGCATCGAAGAGCTAATGATATGCAACCATTACGCAGACAAGGCTTCGCTGGAATTGTCATTGGGCCCTGGTAAAGTAGGATTAGGTGAGCCAGACTCTCCCTTCAGGCTGGCCTGCGCAAGGACATTTGCAATCCTATATGTAAAACATAAATAAGAGAATGATGAAGGACCCAGGAATAAAGTGCACTTACTTTTCACGGTCTTCCACCATGTCACCGCTCATGTCCTCAAGCTGTCGCAGTTGCTCCTGAATGCTCGCCACCTATATACGTAGGGATATCATAGTCAGCAAAACTTTCGATAAATAGTGCGTAATCCGCGCGGTAGGGTAAAATCAGGCAGTCCCAAATGGCTCCACGGTAGGATTAGGCATAGAAGCCCGAACCCCCAAAAATAAAGAGGATAAGGGCTTGTAACTAAGGATAGGAAATGAGGTGCGCGCACCGTCCCCGCGATAGAAGAGCTAAGCTTCTCACCTTCCATGGCAGATGGAACCGAGTCCTCCTGCTTGCCATCTGTCTCCTCCTTCGCAGGCTGCGTCTCTTCTTCCGTTGTTGCCCACTTGCTTGCCCCTAGGCCGGATTTCCCATGGCTAGTTCCATTGGAGGTTGGGGAGGCGGTTTTCTGTGCATCTTTAAGATCAAATTCAAGTTCACGGATTTTCCTATTTGCTTTGGCGACAGACGCTTCGTATTCCTGAATCTTCTCTACCATCTCCATATTCTTCTCACTTAAAGCGGCCATATCGCTCTCAAGTTGGGAGTATTTTTTCTCTACCTCTTGGGAATTGGCCTGCGCCTCAGAAGCTGCATCTTTAAGCTGGTTGATTTCTTTCAACGCAGCAGCATGAGCATCACTATTCTTCGTGGCGTCGGTTTGAGCTGCCTTGAGTTCTTCAGCATGCTTAGCAATCAACTCCTCTCGAGCTGCTTCCGCATCTTTGGCAGAGTTTCCTGCAGCATCAATACGTGCCTCCAGCTCTGCTTTTTCCTTCGCAAGGGTTTCCACCTGTGAAGCGTGGCTAGCTTTCAACTCCTCCATTTCTGCCTTCAAAGAATCAAGGGAAGTAGTGTCAGCAGCAGCCTCCTTAGCCTTTTCAAGGTCCGCTTGAAGCTTAGCAACAATCTCTGAGTGATTCTTCTCTGCGGCAGAAAGTTTCTCCGCAGAACTGGCTTCATATTCAGATCTTAGGTTGTTAAGTTTCTCTTCGTGAGCAGCCAGAAGCTCCTCAACTCCCTTTGAGTGGGTAGATTCTAAATCTTCCTTGGTCTTTGCCAAAGTTTTCTCAAACTCTTCCTTTAGCTTTGCGTGGGAATCCTCGAGCTCTTTAGTCGAAGACTCGTTTGCTTTATGTGATTCAGATAAAGCTGCAAATTTGGCGGAATGCTCTTCGATCTGTTGAGCATGGTCAGTTTGGAGTGCCTCAATCTTAGCTTTATGCGCGGCTTCAGCCTCTTCCTTTGCTGTCCGGAGGGTCTCTTGTTCCTCTTGTAATGTCTTGAGCTTTTCTTGTAATGCAACTGTCTCCGATTCATGTTTGGCAATGTCAGCAGCATGGGACGTTTTCATGGCCTCGAGAGCCTCAGAGTGCTGCTCTTTGGCAGAATTAATTTCTTGAGTCTTTTCTTCTAGTGACTTATTCAAGTTCTCGATCTCGGTGCTGAGCTTCTTGTTCATGTTGACATTGTGTTCGTCTTTGTTCTTGCTATCGGCTTCAAATGCTTCAAGAGCTTTCTGCAAAACTGCAACTTGAGCCTTTTCAGCCTCAACACCCGCCGTCAAAGTCTCAATAACAGACTTCTGCTGTGCAAGCTCCGCTTCAAGACCCTGGATGGTGGTTTTGAGGGAATCAATCTCAGCGGATGCTGCCCTCTCATCAGCACTCCGTTTCTCGGCATTAACCTTCTCATTGGCAAGGGCTTCTTCAGCTTTAGAAAGTTGAGCCTTGAGGCTTTGAATCTCAGTATCGAAAGATGATTGAGAACTTTCGACTTTGCTGCTGAGGCTAGTATTTTCAGCAGTTAGTTTTTCCACCATCTTGTTGATCTCCGCAATAGCCGCTTCGTGTTTCTCTGTCAAGCTCTTGATCTCCTGCTCCGAAGCTGACTTTGCCGCTTTTATTTCTGTCTCCGCCTCACTTCTCTCTGTGTTATGCTCAGCAGCCAGTTTTGCAAGAGCAGCGTCATGACCTGCTACCATCTCAGCCAGAGCACGGCCATGCTCAGCTGTCAATTGAGCTTTCTGTTTCTCGAGTTCATCAGCTTTGGCCTCTTGAGACTTGGTAATGTCATCTTGTAGGGACTGAATTTCTGAATTCAGTTTCTTGATTTCTTCCTCTTTCTCAAGTGATGCTTTGGTTGAATCAGCGGACCCTTTTTCGGCCTCTGATCGAGCTTTCTCCAGCTGCTTCTCAAGACTGGAAACCTTTTCTTCTAGGGCAGCAGCGCTTTGGGTAGACGATTCTTGAGCAGACTCTAATTCTTTCTTACTAGAGTTCAACTGTTCTTCCAGAGTGTTTACTTTCAGCTGAAGAGCCTCGGTGGCTTCCCTCTCGGCCTCCTTCAGTTGCTCAACATTTTTGGTTGCCTCATCTAGATCCTTATTCAGGGCGTCAACCTTACTAGTTAACTCAGAGATAGCTTTATGTTTGGTAGCAAGTTCGGCCTCTAGACTTTGAACGGCGGCCTCGTGCTCCTCGCGTTGCAGGTTAAGTGCTTCGGTGCTCTTAGACTCCCCCAAATCAGCAGCCTTACGCTTAGCTTCTTCCAATTCTTTCACAGATCGCTCAACTGCCTCCTGGTACTTGGCTTCCGCTTCCTTCAGTTTACCCTGCAAGGTCTTGATCTCCTGGAAGTAAGACTCCGCCAACTCCTCGTGTTTGGAGCTGTCTTCACCGGATTTTTCAAGTTCTGAGATCTTGTCTTGAGCTTCAGTAAGCTTCGCCTCACTGGCGGCAAGTTGGGATTCCAATTCAGCCATCTTGTCATTCTCTGCCCCTTCATCCAGCGTAGGAGCTCCGGCAGCCCGTCTGGTAACAGCAGGTGAACCCGGCGCCCCGATACGTCTCTTTGCAGCATCCGTACTAGACGTGGCTTTGGCAGAAGTAGAAATGGTTCTAGTAGTTCTCGGAGTTGTAGAGGCCGTCGGGGTGGGTCTTGCAGCAGGCTTAGTTGGCGTTTGCGAGGATGCAGTTGAGGGGCGGGAGGTTGCTGGTTTTCTCTCTGTTGCAGGTGTTATGGAAGACCTTCTATCCGCAGGAGTGGTAGACTGCCTTGCAGTAGTAGCAGTCCTCGAGCCCAGTGTTCCGGACATTGAAGTGCGCTTTGCAGTTCCTGAAATCCCACTCTTTCGAGACTCATCACCAGAGCTAGCAACAGCTTTGGCTCGTTCATCAGCCGAACTACCGATGGACATGCGTGATGCACGGGTAGTACTTGCGGCCCCACCAAGAGTCGTAGAGCCTGGGGTTTTTCTGGCGGCAGTATTGGCCGCAGGTCTAATTGGGGGTTTGCTAAGAGTGCTCCCCGAAGTCGACCTACCAGTTGTCGCAGCGGACGATTTTGTAGTTCGCGTAGCGACACCGCCTGGGCGCTTTGGGCCGCCAGCAATTAAGGAGCGTTTTTGGCCTGTTGAAGATGCCTGGCTCCGTTCTGGAGACGTAACCGGCTCGTCTTTTCCAGATGGTGTGTCCCTTGTGGGAGACCCCATTGATTCTGCAACAGATTGTTGAGCTTCTTCTTGATCGGTGACCAGTTGTTCTTCAGTAGAAACAACGGTGTCCACAGCCTCCTCAGCCGCAACAGGAACTGGGTCTTCGGTAGAGGACATATTGGCAACTAAATTGGCAGACTAGTCTCTATTTTTTTTTTTTTTTTTTTCTAATTTGCCGCTTCGACAGCGTGTCTGATGCGTGTTTAACTAGATATGGACGGTTTAATCGTGTAATCGAACTAGAAACTAGCCAACAAGTTAGTTTCGAAAAGCTAAGAGATGTAGTTGTGTATATCATGCTGGCTCAGAATAAAAGCGGGAAGTAGCTATACAGCTCAAACCACCCAGATGTAATCCCACCCAGGGGGGTTTGATGAAACTCGCCAAACACAACGGAATCACTGACTGACCGAGTAGCTCAGACACACCCTGAAGCTGAGAATTTTTTTTTCTTTTTTTTTGCTTTTCCCTCACGCGGGAGTTGTAATATTAGGATTATAGTAGATGGAGCTGGCCAGCCACCTCTGGGGTAGTTCTGACAGTGTATAAAAGCTCAGAGTAAGAGAAGCTTCTCCTAGATCGTCCCCAAGACTATAAATCAGCACGGTTGACCACGTAAAAGGGGGGAGGGCAATTGAACTGAAGCTGAACCAGGGGAATCATTTCCTGTGATCCAGGCTTATAAAATAAAACAAGGGGTCATCCAAACCCCTTGTCCCCTGGTGCCAGCATGAACACGGAATCTAGTAGAGAGAGAAAGGACTTACAGGAACGCTCTGGAAAGAGACAATGCGAGAGAACAAGAAAGGCAGACAAGAAGAAGACAGCAAAGGGGAAAAAAAGGGGGCGGCCAACTATCAACAATCCCCACGGCAAACGCTGGTTGATGGCTTCCTTCGAGTTAGTTTAAGCTTGAAACCGTCTTTGAGGCCGGCGGCGGAAGGTTTGTTCCGGGACGGCGGCGGAAAGATGTTCCGGTCATGTGACATCCCCTGGACGGGAGCTTACCTAAACTTCCAACGACGGAAACTTGCGCCGCGACGTCCAAGGCGCTGCTGTTCTATATAACTATCCCGAGGGGGAGGGAGCAGGCAGAGAAGAAGTTAGAGATAACAGAAAGCAGAGACAGCGCAGGCAAAAGAGGTCGGAGAGGAGAGGTGTGGAAGAGGAGGGGGATGATGGGCGGAGGTGGAACTGCGCCCTGTCGTGGTTCCAGTAACGCTGTGCTCCCAGTCAACCAGCCATGCACGTCTTTCTTTGGCCGTTGATCGCCAGGCTGCTCTGATTTGGTGCCTAAGAGGATAGGGCGAGATCCATGTCTGTCAGCGGCCCTGGTTGACCGCAGCTGCAGGTGCCCAAGCTAATTCTTAAAAAGTTGGCATTCCGGCTAGCTTGCACGCCTTGGATAAAACGTCATGACGGCGCGCTTTTTGTGGGGGAAGCTCGAGGGTCTTGCATACTGAATAAATACATCGTCATCATGCAGGGCAACACTAAGTATAGTTATTATTACTTTTCTTTTTCCAGTCTCAAGTCTCAAGCAACCTGACTACGGGACACTTCGATTTGCCTTAGAAAAACAAGGTTAATCGTCAAGGAAGCTCCATTGGCTGTAGTGCGGTCGTCTTTCATCAGGCAGAGCTAAGAGACCAGCTCGCGTTTCTACCGTCTTCTTCCGTAGCTCATCTATGCTACGGTGACCGAGGGTGTCTCTGAACTCTCTGAGAATTAATTCATACCGCTCAGGACCTGTCGATGGTTCAAGGTATCGTCAGCACTCTATCTACAAAAACACAACAAATCAGTAGCAGCGGGCATGTCCATCCTACCTTGATATTTTCGCAAAGCATCAAAGAGCGTTTCACTCTCAGCCCTGCTCCAAGAACTGCCTTCGTTGAGAACCGATGTCGGCTCTTCTGACCCAACAGATTCGTCATACTTATCATGAGATGGTTCTGGGTTTCGGAACCGATCGGCATGTTGATGCGTGGTTGGCTGCCGCGTGTTCACCAGCTGCTGCCTAAACACGTAGGCCATGAAGCGAACCAATACACTTATAATTCTTACTTGAGCTGCAAGTCCAGGTGGTGGCTTGGGCGGCTCTGCTTGGACTACTTCACAAAGCCTTTCAACGGAGTCCAATATCCTCACCAATTGGTCCGTTCCATTATCAGTAACACTGTCATTAGAATAATGAGCTACCAGGCACCACTGCAATAGGCCAATCATTCCGGGGATGATGCCAGCAGCCACCTCATAAGCCAGGGTCACAAGTGTTGTTAACTTGCTAGGCGAATCTGCATTATATGGATATGATTCAACCATAACCTGGGAAACCCCCTTTTCTAATGTCTCAAGCAAACTCTCTTCTGTATCAGTCGAAGCAAAATTTCCGCGGCTGTTGCTGGCGCTGATCCTTTCTCTATAAGCGTCAATTCCGTTTGAGACGCTTCTAAACAAATTTTTTGTAGACTCAATTTCTAGGCCCTTTTGTTGTTGCATCAGCAGATGTGCCTCGGAGATCAGTTCGTGCCAGTTCCTTTCCTGATCAAATATTCTTGATGCATCCCAGAAATCCGCATCATCCCGGAGGTAATCTTGGGAATAAACATCTGTGAAAGAGATTTCCGAGTCTGGGCCATTATCAACAGCGTCAATCTGTTGTATCACTTCTTCATGCTCCAAGGTCTCTAATACATCCTCCTCCTCATCATTGCTTTCACTCTTATCCTCATCCTCATCCTCATCCGTGTTTGTATATTCATAATCACTATCAGGTACTGAAATAGTCAGCTTTTCCCCATAATTGCTATCATCAACGTGAACATGTTCGCGGTTGATTGCTGCTTTATCAGTCAGCAACGAAGTGGGTGCATTATCAATAATCACGAGAGGAATATCAGATGGATTATTTTCGGGAGGGTTTCCGGTGCCAATCATATTCCCAGATTCCACATAGGAATTGCCAGAGTCGTCATCTTCACTAGATTCGGTGCCAACAGTCAAGTCGGCATGCTTTGCTGGGGTCACGCTCTTCATCTTGCTGGCGCCGGGTGAATCTACGTCTAGGTCATATATGTCTTTGGAACCACCTCTAAGCCTTCGCTGCGGGTATCTTTGTGGGCGTCTTAATTTTCCTTTTGAGGTTTCAGCTGTTTCGTCGCCATGCAGTAGGCTAGTGGAGGGTATATTTGCGGAGCAACTAGATTCTGGAATGAATGATTCCCTAAGAGCAGTAGACTGGTTCACCGACTCTGAGCCAATTCTTTTAGCTGCCGTACGTTTCGCGATAGTCTTTAAGTCGAAGAAGAGCTGGGCAGCGGGACTGTCATCACGCGTCCTCGGAATTTTATTACTTCCGGGCATCCTTCTCAGTGTAGTTAGCGAATGCTCTTAAGCTGATTTGGCTTGCTCCTTTCCTTTCCGTCTATATTATCAGTAGTCATAGCATCGTAGTCAGTTGTCTGTCATTCTGAGCTTGTTGCTACTTCAATAGCCAAGTTCGTCAAGTCGTGCCGGTTTACGGGTAATTAGTTTGTGGACTGTTGGCTAACCTATGGTTAATTAATTAGTAGCTAACTTAGTCAATATTAAAACGCGGCAAGCGCTTACTAACATAACAAACTAGACGTCATCAATTCTAACCCCGCGACCAACAAACCATATACCTAACTACTACAAACAACAATACGAGTGTCTTAAGTACGAGCAAAATATAAAAATGGCCACCACAGCAGCTGCACCGTCGCTGCAACGGTTGGATCCAAGTATACCACACACTTTCATGCGCCCGGTGAAAAAGATCAATGATCACCAGGATGTGGAAACATTTTTATCGTCTGTAGCGTACAGAGATATTATGATTTTTGTTTTGCAATTAAACCGTTGCATGTTTCCCTCTAAGGCGTCCAGTGAAAGCGGCTCTTCAAATGTGGAGGTGTGGACACTGGACTCCGATTCTGTTGACTTCTCGGAGCCCGTCCGTCGCCTACAGCTACTGTTATCAAAATTGGAGTCCCTTATCGATGAGGTGGCTCCAGATACTGGACCTCGGCGATTTGGGAATATCAGCTTTCGAAAATGGTGTGAGGAGATGGAATCTCGTGCAGCTTCCATCATGGATGAGTGTTTGCCACCAGAAATTCTTCAGCAGAAATCTGAGGAGGGAGAAACAGTAACGGCGAGAGAGGAGCTGATGTCCTATCTAACCGGTAGTTTCGGTAGCTCACAGAGGCTTGATTATGGAACGGGACACGAGCTTAGCTTTTTAGCCTTTCTCGCATGTCTATGGAAGCTAAATGGGTTTGCCCAAGCAGATCCTGGGGTAGAAGAGAGGGGTATAGTTATTGGGGTTATTGAACCGTGTGTTTCCCCTCTTTATCTCATGCATGTTCCTTATAGCTCACTTTTTTTCCGATCAGGTATCTTCGGCTTATTCGACGTCTAATACTCACGTACACTTTAGAGCCTGCGGGCTCCCATGGTGTGTGGGGCCTAGATGACCATTCATTTATTTCATATATTTTAGGATCGGCTCAATTGTCCCCTCCCATAGGTCCTACCGACCCAACTCCTACAGAGGGTTCCTTACCGAATGCTCCAGCCACAAGCGATGTAACCAAGTCAAACATTGTTGAGAAAGAGCGAAAGTCAAATATGTACTTTTCAGCTATTGGTTTTATCTACGACGTTAAAAAGGGCCCGTTCTGGGAACATAGCCCGATGTTATATGATATCTCAGGAATAAAAGATGGCTGGGGAAAGATTAATAAGGTAATGAATCAAATTTTGCCAGTCATTCTAGGAACAGCGTGACAATTTCTAACTATTGATATGAAAATAGGGTATGATCAAAATGTATAATGCGGAGGTTTTATCAAAGTTTCCCGTGGTACAACACTTTCCCTTTGGATCATTATTTGTTTGGAAACAGGACCCAAATGCCACCTCAACAGCCCCATCGGCACATACATCAAGTGGGCCACAGATTCGGACGCAGATCCCGGCGTCTCCATCTCTTTCTGCTCAATCAGACGCAGGTACCCGAGCTCCATGGGTTTTGAAACCTACTAGTGTTGGAATGGGGGACCTTCGAGGAGGAGTGCCGTCGTCTCACCAAGTACCAGCTACAAGAGCCCCGCGGGCGAGCCAAGGTGGCCAGCAGCGAAACCCACCACAGCGAGAGCCATTTCCACCTGCAAATTCCTCAGAGAGGTGAATGCTCATTGCACATTTGATTAACTCAACCTGTAGCAGTACATAAAAAATAAATACTCGTGCCCTTCGCGCACCCAAGATATAGGCCCCCTAGTTTTAGTAATATGATAAATGGTTGTGCGGTTCAAGTAGAAATTTAATATATGGGTATCAAAAATAAATAAATACCAGACTCCAAAAATGCAGCTTAAGGCGCTCTCTCTATGTCTATGAGTTCATCAAGGTACTAATCCGACTCCGACCCGTAATCCACCAGCCCGACACTAAGGGGTGTCTGACCTTCTGGCTTCTGGGAGGATTTCAACTGGCGGCCATTTCCCTTAGCGCTACCTTCATTTCTGGCCTCGTTGTTTCTGGTTTCCTTATTCCTGGAGAGTTTATCGTCTGCTGCATCATCAATTTCATCTCGTGTTCCAGTCGATATCTCATTTACCAACTTGCTTGACCTCCTTTTCTTTGCAGCATTTGGTGGATGTTGCCAAATAGTTTCGTCTATGAGAAGAAATGGATCGACGGCTGCTTTCGTGTTTCCTTGGAGCTCCCTTTGTAATTGAGCCTTTTTCTCGGCAATCGGACCCCCCATTTTTTTCCGCTTCTTCGTTTGACTAGATTTGGAAGTAATAATCTGCTTGTGTTGCGAAGAGGTATCTTCAAAAAGTGGTTTCGTTCGAAGGTTCGATGGCAAAGTTAGGGAGGATCCAGGGTCACTTTCTTGCCCGAATTCAACTACCCCAGCACGAACACGGTCACCCTCAGTCTCATCAAGTAAATCGACCCCCAAGCTATATTTTTCTTTGATAGCTTCCCTCTCGGATTGTATCGCCTCCCGTTTCTTTCTGTCTGCCCTGAATGCTCTTCTGAGCTTTCTTGAATTTTCATACGGATCTTCCCAGTCCCGATGCTGTCTCCTTAATAGTTCGTCCATCCGCATCTTTTCAGTCATGTATTTATTCTTATCAGCAATTTTCCCCTCTAGGGCCGCAAACGGGTCCGTTGTCTCGTTTTCTCCCTCATTTCCAGGCATTCGTACTCGGATTTCCGCAGCTCCAGTAGAAGTCTCTTCATACTCGCCTTTTCCTATATCTGCGGTAACCTTCCGTCTGGCTCCCTCAATAACCACATATTCTGTGTGTTGGGGATCTGTCCGTATCTCTATCCAACCACCACATACGCTATGCTTCATGCGGAAGCTATATATAGGGGTGGAATAGTAATTTCCAACTTTCTTCTTAAGAGCGTTGAATCGTACTCCTTGTCCTATGATCACGGATTCTGCCGGTTGACAAGTCGAGCACCAAATTGGAAATGGCATCTCAAATCTCACTGTAAGCTCTCCCGTAGTCTGCAGGTTTCGAGCGCGAGCACCAAGAGCATGCTTGCCAGCAAGCTTATTTCCAGAGACGACTCCTTCATACTCCGGAGGGACATATCTAGTTCGTCGTTAGATTATTTGTATCTTTGTTGGCTATTCAACCAATGTTTTGGGGGGTAGAGTGGATTTGAGAACGCACCGTCCCATATCTGTTAGAGAACTTGTGTCAATAATTATCATTGAAAATGAGTGGTCCATAGAAAAGACTTACTAAAACCCTGCATCGTGTGGGAAGGTATAGAGAGCAGCCTCTATTAAACTAGCTACCCGGAGACTAAATTGTACTGCACAGCAAGTACGAATATCGTATCCAGACGAAGCGCTTCATGCTTTGTATGCCTAAAAAATCGACGTCATTTAACTCGGAACTAATTTTGAGCCGCATTTCCACGTGACTATTCACAATCGGAATCCCACTAACTAGTCCTCGAGGTTAGGTAATACCCTATTATATATTGCACCCCCAACCAAAATCCAGTTACTTAGAATCAACATCATTTCAATAGTAATCATAATATACTTATAATATACTTCAAGATAGCCACGCCGAATCATGAAAAAGGTTATGAAACGGCTCTGCATGTCCCGAAACTGATTTCACACATGATATGCAAATCTTCAACACTCTCGCCAAGATGTAATTTCACCCCTTTCCCATCAACTGGAGCCTTCCAATCCTGAGTTACCACATCCCAAACACTCAAATCCTTCCGAGTGAGGTCCATTCTCAATACCTCTTCTTGCCCTGGAGCAAGCGTTGAGGTCTTTTCAAATTGACGTAGCTGCAACTTGGGTGTGTTTGCAGCCAGTTCAGCTGGCAATTCGACATACAGTTGAGCTACGGCACGACCAGGCACTCGTCCTGTGTTCTTGATTTTGACAGCGACACTGAATACTACATCCCATAGAGCTGGATTCCCACCTTGAGACCCTCCAGCTCTCGGATCGGGTTGTGGCGTGGTCTGATATCCCTTGGGATATATAAACTTTGAATCGGCTTTGGCGCCAGCTGGATTATCAAGATATGGATACAAATAGCGCCATATCCTATGGAATTTCTTCGGCCATGCAACTTCGGAACCATCTGGAATTTTATCGGTGTATATCGGTGTCGTGCCCTTTGGCATCCGAGGAGGAGGATACTCGGATAGGTGGGTTCCAGCGGTTATCCTAGCCTCGTTAAACCCGAAAGTTGTATAAGAGAGCCCATAGCCAAATGGGTAACGGACCGATTTTCCTTCTCTCTGGAAGTGACGGTAGTCGACATATAGGCCATCAACATAATTATCCTGGATCTGCCCAAATGGCTGGTTTAAAAGGGACGAGCTTGGAGAATAGTCCGATTCAGATTTCGGGATTGTATAAGGAAGGTGGCCGCTGGGACTAACATCACCAAAGAGAATGTCTGCCACTGCACTCCCCGCCTCTTGGCCTGGGAGATGGGCAATAAGAACACTTTTTACTGCGGGTAGGTCAACCCATTTTTCCAGAAGTGTCGGCCCAACAGTGTGTACGACTACAACGACGCTTGAGAATTTCTTGGCTGCTTCTTGGATCAATTTATCGCCTCCGTACCATAGTTCCAGGCCAGCATAGCTTCTATCTCCGGGATTTCTTTCGACCGTGATATAATTTTCTCCAGAGTCGGAGTTGACAAAGACGATGGCGACATCCTCGGGATTTACCTTAATATTCGAAGGAAATTTGTTCGTGATATAGGATTTGGCAGTTGTCGACCTGTTCTTGATGGCTTCTTCTGGCGTACTCAGGTATGGTAATCTGGAAGTTCCGCTACCCCAGCCCATTGTTAGGACACCCTTATTGCAGCCTTTATCAGCGCAAAAATTAATCCCTTTTGGATTTGTGCCTGCATCTTCACCGAATATTGATAGAGATGCACTTTTCTTCAGCGGAAGCAAGTTATCTTTGTTCTTGACAAGTGTAATGGCGTCTCTCGCAATAGTCCTCGCAATTTCCTTATGGTTCTCCTGGACATCGACGAATTTGTTAACTATGCCCCTCGGAGAAAACACGGCTCCAGGATAGAGAAGGCCACTCTCTTCTTGGGTATTGGTTGAGAAGTTTGGCTCCGGGTATTTGTCGTCTTGTCCAAACTGAAACCAGGTCGCAACAACTCTAGTTACCTATGTACCACAGTTAGAAAATTGCTAACAACTTTATAGTGAAGCTTATAAAGGATGAACCAGAAATTGAAATTTTACGGAATACGCCCATACCATGTCATTGAGGCGCTCCAAAGGAATGGTTCCATTGAGAATGGACCTGGACAGCTCGTATGCCCAGAATGCGCTACCCGTCAACGGGACTGGGCCATCGCCAGGCATAGCCATATCAAGACCTGCTAAAGCCGAGGAGACTCCACCGATTTGTCCAAACCAGTCGCTCATAACTAATCCTTGGAAACCAAGCTCATCTTTAAGGATTCCGTTTATGAGAAGGCTATTCTGGCTACAGGTAGAACCATTTACCTGTCAAACAGCCGTTAGCATTACCATCTCCACAAATAAGGTCTAAACTGAGATAATGAATATAAGGGGTTGCGGTACGTCGTTATACGCCATCATCAATGCTCCAACTCCAGCCCGGACTGCCTCTGCGAATGGCCATAAATATAATTCATGCAATGTTCGATCATCGATATTCGATGAATACCCGCGCTGCACCACATTTGTCATGCGATGGATTTCTTGTTCATTCCCAACAAGGTGCTTCACCGTTGCTATAACACCAGACTTCTGAACACCTTTGATAGTCAAGGCACCACCAATGGCTTGAAGTGACGGATCAGCCCCAAAGCCTTCCCAATTTCGACCGCCTCGAGGTTTACGCCCAAGGGGACCAACTGAGGGTCCCAGATGAAAATTCACCCCCTTGCCACGGAATTCCTCGCCCATAGCAACTCCACGCTCGTACATGAGCTTTTTATCGAAAGTCGCTCCAACAGTAATTCCTGCAGGGAAAGCAGTGTTATGATCTGTGTTCCGCACGCCCAGGGGCCCATCCTGAAGGCAGAGATTTGGTATGCCGAAGCGCAAAGCACTGCCTGTCTGGCCGACACAGGGACCCATAAAAATCCCAGTTCCTGTCGTCAGGTTCACCTTTTCCGCAAGAGTCATATTAGCGACGACCACAGCAGCCTTTGCGTACGCAGCCTGCCATTCCTGGACCCAGCCTCCTTTGGGGGTTGGGTAGTAAGGAGGCGAGTTATAACCGGGAGGGACACCAGCGCGTGCATTCTGAGTCGCTGAACTCGATACAGACGCAGCAGTAAATAGACAGGGGAAAAGAAGAAGAGGGAGAACTAATCTCCACGTCTCGCTAATGAACAACATGGTCAATTCTCACTCTTGGTTTATAATATTCGGCCAGGACGATAATATCCAGCCGTTGCCTGGGAATGCAAGCCTTAATATTTAAACATTTGGCCCTACAATTTCACCTCGTGAGGGTGGCCCATGCTACGGAGAACCGCACCATATATCGTTACCCAGCAATGGGGTCTCCTCCATTTACCATGCTTGCAGCCACCAAGGCTGCAGCTAGCTGATCAGACTCTGTCTGTCGCCGATCGCCACTGCCCCTGTTTGGCTTCGGAACTCTGGTTGAATGTGATTTCACAAACCACCTTTATCACTGCATGTGGGGAGGGGTAGAAAAGGTTACTCCCGATTCTTCTGAATTACTGGGTCAGCAGAACTGGTTGTTGGACCCATGATGGAGGCTCATTTTCGGCATCATGTGTTTTGTATCATGTCACACACTCCATTATGCTCCCCTATCAACTGGTCTGGCCCTGCAATTTGAATCAGCTCAATAGCTGTTTACTAGCAATCAATAAACTATAGTTTTTATTCCAAAGAGTAACCCGTTGCGTGTACTCATAGAGTAGACTCCTCAAAATTCTCCGCCTGTCGAGCAAAATCCCCAGTTTAATGCCTAGCATGGCGTAGCATTCATTGGGAGGGAAAAAGGGGTTGGAACTTCTAATTAATTAACTTGCAGCTGACTAACCAATTAAGGAGGTCAACTATCTTAGCTAGGCTATATCACAATATCCAAGCAGCCACGAGCCTCTTTAGGTCATGTTCCCACCGAGATCATTTCTGCATCCGAAGTCTTGCATAAAGTGGATGACTGCCTAATAATTCTCTATCAAAAAGACGACATGTGGGGAACATCTAGCCACTACTTATAAGCAAAAGCAAGAAGCAACCGGCTAACCATCGAAACATTTCAAAGACAGCCGTCGAGAACCATCAGCACTCAGTTAGAAAAGTACCCAGGGAACAGCCACGACATCTTAGAAAGTGCCGAGGCACTGATGTTGCCAGGTTTCGTACTCAAGCCGAATTTTGCGCTACCTTCAAGGTGCTTCCCCTTAACTAGGTCTTCATGTTCGTCCTTAGTCAGTTCGTCCAAGACAGCGCTGATGAAATTTCTCGCATTTACAGCGTTTGCTTTCATGTTGCCCATGACCATTTCGACGGTGACATCCTCAGTGCCGCAGTGCCAGCAATCATAATCCGTTGACATGCAGATCATCTGATATGCCATTTCCGCTTCACGTGCTAGTTTGGACTCTGGCAAGCAAGACATGTTGATAACACTGCCACCCCAGCTACGGTAGAGGTTGCTCTCCGCGCGGGTGCTGAACTGTGGACCCTCTATAATCGAGATGTCAGCGTTTGTTTACCCTTCCCCCGAAGCTATACAGTAAATACTGAGCAGCGTAGGTAACTTGGTAGTTAATTTGATAACGGGAGACGAATGAGCTTACCCATGCATATCAAAGTGCCACGGTCGTGAAGAATGACTCCTTCCCCCTCCAGACTATGGCCGCAAGCCCTAACAACTTTGGCCATTTTCTCGTCGAACGGATCTGCAAATCCAACATGATTTACAATTCCATCCTCAAAGAATGTCCATGGCCGAACTCCTTTGGTACGGTCAATTACTTGGTCAGGAACCACAAAATCTCTGGGCTTAATTTCTTCTTGCAAGCTGCCAACCGCAGAGAATGCTACAACGCTACGGACTCCGATAGATCGTAGAGCAGCAATGTTGGCACGGCTTGGAACCTCGTGAGGAGAAAGCTGATGATGAAGGCCATGTCGGCTAATGAATGCGATTGGGACAACCTTGCCGCTAGTGGAACAGGTGTGGTGAAGGATTGAAATCGGCGAGGACGGTTCGCCCCATGGGGTTGTGATAATGAGGGTTGCGACTTTCGTGAAATGAGGGAGCTCGCTCAAGCCGGTGCCGCCGATGACGCCGATATGGACGGGCTCTAGAAGGGATAAGCATTAATCAATTATGCACATTCAAAGCTATCAATATCGATTGGCGCCTTAGTGTTTCGAATCAACGGCTCGCCGGCTGCGGAGGGACATAGAGGGGTAGATGTAGTAACGCAATTGAAGCCATGGCTGGGAGTAGATACCTTTATATGTGTCAGAGGTAATAGTCATACTGAATAGTATCCGTAATACAGACCGATATATGGGATTATGCGTCTGTAGTTTGTGGTTTATAGCTTGAAGTCTTTAAGTCGTTATCATCGAGGGGTGGCTTTTTGCAACTCTCCGATTTTTACCGCTGACTCAGCTCGCCCCTGGAGTATAGGGGGGGCTCCGGGTGGAGATTTTTTGCTATGGGGTTTTGGGCTTAATGGGATAAATTAATGACGATAGGCCTGGTGGACAGTAGGTATAAGAAACTTATACCTTTGCATGTTAATGTAAGCTTGCGTATTGTCTCATGCCCTATCTAGGTCTCATATAGCGCTAATATCAGGTCGCTTTTATTAGCAATGGCATCTTTGGTATGGAGAAAGCCATATTACTATGAAAGGGAAGTCTCCTCGGCTGTCAGGAAGAGATTTCTGGTGCGTCCGGGAACCAGCTCCGTATATATTGGCCAGGTCAAATGCTTTGCTGCTAGGACATATCTGATTGGCAGGCATGCAGTCGGTTGTTTTCTTAATATATTTATCTAGCCATTGTTGACTAGCTAGGCCGTCGAGTATGCAAAACACCCGTCCTAGTCAAATACAACCTTCTTTCCCTGGAATGAAGTTTGTGTTTTTGATTCCTTGCGTTTAATTGCCGCCTGCCATGAAGGATGAAGTGGCCTGTCGTTGGTAAGAGGCGTGGGTTTCGGAGTAGGCGGCAGAGCTTGTACCTGGGCTGTATTTGATCCAGTAGCCTCCTTCCTTTGACTTCCACGTATCTTATTTCTTCCATATCTTCCTCTTGTATCTTCCTGCGTTGTAGCTCCCCGGCGTAGATCCCATCCACTATCCCGATTCTTGCCTTGGGCTTGTTCCTTCGCCTGCTTTTGGATATGTCTCGCATTACTTCCATATTTTTTCTCCCAAAGTTTTCGTCTTGCCTGTTGGCCCATCCTATTCTTCCGTTCAGGGATGGTGGGTGTGTAATCCTGCTCTGGCTCGGATTCAGAGCCTGACCAGTATCCTCCCATGAGTGTCGGGGAGGAATGTTGTAGCCGTAGTAGACTTTTGTTTGGACTTTGAGGACATTGTCGTAACAACATCTGATTCGTCAGACGTGTCCGATGATGTGGGTGATAATGACATATCATCCATTGGGTTGTATCTCGCACTTGCTGGGCTTTGTTTGTTATCGTCCCCATTGTCACTCTCATTTCCATT